CTGTGTGTCACATGATCGTTTCCAGAGATGCAGATAGACATCCACACGGAGATGAAATGGTCGTCGTTTTCAAAAAGTACCGTTTACAGTCACCTGAAACGCCGTTTGCATGTGGATGAAATGCCGATACGTCAAAAAACTTTTGCGTTTACTCATGAATTCGTTTCCGTGGTGACGGGTTGATACCGCCTTCAGACAGACTTTGCAGCGGGGAGTGGTTTGCTCTTCATCTGAAACTGTGAAGTCGTACCAATTCAACACGACTGACTCGCTCTTGTCCGATTTAACCACGAAATTATCGCCTTCTTTAGCAAACTCCCTGTTTGTTTACACTGGTGTGTGTGGGAACTTGGGAGTCTACGGTGGCCTGGAGGCACAAGACATGATAGAGAGGAAAATCGAATTGAGGATTTCAACTTTTTCAACATCGTCATGATCAAATAATCTGATTACGACTTAAAATGGATTTATCGTGCAGCCCTACTTTGATGTCAGGGTCTGTAGTTCAATCTAAAATGGATAAAAGCTGTTTTCACAAACTCCTGCTAAGTTGTTGGCACAGTGATCATGTACATCACTGTTTCAGAGGGTGGGGGGGTCAACACAACTGCATTTGTTTTAAGAAGAAAAAGTGCTCAAGTTTTTTAACACAACCTGACAACACCACTGAATTTACCACTTTCAGTGACCCACCTTTCTATGATGTAGAGGGCCCGTGATTTCCCCAGATAACAGTCCGTTTAGAAAAGCATCCCAGACATTTCCCTGCCGCTCTACATCTCACATTCCCAGGCTGACGGACAGCATCATCAGTGACCCCAGTTTTACCGCAGACATATGGACCTCTGACATCGGTCCACTGAGTATGCTTAGTTTGACGGCTCAATGGCTGGGTGGAGGCCCGATGTGAAAAAGACTTTGTAGCAATGCACAGGAGTGACAGAAATAAACAGACGACGGATGAGCTCGGACTGTGCTCTGCTCTGTGTGTGGTGTCAGTTATAATTGGCGAGTATGGAATATTTTATACATGCCTGTTTGCTCACTAAATCTTAGCCTCTTCTTTCCTCAGGTGTGCATAAAGAACATAATTTACATACAAAAAAAATGCAAAAATGAGAAAACAGGAGCTTGTAATTGTTGGTTATTTGTAGGGCCAGGGCTTAAACATGTTAATTGTGATGAATTAATTACAGTAATATTATCTCGTTAAAAATATGCACACATATTAATCGCACCGACTGTATTTTTGCACCACGCAACGTTTCTCACTGGACGAGTTTCAGGTATACCACTTATACCGGGACACCTCAATGTGAGTGGGTGCAGCAGCCGAACTGGACACCCCCCCAGTTGCAGCTAGCGCGGAAGCTAACGTTAGTCCGACTCCGAGTACAGCAACCCACACCCAACCCACACTCGAAAAGATGAGTGGATTCATTACTTTTGAGAGAAATTGGTTCTAAATTGTTCATTCCTGGTTTAGTATCACCTTGAAAAAAATAAACAAGGTTTTGTTTGCTTAAGCTTATATATTCATTCAGTTCACTATTCATTGATTCACTCCTATACCATTTGAAATAACGATTCTCACTCTTCTCAGGTCAAATATTTAGGTGCGATTAAAATTCGATTAATTTTGATTAATTTATTACAAAGCCTCTGATTAATTAGATTTTCTTTAATCGATTCCCAGCCGTAGTTATTAGTAATGACTCAAAAACTTTCTTTATTTTTATATGAAACTGTAACTCACAGTTACTGAGAGGTGTTATCCTCCTGAGGACACTGTTAACATATACACTACGTTTGCATTGATATGTGTGAATACATGAATATAAATAAGTCTGTGTCAATGGGAAAAGCTTGTTCTGAAAAATACATACCTGTACATACATTATGTTTGTTATTGAGTTTTTGCCCATCAGCAGGGTTGAACGCTTAGAGAGATGAGCAGACAAAATGATTTGTAGTTGTGTTCACATCATGAGATATATTCCTCTCCTGGGAGGTCAAAGTTGAAGCTAAAATGTTGAATTGAGTTTCTGCAAAAATACATAAGAACTCTTGATAACACCAGATCGGGATTATTATTTCTTTCATGATTGATGGGATCGTAAATGAAGTAAAGATGTAATTTTGTAATCTCTCTGTCCACATTTTTTCTGTTTTATTATCTTATCAATGATCCGCCCGTTCTCAAGTCCTTACGTCCGTGTGGGACTTTCTCAGTCAGTCAATTAAATCAATGTTGCCTGAATGGGCCGTCATACTGAGTGTATTAGTATAAATCTGTTTGTGTGCTGGTATGTTTTAGCCTGAGTCTCAGTTCGGTCATTTGATAATCTCATGCAGTCTGGTTTTTGGGACATTTTTCTCCTGAATGGGGAACTTGTCCATCTGCTGCATTTCCTAAAGGACCACTGAGAGTGTGAGCTGCATGGCTACATTACACTCTCACACACACACACACACACAAACACACACACACACACACACACAAAGGGATACCGCACACAAAAAAGCGCTCGGTTACCTGTGTAAGGTGAAACGGTGTCATTTTCTTGGCACATATGGTCAGGTCGATGCGATCAGTGAAGGCCACATTAACATTGTGCAGTGGGACCGTTTGTCTCCCGCGAAAAGGCGAAGTGTTTTCAACCTGCTGTGTAATCTTTTGTGACACGTCGTATGCAGATACCCACAAGCCCCCATTAACCGTCCTTACACACCATCGTGGGAACAACAACAACAACATGCTGTTATAGACTCTCACACAGCCAATGATATCACAGCTTTCCAGTCCCTTAGAGATTGATATCAGAGTGGGGTTTTAACCGAGAAGGGTTATTACTGTCGGAAAATGAAAACTAAAAATACTTTTTTTATATCAGACCATGAGTGTGACATTATTTGCTTATGAAATACTTTATTTGTGTAACTAAATTCGGATCATTAGCGCCCTAAATCCCTCCCCTGCTCACTCATTCACTCAAAGTATTCCCATGGCGGACATTTTCCTCTGACGTCACGCTCAGGGTTGGATGCTCAAATGCTCTAATGGTCCCAGAGTGCAACTAGAGAAGACGTTGGGAATTTGATCCATTTTTATAATTTCACTGTCTGGAGATGTATGAAGAAAATCTGCACTGGTTTCTATCTTAAATTAGCTGCTATTACATGAAAGCTAAAATAAGCACTTCTTACCAATCAGTCCTAATGTGGTCGACTAAAACCCTAACTCCAAATAAGCTTGGGAGCCTTGGAAATTGTTATTAAAAACTGATTTTGATGGTTGGAAATTATTCAAACCTTATCTTTAATTGGAAAATCCTGCGAAGACAACTTAGGAAACACCAGCATGTTCTCCAGGACCCGGCTCATTTAAGATGACAAAGTTAAAAATTGCCTTGTAGTCTAAAATAATGAATCAGAATTGGATTTTTTTATATACAGTATATCATGGAAACTGCATCCTCCACACTAAAGAAGAGAGGGACCAGCTGGTTATCAGCGCCGACTTCAAAAGCCAGCATGAGCGATGATCTGGGGATGCGTTAGCGCCCGTGGCAAGGATAGCTTACACTTGTGGGAAGGCGTCATCAAAGCTCCACAACACATTCAAGTTTTAGAGCAAGACAAGCTGCTACCCAGACAATGCTGTTTTTATTTTTTAGTAAAGACCTTCAATATTTCAGGAGGACACTGAGGCCGAAGCATGTATCACAACAGTGTGGCTCTGTAGTGGAAGAGTCCAGATGATAAATTAGCCTACTCATCAGCTGATTTGCTGCATCATAAAACAAAAATAACAACAAAGGAGACGCCAAACTTTACATTTTAGGGAGTGACTGTTTAGTAAAAGTAAGGACAGCTACCAGCGATGGAGCAGACGTTAAATACTTCTTCATTTGTGTATATTTAGGATAGGAGTGTAAGGATTGTGTAAGCTTACTTTTGTTTTAATTCCTTAAATGTGCAGAGTCTGGTCTTCCTGTAAATCAATACTCTTGGTTAGTGCCTCTTCAGCACATTTTCAAACCCAGGCTTCAAAGTGCCAAGTTTTAAGAGGGCATTTCAACAAATTAGAAGAACTGTGACAGCTTTTCAGTTTCTCCTGAAACTTTTCCCAACATTTAAAGGTCATTTCAGCGTCTTTGTGTTCAAGTCTGACAGACTGTGACATTAGACGGAGATACTCAAACCAACATGGTACATCCTCTACAAAGAGTTCTGATCTTACAGAAGAAGAAGAAGAAAAAGGTAAAAGAAGAAAAAGAAAAGAAAGGAAAAGAAAAAGAAAAGGATAAAGACAAGGAAAAAGGAAAACAGTAGAAAAAGAAGGAAGAAAAAGAAGAAAAAATAAGAAAAAAGAGGAAAATGAAAAAAGAAGAAAAAGAAAAAAGACGAAACAAGAAGAAAATGAAAAAAGTAAATAAAAAAGCAGGAAAATAAAAAAGAAGGAAGAAAAAGAAGAAAATTAAAAACAGAAGAAAATGAAAAAAGGAGAAAATAAAAAATAAAGAAAAAACAAAAAAGAAGGAAAATAAAAAGAAGGTAAAAGAAGAAAATGAAAAAAGATGTAAAACAAAAAGAAAATGAAAAAGAAGAAAGAAGAAAATGGAAAAAAGAAGAAAAAAGAAGAAAATGAAAATAAGAAGAAAAAAATGAAAAAAGAAAATGAAAAAGAAGAAAAAAATGAAAAAGTAAGAAAATGTAAAAAAAAGAAAAAGAAGGAAATGAAAAAAGAAGAAAAAAAGAAGAGAAAGGAGGAAGAAGAACAAAAACAAAACAAAGAGGATGAAAAAGAAGAAAAAGAAGGAAAAAGAAAAAAGATAAAGAAGAAAAAGGAGATTTATTTATTCCCAAATGTAAATTCAATAAATTATAATAAAATCAATACAACTTGCAAACTCTCCTGTTCAACATGTCAGTAAAGACACACACACACACACACACACAGATTACACACTGCAATTAAGTAATTAGTTTGGTTGAATTCACATGAGGAGCAGCAGCATATGCAGGAACGTGTGTTAGGTAGTGTGTGAAGGAGTGAATGTGTCATGTCTAAATGAGGTGAACTCACTCCAGCTGTGTCTTAACTCTTCCTCCGACTTTCCCAGCTGCCGCCGGCAACACCTCATCATTTCCTCCTCCCACACAGGGGTGCTGCTGTGAAAGAGACACAAAAGTTTGAAAAGAAAACAGCTTTCACTAAATGTTTGAGATAATCCGTCACGTGCCAATGTTTGTGTTATGTATGTACAATTAGCTGAAAACAATGAATGTGGCGGCGGCGGCGGCTCCCGCTCTCCTCTACAGCCTGATAGTGATTGTTATTGCCTGTGTATTTCTGCCACTGGCAGGCGTAGGTGGACTGACCATCACGAGTGGCCAACAGGGACCTGCGGGCCAGCAGCGAGCAGCAGAGAGACCCATGCCTTCCCCACAGATGAAATATGTGGGATGTGTGTTTGTTTGTTGGGGAGGGGGGGTTGTTATTGAGTGCATCTCTCTGGTATATAATTCTCCCCTTCTATTGCTCAGCTGCTGTGAAAACTGTATGAAATATTTCTGAACGCTGAATATGAAACAGTAAAATCTGCCCCTGTAAATCTTCTCCAGAACAGCCTTTTTATAAATAGTCGTATTCTGTGAATGCCATGACAACAACTTCATCTGACACACAGTAGATAGACCTTTTTCCGGAGGCATTCGAGATTAGAGGGAAAGTAGCAGAAGAGATAAAGATGCTGCTGATAACTTAAAGCTCCTGTGAGGAGTTTTTTTTACTTTTTTGGTTACACAACAGACTGAAACAAACACAAATACTTCACTATGACTTACAAAATCAAACAAGACCAACAGGGAGGGACAACATGGACAACGTTTTTAATGCTTGTTGTAAACTCAGATGAAAAAAGAAAGAGTTACTGGTTTTGTCTTGTCCTCATGAAAGCGGAGTAAACTAGGGCTGGGCGATATGGCCTCAAATCAATATCACGATATATTGATCAGTTCACCTTGATAACTATCAATGGACGATAACTACTCCACAAGCTGCTCACCCCCTCTCACATTAACTTCGTCTACCTCAGCCGCTACAACTTTTGAACCGTCCTCCATCTCCTCACCTGTCTTTCCCTCTTTGTTACGGGGTGGAGTCACGTCTCTGACGTAGGACAGCGTCTTAAAGGGATATTCCAGCGTTAAATCAATTTATGGTCAAACACACCGTAACACCGAGTTAAACACCCCCTCGAGAGATGAATGTTGACGACTGCATGCTCCTGCAGTTATACCAAATTTAGTAAAGACCGCATGATAACAATACACAGCGGTCTACCTCTCCAAGTGCAAACCTCAACCAGAACGCCACTCTATAGCCACATATAATGCTCAGAACAGCACCTAGAAGAACGTTTATGATCATTTCTTTATCATTTCCTTGAAGAAATAATCATCATTAGTCATTTTCACTGCAGACGCGGTAGTTCTTCTGCCTTAGGACCCTATATGTCCTGTTGATGAAGTTAGGTGCTGTTCTGAGCATTATTTGTGGCGTTTTGGTTGAGGTTTGTTTATGGCTCCTCAGACCGCTGTGTATTGCTATCCTGCGGTCGTTACTAAAGTTGGTATAACTAGAGAAGCAAGCGGGCGACAACATTCATCTCTGGAGGGGGGGTCTAAGTCGATGTTATGGTGTGTTTGACCCTAAATCAATTTTACGCCCTTTAAAAATGGAAATGAGGCCATAGCCTACCTACCTACACTCGTCCAAAACCAACTTTTATCTATTTAATTTCTGACACCGAAAATACCGATATGGGCAAAATGACATCTGTTTTTGTCAGAAATTTTGGTATCGGTGAATTTTCGGTTTATCGTCCAGCCCTAGAATAAACTGACAAAGGCATATCAACGTATTTAAAACTGTAAATTTTGGTTTTGGTGGTCTCATTTTGGAGACGTAGCATCGTTCATTTCTAACAGTAGCTTTAAATCCTTCATCCATTACATTATTAGAGTTAGAGATGGTTAGCTCTCAGATAATTTGTACAGCTTTGTTTGTGACCTGAAGACCTAAGAGCTCTCACAGGTTCAAATCTGATAAACAGACCTGAGCTAAACCATTGAGAGCTTTAAAAAACACTAAAAGAACTTTAAAATCCCTCCTATAGGATACTGGAAGCCAAAGCAGAGACTTTAAAATGGGTTTAATGTGGGCTCTCTTTCTGGTCTTGCAGTTGAAGCTGTGAGATGTTCATTTTAGGTGGACCAGAAAGAAGAGTGTTTCAATGGTCATCTCTACAGGTTATAAAAGCATGAACTAACGTCTCTGCATCGGCTTCAGAGAGAAACTGTCGCACTCTGGGAATATTTTTCAAGTGGTAAAATACTTTTGTAGATATCTCTCTAATGTGTGGCTCAAAGCTAAAGTCTAAATTGAATATCACTCGGTGATTTTTGACCTGCTGACTTCGGTTTGAAGAAAGTGCTCTGAGTTTAGTGTCCAGTTTCTCTCTCTGGGCTCCTGGACCAATGACTAAAGCCCGAGTTTGAGCTGTAACTGAAGTTATAGCAGAGCAGACTTGGTGGAAATTGAATTATATCACAATGTTTTAGTGTAGAAGCACCTGAGTATAAATCATTTCATTTTATATCTGCATCAAGAGCGGGTCTATAGTATTCAACAAACCCCCGTTTCTGTTTCCAGGAAAGTCCTGATTGTGTCAGGACTGAACACGTCTCTGGAAATTGCGGAGGAAGTGCAGGAAGTGGAAATAGGTGTGAAGATTGCCGGTGGTGGTGGTGTTGGTGGGGTGTTAGCTGTCAGGGAAAGGAAGGGAAGTCTGAGGCCCTACCAACCCCCCCTCCATTATGAGTAAAGTCCATTTGAGGTCATTCCCGCTGCTGACTGATAACACCTCTCATTCAGGTGGATCACAAACAATCCAAAAAACAAGGAGAACTCCTCTTGGTCCGGGGGAAAACAGAAACCTGCTTAGTTTTTCCCCCTTCATGTATATTTTGCCCAAACATACACCACCTGCAGGAATAGTGTTTTTGTGAGGGATGATTCTAGTTGGATAAAAACTTAACTTTTATAGATAAATAATCAATTCCTCCTGCTCTGTCCCCGCGTCTATTTTCAGCAACTCCTAACCTTGAATGGCGCCCTTTATCGGATGTGTTTTTTTTTACAACCAAACAGCAAGCTCCAGTCTTGAAAAATGTGAAATGTCTCCTGTGTCCACATGAGGGTGACTCCAAAAGTCCTGTCAGCCACAGACCCACCCAATAAAAAAAACATCTCTCCAAGAATCAAACAAAATAGAGTCTGTTATGAAAATGATTCTGGTCTGAGCTGCTCATTTCTCTGCTCCCACACATTACAGAGAGGCTGAATTTTTCTCATCATAACTCATTCGCTTTGAAGATATCAAGGCTGTATGTTCTGTGTAATTAGGACTATGGCTGACTTTAGGGCTGTTAGTGCCCAGGACAAAGGCCAGCCTTTCTACCACCTCCATATTTAGGTTGAGTTAGCCTTTCCAATATGTCGCCCACCCTCGTTGTCAAAATCAAGGCCTATAAACTGAAAGATGTGTCAGACTAGAGGGTGAAGGGGTTTTAGGAAGGCCACACTTTTTAGACAGCTTAGAGATACTAATGTAAACCAGCTGGTAGGGCTGCACGATAAATCAATTTTAAATCCTGATCAGATTATTTGATCACGACAATGTTAAGAAAATAAAATCCTCAAATCGATTTTTCTCTCTATCATGTCTCACGCCTCCAATTCCCACACACACCAGTGTAAACAAACATGGCGTTTGCAAAAGAAGGCGATAATTTTGTGGTTAAATAGGACAAGAGCGAGTCAGTCGTGTGGACATGGTACGACTTCACAGTTTCAGATGAAGAGTAAACCACTCCCCGCTGTAAAGTCTGTCTGAAGGCGGTATCAACCCGTCACCACGGAAAGTAATTCAGGAGGAAACACTAAAGTTTTTTGTCGTATCGGCGTTTCAGGTGACTGTAAACGGTACTTTTTGAAAACGGGTCAGAGAGTGAATAAATCTGTAAACGACGACCATTTCATCTCCGTGTGGATGTCTATCTGCATCTGTGGAAACGATCATGTGACACAGCGTTACTTTTTTATGGCGCTAAAACAACCTTTATACACATGCTCTGTACTCTTCTTCTGTCTTTTGTGCATTTCCTGTGCAGCGTTACAGCGCCACTTACTGGCTTGGCATATACACTACATTGTTTTCAGTGGTTTGGTTTTGAGAGATGATGGAAAAACTTTTTATTATTAAAGTGAAGTTTGGTGAAGTTGTCACTGAATAAAAAAAATCGAAAATTGAAAGTCGAGTTTTCAGAGAAAAAAAATCTGGATTTTATTTTTGGCCAAAATCGTGCAGCCCTACCAGCTGGGAACACCCCTTCCTACTCTGCTGTTATCAAATGCGATATTCCATCCACTCTTTACCCATTGACTTCAGGACAAACATCACATTTCGAAAGCAATGTTCTTGTTTCCGCTAAATTAAACCCAACTATGTGAAACGGCAGACTCCAGTGACTTTGACCCCGGCTACTTTCCTGGCTTTTGGCTGCCTGCCCGGTCCCTCGGTTCTGTTTGCCTCCGCTGACTGCCTACCTGTTTCCGACCATCCTACTTTTTTCACTGGTGATTTTTTTTTATTACTCCCACCTACTGATTCTGCCTCTGGGTCTCACTCCAGAATTGTTGCAGTGATATGTAAATTTTAAAGCTGCAATATTGCCTCAAAATGGGGAGAACAATGTATTTTATATAACAGTGTGCTTTACAGTGATTCATCCATCTTCTGCTGCTGGGATTTTATGCACAGCTATTCCTCTTCTGAAGTGTCCATTAGGCTGGACCCAGAAAACCAGAGTTTTAAAATCCTGACTGATTACAAAAATCTGGTTCGAACACACAAGAGACACTTCACAGATCTTCTGCTCTCTAATCTCAGCCATGAGCACGCTGCAAGACATCAATATAGTCGAGGAGATCTCATTACAGAATATTATTATTAAGATTATTGTACCGGGGAAGGATGGAGGAGAGGGGTGGGGGTACCTATCACCTAACATGAACCTCAATGATCTCACTCGACCTGATGATGAAGCAGATGTAATCTAGACTGATGAGACTCTGCTCATGTGATGCTCTGCAGAAAGAAAGAGGAGCGCCGCTGAACACGTCTGGATGACTAAACATTTAGGGGGGGGGTACTGTTGGCACAGGTTGTCTTTTCTTTGGCACACTCTGGATAAGATTAAACCTGTGCGTTTCCTGTAAATGGTAGCATACTTACAAATACAAGCCTGAGGGCGACTGTGTTTACTGTTGCTTGAAATCACCATCATTAACCGCGTCTCTTTCTCTCTTTCTCCTATTTGTTGGCTGTTCTTGCACAGAAACGAATGACTTAATGATCCAGGTTTTTTAATCTTGAGGATTAAAAAATGGTCTAAAATTACGAGGACGGTTTGGGATCGAATCTGCAGTGCCCTCACAAAAGCAGATGACAGTAGCCTATACTGACGAATCGGCCATGAAACTGATTAGGGCTGGGCGGTAAACCAAAAATTTACCGACACTGAAAATTACCACAACAACCGATGTCATTTTGCCCATATCGGTATTTTTAGGGTCAAAAAATAAAGAAATAAAAGTTGGTTTTGGGTGTGTGTCGGTACACTATGGTCTCATGTCCCTTTAAAGGTGGGGTAGGCAGGATTCTGTGAAAGAAGCATCTTTTTTTGTGGTGTATATACAAAAAAGCTTTTATCATCAGTCAATATCTATTTGTTATTGATGACATTTGGGAATATCATGATATCTCTGTGTTCTCTTATGTCTGTATAGTCAACATTTTAACATTATTTGAGCGGTCAGCCATTCCCCACCTCCCCCAACCTGATTGGTTGTGAGGCGGACGCTGCTCCCTCATGTTATGAGGCACGCTCCACATCCTCGAATAACGTTCAGGAGCCCAAACAAAGTTAGCGTGCTACAATATCGGACAGTAGAAACCAACCAGAAAGTTCGGAAAATTGTCTGAATCCTCCTTTGGCCACGACTGCCGACACAAGCAAGAAAACAAAGTAAATACCGGAGACTCTGGAGGAATAACGGGCGCTTAAAACGGAGGTAGACCGGACAAGAGCTAAAAAGCCGGGTCAACATAAACGATGGGGGACGCTTGGGGATCTTGGTGACCCTGTAACCTTTCTGCTGGACAGGTAAACCGCTTTAACAAAGTAAGACAAGTGTCTGTAACAGAAGTGTTTCTTGTCAAACGGACCTGCTGTAGCGTGTTGTAGCGCCATCGCTAAACTGTCCTCCCTCGGGTCCTGGACTATGTCACTTTATCCTCGTTGTAGAAGTCCTGCAAACATTGTGTTTGCTGGTAGTCTGTTGGCATCTACAGTAGCACCAATGCTTTTGACTTTCACCTTGACTGGGCCCCATTTGTAATGATCTGAAGTATTTATCTGCATTATATCTGAATTTAATTGGAACGATACGAGCGAGCAGGAGCGTCTGTTTGTGGGCGGGGCTTGAGGGGAGAGGAGGAGCTGAGGGGAAAACTGGTTGTGAGGGGTAGAGTTTACATTCAAGATTTCTCCTAAAAACTGGAACTAACTCAGATCCTGACTACAAAACCTTTCAGACATCCGTAACAAAGAGGGAAAGACAGGTGAGGAGATGGAGGACGGTTCAAAAGTTGGAGCGGCTGAAGTAGACGAAGTTAATGTGGGAGGGGGTGAGCAGCTTGTGGAGTAGTTATCGTTCGTTTATCGTTATCGAGGTGAACTGCACAATATATCCTGATATTGATTTGAGGCCGTATCGCCCAGCCCTAAAACTGATCCAGCCATCATCACCCCAGTGTTTTTCCCCTTTATCCAACACAGTTCTCTTTACGGGTCCAAGTCTTTACCCCATTATCAGCCCAACACTACAAACCACCAAGTGAGTCTGTAATACTCCAAATTTTCCACTGCAGCCTCGTTTCTGTATCTACCTGCCTGCCTGCCTGCCTGTGTTGGTGCCTTTGAACCCAGCAAGTTTTTTGGTATCTTGGCTGCCTGCCTGATCCCCTCTGGTCTTGTTTGCCTCTGCTGCCTGCCTACCTGTTGCTGACCTATATTCTCCCTTTTGACTAGTAAAGGCTGCTTTTGCACTATCACTCCTACCTGCTGATCTTGCTTCTGGGTCTCATTCCAAACTGAAGCAGCGATAACCTAAATTTCCAGGCACCAATTTTTTTTTTTTGAAAGCGTAGAGGCAGAGAGCGCAGAAACCATGCCAACGACGGAAACAGTCGAGTCCAACAATGTCTCATCATCATACTGATCCCAGCTACACATATTGATCATCTCGCCTCTTGTCAGTTCCAGATCATGATGACTGAAGGCTAAAAAGATCGACCGAGTCATCTGTCTCCCTCGTCCTGTTCCGAATTGATTTTTAATCTCTGTTCAGCCTCTATTTGTAGACTACAACATCTCCTGAATATTGAATTATTTAAGTTCATATAAAATTCAATTTGACTGGAGATATTTTTCAAACCAAACTTGTTTAGCTTTGTCTGGTATATTTGCAGCGTCTCCACAGTAAGCAGGCGCTTATAAAGAGCACCGGAGGGTTGTATTAAACTCCTCCTGTTTTACTGCAGGCTGTTAGGTTAAATACAAAATAATCCAAACTCATCCAAATGTTAAATTTCACATTAAAATTCATCACCCGTAAGAGTCATTAAAAAAAGAGGCTGAATTTATCCCTGGAGTTCTATTTTTAAGACATACAGTTTGCGATGTTTCTGTTCCTCAGACTCCTCTTTGTTTCTGTGAGTCTGAGGAGCAGAATGAGGGGTCACCACAGGTCAGCTGTAGTCAGCCCGCCTTCTGAATATAAACTTGTACAACACTCCAGTTCACGTCAGCATCAGTATGCAGAGACTGTGAGGCAGAGCGATTTGATAAATTACAGCCGTACATCTTCCACATATTATGTATAATGTGAATAAATGTCTCAAATTGCAGCACAATTAGTCAGAGCCCCGAGTCTGCCAAGTCCGGGGTCGCAGGTGTCCTCTCTGTAGCGCGTCCCTTCTTTGTGTTTATAGACAATAACAATAGACAATCACCAACCATGCTGGACTGCCCACTTTTCTCTATTTAAAAATATCTTAAATCATAATTTGGTTTAATCTAACAAGCTTATGGGATCTATCGGCTTTCATACAAACTCCATCTCTGTGTTTTTGCACGCCAAGACAGGTGTTATCTCCCTTCTACAGCACCCACCCAACATGAAAGCATGATCTCAGCACCGAGTGGTTCCTGATGATCAAATAATCACCCGCTGAGAAGGAAACAACACGATAATTTCATTGCCGGTGCCCCTTTGCTCTTGTATACTCCTGAGTGGGGGAGATCTAAAGCGGCGCTAAGCGAAATCCTCATTCTGCTGTGTTTTCAAAACACCCCGGAGGAAAAGATGTGAAATTCTTTAAGCTGTATCATTATGTTTAGCAGCCATTTAAAGGAATTCTCCCACATACTGAACGACGTACCCGGGAAGGTTCAGTAGGAATGTTTTTGTTTTAGATAAAAACAGATTTGTGTCGAGATGACAGAAAAATCCTGCCACAGGGATTTACTTCTCCGTGTTCAGTCACTCAGACATCTTCCTGTGATGTAATGTGAGGTTACCACTCAGTAAAAACAGCCTCACTGTCACAGCTGCTTCACATTAACGTTGCTATAAAGCTGATAGACACCCCCTATGTCTAATGTACTTTAAACATTCTCGCCTCCTCCCCTCTGAACATTATGGCGGCTCCTAATCCCCAATGTCAAGACAAAGTGACTCATAATCTTGTTTATTCCCCACAGGCTGCAGCACCTTGATACCCTCTGCATGTGAATTCAAAACACTTTCAACTTTCACTCCAGAACAAAGAGTCTGAAATATGAGCTAATAATTCCCAGTTGTTGGATTAATTGTTGTCAATTTCTTTACCGTTAAAATCAGTTTTTTTTCTGTTAAGTTCTTTTAGTTTCAGTTTCTAAAAAGTTTCATATTTGCTGTTTTTGTTCACAACTGTAGGTTGGACATAATCAATTTTTAGACATGACTTGAGTCTCTAATTTTGGATTGAGGTTGTACTCAAATAGAACATGAACATTAAACTTAACCACTGTATTATAGTGTGTTATGTTGTTTTACAGTCTTATATTACCTTATACATGGGTATCATATTGCTATCCTTAATTGTGTGACCCTTTACCTTTATTTAGACATTTTCTCCATCATATCCAGTGTCATTGTTGCTGGGTTTTATCATTGTTATGCTGACGATACACAGATTTACTGATACAGTCCATTTTCAAATATTCAAACTGAACTCTTCTACACCAGTGAGAGAGTGTCTCTGAATTTATTCATTATATCACAGGAAAACTGAAGTGACGCTCAGACTTTTGACTGAGAGGAGTTCTTCCAAACGTCCACCAGCTCTACAGGTTTCGTTTACTAACAGATGATATTTCTCGGAAAATGTCGGTTTCTCTATTTGGCATACTGAAATTTGACAAAGACGTCAAAGCAATGATTCAGTCCCGCTACTTTCAGCGCTATTATAATCGCAAAAAAATATTTCCACTGTTATCCTTCTACCAGCTGGAAATGGTTATTCATGCTTCAGTGTCCTCCTGAAAAGGCTGCTGTAATTAAGACTCTTTATATCTGCATGAACCAATGTGCAGTAAACCACCGACACTCCATCCTAATTTCTGGAGCAAGATTACCCACCGAGAATTCAAAACAGACTCGTATCTACCTGCTTTATTTGTTGTAACACTTGCTTTGAGATTCAATTAAACTCCTTCGCTTCATTTATCAGACTTCTGATGTCTCACTGCAGAGAAATATTTACTGTGTCCTCTGACAGCGGTCTGCTCCTCATCTCTCATTCAGGACTGGAAGCACATGAGGACTGTGCCTTTTCTGTCCTGAGTCCCAGAATGTAGAACAGTCCCCTCCTGGGACTCAGGTCAGCTAATTCTCATGGGGGGCCTCCAGTCACAGCTGAAAATCCTCTTTTTCTGTGTTTTTGTTCTGGGCTCATTTTTAATATTTGGACTGGGGTATCTCTCAGTGTGTTTGGGTATCTACTGCTGTGTCTCCTGCTGCCATTTAAGTCTTAAAACGTGCTTCAGAAGTGATATTAAACTTAATTACTTCACCATTACCTAACCTGTATGCTAGGGCTGGGCGATACAACGATAACGATATCAAAAAATGCAGAAAAATGTTGGTGGTGTGAAGGAATTTTGTTTTTTTTTCAGGTCGGACATGAAGCAGAGTAATGTGCAAATTATGTCAAGTACATTTTAAATTTTATTTAAGAGCAACAGGGAACTTTTAAGATTGACAAATGTTTTTTTATATCATGATATATATCGATATCGACTGATATTAAAAAAAATATTGTGTTAAACTTTTCCCCATATTGCGTAGCCCTAGATTTCAGTAACCTGGATGAGCTTGAATGAACCCCTAAAACTGATGCCTGTTCATTAAAACCAAATATCTCAAATATTTTTTTTGACGTGAGGCATAAAGCAGAGTAATGTGTGTACTGTAAATTATGTAAAGTACATGTTCCCGCAAAGTCAGGGGATACCTCAAGTCTTTTTCATGGAGTATCTTGATATAAATCGATATCGATTGATATGAAAAAAAATATATTGTGGGAAACTTTTTCCCAGCCCTACTGTACACCAATTACCAAGTGTGTTAATGTTTGGTTTGAGGTGATGTAGGGTTGTCTTCTAGTAGGGATGTCATCAGTAACCAACTAACTCATAATGAAAACCGCCAGTCTACAGTATGTTCCATGTGTAAGATTGCTGCCATGCTTCATGTTTTACAGTCTGCTCTGTACAGGATATGTTTGTTATTTGAAACATTTATGAGCAGGTGTACTCCATCCACACCACACCAGACTCGCATCGAAAAGTATGATATAGTGTATTTTTCCATGCAACAATCGGGTTTGCTGTCTTCTGTTTCCTTTTTTTGATTAATGTCTTTCATTGTTCTTTATAGCTCTTTGAGGCTTTCTGCAACTTTCCCTGATGCTAATATTTTACTCTTTCCTCCTGTGAGGCTCCTCTAATTCATCATACAAGTCCACAAATACACTCTGCTGCTATGTATCCCTCTGACATTCATCTAATATTCTACAAATGCAACGTCTTATCCTCTTGAAGACTATTTGTCATTCCCTCATATACCCTGAACACTAAAAACAACAACTTGGAGAATACTCACCTTTGCTGTATCCATCTTGAAGGGAGTGTGGTGACAGTGGATGCTGCAGGCTGTAAGTCCATGTTTGTCCCACTGCTGAGCTGTTTGGATGCCATAATCTAGACTGTGGATCAAAGACAGTTGTATTTTAGGGACTTACAGGAATATATTCACTGTAGTTTTGAGTGCAACAGCAGTCAGGTGTGTCTCTGAACAGGCAGGGGTTCAACATGTGACTCAAGGACGCTTCAGCAGCAGCGGGGATTATTTGAAACTGATGGACACACAGCAGGACTCTTGCTACTCCAGCAGCCTCGCTCTCCTCCACCATCCAGCCTATCCAGGTGAAGCCTCTATTAAGTGGGTATAGATAGATGTAACCTGCTGCTTTTCTATCTAGCCACCTCTCTCTTTATCTATCCATGCATTTTTATTTTCATTTTCACACAAAGACAAACATGCACAGGTCTAACTCTTTATCAACAGGAGCTTTCTGCAGTCGCCCTTTGGCCGGCTGCAGAGACAGAGTGTCTCAGAGCAGCTGTTCCAGCGTCAGACTCAGCTGACTCCTTCAGGAGGAAAACTAATGTTGGTGATCCGCTCGCTGATCTGTTGCCTGCTGTCAGACCAGCAGCTCCTAGTAGTGGGAAACCTCACGACTGCATCAATTTCAAATTAAGAGGCATTAAACCGGGGCTTATCTTTCTGCTTTATAGATCAGAATGTGCATTTTTTAATCTGCTGAATTTAAATTTAAAGCCACTTTCCACTAAAATCTTTGCGTTAAAAATCAGCACCGTCACTCCCTTTCTGATATATATTCGCTCAAATGCAGCATTTTTTCCTGCAGATACGTCAGCGCCTGACTGTAAAAAGGTTTTGCTGTATCTAATTCAAAAAAAGGGCTTGTGCCTGCAGGATGAAGCCATTACTTTCTTTGAGTGATTCACAGAGCCCAGAGCTGGACAGGCCCCCTGGAACATGTCAAGTATTACAGATATTTACTGTTAGGGGCCCTGAGCTAGCTGATGTCAGGGGGCAACAATTTCTAGAAGCTGCTGCTGGTTGTAAACAATGCCTTCACAAAAACCAAATAATTCAGGTAAGACGTGCTTCCAAGAAAAAATAAAGTAGCTACAAGCATGTGGGTCTGCAGAGCCACAGATTAACCCAATGTAGGACAGTCTGTCATAACCTCTGCTGGACTCATTTGACCCAATTGCTTGCCCTTCTCAGACAGTGAACCCCCACTACCTGTGTGACCATTAACCCCAGAACACTGTCGCTAAAATTAGTAACACCATCACTATCGCCGGGTGATTTTTACCCAAAACGAAATACACAAGAAAAAGTACCTCTCATCAAAATATATCAAAATAGGACAATACATGACAAATTAAGACAAACGCAACATGATGAAAATCATGTAAATATGTTTGATCGGGTGAAAATCACCCGACGATAGTCTTCTAGGTAGGGCTGCACGATATATTGTTTGAGCATCGTCATGTACATGTGTGCGATAGTCACATGCAGAGCCTGCGATGTCGGAGGAGAATGAACTCATCTAATTTCAAGGGTAGCTGACTGACATACACTGCATGTGACTCTGCATGTGCTGTGCAGCGATCCACCAATCACATTCGTTCGTTACTCAGTTGCCAATCAGACTACCCTGCCAGTCGTCAATCAAAATCAGAGAAGAGGAAACCACGCCCCTTCACATGTAGTGAGTCGCTGGCGTTGAGCCGCGAAACACGAGAACGACTTTGCGAACATTACTTATCACTGTTTGTCCCCACAAATAAGAACTGTATGGGTTATAAATCGTACATTTCAGTGGATCACTCTACTATAAGCGGTGCGCGTTTTGCGAGGTGCATGCAGTTGTCAGCGGACATGCATTTTTCGGGACAACACCGGTAACGACAACAACGGTTGCAAAATGAGAAAATATATATCGCAGGGTTAAAAAAAATTGCACTGTTAGTTTTTTCCAATATCGTGCAGCTCTAGTTCTAGGGTTAAAGGTTTAGTCTAGTCTAAACAACAACAATTATGAGCGGAAAGTCAGTAAATTTGAGTAAGTTTCACAGGAGAAAAGACTGAACGTTGCTAAGTTTTCCTAAAAATGTGAAAGTCATCTACTCATTTCAGTGGGATGGGTTGAAATGAAGGGACTGTGCACAGGTTTTGGTAGGAAAACAAGCTGTTGGGCTGCAGACTGACCTCAACACAGGCTGCCAGCTGCAGAATGTCAACAGTATATGAAGCCTGTTGACCCGAAATGTAACAAATTTGCCTGTTGGTGGAAGTCTATGTATATCACTGTTTTAGAGCAGGGCTATAAATAGCCCGCATGTGGCCGCAGGCTTATTTCTCTGAAGAACAAGCGAGGTCTTGCGTCGTGGCTCTCCACAGTGGGTTTAATGTCAAAGCCAAAACCTGTTTGGAAACGTGATGTGGGGGAGACGGCAAGGTCGTCTGGGTTATGGAGTGAATCCAGTGGAGATGCAGCAGTTTGTGGATGTCTGCGTGCTGTTTGTTTGCTGTCAGCCGGGTCCATCTGGCGGACAACAGGAGGACTGCTCGTGTGGAGACGCTCACTTGTATTTACTCGTGTTGTAGCGCTCACCTTCATCATCTGTTATGCTCCATTTACCCCTTGAGCCATGACACACTTTCTCACCGTGTTCAGTCCGGATGAGAGGAAATGTTCTGTATCCGAAACCTTGCAGGGTCATCCTCCAGACAACAGACAGGTGTTAACCGGGCAGGAGCGAGGAGGCGGGGGGGAGGGAGTGTGATCGGAAGAGCTGGAGGACAGGAGGGGGGCTGACTGACTGACTGACTGAGGGGGTACTGATGCTGGTGGTCATGGTTTCTGCGGCTATATTGGACTTTAACATTTAACATCACTGGACGTGTGTAACTAAGCGATTTTAATTCACCCTTTAAAACTTTAACAAACAATATTGTCAAAAAGAAAATCCCAACTTTGTCTCCAGATGCAAACACCTATGAATGTACAAAAACAACCTCACTTCTTACAGACTCCGTTACATAAATAACTGTTAAGATGGCGGCACCTCCGTTTAACTGGCAGCTGCCAATCTCCAACTAACATTAATTAGACTTACCCCGACATTAAACTGAACTTGTTTCTGAATTACAACGCTAATGTAACACATAATACACTAACGATAATATATTTACCTTACCGTCTTTCTCGATGTCGCTCTTATCCTCCATTATGGCGCGAACAACCAGGTTGGCGTCCTCGTCGATGGTTATCGCCGTGCCGTTTACTTTGGATGAATTAAAATAACAAAGTAAATAATCTGTCTGTTACCACAGCAGTTTATATGGGCCCATTCTTCTCCTAACGATCTGAAGAGAGACAAGAGTGAACGATTTGGGGCCTACATTATGAGTTTGATTCCATTTTGGACCATGAAGCGCTTCAGTAACGTTCACATTACTTTGTCAGTTTCAGGTAGAATTTTGAATGTGAGGAACCAGCCAATCAAATCGCTCAAGTAGCTACGCGTAATGGCCGCCAAAACTTACGTTCTTACGTGAGGGAATCATGCTGCGTTCGAGTTACCTCGGAAGTCAGAGTTGAAAATGACGTCGGAAGTCGAAAAAAAAGCAGATGGATATATCTACGAAAGTTTTTTTCAGCGCTTGGCTTGTCCGAAATTAGGCGAGCGCTAAAATAACTTTCGTAGATGTAGCCATCTTCTTTCAGGCCTCCAATTGCTGTTTTCCGACTTGGTAACCGAAACGCTGGGGATTCGGGTGTGACGTCATTTTTAACTCTGACTTCCGAGGTAACTCGAACGCAGCGTAATTCGACAACGTCCAAACTAAAGTTAGCTTTTTTGTTCATCATAACATAGATACCAGAATCCGTTTTTACAACAAAAAATTTGTGTTATATTTCAATTTCATTAATATTTTAATGTAAAATTATCCACAGAAAGGGAACGCTTCCCTTACGTAAGGACGTAAGATATGATAGCCGTTACGCATTGCTACTTAACCGATTTGATTGGCTGGTGACTTCCGAGGTAACTCGAACGCAGCATGATTGAACAATGTCCAAAGTTAGCTTTTTTGTTCATCTTAGGTAACATCATCCATTTTTAAAACAAAAAATTCGTGTTATATTTCAATTTCATTAATATTTTTAATGTTAAATCATCCAAAGAGAGGGAACTCAGTCTTTAATAGGAGGCGGGTCATTCTTGGCCCCTCCTCTAACCTCAGCTTTCTAGAAAGGTGAGGACAAACGTGTTAATTCTGAAATTAAAGTCCCATGTTTTTGTAGGTAAGTGGAGAGAAGAAGATAAGTCCTAGATTTTTTACTCGTATGTAGGCTATATCAGTGTTTAACAGCATGTAGCAAACATTTGCCCACCCGCGGTGCTTCTCACCGGAGAGGCTGGAACTCAAGCCCCCGGCTGGTCACCAAAGAATAGTGGTTGTTAAATATTCATCCTCCGTCCCGCTGGCACACTTTTCCCTCTCTACCGACCGACCTCTGCTGCTCTGAGAGGAGGAACAAAACGTGAAGAACCATGTGAGCTAGTGAAAAAGAGAAATTCACTTGTTTTGTGTCTGGTTTTATTTTTCATTTTGAGCACTGAGAGGATGGAGAAACGTGACTACGGAACCCCAGTGACGTGAGAAACTCCCATGAGTGGGTGTGTCAGAGGAAAGGTGAGTTTTGTGGGTTCACCTGACCCTCCTCCTCCATCCCTTTAGTTTCACTTCACGCTTCCAGTCATGAGATTTCCTCCACGCTTTAGTAAATCTAAATCTTTCCTGTTGAGATAGATTATTATCCTGGAGTCAACCACCTGGTATATCTTCTTCCCACTCACATTAGACAGCAATAAATCATGAAGGCTTTGCAAAATGTTTAGGTAATTTGTCTTATGCAATCTTAACAGTAGCTACAGGCATAAAGCTACCTGATACCACCAACATCTAGCTATTAGGAGTGCTGCAGGTGTAATGCTGGTCCACTAGATAGCAGCAGATTGCTGTGTGCGTGTGTGTGTATGTGTGTTTGCAAAGTGATGGAGATGGTCTACTGCTCCCCCCCAGGCCCTGAATGATTTTGATGAGCCCCATCAAGTCCAACTCTGTCATAAGTCTACTTGTCTCTCCCGGGCATGGATCCCAGTTCCTCTGTGTTGTCTCTCCTCTCTACAAATTCTATCAAAAGATGGGGACCACCTGCCAGCAGCTATTGCTTTGGGAAGAGGGAGACAGTGGCTGCAACTCAAAAGCTTTTCACGTTTGATAGGGTCTTTTCATTCGGTATCAAAGGCAGACGTAGGGGCAGAGAGAAACCATGGGAAATCCTGGAAAAAATACTCTTTCATCTTGCTTCCCGTCTTGTAGAGCACCCACTCAAAGACGTACTATAACCGTGCAAACACACTGTGCACACATGCGCGCACACTCGTACACTACACAAGCTCCCAGCTGCTTAGTAATGATCAGATAGACTTACACACTAAGACCAAAAGATCAGGATCTGGCAACCCAACACCTACACTCTGTAACAGGACAGATCTCGCAATCCGACTCCTTCCTTCTGCAAGAGGAATAATTTGGTTGATGGCACTAATAATCACAGCCCTGTTACCGATCCTGCACTGGCAGTGTGTGTGTGTGTGTGTGTGTGTGTGTGTGTGTGTGTGTGTGTGTGTAGTGTGTGTGAGACTCAATACTCCGTTACTGATACCTAGAGCGAAGACGTCACATAACTAACAAGTGGGTGTTTCTCTTGCCTCTGTTTCTTCTCCTGCTGTTACGTATGTGGATGTGGGTTGCTGGCTGCATTGCTCATGCTGATGCTGTTTAAAAATATTAAATGATGCGTCACCTTTCAGTGCTCAAACACACACTGTCTGTTATTCTGAAAAAGGAAGTGTAGAGCAAAGTTATGATATTGTAAAGATGTGGCTGTAACTTGTCTTAAGATTAAATTAAAGGTGTAAGTCGTCAGACATTTTATGGATTTGATAACATCTTACAGCCAGGCAAGCTTAGCTTTTGCATCCTATGTCTCTCTCTCTCTCTCTCTTCTTTCTCTCTCTCTCTCTCTCTCTCACTCTCTCTCTACCTTTTGTATTATTTATGCCCCGCCCCCTCAGCCGCCCAGAGCTCTCAAGTTTCACCTGTAGAGCCAGATGACAAATTAAGACTCCTTCTACGACCTGCCACAAGGAACTCCTCAAATGCACACAAACACATACACATTCATGCATGGACACACACACTAACTCACAAACAGACAAGTCATCTGCCCTTCTCTCATCCTTCTTCACACACTCTCTCACACATACACACACACACTTCCTTTCAAACACACACTAGCTGTCACACACTCTGAGGAGGGCAGTGAGGACAGACCGCTGTGTTGAGTGAGGGAATGTGTTTTAGTGAGCAGCAAAGGAAGGAGTAGGTCAAAGGAAGAAGCTAAGTGTGACCTAAAGACGCTGCCCTGGAGTTTTTTTTTTGTTTTTTTTTTGCTGTTCTTATTTTTGTCACCTGCACAAGAAGAGACCTCCAGCAAGGACGCAACAAACTTGAAGACAGCAGAGATTCTGAAAACCCTCTCTTCTGTGCTGTTTGTCATTGAATGAGGAGGTGACTATGATGGAAAGCTGGCGTGAAGAATGATGACAATGCCAGAAGAGTTTCTGTTATTCTGTTACTCTGCAAGGTGGACCAAAGAGAGGGTAGAGCTGGAGCCAGAGCAACAGCTGCATGTTTTGTTTGTGTGCTTTAATGATTGTGTGCAGTTTAACAGAGCGCCGCAGGGATCATACTGTGTGGGAATTAGTTAAACCAACACAGTGAAAAATCTCTTGTAAGAGTTTGCGCTGAGGTTAAGCATGATTATGGTGTCAGTGTTGACACACATTTAAAGAGGGTGTCTGTAACTCTCATATATTCGTAAGTTTAGCTGTCAGACCAATATGGAGAAAAGCTTTGAAATATACGGTTGACCTCCGGGAAAGGATTAGGATCCCAGAGTAGGGTTTGGAGTTTGAAATCCCTGCTGATGTAAAGGCAAACCATTCAAACAAGATTTCCAATCAGCTGTAGTTCAAAACCTCTAAGTTTCTAAAAGTTGTTTTAAAAAAAAAAACTGAAGCAGCCTCAATGCATCTTTTAGTAAGGGTCATTAGTTCAGCAAAAAGGTGGCTTACTCCCTAGCTGCTAAATATAAATGTGTGCTTGCAAGTATTTCCATATAAATATACTGTATGTCTATGTTTTTGCACAGAAGCCTTCATGGGGACCAGTCTTGGGCAGTGTAGAGCTGCTCCGGCAAGGTGGACCTGTCCCCACACAGATACTAAACCCGCTCAAAGTGCCGGCATAAAATCTACGAGACATATTTAAGCCAAGGAAACCTTTTAAGGTCTGATTGCTCATCCTATGTTCAAAACGTATCACATCAATTACAGTAACCTCTGAAATATTGTCTTCTACTAAATTTCTTGTATTATTTGTATGTTAAACTTTTACAGCGTAGCACAAGGAAGGGTGGGCATGCTGTGTCCCTAGCCCGTCTTCAAAATGCCTGGCAAGAAAGACACCAAGAAGGACACAAAGAAAGGTGGGAAACCCGAACCAGAGAAGAAGAAAGAAGAGGAAAAGAAAGGCAAAGATGACAAGAAGGGGGGAAAAGAAGACAAGAAAGCCGGCAAGGATGATAAGAAAGGTGGAAAAGATGATAAGAAAGGTGGGAAGGATGACAAGAAAGGAGGGAAGAAAGGAAAGGAGGAGCCATCTAAGGGCAAAGATGATGGGAAAAAGGGAAAAGACAAGGGAAAAGGTAAGAAAGTGGAGTCTGAGGAGGAAGAGGAAGAGCTTTTGAGTGATGAGGAAGAGGAGGAATTCAGTGAAGAGGATGAAGATGAGGATGACAGAAGAGGAAAGGGGCGAGGTGGAAAGGCGGCCAAGGGCAAGAAAGGAGGGAAGTCTAAACGTGGAGAATACTCTGATGAAGATGAAGAGGAGGAGGAAGAAGAAGAGGAGGAGGATGATGAGTATGATGAGGATTATGGAAGATCCAAAAAGAAAGGAAAAGACCCTAAAGGGGGGAAATCTGATGCAGATGCAAAGAAAAAGAAAGCAAAAAGGAAGGAGGAAGCCCTGCAGCTTCCAGTTAGAGATATCCCAAGGAAAGGTCTGAAGAACATGTCCCGAATGTTCATGAAGTTTTCTGGCTTCAAGAGGCGGAGAAACAGCAGGAAGAAACTAAAAAGTACATCACGTCTGTTTCTGGGGCTGGGGAAGAGAAAGTTCCGTCTTGCTAAGAAGAAACGTCGCAAGTCCATGCTAAAGAACACCTCCCGATTCATGATGAGATTCAAGGCCAGTAAGAAGAGAAAAAAGGAAAAAGAGGCCAAAGAGAGAGCAGCAAATGGTGGGAAAAAGCCTACCTACATGCTTCTACGTATTGGAGGTGGGAGCAGCTCAAATGAGAAGAAAGGAGGTTTCTTCAAAGGCTTGTTCAAGAAAAAAGCTGGTGATGGGCCTGCTGACGACTTCAAAAACAGAAGTGCATTGCTGGGGAAGGTGGCAGCTGCAACCAACTGGCTGACCAAGCGCTTCCTGTCCACCAAAATGCAAGGAAATGCAGGGCGTCATGGCTGGGGTGGGCATAGGGCTGGTCAGAGGCAGGGTAGCTCTAGAGGTCATCCCCATGGTTACTACAACAATGGTTACGAACACGAAGAGGATGCTTATGGATACGATCAGGGACATTCATTCCAACAGAAAGGTTATGGAGGTTACGTTGATGGTTATGGAGACTATGTAGATGACCCAAATGCAGCATACGGAGGCCAGGGTCAGTTTGGGTACTATGATGACGGGGCAGGAGGTGCTGAATATCAAGACCTCGGATACTATGAGGAGGAAAGACTTTATGATCCAAACTCAGAATACTACCAAACTGGTCTTTATGATGAAGGCATAGGGGACTACTATGACCCATACTCCCCTGCCCAAGGGTACTTGAACAACCAGGAAGTGGATTACTATGGTTACCAGCAGGATCAGGGTCTAGACTACTATGCACTCATGGGTGAGGACCATATGTATGCAGGAGAGGAAGAGGGATACTTTGATCCTCAGGTTCAAGCTTACTATGACGCAAATGGCCAGGGTCTTTACTATAATGATCAAGCAGGTTATTATGAAGGAGGACAGGCAGGTTATTACGAGAACCCTTACGCAGCAGCTGTTGGAATGCAAGGTGGATTTCCACCAGACTATCAACTCAGCTATAGTGATGCTGGTATGCCTTACCAAGATTTCAGCTCCCAACAGGCTGTTGGAATCCCACAAGGCCAACAAGTCTTTGGATATGGGGGTCAAGGGATTGACCAGGTACAGGGCATGTATGGAGATCAGATTGCAGAGCAGTTGGATCAATATGGGGATGATACAGGTGGAGTTCAAGGAGGGGAGATGACATTTAGAGTGCCTAGACCTCAAGTGCGTCTATTTGGGAAAGAGCGTCTAGATGTCCCCCTGCATCCTCCGCCAACTTTGCCACCTGATCCGGAATTTGAAAGCATGTCTGAAATCCAGTATGAAGACCAGGTTCTTCTTGCTCCAGGTCAACCTGGGGACACAATGTCATTACATCAACAAATGGGAATGTCACCACAACAACAAATGATGTTTCCTCAAGAACAAATGATGATGTCTTCTCAACAGCAAGTCATGATGGCCCCTCATGAGCAAATGATGATGCCTCCACTGGTCATGTCACCACAGCAACAGATGATGTCACCACAGCAACAGATGATGTCACCACAGCAACAGATGATGTCACCGCAGCAACAGATGATGTTACACCCAGAACAGAGTATGTCCCCCCAAATGATGCCACTCCAGACTCAGTCCCCACAACAACAAATGATGCTACCACAGCAACAGATGATGCCCCAGCCTATGATGTCGCCACAGCAACAGATGATGCCCCAGCCCATGATGTCACCACAGCAACAGATGATGCCCCAGCCCATGATGTCACCACAGCAACAGATGATGCCCCAGCAAATGATGTCACCACAAGAGCAGATGATGATGGCACAGCTACAGCCAGCATCATCACAAATGATGTCACCACAGGTAATTCTAGCTCTGTGGTGTCATTGAACTTGCATGACCTACATGTCTCTGTAGAGGTAGTTGGTCATGGAAGGACAGCTCTACTAACTTTCAGTCTCACTGAAAGATAGTCGAGCTAACTGTACTAGTACAGAGTTACTAACTGCACTAACTGTCCACAATCAACACATTACTATCTTCAGTCAAAGTAAATAAGACCAGGTTGATCTTTTATACTCGTATACTTGTATTCATGTCTTTTTGGGCAGAACTTTCCCAGGTCTAAGATCGAGATTTCCCAGGTTTAAGGTTTATCAAAGATCAACTCTAAAAGCCTTACTTTTTTTGATTAGTTTTTACAAGTGTTCTGCAGACTCCAGTGGAGTCTGGAATTAATTTGGAGTACACAAGGATTCAAAACTAGAAATGTATTCATATAGAGTTACATTTGGGCAACAGAAATGTAGGCTATGTGTATGGCTATGGTCATAGGGATGGTGACCACAACAAAAAAAGGCACATTATATTTATTGTTGATAGCACATACAACACCTTAATGGATCAAAGGGCCAATGGTGGCGGACGGCTCCTCCGTCTTCGCTGCAGGACAGAGAGATTCAGAAGATCTTTTGTACCCACAGCCATCAGACTTTACAACTCTTCTGTAAATAGTAGATAACTTTTAGAGACATGACGAATGAGACGACAGACAATTAAATTTACCTTCAGGGATCAATAAAGTCCTTTTTATTATTCTCAATCTTAAAATTCAGAAGTGGACATACAGGTTTAAAGACTTAATCTGGAGTAGGGTTAACACTTTACATCTTAAGTCACCACTTCAACATGAACCCAGTTTTAGCAGTGTTTCTCATCTCGAATAAACCCTTAGATATTAACTCTCAGTTAATCCACTTGTTTCTGTTGTTTTGTTGGCAGCAAATGATGACAGACCCAATGATGATGACACAGCAAGAGGGTTACAGCCCAGTATCAATACCTACCCCAACAGCCATGATTATTAAACAAGCAGGTATGTCCCCCCTTGCTGGGCGGCGCATGCCGCCCTCCCCAGCCCTGTCTCGCCGTTCTGTCATGATGGCCTCCCCACAGATGCAGCGCCATCCCTCTGCTGTTCCCTCCCCATTGCCATCTCCGATGCTTCCTCAGAGGCGTATCCCCTCCCCACAACCGTCCATAAGGAGTGGGTTTGTAAATGCTCAAAGACCCCCGTCTGTTATGTCAAGACGGATCTCACCTTCTCCCTCTCCCATGGCCTCACCCCTTGCCCATCCAAGAATGCCGCCTCAGAGATCACCTTCCCAACTTTCCAGAAGACCCTCACCCCCTCACTCTCCTCGTGTCTCCATGATTAGACGAAGTCCTCCACCCTCACCAAGAGCTTCAATGAGACAGCGTTCTCCGCCTCCTTCACCCCGTGCATCAATGATGAGGCGAAGTCCACCACCCTCACCTGTTCCAGCCCGTAGCCCACTAGGTTTAAGAAAGATGCCAGGGCCAACCTCCCCTCCCCTCTCGCCTGGTCATGCGTCCCCTCGTCTCTCCCCAAAGCTTAGTAGAAGACCATCTCCCTCTCCCTCCTTATCTCATCGCACTGTATCCCCTGCAGGACCTCCATCCTCTCCCACTCTCTCTCGACGCTCAACTCGGTTGCTCAGGGACCCCACACCATTAGCCCGGCCTAGGATGGGGGGAAATGTTCCTTTAGGTACTGTCAGACCCTCACCTATGGGTTTAAGAGGGAGGCCAGTTCCCCCTCCCACCCAGAATGTGCGCCCATTTCGTGCCTCCTCCATTCGAAGCAATAGATCTTCTGTTCTCACCGTGGACTCCTCCCTCCTCTCCTCCCCTTTCCACTCCCCACATGCTGTCCACCGTGTTCCACTTGGTAGGAGGGAATCTGGCCGGTTTCCTCCTCGCCCCATGGCCCGGGGTCGGCCTTTAATGGCACGGCAGTCTATTAGAAGGATGCCTCCCGCTTCTCCACAGCCCTCCCTAAAACACATGTCACATCCTGCATCCCCACACTTTTCCCCTCGACTTTCTCGTCAGTCTTCCCCTCTTCTGTCACCTCGAGTTGCCCATTCACCCACCTATGCACCAGAGACATTTGCAGATCCTTACACAAACCAGCCTCAGCAGTTTATGCCCCCCTCCTCTCCCATGTTATCTGGTGCTTTGCAGAACCAGGTTATTCGACAGGCCTCCTTCACTTCCCCTCTTGGCCCACAGCCAGCTCAGGTGGTTGGAATGGGTGAGATGGGTGGAGAATACGGAGTGCCGTATGCACCCTCATCACCATTGCTTTCTGGTGCAATGCAAAACCAGGCAATTAGAGATGCGTCATATGTTTCCCCTTTGCAAAGACCAGTGTCTCCTTATGAGCAGCCCATGGTATCTCCCATGCTGTCTGAAGCTCTGCAAAATCAAGCAATACAAGGTGCATCTTATGTTTCTTCACTGCAAAGACCAATGTCCCCCTATGAACAGCCAGTACCCCCTTCCTCCCCAATGCTGTCTGGAGCTCTGCAAAACCAGGCAGTTAGAGAAGCCTCCTACGTGTCTCCTTTTCAAAGTCCTCAGTCCCCATATGCCGCATCTGTGCCCTCAACGCCAATGCTTCCCAGAGCCATGAGACACGGCCAGGCCTTGAGAGGTGTTGCTTCTTATCAGACTCCAACACTCCGTTCACCATATGGACCAACTGTTGTTACACCATATGATTATATTTCTGAGCCTGGGCCAGCCCCACTGCTTCACGATGCTCTACAGAACCGAGCTGGACTGCACAATGTCTCACATTTAAGATCCCCTTTGATGGGACGTCATAATCCCTATGCGCCGGCTGGGCCTCAGCTTCACCATGCTCTTCAGCAGAACCCAAGTCTCCGCCAAGCATCTTATCAGACACCTATGCAGCTCAGACGGTCCCCATATGGACCTGTGCCACCCTCTTCACCAATGTTGGGAAGTGCCCTGCAAAATCCACAGTTGATGCAAGCATCATACCGGCTGCCGGATGGAACCTTGGTGTCACCATATGCACAAACGCCTTCTTCCCCATTGCTCGGCCATGCGTTGCAAAACCAACAAGTCCGTGGGGCCTCTTACACTTTGCCTGATGGATCGGTTATCAGAGTAGGTACAAAATCATCATTTCAAGAGAACTGTTTAAGCTGACATACCTGTTCATCATGTAGAACTGTTGTTTCTACACAGGACCCCCGTGTGCCCCAGAAACCCATGTCTCCTAACCTCTCCAAAGCTCTACAGAACCAGGATCTCAGGAGTGCCACATACACCCTCCCTGACGGCACCATTGTAGACCCAAGACAACAAGTAACCAAAGAACGATCTTTCACTTGAATTGACCCAATTTTCCCCTCCGCTGTTGTCTTTTACTGTATCTTAGCTGATGAGTTTTTCCCCTCTACTGTCTCTGTTTCTTAAGCAACCCATTTCTCCAAACCTGGCCAAGGCTCTCAACAATCCCGCCCTACGCGAAGCCTCCTATTCTCTGCCTGATGGGACCATCGTGATTGACTCCAAGAAACCAAAGTCCCCAAACCTTTCAGCAGCACTTCAGAACCCTTACCTGAAGAGTGCATCTTACACACTTCCAGATGGTACTATCATCATCGATCCCCGGAAACCTGTCTCTCCTAACCTGTCCAGCGCCCTCCAAAACTCTGCTCTGCGTAACGCCTCCTTTATGCTACCAGAGGGGGTTCAAGATCCCAATACACCAATTTCGCCTAACCTGGCTAAGGTGAGCTGTTAACGCTGAACTCTTAAACCAACAGATCTGATTTTCTCGTTCACCCTTCAGGCTTTTGTGGCGACATTGTTTTGCATGTTAGCCACATTCAGTCTAAATTCTAACAGGCTACTCAGCGCTTTCAATGCTTGTGCCATAAGTCAGTCACAGTGAATTGGACAGCATTGACATATATTTAGTTTGTAGTGATTGAAAAAGGGCTTGGACTTGATTAAAAAATTTAATCAAATAAATCAGAGGCTTTGTAATTAATCAATCGCAATTAATCACATATAAATATTTGACCTGAGAACAGTGAGAATATTTTTTTTTTTAAATGGTATACTAGTGAATCAATGAGTAGTGAGCTGAATGAATACATGTATGTTGTATTAAGAACCCTTGCATCCCTATTCCTGTTATTATTGAACTGCACTAATTGAATTTTAAGGCTTACCTGAACTTTAACCACCTGCTGTTTATCTTAGGCTCTCAGCAACCCTGCCTTGAGAGGCGCCTCGTACACCCTTCCAGATGGAACTATAATAGTAGACCCAAGGAAGCCAAAAAGCCCCACACTGACCGCTGCCCTGCAGAATCCCTATCTAAAGGGGGTTTCCTACACACTACCAGATGGAACCATCATCATCGACCCTCGAAAACCGACTGCCCCTGACCTGTCTAAGGTATGCGCCTTTAAATCTACCTCAATTTATGATTGTTGCATTACAGTACCACCTCAGTATAGCATCACGCACATCAAATTATAGATTGTTGTGGTAGATTTATAACCTCCTGGTGTCTTTTTCTGCAGGCTCTTGCAAATGAGAACCTTCGTAATGCATCATACCAGCTCCCCGATGGTTCCCTGGTTATCCCCGGTCAGAAGCCAACCAGTCCTAACCTGGCTGCCGCCTTGAGGCAAAACCAGGCGATGCGGTCTGCAGGCCTCTTTAATCTGTCACAGAACTCAGTGCTGTCTGGTGCCCCCAAACCCTCGCCTCCTAACATTACCCGTGCGCTGAAGAATGAGGACCTCCAGGGTGCCCATTTCAGGTAGGAAAGTGCTCTATTAATGGAAAGTAGGCCAGGGGATGACCTTAAAGGCTTGTGCAGGTGTGGCACAAGATTACCTCTCGAGAAATCAAGCTGCAAGCCAGGCATTAACTTTTTACCAAGGGGGAATGAAACAAAGTCCTGTCTGAGCAGAAAGTTCCATTAACTACCGGAGCTGGAGTCTTTGCTTTGGAAAAACTGACCGAGAGCTGAAAGTCTACTTTTGAAGACTATTGATGTTTCTATCCTCCCTGAAAACTCTGATCTTTGGATGTATTGAATAATTATAAGACATCCATCTGAGGAATTGGAGAATAACATTTCTAGTGCTGCATGTTTCATTGTTAGATTGGATTTAATGTGAATAATTTTGGCCCACACTGTCTTTCCTCATCTCAGTATAGGACTTTTAAAATTAAACCTGCACAGACACCAAAATTCAATTTTAGTCTGCCAACCAGCTGCTGAATCTGAAGCATTAAAGACAATGTGATTTGTCTGTCAGTGTTATACAAACCTGTACTACATGCCTCTAATTGTGCTCTTTTTGCTGTTTCACAGGCTTCCTGATGGTTCTCTCCTCATGCGCAGTTTCAACAACCCCAGCCTGTCTGATGCCATCCAAAACCAGCATCTTCGCTATGCCTCCTACAGGGTGCCAATGGGCCTGCAGGGTGAGGATAATCGCTACGCTGTGGTTCCGCCCTACGGGCCGCGCTCAGGACACTGGGCCAGGAATGCCCGAGGTGGGGGAGAGGGAGGGGAAGATGTTTGGGCGGCGGAGAGGGTTTTACCGCACGGGACGATTCAGAACCTGTCAAAGTGGTCGATGTACAGAGAGGACGGGGTGCTAGAGGGATATTCACCTACACTTCGAGGTGTGGATGGACAGTTTCAGGATGTGGACTGGACTCCAGAGAGGGAGAGAGTGCCCGGTCAAAGCTGGTATGATAAGGTAGAAACATCCATGTGTTTTTCAGATGTTTTTGAAAAGATCGCCACAATAGAAACGAACAACATAGAAGCTCCACTGCTCACAAAATCAGTTTCCAGTACATTGTGTTTCTGCATGTTTTAATCAGCTGTGGGTCAAGTTATGACGAGCCCTGACATTGTTGCGTGACACTGTTGGACTAATTACAAGCCGTTATTTGTCTTTGTGTGTTTGTGTGTGTTCAGATCTACTCTATCCTTAGCATGCCCACAGCAGGCCACAGGGTGAAGAACTGGGCAGAGGGGATGGAGGACATGACACAGCTGCCGTAAGCACGATCCAGATTAACAAACAGCCCGACAGCTCGTTCACTCATGCACACTCGGATAAACATTTTGTCGAGCTGGATATCAATTTGATTGAAAAAGATTTTACATTGTTTGTGTCTGGTTGAATTTTCCATCGTATCTTTCTGCCTTCGAGAAATCTGCTCCGATTTGACACCAAATATTTTCACATCCAGAATGAAATGTCACTGAGAAGTAATTAAAATTAGACGCCATGTTAAAGTGACAATATGCGCTCTGTACATTAATCTCCTGTGTTTAATTTCAGTGAGCTGAATGAGACCACAGTTCTGATGAACCTGAAGAAGCGCTATGATCAGGAACTTGTATATGTATGACTCATTTCAAATATGTAAATTCAATAACTCATATCTTCAAATGTCACGGTCGCTCCCCGCTCATCTTCTACTTATCTTTGTTTTGGTTCCTCTCCTCAGACCTACATCGGCAGCATCCTGGTGTCTGTCAATCCGTACAAGCTGCTGAACATTTACGGCACAGACATGGTGCTTCAGTACGGGGGCCACGGCCTGGGCGACAACCCTCCGTAAGACCCACGAGCGTGTGTGTGTGTCTGTGTGTGTGTCTGTGTGTGTGTTAATGTTTTAACTCCACATTAAGTGCATGAGCTACGAACCACCAGCTGGCTTTTTAGTCTTTTAGTTCGTCCACGTGTTGGAAAGCAGGACATCTCCATTTTCTTGAATATGTTCTGACGCTGATGGAAAGTTGAGCAATTATTCAAAGAAAAAATCAGTTTCTTTTAACTCAGAAAACGCAGGTTTTAAATAACTTGAATTATGAAGAACAGAGTCCATCAGAGTTGGAACAGTGTGGACGATGCTGAAGAAAACCAGAATATGATGATTAAAGCCTGTGTTTGATAAGAAATGGTGTCAAGACAACAAATCAAAGGTTGAAACTGAAAAAAGTTCTTGTTTCTGATTTCAAATTTGATGCCAGAAACAACTTTCCAAACAGTTAGGTCAGGAACGTGTTACAGGAACATCTCCCTGCAGCAGTTTAGTAACAGTACTGGGCTTTAAAAGGACTCTGGAGAGGCTGAGGCTCGCAGAACTTAAGGTTGGAAGAGATTCACTTTTTTGTGAGGGACTGAGAATATTCCTGAGCACTAGATTTGTGGATTTCATCATCTACAGGATTTAATATCATAAAAAAATTCAAATAGTCTGGAGAAATCTTGATCTGATTTAGACTTTTACATCTGTAGAAAGTTTCATGACCTGAAAGTGAACCTTTGGCTGGACTCCAGAATTATTTCGAACTCATCCAACACTTTTTTTAGGAAGGCAAACTCATGCAGAGATTTCCTCAGCGCTGCAGGAGGCAGGAGTGCCGATGTGTTCTGAAATGTCCGTCAGAATGTTCTGTGTCCAAAACAACCTGAGGAGAAAAGGACACGTATCAGACACACAGCTGGGGGCCGCCGCCGCCACCGCCCACAAAACCTTCTACAGACGAAGAAGTCTAAGTCAGATCAAACTGTCGTTATCCATTTATCCCATTTTCATTTTAGCTGAAAAAAACTGAAAACACCTGTCTTTAAACCGTTTCAATAAAATAAAGGCTTTAAATGAGTCACAAACCACCGAATTCTGTTTTACCAACAACAGGGTCTGGTAACTAGTGGGATTAGAGTAGTAAAGTACATCCGTTTTTACTATTTTCATTGAACACTTAGTGAAATGAAATCATCGTATAACCATTTACTTCTTCCTCTTTTTGTCAGGAAGTATTTGGCTGTACCCCGTTGTACACCCTTTCTTTGAGCGAACGATTTTTTTGTTGTTTTTCTTCATTTCTCTTCGTTTTGGACCGTGTACCTGACGGAGTAAACTCTTTAACCTTTAACTGTAACAGCTACTCTGTGGTTCTGTCGGACTACATCTGTCACATCCTGTGCTGTTAGATACAGTTTAGTCTGAAAAAAGGTGTAAATGTCAGCACTCTCAGGTGTTCCTGAGAGGCTCCTGTTACTCTGCTGTTGGTTGGTTGCCAAGGGAGAGTTTGGTTATGGATTTCACCACCGCTTTACACTCACAGTGACTCACACACGCACGCACGCTCACACGCACACACACAACAGATGAGCCGTTCAGTGTGATCATAAAACGTCTTTCTTTTTGTTGCAGTCACCTTTTTGCCATTGCTAATCTCTCATACACTACCATGATGGATGCCAAAAAGGATCAGTGTATTGTAATCAGGTATGGAGGATACTGTTACAGTCTTTTTACTTCACTGCAGCGTCCTGAATTTAAAGTTTGTTAATTAGCAACACCGCTTTAATTAGTTTGAATACACCGAAACACACCTTTCATTTATTTATCTGTTTATTTTCTATCTGTACTAAATTAAAATCTAATTCAAAATAAAAATATGAGTAAGTGCCCAAGTACAGAGGAGGATTAGGGCCACTGAAAAAAAGAAAAGCTCCTCAGAAAAAAAATATGAGGAAAAAAACCCCCAAAAAAGCCTTTTTTTAAAAAATGTTTTCCTTCTTTGTCTTTTTTCTTTATTTTTCTATTTTTTCTCAGAATAATAATAAAAAATATATATTGGAATTTTTATTTTTCATCCAGTGGCCCTAATCCTCTTCTGTACATAAGACAAACTTTTATGTTTGTTTGTTTCCACAGTGGAGAAAGTGGGTCCGGAAAGACAGAGGCGACAAAGCTGATCCTGCGTTACCTGACAGCCATACATCACAAGAGTAACATCACACAGCAGGTAGAGCTGCTGTAAATACACATTTACACAAACATGTTCTGCTTCAGTCATTAAAGACAATGCTGTAATTTCTTTCCTTTATTCATCCCCTTTTCCCCGCCATCTTTTCCACCAGATAGAGGTAAGTCGCTGCTGCTGCTGCTTCGTCATCATATTTTAATTGGAGAACCACTTGTTGAAGGTTACCATGGTAACATTTCTGCCCTTGGTTAGATCTTAGAGGCCACGCCCCTGCTGGAATCCTTTGGAAATGCCAAAACAGTGCGCAACGACAACTCTTCCCGTTTTGGCAAATATACTCAGATCTTCATGGAGAGGTGAGTAAACGCAGCTAACACACGTACCTACTTTTCTGTTTTAGAAAACCGTATTTTATAACTGTGGTAATATAGTCTGTTAACATAAATAATTTTCCATACTTTATTTTTCATTTACCATACGTTTTAAGACCTGGAAACTGATCAAATTATTTTCATAGGAACCCTGTCAGTAACAGGAACTCAGTTTATCAGATAGGCTGAAAGTCATATTGGTGACTTTTATGATATACAAAGGCAGAAAAAACAGCATTGATTGTTTTTAACTTAAAAATTTTTCAACTTTGATTAGTTACAGAAAACGACAAAAGTCAGCAGGGTGAGATTTTTTTTTCTCTGAAGACACTGCTGAAGCAAACTGAGGACATGATAATGGGATTTTATCCAGTTGAATCAAAAACGAATAAAGAAAAATAGGCAAAGACAGTTTTGTCCACAGGAGGCGCCAAACGCACACAAACTGAAACGTCTTCACAGGATCTTTGAGCTCTTTGCTACAGAGTCTGGGAGGTGACATTTACTTTTTTTTTGTAATTCGCACGTCCGATTTAGTATCTTGCACTTGCATTATAATATATCGTACATGCGTTTTAATGCTTATCTTGCATGCGTTTTTGAAAATAATCCTCTGTGTGCCTCGTTTGTGAGAGAAGAAGGACAGCGTCATGGACAGAGAGCTTATTATCTACATTTTCTGTCATTTAGGTATGACTCACAAAGAGAATCTTTATAGCTCAGCTACATTTGGAGACACCTCATCAGGATCCTTAAAGCACAGCGGCTTTGCCGTCGGAGATATTCTAATTTGCAGGAAGTGATTTTGTTTATTAACAAACAGTTAAATCGCCCCTGCGATATAATAAAACACTTAAAAAAAAAGTTAATGTCACCTCCTGGACTCTGTACTTTACCTTGATTGGAGGAATTAGAAATGGTGTTATCCTGATACTTTGTCATGTTGCTGCTGTACCACAGAGATTCAGGCTCAGTTCTGTCAGGCCTGGTTTCACTGTTTGTGAGTTTCTGCTTTTCATGGCACCATTTTTTCCACCTAGATCACAATGTGATTTTGCTCCGTGTCAAACATTTGACTCATTGGGACTCACTGACTTCTCTAAAAATAGACTTTTTAAACATTTTGTAAACGAAGAAATGAGCATGTTGAGTTTTTTTTAACCTCATGATACCGAGCTTGTCTTGACTGTTGCTATGGGTTACTGCATGTCATGGGTGCAGACTGGTTGCGTTTTCTTTAGGATGAACATGAGCCCTTGTAAAGCAGAGAAGCAGCTTGTACAAGCTTGACTCTGAAAAGGGCTTCTTGTCAAACATGTGCAGAGGTGCAAACACACACACACACACACACTCACAGAAGCTAACACACACACACACACACACACACACAAAGATGATGGGCTTAGTATAGGAGATGCTCGCATGTCCCAGTAACACAGATGGATGAGCAGTTGATCTTCCGCTAGAGCTGTGACAGAGAAGATCACAGGACATTACACATGCATGACCTGTTACTTAACTCGGACTTACTCACTCAGTGTGCATTCATGAGTGTTCCTGTCTGTCTCTCTGTCTGTCTTTATACAAGGGGTGTTATTAGTGGTGCCATAACGTCTCAGTACCTTCTGGAGAAGTCTCGCATTGTCTTTCAGGTGAACATCACGCACACACACACACATAAACACACACACGTAAACACACTTCAGGTCAGGCGGAGTCTCTTTACCGCTGAGTCATGGTGAGAAACTGGAGATCACAGGGTCAGAGTGCATAAGAGGTGTCAAACATGTTGACCTGAATCGTTATACAGTCCATCTGTTCATCGTTCATTCATTCATTCATACAGTCAAAATGTGTCTCTTCTCAACATGTTTGTGTGTTTGCATCCACAGGCCAAATCAGAGAGGAACTACCACATCTTCTATGAGATGCTGGCAGGTCTTCCTCCTCATGAGAAGAGCTCGCTGTATCTGCAGGAGGCTGAGACTTACTACTATCTGAATCAGGTGCTGAGAGAACAGAAATGAAACAACACTCCCCCTTCCTCCTCACACCTCGGACACAAAGCAGAGATAGGGAGTGGTCACTGTAATCCATTCTAGAGTCACATTAACAAATTACACGTCCATTTTGGGGAAATGTGACATTTATTGTTCAAGGTGATTAATGACACAAACTGAAGACTCGATGCAGCACCCAAGTCCAGAGTGAGGGACCTTTGCAGTCCAGATTCTCTGTTCCTCAACATGAAGTGATGAATGTAGTTTGTTGGTGTATAACTTTTGGCTTCACTGATCGATGATATAACTCGGACATTGCTCTTCTGCTGTAGGTGCAAATAATTCTGTGTGTGACCCTCCAAACAAAGCACTAGGGCTGGGCGATATGGCCTCAAATCAATATCATGATATATTGAGCAGTTCAGTTCCTGAAAAATGATGATACACTGAGGAAAACCTCGCCCAACCCAGAGCTGATTAAAGACTCTTAAACTCGGTGTAAGTGGAGCGGAGTTTCTGGTATAGACTGTATATAGAAGAGACGCCGTCTGCCTCCTCGCTGGGTGAAGCCACTGTGAGAACAGCACCCTCTGGTGACAGGCTGCAGTATAGGTCATAAATCCCGCCTCCTCCAGCAATCCCTATGGAGCTGTGGACAAACTTTATAAATCAGTGACACACAATATAAATGTTTCTCCCCCCTGGTTGCGATGTTGACATGTAGTTACTGTCAGACTGGTTTGTGCTCAATTCCTATTTTTTCTGTACAGCTCCATTTTTAAAAGTTATTCCGGGGTTCATGTTTTCTATGATTGACACCTGATACAGCCTATGGAGAGTCAGTCAGTGTGTTTACATCGGACTTCTCTCCTCGTCCTCGTTTACATGCAGCTGAGGAAATCAAATTATTGACGTGAACGTGTCCTCCTCCCCAAAACTAGGGGGCGATATGGGTCTTTTCAGCGTCTCTGTTTCTGACCCCATACAACCGTCAACAACAACAGCAGGTCGGTGTCAGACGTCAAAAGTGTCTACAACTGCTGCTGGGCATTTTGGAGAAACAAGAAGATGGAGCATCGTACAGCGTTGTTTTTGTCCGACATGATGGACGCGCTACTTTTTCTAAAGAGGAGACCAACGCTACTCCTCTACTCTGGTGTTTTTGTTCTCGAGTTACGGGGGCGTGGTCCGATCAAGCTCAGACGACGCTGGTTACATGGTAGAAAAAATCGAATTCCAATCGCATAATCTGGGTGTCTTAATCGGAGATCTCGAACTCTGATTATAGTCTGACTAAGGTGTTTACATGACCTTCAGTTGTCCGGTCTTAATCGGAATAAGGCGATAATTCGGTTTTCTTGAGTGTCATGGAAACATACTGACTGTTTGAGTCGAGCGTCATCGCAGGGACTCTCCGTACAACGCTACTGCGCAAGTGGAGATCACCCGGAAATACCGAGAGAAATTCGGCTACAAATTCGTATAATGACGGAAGGCGGAGCCAAGTTGTCCGTAGTATTTACAGTCCATGGTTTGCGGTTACTCCTGCTAACACTTGTAACTTTACTTTGAAACACCGCCGTAACACCAGGCTGTAAAAACCGTCTTTCACCGCCCTCTCTGGTTAAAAGTGTGAGCAGAAGTGAGCATTGGTAAACCCTCTCAGCGCATGATAGATACGTCAACATGGAGATCCCTGATTGAACCATGTGTTGTTTATAACTGTGTTTGTACATGAGTGCAGGGAGGGGACTGTACCATAGAAGGCAAGGATGATGGGGAGGACTTCAGACGTCTACTGAGTGCCATGGACGCCTTGTGTTTTACTCCAGAGGAGCTGAACGGTATCTACAGGCTGCTGTCTTCTGTCCTCCATCTGGGAAACGTCTTCTTCCAGCCACACCAGGTCACACACACACACACACACACTCACAGAGTAATAGGCTGCATAAATGCATTTAGTTTCACGGCTGAATGGTAATGATGAAGCTGATAGATGATGGTAATAATGAGTGTGCGTGCCTCCGTGTTTGCATGCGTACGTCCCCTGCAGGCTGAGGGTCAGGAGGTCGCGTCTGTGGTGAGCGCTCAGGAGCTCCGAGTGGTCGCAGAGCTGCTGCAGGTCTCACCTGATGGCCTGCAGAAGTCTGTCACCTTCAAAATGACTGTGAGAGAAACACACCTCTTCATAAACACACTCACGCACACACACACACTAATGAAGACAGTCATGATATCATATCAATTAAGAGATGATATCAGATGACAGATGTGTCCACACCCCGCAGGAGGCAGGAAGAGAGAAGATCCTCACCCCGCTCACAGTGGAGAGTGCTGTGGATGCCAGGTGAGTCAGTGAGTCAAAGTCTGAATATAGTATCTGCTGAATTAAATACTACGTGCCCACTTCTGCCTGGAATAACCTGAAATAAAAGCCTTTTCCAGGCTTTTTTTTTTTTATGTCCTGGTTTTTTTCTTAAGTCGTAGCAGGAGGCGACTGAGAGGGGGTGAGCAGCCTTTGATATTCTTTCCCAATCTTTAGCGGAGCCATGTGAGGACAAAAGATGTCAGGGCTTGGGGAGAGATTTTTCAGATGTCCTCTGTTTCCATAGGAACCGGTTTTTCTGTTTCCATAGAAACCTTATTGTGTGTGTTTTCATAGAGATGCCGTTGCCAAGATCCTGTACTCGCTGCTGTTTAGTTGGCTGACAGAGCGCATCAACGGTCGGGTCTACCCTCGCAACGAAGCCCTCTCCATCTCCATATTGGATATTTATGGATTTGAGGTCAAGTGAAAGAATGATTTCTCTGTGAGGTTTCAGCGTGATGCATCTGAGCTGACCCTCCATCACTAACTCCCACACTCACTCCCCAATGTCTCCTCCTCCTTTTAACCCTCCAGGAGCTCCAGGTGAACAGCTTTGAGCAGCTGTGCATCAACTACGCCAATGAAACGCTGCAGTTCTACTTTAACAGGGTCATCTTCCAGGAGGAGCAGGTCAGGGCAGCTACGAGCTCATGTTTCCTCTTCTTCCATATATGGACTTATGTGTGCAGCGCTCTAAAATGTGTCCTAGTTCACATCGTGTGTCGTAATGATGCTGCGTTTCAGTTACCTCGGAAGTCGGAGCGCGAGTTGATGGCGCTCCAGTTAACAAGTCGAAAAACATAGATGGACGTCGCTGACTGTTAGCCGTTGTTTTCAATTGTCAGTTGTTGTTAGTTGTTGTTAGCAATACTAGCTGTAAACAAAACGTGTAACACAGTATATTACTCTACAAACATCATAGCACCGTGTTCACAGTTGTCGTCAAGTCGGGTTGGCGAGGATTGTCAGACTTTCCGATTCGAAAATACGGCTTCAGGGGTGCATTCCAGATGAATTTCCGACTCGGAGCTCGATATTCCGACTTCCAAGTACAACTAGGACACAATATAACTGTGTAATCGTGTGTAGGGCTGCACGATTAATCAATTTTAAATCCTGATCAGATTCTTTGATCATTATGATGTTAAAAAAATTTAAATCCTCAAATTGATTTTCCTCTCTATCATGTCTCACGCCTCCAGGCCACCGTAGGCTCCTCCCCCCTCCTGTGGGAGCGCTCCCCAGTTCCCACACACCCAGTGTGAACAAACATGGCGTTTGCTAAAGAAGGCGATAATTTCGTGGTTAAATAGGACAAGAGCGAGTCAGTCGTGTTGAATTGGTACGACTTCACAGTTTCAGATGAAGAGTAAACCACTCCCCGCTGCAAAGTCTGTCTGAAGGCGGTATCAACCCGTCACCATGGAAACAAATTCAGGAGGAAACACTAAAGGTTTTTGTCGTATCGGCGTGTCATCCACACAGAAACGGCGTTTCAGGTGACTGTAAACGGTACTTTTTGAAAACGGGTCAGAGAGTGAATAAATCTGTAAACGACGACCATTTCATCTCCGTGTGGATGTCTATCTGCATCTCTGGAAACGATCATGTGACACACAGAGGAACTCTTTTAAGGCGCTAAAACAACCTTTATACACATGCTCTGTACTCTTCTTCTGTCTTTTGTGCATTCACTGTGCAGCGTTACAGCGCCACTCACTGGCTTGGCATATCCACAACATCGTTTTCAGTGGTTTGGTTTTGAGAGACGATAGAAAAACTTTTTATTATTAAAGTTCGGTGAAGTTGTCACAGAACATAAAATCGAAAATTAAGTTTTTTTAGGGAAAAAAATCGTGATTTTATTTTTGGCCAAATAAAATCAAATTGAATTGGTGAAGGGTTTATTTGATAGAAGTGTAATCCGCAAAAACAAGCAAATTAATGTTTATAATGTGATAACTGAAATGTTCGGATGTCTCGTGTCTTCTGAGAATAATGTAAATGTAAAGTTTATCTGTGGTTTACAAGAGACGGTCAACACAACAAGCCTACGCCAAAAAAACAGAGGCAACATAAAAAGAGGCCAGAGACGACGGCTTCAATCTGGTTCAGTATGGGTGAAGAACATTTAACATGGCAGGCCTGTCAGCTCCTTAGTGCAAAAAAAACAGACAGAGAGCAGCTAAAATCAAACTCCCCCGATGTTATGAAACAGGCCTGAGTCTGTCATTGAAACACAGAAGATTTATCGGGTTAACGTCAGCCTTCAACAGTCATCTGATTTCCTCATCACCATCTGTCCGTATGAATGTGATAAACTGAGGAGGAAAATGAAAGTAACCGGATTTCTTCTGGGAGATTTCTCAGCCTCATACACCTGATAAACATTTTTAAGATCAAAATCATTAAATATTGAAGCCTGATTTTGTTTCAGTCATGCTTTTTCTTTCTATAGAAGTTGTTTCCCACAAGCCACCAGAGCACTTGAATTAATAATATCCCAGTGTCACGCTGCAGCATTAATACTTTGTTCAAAAATAGCTGCTAATAAAATTTAATGATTGGTTTATATGTTTTTGAGACGCAAAGGTGCAGATGTAGAGAAAAAAGGGACTTTTAATTCAGACACAGACACTCAGAAAACAGAGTCCTGTCTCTTTGTTGTCCCTCTGACTCTCCTTCTCTGTGTGTCCCTGTCTCACTTCACTTAAATCACTGATAGACTCATGTTATACCTGCTCACCTCCTTCAAAATTCATCTTGATATGATCTGTATTAGGGCTGTAAAGTCTTAGTCAACTGGTCGAATGATTGGTCGATACGTGCTGAGTCGACCAAAATTCTGATTGGTCAACTCGTTTTTTTTTCCGTGTCAATTTACAGTCTAGGGTTGATTTGATCAGGAGGAATGAACCAAGTGCTGATGGGGGTGTTTTCACAACATTTGTTCTGGACCCCCTCGTTTTCACCATTTTGGATTCGCCCAACCCACTGGAGACAGGAAGATTGAAGTAGTGATGGGCACAGCAGTTCTTTCAGATGTACTGAATCACTAGAATCAGTTCATTAAAAAGAGTCGTTCAGAAGATTTGTTCACCGAATCACCAAATCCTTCAGCGCTTGGCGGGAGGAGCCTGCGACTCCGACTTCCTGAACTGAAACACAGATAAACGGTTCAGGATCCAGTTCAGATCACGGTCTCCCTGTCACTGCTTTCAAGAGCTTGCTGCAGCTGCTGAGTCTCACTCTCTTCTCATCACTGCCAGCCGAACGTTTTAAGTTTGTTTGATTGGGAACTAAATCTGTTAAAACAACAGGGAACAACGGTCACCATGAAAGTGTATCCTTCAGACAAAAATGATTCCTGAGTGTGTAGTTCACTACGTGATTCGTTCACAAAGGGATCCAGGCGTCGGCGTGTGCGGTCCCTCGCTCGCCGTCTGCTCACCCGGCAATGCTGCGTGATATGCCAGCTGCACTGCTGATAGCTAAATGAACAAATCACTTGAAGAAGCGATTTGGTTTGTTTGAACGAATCATTTGCGAATGTCACAACACTAGATTGAAGAGCGTCCACGTGAAGCAGCGTCTGGTGGTTTGCTAAATATTTATATTTTACCTTTTGTGTTTAATTGCCTTCTTGTGCTGATATCAGTACATTTTCACCCCGCCGAGCCGCGTCGTCCCCCGCCGCAGAAGGGTTTGCCGTCAAAGTCTGAAAAATCTGCCCCAGCTGGAGTTTATGTCTCGTTGAATTTGAACTTAAAAATAATTTTCCTGCAAATTGATTCTCTCGGGTTTCCAATCTGCAAGTTCCACTTCAAGTCTAAACTTTAAATACCTCTAATTTCATCAGAGTGTCTTATTTCTTGTTTCCCCACAAGATTGCCTGTGTTCTTTTGTGTTTTTAGTCGAGCTGAGAAATGGCAATTATGTTGAGGAAAAATAGGAATAATCTTGTTTGCAACCTGACTTAAATGCATTTCAGCAAACTTTGAGAAACCCACAAGGTCATTAAACATCTCACAACACAGAGGAAACACAAGCACCAGTGAAGTAGGAGAGTTTTAGAGACAGAAACTTGATGAACTTGTGCTGTTTGTGTGTGTTTGTGTGTGTGTGTGTAGGAGGAGTACATGCGCGAGCAGATCCAGTGGCAGCAGCAGCCCTTCAGCCACAATCAGGTCTGCCTTGACCTCATCGCTGCTAAGCCTCATGGGATTCTGCGCATCCTCGACGACCAGTGCGGTTTTCCTCAGGTGAGTCTCCGCGTCAATTAAAGTGACTTGAAATACGATATTTACTGTGAACTAATGATGACCTAGTGATTAATCAAAACTGAGGGTGTGAAAATGATCGAGACTCCTTAGAAATATGAATTTATTTAAGTTTATCATGAAGAAATACAAGAACAGCTGGCAGTAACTCAGACATTTAATAGCTCAGTTAAAAAAAAAAAATACCGACTCATCTCACTTATTGGATTTCTCATAAAACCTGGAGACTGAAGAGTATCATAGCCGGCTCTGATCAATACAACACGACCCTACATGCTGACTTAATTGCCTTCCTGCTGTTTGTTATTATCCTCCAGGCTCCTAATGTAAAGAGCTGACTGAGCTCATATTGAGATAAACGTATTATAAGGTGAAATATGAACAGAGTGCAACACGAGTAACAGGCTGGAGCAATCTGCAGCGACACACACACACACACACACACACACACACACACACACACACAACACGTGTTCGTGCTGTAGAGATTTAGTTTCCATGGCTCACCAACCCTTAACCGTCTCTTGATCATCACTAGGCAACAGACCACACTTTCCTTCAGAAGTGCCACTATCACCATGGAAACAACCCGCTGTATGCCAGGCCAAAGATGCCGCTGCCAGAGTTCACGCTGAAACACTACGCAGGGAAGGTCACATATCAGGTAATAATCGTGTTTATTGATCCGAAACGGAGACGGTTCAAATCTGAGGACGTGCAGCTGTACGTCGCAGTATTTTCAAAGTTTTTTTATTACAATTATCATCATGAGCGTTTTTGTCAACATAATAGCGCCTCTCATCTGATCGTGCATCGACTGGGGAAACACCAAATGATACATCAGAGAGCGAGGGAGGAAGTCAGCGAGCTGTTTACATTAGCTAATGTTACTGGTGGCTATTTGATCAGACTGAACAACTGTGACGACACTTCCCTGTAGATTTTAAAATGACTTTTACTTCCTAATTTAAAAAACCACAGGGGGGTCCGTTCACGGTTTCAGCCCTGCCGGTGTTATTGATAGAAGAATATGATATCGGAGCGTGTCCCCATAAACTGATGAAGACAAACACATCAGATTCAAACACGCATCAGTCAGACCTGAGATCTGGTTGAATATGTTGAGACAGACAAGTACAAGATGGCAAATGTGGATTAGATTCCAAACACAAACCTGATGTAGGGCACAGACGCTCACAGTGAGGCCCTGAGAGGAGCAGAACACTGAGGTATCAGCTAATATGTGCAGGATTGTGACCGAGGGCAAAGCTCTGCACACGATGTACTTCACTAAAACAAGATTCTCCTCCTCCTCGGTTAACAGGGAGGATGTATTTCCTCAGACAACATCTGCACCTTCACTGCTCTGTGCAGACTAGGCTGCTGTTCTTTGATATGGAGACCAGAGCTGCCCGGCCAGGCACTGAAACTTCTGTCATTGCTCAAAGTCTTCTCAACTTTGACCTTTGACCTGCAAGACAACAACTGTATGGCACAGCCAGAAGCACAGCAAATCTGAGCGGAGACAGTTTTTATCAGAAACTTGTAATTAGTTTCTCACAGTTCCCTTTAAACACATAAAAAAACAAACAAAGAAAAAAAACAAGCAAGAGAAAAAAGAGCTTCCAGATGTAGATGGACGTTAGGAGCAAACACACCTGTAGCTTCTTGTTCTGGTTTCAGTGACATCTACTGTGAAATGGTCTGTGGCCTGTGCAGGTAGCATGAGGAGAGAGTGGGATCGCCTGTTTAGACAAGTGATGCTGAAGAGTATGAAACCCAGAGCTTTGAGGTCACAATGTTAAAATGTAACAGTATTAAAATGTTACAGTATTATAGTGTTACAGTGTGACAGTACCACAACGTTACACTGTTACAATGTTACAGTGTCACAATCTAACAATGTTACAATGTTAAAATGTAACAATTTACAACGTAACAGTGTTACAATGTTACAACATATTAATGTTACAATGTAACAATGTTACACTGTTACAGTGTTACAATATTACAGCACCACAACGTTACAGTGTTAAATGTCACAATGTCACTCAGCAGACTCTTTCTTCTAAAGCCAGACCGTCACAATCAAAGATCTTGTCTAGTGGACAACAGGCTTCTTTTGTTTCACACAGTTGGATCTAAAATCAGGATATCCTGCTTTGTTTTTCTTACCTTTGTCTATTTTACGGTGCAGGTGCACAAATTCTTGGATAAGAACTTCGACATGGTCCGTCAGGATGTTTTGGACCTCTTCATCCAGAGCAAGAACAGAGTAAGACATGCAGAAACACTTTGACGATGTTTCCTCAACATTTACAGTATTTTTCTGTCTTTATACCCCAACTTACCTCACAAAGATTATTACTCATTATACTGAGTATAATTTATCCTATACTGAGTCTGTACTACATGATAAGACTGAATGATTGAGCTCCTGCTGTTTACCTCTCTGTTTATAATTATTGTTTTGTTTTAGCAGCAGGTTGACTGTGAGGTTACCTGGTGTTTAATGCAAAACTCCTGCTGTTTGAAATGACTGTGTCTTCAGTACAGACACCCACTACAATTATAAAGCCAGTTACATACAGCTGTTTACTGTGTGTGTGTTTGTGTGTGTGTTCAGATGGTTTCCAGCCTCTTCCTGAAGCACTCAGAGTCCGTGTCTCAGCAGCGATCGAACGTGCGGCGCAGCAGCGCAGCTCGCCGTTATCAGGCCAACACGGTCAGCGCAAAGTTCCAGAGCAGCCTGCAGGAGCTGCTGGAGAAGATGGAGAGGTCTGAATGAACACGTCTCCTTCACCCTCTGAGATTATGAAGAGAATTCTTATGAGAGGAGAGTTTGGAAGTTCTGTTCAGGACTTTTTTATTTCTCATTTTCATTTCTTAAATGTTCTCTCAGCCCCCGGGAGTACAACTGAAAAGACAACCCAATTTACTGATAGATCTCAAACAACCTTCCTACAAAAATAGTTAAATAAGGACACTTTAAAAACAAGTACCTCTATAAGATAAAGAAGCCCCCCTGTGTTTAGCAGCACAGTCATTCCAGTTTTTCTTTGTTAGAGGTGCGATCAATGTCCGTATGATGCTCAGGTATTGATTATACAGGTAGTTTAAAGCGCCCATTGTGTCTTCACTGAATGGTTTTCTGGTGGTCATTTATTCCCACATTAACGGCCTCCTTTACCACCAGTCGCCTGAATGTGTGTGTGTGATATCGGACTGAGGAAAGAGTGAAAAACAGAGTGACAAGAGCGTTTTTTCCCCGAACAGACGAGTTTTCCGTTAGCATCGTTGCTCTGCTGTGATATTAGACTACAGATCAGTTCAGACAACCATATCAGGCTTTTATAGGAGCCATTTATCTCAGGAAGTGAATTTTATTTGTCTTGTTTTGACATCACTCATGTCTTTTGGAGGTGTTTCAGCTCGGACCGTTAACCGTGCTCCTCAGACTGTTACTGTAAAAGTTTGTTGATGAGCATTTCTGTCCCTGCAGACGTTTAATTCACTCCGCCTTTATCCAACCATCCATCCATTTATCCGTCTATTTGTCGACAGGTGTAACCCTTACTTTGTGCGATGCATCAAGCCAAACCATCTTAAGGTATATGTGCAAACTGGATGGTGTGTGCAGGTTTGCAGTGCTGTGCTTTTGCGTTTGAATGTTGTGTGTCATCGTTCAGCTCATGTGTTTCTGTGTGTAGGAGCCTGGAGTGTTTGACATGGAGCTGGTCAACACTCAGCTGCATTACTCCGGTATCATGGAGACCATCCATATCAGGAGGGAGGGCTATCCAATCAGAATGCACTTTCACAGCTTCCTGTTAAGGTCTGTATACAGAGAGAGAGAGTGAGAGAGAGAGAAAGAGAGAGAGAGAGCGCTTTGCAGTAAGAAGCGCAAAATCATGGCTGATGGTTTCGGCTTTCAGAGAGATTCTCAGTGACTCAAAGCAGACAGACAGACAGACGGTTTCTTGAGTTGGAAAATCCAGGTGTGGTCATGTGTCAATTTTCTATTACTGAAAGGTTTTTTCACCATCCTGAGTTTTCACTGTTTTAGAGAGTTAAAAAAAAATAACGATATATGGCAAACTGGCAGCTGTGACGACTAAGGTAGTTTACCACCACCAAGGTGTGACTGTGTGAGTGAATGAATGAATGATGTCTCCAATGCAAAGCGCCTCTGATAAAGCGCTATATAAAATCTGATGCATTATTATTATAGATGTTAGTTTTCTGGGTTCATTCAAGCTCATCTGGTTTACTGAAATCTAGGGTTGGGCGATATGGGGAAAAGTTTATCATTTTTTTTCTGTAACCCTCTCTTTTACGGTACACTTATTACCAGGTAATTAACAGGTAATTACCTAGTAACAACATGAAATTATCTGGTTATTACATGATAACTACTAAGTCAATACTGTCTTGCTACCAGGTAGGTAACCTTCCATCATCATACAAATTTGGAGCTGAATCGCTCTGGTATTTCCAGGGTTTTCTCCGCTTCCTGGAACCACCACTTGCGTAGTAGCGTTGTACTCATTCGGTGGAAGAGTCGCTGTGATTACGCTCGGCTCAAACAGCGTATCGCTACGCAATCTTCGCACACCCATAGGCTGTATCAAGTGTCAATCATAGAAAATAAGAACCCCAAATAGCTTTTGAAAATGGAGCTGCACAGAAAAAAGAAAAAAAGAAAAACTAGACAGTATTGACTTAGTAGTTATCATGTAATTCCCAGATAATTTCATGTTGTTACTAGTTAATTACCTGTTAATTACCTGGTAATAAGTGTACCGTAAAAGAAAGGGTTACCTATTTTTCTATATCAGTCGATATCGATATGAATCACGATATAAAAAAATCACTTGTCAATCTTAAAAAAACACTAATATTTTTAATGTTTTGATGTAACATTAATTAATTTTTAATGTTCAATGTAATATTTTATTATCGGGATTTTTGGTTTTGCAATTTTTAAATTGATTTTTATGTTAAAAAAAATTATATATATATTTTTTTTTCCAAATTTATGAATAAATCTCAAAAATTGACTTATATGTGATGTGTATTTTGGGGAGAAATATGGTTCCTGGAATAGTCAGTAGACAATCATTCAACTGTTTCACTGTTTGTTAGAAATGCAGACTAAAAATCGAGAAAATCACCGATGTCGTAGAATCGCAATTTAAATCGAATTGGCATCCAAAAAATCATAGTATATCATCCCAGCCCTAATATTGACCATGTTTTATATTGATATCGATGAAAATTAATTTTTTGATATATATCATTATCGTTTAATCGCCCAGCTCTACTGAAATCATATGAAGCTCTAACTGAACCATTGAGAAAACTAAAATATACCATCCCAGCCTCCCACTCTGCTTCCTTTACCAGAAAGTATTGCTTTCTGTTCCTCCCACCACTCCACACTTCTCCAGACTGCTTGAATTATTGTCTTTTTCTGGCGAGAGAACAATTCACACACCAATTTCTTCCTGCTGAAAAAGCCATCTGGCACTTGTCAGCTCCTGCAGCAGAAAAGCATCTGAAACCAATTGATCTCGCAGCACCTCTGACTACCGGCTGCCAAAGTGGACGGACTTACACTGTGACTGAAAAACGGTTTTAGCCTCATTTACAGTCAGTTACGGTCGAGTCATTCACAGCCAATTAGGTTCACAGTACAACTGTGGAATTCAAACAAACATCGAAACCGGCCGACTCAGAGCAACAATTAGCCTCACACCTCGCAGAATCAAAGCCAATAACAACCTGCTGCAGGACTGATTTACCCAGAATTGAGACACATGTTTGAGCTCTTTGGCTCTCTCTGAATTTCTGTCACATTTACTCCAGAATTCATGAAAGTCTGTGTGGACATGTGCAGGTATAAGGCCTTGCTCTGCCTGAGAGAAACTCCACCTGCAGACGGAGAAAACTGCGTCATCATGCTGCACAAGCTCGGTCCGGTCAAGAGTGGCTCCTTTCAGATGGGAGTCAGCAAGGTCAGTGACAGACTCGCCTTCAGATCACGGATTAGGAGTCAAAGAGCTTCATGAAGTTTCTGTGTGTGTCTGTGTTAGATTTTCCTGAAAGAGGAGATGTATCAGCTGTTGGAGGGAAAACGAGACCGCCTGCTGAACATCGCCGCCATGACGCTGCAGAGATACACACGGATGGTGTTTGTACGCAAGAACTTTGCCAAGTTACGGCGGCGTTTTACTTTGTTTGAGGCTCGCTGCAGAGGCTACCTCACCAGGTAAAGTTCACTTCAGCTCCAGAGTTTGGATATCATTAGAGCTTATTTGATTTAACAGCTTATGACTCATTTGAATAACGCCAAATAAAAGAGAGCCGAAGAAGAGCAAACTCCTCCAGAAGAAAGGAGGGGAATAAATGAGGAGAACCGCTCAGAGCTTTGTTTAAGGACAGCGCTCTGATCCACTTGAGTGAGGAGTTTGGCAACTGGGGCTTTAGAGAGTCTGGTTTCACTGAGCCAAATAGGTCAGAGCCGATCACTGACGACCTGCGTCTTCTGTTCCTGATGTGAAGAGACAGAGCCAGGGGATTCAGGCCGCGCTCATCCATCAAAGGCGAAAGCTCTCCCGCTCACTGCCTGTCAGACAAAACCTTGAGAAGTTATGCAAATGAGTATTTTATTTGAGCGCATAAAAAGTCACTTACTTGTTTAATAAGGACACTAAAAACGAGGGTCAAATCAAGGTCAAACATTTTGAATGTGTAATTATATTTCATAGAACGTCTGTGATGCACCGTGACGATCTAGGCACTGAAACTAAAACGAACACTATAAACCACATTAACATAAATCTCGCCGCACTCGTCATGCCGTCAGTCATAATTACACTGATTGACGTTTTGGTTCGATGACAAGCGTAAATACTCGAATATTTCTGCATAATTCATGAAGACGGTTTCTGCTTTTTGTTGCCAAAATTGTGGAATTTTCACATGAATGACTTTCTTCTCTTACTTTTAGAGTTCAAGTGTTTAAATATCAATCCTCTACTGTTCCCAAACAGGAAAAAGTTTGCTCTGAGGAGGAAGTACCTCATCAGGTTTCGCTCCGCCGTGCTGCTCATCATCAACCGCCAGCGCTACATGAGGGTATGCACGCTGTGTTTGTGTCTGCGGGAACGATTTCCAGTCCTTGTGTGTCTGAATGAATAAAAAATGAACAAATGTGTGAAGTGTCATACTGTCGTCTTTCTGTCAGACAGTGGTGGAGCCTGCGAGGAAGGCAGAGGAGGTGAGTGAAGTGAGCGTGTGCGAGAGCGAAGATGAAGAGGAAGATTAAGAGACGAAGAGCGAAACATTCGTCTGTTTGAGTTTGTTTGTGTCTGCGCAGGATCGCATCAACAGAGAAGTGGTGAATGTGACGACGCTGCCTATCCCTGCAGAGCTGGCGGCGCTGCTACAGGCTGCATCAGGTGTGCACTCACACACACACACACACAAACACACACACACACGCGTATGTTCGACACTCTGATTCAAAGTCAACAGGCAGCAAGGTCCATCATGTTTGCAGGCCAGTTCAGCTGTATTTTGTATATGACACATGGCCTGGTGTGTGTGTGTGTGTGTGTGTGTGTGTGTGTGTGTGTGTGTGTGTGTGTGTGTGTGTGTGTGTGTGTGTGTGTGTGTGTGTGCAGGAGGTGAGGAGCTGCATTCGGACTGCTTGGCTGTCGTCCAGGCTCCAAAGGTTCAGGTTGACCCCCAGCTGACCCTGCCCCTGGACATCAACAACTACCTCATGACACACTACATCAGGGCCATATTTAGGGTAAACACACACACTCACAAACAGACACACACACAGACACACACAGACAGACAAAAAAAGAAAAAGAGTGTCTGCACGCCCAGACTGTGAATAAACGTTTGAATAAAACATAAACGACATGATTGAACTTGTTGGGCCCTGAACTGTGAGTGTTCCATGTTCGCACACACACACACACTCACAGACATTGTTTACAGTCATTTATAAGCAGTGTGTGTTTGTGTGGTTGTGTGTTTGTGTGTGTTGCAGGAGCCATTGTTCGGGATGCTCACCGCCCCACTGGAAAATTCTCTCATTCGAACCGATGAGGAGCTGAAACAAGGAGCCCTGAACGTTTTCACCCTGGTATGTGAGACATTCACGTGACGCCGGTTGCAAATCTTATAAACGTACATATTAAGATTTAATCTCTTATAAACTCATGTAAACATCTTAACTTTACATATCAGGGTGACCATATTCTGAAACCCCCAAAAGAGGACACGCCTACGTGGGGGCGGAGTCACGCATAGTTAATTTTGAGAGTTTTGCGGATCGGATCGAGTGTTTTTGACACGCTTTGAAGTCAGTAAGTCCACGCGACACAAACTCAAAACTTCCATACAAAACCCCGGACATTTGAAGGACAAGGCTAAAGAGGACTTTTGATAGGGCCGGGCGATAAACCGAAAATTTACAGATACCAAAATTTACGACAATAACCGAGGACATTAAATGAATAAAGGAAAGTTGTTTTTGGATGTGTGCAGGTAGGCTATGGTCTCATGTCCCTTTAAGACGCTGTCCTACGTCAGAGACGTGACTCCACCCCATCCTGTCAAAGAGGGAAAGACAGGTGAGGAGATGGAGGACGGTTCAAAAGTTGGAGCGGCTGAAGTAGACGAAGTTAATGTGGGAGGGGGTGAGCAGCTTGTGGAGTAGTTATCGTCCATTTATCGTTACCGATGTGAACTGATCAATATATCGGGATATTGATTTGAGGACATATCGCCCAGCCCTTACATATGGTCACCCTAATTTATGGCAAAGGGAAAGAATCAAATGTGAATACTTGCCCTACTAATACTTTGAGAGGGTGATAAGACAGGACTGGAGGCCAGTTTAGGCTCATTTATGCTCGCCATACGTTTGAAAATGTTCGCGTTCGTTTCAAACGATGGTTCCGTCACTGCCCTCGTACGTCCTTAACGTTGACATGGATCACAAGGATTGTTGGCATGGCGACTGTGGAGGAGCGAGTGATAATGGATATTTTCCATAGGAGACAGAAATGGAGGCAGCGTTGGAGGAGGCGGTGGTCAGTCAGGCTGCTAAGCACCTCACGGATGACGGAGAACTCTTTTCTTTAGTCGTACTGATGAGTGAAATTGACGACGATCGTCTTTTTCAGCCCCGACATTGTCTTCTTCGTTTCTCTCTAGAGATGCGTATCGGGTCATAACAGCTGCAACACTGCCCCCTGTGGTTTCTGATGGTAATGCTCCGTCTGGCCTTTAAACTCAAGGGACACGTGCAGAAATACGGACTGAGCCAGATCCGTTAAGCATAAATGAGCCTTTTGGCACTCGGTCTCTCCTACTATAGAGCCTGTTTATTGTGATAAATACTGTTTAGTTCTAAAAACATCTCTAACGGGTGATTTTAGAGTCCTGTTCCTTTCTGATGCTGCGTTTAGTTTTATAGTTTTAAGGTTTCCTATCTGCATAGTTTGAACCTGCATTTTTGGACAGACAAACACACTGTGGTTACAGACGGTGATTTTTGGCAGTAATGCGGTGATTTCCAAAACAGAGTCAAGTTCATTTTAATGCAGAGCTGCCTGAAGTTGACAGTCATCCAGTTCTAGTTTCTGTCCTCGCCCCCTTTGGTACAGAGATTGATGAACTCCCTAAATCCCTTTCCAATTTTATTCTGAATGTTTTGAAGAGTTTTCTCTCACACACAGAGCGGAGAACCTCTTTTTCAGCCGCTCTGGGATTCCCTCTTTAAAATCTGCGGTAAATTAACCAAAGTTTAATCTCTTTGTCTTTGCAGCAGAGAGTTAAATGATTTGAAAACCATCAAAATATGTTTCCATCTACAAACTTTCTCCACACTATGGTTGGATCATTTCAGTCAACATTGGCGTTGCTCTCTAACCACATATTGACTCGTAAAGCTGTTGTATTTGTTGTAAATCCCTGTTATAATTATTCTGGCAGATTTTAAGGTTCATGGGTGACCCGAACCTGAACGGGGCTCAGGAGAACATGTTCGGGAACTACATCATCCAGAGGGGACTTGCCAATCCGAATCTCAGAGATGAAATCCTGGTTCAGGTCGCCAATCAGGTGAGCTATTTATCGGTGAGATGGAAATGGAAGTTTTGATCAGACCGGATGTTTCAGAGTGTTTCTTTCTCCTCTCATCTGTTAGGTTTGGAGGAATCCTAACATTTTAAATTCAGAGCGCGGCTGGCTCCTCCTCTCCTCTTGTCTTTCTGCCTTCCTGCCCTCTCAAAGGTTGGCCAAGCACCTGCTGAAGTAAGAAACATCCCCTCATAGAGAGACGTGTATAAAACTATCAAACAGTGTCGTATTTCAGTTAAAGTTTACCGTCCGAGATTCAGCCTCGCTCGTCTTGTTGCAGATTTGTGTCTGACTACGGTCCAGAGGGTTACGACTGCGTGTGTCAGCACCGTCTGCTTCAGGCTCTGCAGCGGCTCAGTGTCGGACCGGAGTACGCCCGCACGTACCCGCCCTGTCTCCTGGAGTGGACCGCCAACCGCAAGAGAGCTCACACCGTTCTGCACATACACTGCTTCGACGGTGGGAACACACACACACACACACACACACACACACACACACACACTGAACTGATTTTGGTGTTAATTTTGATCGACTGAAAAGAGAGAGCAGTTATCTCTTTACTGAATGCCCTGCAGCAAAGCTCTGGACGTCTCTCTCCAACAGCACAGGCAGCTTCTAGGTCACTTTCACACTGTCATTTATCAAAGTGTACCTTTTTGTCAACAAATCACACGGCGGTCTTCAGGTCGTTCAGCGATTGGTCAGAAAATTAGCGAGGGAAAATCACCTTCTGTCAGTTTTTCTGTCAGTAATGGAGCAGCAGCAGCAGTAGCATGTAGCGTTGGCTTTGACAGGTATTATATTGATATGGTGCTGCGATCAGGACAGATGGAGACATGTGAGCCGTGACCATATATGGTATAATCATGTCATACACTCTATAGACTGTTTGACATGATTCTGAGGACATTTTACAGAAGAAGGCAGGAGCCCTTATGGGTGCCTGTGATGTTTTATGTGTTTTTATGACACAGAAGACGAACATTACGTGAGACCTAGTGATGGGATGTGAATTATAAACAACTCTAGTATTGATTTCCAAAGTAACCAACCCTTTTGCCGGTAGTTTATTCCGTCGTTTTGGTGTGATGACTTAAAACGTGTCGGCTTTCTCCTCCTCTCTGTCGGGCTGCTAACGCTCACAGACCCTCCGCTTCCTATTCTGTTAGCTGGTAACTCGGGGTGTCCCGATACAATATTGATTTTGGATATCGGTCCGATATCAGCAAAAAAACAAATCTTGGATTATATCGGCATGCATCTAAATTCATCTCTATTCCAGACTCTGCTCCAGCACCCTGATCCAGCATGCAGAGCCCACATCATCACAACAACAGTGTGGACTAAAGTACTGACAAAGTAGAGAGGAGTAGGAGTGATATCGGCCTTGTGGGAGTATTTTTTGTTTAAGTCTGAAAAAGACGCTGCAGCTGAGTGAAAAACCCAATATCGGTATCGGCCAATATTGAAGGCTACAATATCGGTATCATATCAGAAGTCAAAAGGTTGTATCGGGACACCCTGTTGCACTGCTGTTTTGGTTTGCTTCCTGTATTTGGTCCTAATAAAAGTCTCACCTGAAGTGAACCAGAACATGGTTCACTTCGAAACGGACCGAGTCCTGACTTTTTTGGGGGGACCATGGTCCGCTTGTTTGGTCCGACAAAAGTCCAGATCGTGGTCCGGGGGGAGTGTTCAAACATGAAATTTTGGTTCTGAACAAACGAGGCTTGTGTGAACGCAACCTGAGTCGTGTTTCTAAACAGACGCAGCTTTTCAAAGACGTCCCTGTCTTACTTTTTTGTGTTTGATTTCCTCCTGAAACCGAGAAAACTGATTTTATGATCATGTCCGCTGAGATGAACTTTCACCTCTTTATTTCCCGTCCCTTGAACTCCTCCTTGTTGATCTCTGCTTTCTCGTTTGTTTGTTTGTCTTTTTACCCGAGTCTACCTTCTATTCAGCGCCACATAGTCATCTGTCGGCCTCTGTCTCATTTCCTCCTCTCATCCAGCTAATCTGTCCTCTGGCCTTTTGGCAAGCCTACTGAGGATTAGACAACACCTGATACTCGCTCTGGTTCACTGGCGGTGTTTGAGTCTGTTTGTTGCTGCTGCTGGTGTCTGTGTAACTCTTCACAGACAGACACACACAGACAGACAGACAGGCGAGGCTGTTCGCTCCTGATTTTGTGACTCAGTTGGGGATTTATCTCATAACCTGATTATAACGGCTTTTTAATGCATTACAAGATGAAAGAAGAGCCAACGTCGATTCTTAGTTGTAGTTTTTGTCGAGTTAATTTTGTGTGTCTTTGAATGTCTTTTATCTGCAGCCGTGTCCTTCTTGTGTCCTCTACACTCCTGGACGACAGGAGAGGAAATGGCCAAAGACATCTTACAGCACAGGTATCGTCCGTCACCACGCATGAAACAAACGAAGGAGACGCTCGCAGAGACTGAGAAGTTCTCTTTGTGTGTTTGTGTAGGGGTGTAGCGGAGGGCCGTCTGGGCTGGTCGGTTCTGCTGAAGGAGCCGGCTCAGTGGGTGGAGCTGGAGGGCTCAGACTACGTCCTGGATCTGATGTCGGACCTGGAGCTTTCTGCCGAGTTCCCCAAACACAGCAGCTACTTCATCATCTCTGCTCAGGAACCGAGCAGAGTGCGGCCCAATGCCAGCATGTGAGGGACAAGCACGCACACACACACACACACACACACACACACACACACACTCAAGGAGAACATCCGTTAGTCGTTTTCCAGCATCAGAGCGTCGATCTTACTGAACTACATCCACTACATGTGGAACTGAAAATGAAACTGAAGCCTCTCTGACCTCCAGAAACAAACATGGCCGACCACTTCTCTGGTTTAATTTTTAAAGCCTGAACCTGCCGTGAAGGTGTCAGACAAGATGATTGACAGCAGGCTGACAAACACCTTTTTTCAGACTGCGGTGTGTGAAAGGAGGGCTGACTGTTTCTGTGTTGTCGCTGTGGTCCACCCACCGGGTCTGCACGCTCCTACAGACTGATTTAAACGAGTTTCTGCTGTAGCATTATGGGGACTTCAGAGATATGCTTTTAAAACCACTCCTCTCCTTGAGCGAGTCTACTCTCTCCTTCGTTATGATTAAGGTGTTAAAGGTTAGAGGCAGGTACGCCACCTCACCTGCTCTCCTGTTGGTCGTAAAAACTCAGTTCCAATGAGAACAAGAAGTAGGAATACTGGTCAGATTATAGTGAACCACACAGAGACATGCTGTTGTTGTAACTCTAAAAGTCCTCACACACCGGGGCCGACGCGAATATTGAACGCAAAATTACGAAATATTTGGAGGCGAATTTAACGCCTGACTAAACACATCAAGCCTGATGTGATTTTGCGACTTTCCGGGGGGAGAAGACGCATCCCGGGGAAGACTTTTCCCGCCTCTTGGAAACGTCATCACACACTCAAGTCAAACAGTCAGCACTTATAACCAATCAGAGGCGAAGGACAGTGTTCTACAGCGTTCTACAGTTCTGATCAGAGTCTAGTGTTGAGATGTCTGTCTGTCATGATAGCATGGACTGAGTCGGGGTCAGTACCAGATAATACCAGATTTTCAGTTTCTCATTTATCAGACGTTGAGGCTCACACTCTCATCTTTGTCATCCTCTTTTAATGTTGAACAGAAGCCTGTTGGGCGGCGGGTTCGACATGAACGGTGATGTCATGTCTTCAGCTCTCTCCGGCTCTGACGGACAAGGTACGGCTCAAATTTAACATGACAGCTCACAAACAGCGATCATGATTCCTGCTGACCCCGGACTGCTCTCCTCTCCTGTCACAGACTTTGAGCCTCACAGAGGGATGGATCGTTATCTTGACAGCCTGTTTGACCCAGTCCTGTCTGACGGAGCTGCGGTAAGTTACATAACTTACTCACTCACTCTGACACACTTGACCACCTGAGAGGCCGGGCGGGTTACTCTGCAGATCAGGTGGAGCTCTGTCGAGCACCTTAGCTGAGAGCGTCAGTGTCTGAACACACTTTGCTCTGCCTGGTCAGATTTATTTCATACACAGTCATCCATCATCTCTACTGCTCATCTCATTTGGGCTGGAAGGGGAGTTTGAACTGATCCAAATTGGTCTCGGGTGAGAGGTACATATGCGGACACCAAATTAAGAGAGTCTCTGACCTTTAAAATCCACACAGAAAAGACCTCCTCACTCAGATGTTACTCATCATTCTCTATCCTCACTTCCTGTCCTCTCAAATAAAGTAAAAAAAGGGATGGATATGAGACGAGCAACAGTGGGAAAGTTTTCTAATAGTTAAAAACACCTGGAGAAACATCACAGAAACAGGTCAGTCACATGACAGAGAGGCGGAGTCTCTCAGGAGGAAAGATGGAAGAGGCTCAGTCATGTTTGTGAGACCTCAGCGTAAAACTGAACAAGGTTTGGAGATTTTGTCATCTAGAGTACAAACTAGAGCGACACAGTGCTGTAGTGGTTAACACTGTCGCCTCACAGCAAGAAGGTCCTGGGTTTGAATCCGGGTCAGGGTGTTTCTGTGTGGAGTTTGCATGTTCTCCCTGTGTCGGCGTGGGTTTACTCCGGTTTCCTCCCACATCCCAAAAACATGCAGAAGTGGAGTTAGGTTAACTGGCCACTGACTGATTCATGTCGTTCATTCGCTGTGAGCAAATCACAAGACTCCGCCCACCCACCTTCTCGCTGGCTGGCTGTGTGTCGGTCACCAAAGAGTCAAAGGCGGCAGTTCCACTCCCGACCGTCGGCACGTCAGGCTCACGTCTGAGCTCAACTGAACTGAGAGAGGAACCAATCAGGTCTCGGAGTGATTCCATTCATGTCGTTCACTCAGCAGTTCTGTTTTGAACGACACGACACCAGTCTCTGCACGAATCGACCAAGAAGTCAACCAGTCGACCAGGACTTTACAGCCCTACTTTTTCCAGGTTACTTTCTCGATATCTGGACGTTTTCAGGGCTCGTTAAAAACATGTTTCAGCCTCAGTTTAACTCAGAGGGCCTGAAATTGAGTCGCAGCTGTTAGAGTTTGAAATTCTCCGTTTTATCGGAGGCTCACAGGTGAAGTCGAGTGCTGAGTTTAGTCTGCTGATTGCTGATGTTTACAAAAGACAACTGTTATTAATTAATCGTTTGAGTTTCTCATTTTGACTTGTTGATGAGACGGCCTTTAAAAAACACCTGTGTCATCGTTTCTTAGACTCACACGGTTATTATATTCCACCGTTGTCTCGTTACTTTTCGTTGATGGAGTTTAATCTGTTTCAGAGCGACGGCCTACAGCGGTGGATCTATCAGTCCTCAGTGAATGTTAGCCGTGCTATCGGATGTGGCTGACAGGAATTAGCATGTATCAGATGTGTCGTACAGACCTCTCCCGCCCAGCAACCTATTACGTTACCCAGTTACCGTAACTGTCACGGCCACTAGATCGCCACGGTGATTTCCCACCCCAGGCAACGCAGGGATCTGCTTACGAGGAACTGACACTCTGGCAAATGAAGGGCTTACTATTTAATGAGACATGGCCCCGAACACACACACACACACACACACACACACAGAGCGTGGATTTATGGGTCAGTGGATGATTTCTGATGGCACACATGAGAGCGAGCTTCCTCTGATCCGATCTGCTCTGATTACACCAGTGTGTAAATATTTTTTATGCTCCTCTTTAACTCCAACTCTCCGTGAGGAAAACTAAAACTAAAAACAGAGTTTACTGTCAAATATTTCAGAGACGCAGCTCCGACGAGGTTTTACAGCCTGAATGAAACTAAAAAGAGTGTAAACTAGGGCGTCATGATTAATCGATTTCAAGTCGTAATCCTATTATTTGATTATGACAATGTTAAAAAATTTAAAATCATCAAATTTATTTCCCTCTCCGTCATGTCTCGCACCTCCAGGCCACCGTAGGCTCCACAGTTCCCACAGACACCAGTGTAAACAAACATGGCGTTTGCAAAAGAAGGCGATAATTTCTTGGTTAAATAGGACAAGAGCGAGTCAGTCGTGTTGAATTGGTACGACTTCACAGTTTCAGATGAAGAGTAAACCACTCCCCGCTGTAAAGTCTGTCTGAAGGCGGTATCAACCCGTCACCACGGAAACGAATTCAGGAGGAAACGCTGAAGTTTTTTGTCGTATCAGCGTTTCAGGTGACTGTAAACGTACTTTTTAAAAAACGGGTCAGAGAGTGAATAAATCTGTAAACGACGACCATTTCATCTCCGTGTGGATGTCTATCTGCATCTCTGGAAACCATCATGTGACACACAGAGGAACTCTTTTATGGCGCTGAAACAACCTTTATACACATGCTCTGTACTCTTCTTCTGTCTTTGGTGCATTTCCTGTTCAGCGTTACAGCGCCACTTACTGGCTTGGCATATGAACTACATCGTTTTCAGTGGTTTGGTCTTGATAGATGATAAAAAAACTTTTTATTAAAGTTGAATAAAAAATCGAAAATCAAGTTTTTAGGGGAAAAAAATGGGATTTTATTTTTGGCCAAATCGTGCAGCCCTAATATAAATGTCACAAATCAGTCATAAATTTTAGTTTTGAGTTCGTTTTTTCACAACATTTAAAAATACACCACTTGCATGTTTTGATATCGTCTCCTCTACTTCAAAAATACCGATAACTTGAACTATTCATCGAGATATTTGCTGGTAAGTGAGTTTTTCAATATGGTGGTCAAACTAATGATAGAAAGGAGTGATGCCTCTTCAAACTTCAGTTTTCTTCAGGTTTATCAAAGTTCAGGTTTGATAAATGTGTTTCAGCCCTAAACTGCAGTCATATCACAGAATAATGAGTCTAAACTAATGAGATTGATTCGATATCGATGTTTGGTCGAGTTTTCTTCTCCACCTGACTTCGTGTCGTCTTTCACACCTGTGTCGTCGTCTCGCATTTACATCTGAATCCACTCTGTCGGCTTGTCTTTACAGGAAGCAGAATCAGCTGCAGGACTGTCGAGTCGGATAAAGGGAGGTGGAGGAGTCGGAGGAGGTTGGCAACAGCAAGGGCAGTCATCCAGACCCCCACCTCCACCTGGAGGTCAGTCAGAAATCACACTCTTCCTCTCTCCCCCTGAAGCCACTCTTTTTTTCACACATCCACTATTTCTGATTCGATTCGTTATAAACAATGATAATAAAATGATGTAAAGAAGCTGATTTATACGGAGATAAAATAAACTAAAGACTCAAAGTTTACAATCAAGTTCAAACATTTGTTGATTTGTTAAAATTCACGCTGAGTTTGATATTTCCAAAAGTCACAAACATATGCAGGATCTCACTTTAATGTCAGAGCAGGTGTGAAAAGATGTAAATATGTGTTTCTGTATTTTTGTGACACTTCATATCTTAAGAAATCATGAGCGAGTCTGAGAAAACACACACACACACACACACACACACCGCAGTGAGATTTCAGTGTTTGTGTGTTTTTGTTTTTTGTGTATCCACAGCTGTGAGAGTCCTTCCCGTGGGAGGCGTGATGTCGCCTCCTGTTGCGGCGGTGGCACCTGTAACACCTGGTTTGTGTCAAGTGTGAAGAAAAATACGCAGAAAAAAATGGTGAAACATCCTTTTCCTCCCTCCGTCATGTTGACGGTGTTGCTCCTCCTCTCCCCTCCAGATGCCCAGCAGACTGTTTTGGCGCAGCAGCAGCAGGCCATCATGAACCAGCAGGCCATCATCATGGTAAACCCTCCGTCTGCGTCTGCGTCTGTTCATGCCGCCGTGACGCTGCGCTTTTATTAATCAGTCATGTTTTGTTTCCCAGGCGCAGCAGATGACCATGCAGGCTATGGCCATCGCCAGCAGCCCGGTCACGAGTCCCCCTACATCTCCGATCACGAGCCCCCCCATGAGTCCTCTTCTCCACCACCCTCCCAGCCCGTACGCTCCCGCCAGCCCGTACGCCGTCATACCTCCAAGTCCGTACGCGAACATCCCACCGAGCCCCTACGCCAACTTCACCCCCACTCCCTACGCCGACGCAAACATCCCACCCAGCCCCTATTCGCCGGCTGCTGAGCCCCAGACTCAGCCTCAGACCTCCAACCCGAACCAGAACCCGAACCCTCAGTCCAGCTCCGCTAAAACCACCAAAAGTGAAGCAGCAGAGCCTAAAGCCAGCGCCGCCGCCGCCGCCGCTACTCAGGTCAGTAACTCCGAGACATGTGAGGTAACGGTCCAGACCGACATCTTACATAATGATGCGGTACTTTTTAATTCATGGAGGAAAACTGCAACAACAACAAAAACAGACAGCGCTGCTCCCCGAAGACACATAAAACCCTCCGAACCAGATGGAGTTTCCTTTTTAATCGTCAGAGTGAATAAAATAAAGAGTGTGTTGTCAGGAGGATGAGACGCTCCATTTTTGATGACTCAGAGGAAAATGAAAACCTGTTTGTGTTTCATTTGATCTCATTGAGATGAATTTTTAAAGGGAGAAGAAGTGGAAGCTCATAATTAACGGGGCTGATCAATAATCAGGAAGTCAAACACCAAGAAAAAACAAAAACATGTAAAAACAAACATGTTGTAGTCAGGATCTGATGAAGTTCCAGTTTTTAGGAGAAATCTTGAATGTAAACTCGACCCCTCCCAACCAGTTTTCCCCTCAGCTCCTCCTCTCCCCTCAAGCCCCGCCCACAAACAGACGCTCCTGCTCGCTCGTATCGTTCCAGTTAAATTCAGATATAATGCAGATAAATACTTCAGATCATTACAAATGGGGCCCAGTCAAGGTGAAAGTCAAAAGCATTGGTGCTACTGTAGATGCCAACAGACTACCAGCAAACACAATGTTTGCAGGACTTCTACAACGAGGATAAAGTGACATAGTCCAGGACCCGAGGGAGGACAGTTTAGCGATGGCGCTACAACATGCTACAGCAGGTCCGTTTGACAAGAAACACTTCTGTTACAGACACTTGTCTTACTTTGTTAAAGCGGTTTACCTGTCCAGCAGAAAGGTTACAGGGTCACCAAGATCCCCAAGCGTCCCCCATGGTTTATGTTGACCCGGCTTTTTAGCTCTTGTCCGCTCTACCTCCGTTTTAAGCGCCCGTTATTCCTCCAGAGTCTCCGGTATTTACTTTGTTTTCTTGCTTGTGTCGGCAGTCGTGGCCAAAGGAGGATTCAGACAATTTTCCGAACTTTCTGGTTGGTTTCTACTGTCCGATATTGTAGCACGCTAACTTTGTTTGGGCTCCTGAACGACACGGGGGAGCAGCGTCTGCCTCACAACCAATCAGGTTAGAGGAGGTGGAGAACGGCTTTGTTTACAGTCAGAAAGAGCGGACCGCTCAAAAATGTTCAAATGTTGACGACACAGACATAAGAGAACACAGAGATATCGATATATTACCAAATGTCATCAATAACTAATAACTATTGACTGATATTGAAAGCTGTTTTGTGAATACACCATAAAATAAAGATCCTTCTTTAGCGGATTCCTGCCTACTTCACCTTTAAAGTGATTCAGAGTTAAAAATATCAGATTGGCCTGTGGATGAGGATCAAATGACCCCAGAAAGTCTCCAAAAGGAATAAAGAAGGACTCAGACTGACAGCTGCGCCCTGCTGAGGGCAGCTTTAGTTTTGGTTGAATAGTCTGTGTCTTGTGATAAAGTTGTTTCATGTGTTTCTCACTCTGAACTAATGTCTGATAACACAGTGTTTTGTTTTGTTTCCTATTTTTATTTAAAGTATTTCTTCATCTGATTTGCTCGTGCGTAACACAAGAAGTCCATATTTGTCCGTCCAACCTGAACTGCTCTGATTCTAACTCAGTCACAAGAGGAGAAATGTCTGCAAAGCCTTTAGCACAAACCCTGTCCTCTCTCTGTGTCTTTTATTATTTCATTTTCCAGGTTCAGTCAGATAAGGACAGCGTCCCTCGGAGGAACGCTCCCGGCGTTCCTATAAACAAGGACAAACCAGCCAGAAAGTTCGGTAAGAGAAAAGGAGACAGAAAATATGAGCGAGCGGGAAAATGGAGAGACAGTCCGTTCAGTGAAAAAACGAGAGGATGACTGCTTTTTCTTCTGAATGTGTGTTTGTCACAGACCCGGTGGTTACCACTCTTCCACCCCCTGCTGGAGAGGTGGTGAAGTACTCCGCTCGGTCCTCAGATCATATCGTCCCCAGCCATGATGTCCAAGGTACTTAACTCACTCAGCGCCAGATTCATTTATGCAATTTTTTGATTTTAATTTTTTTAGAATTAAGTTCAATATCTCAAAAGAAAAGGGTGATTCTCTTCTTTCACCAGGAAAAAAAGTTAATCTCTAACCCACTCCTGTGTTTAGTTATCGCCTCCTCAATGCAGCGTGGTCGTATCGTCTTTGCCGATCTATAAAAAAACATTTTTAAGAAGGAGAAACTTTCGAGCAGAACTCTGATCGTCTATTTTATTTAACTTCTAACTACTTTACCGACGGCATCAAGCTCCTCCCTCCTCGGACACCACTCCTCGTCACTCTCCAGATCAGATAGTGATAGGTCACTTTGAGACGGCTGGGAGTCATATTTGCTCTCGAGAACCTGACGGCGCAGCGTAAACCACACGGACCGCTCGCGTCCTCCTCGCCGTGACTGTCGCTGAATTCCAGCTCAGTCTAACGCACCAGTAGTGGCACCAGCGGCAACGACACGCCGGAAATCTCCACTGGATCCAGAGACAGTAGCACCACGCCCACGGGAGCCATTGCGCCAAGACCGTTAGCTCTTGGCTAATGACTTTGGCGTTTTCCTAGAGAAAAAACACTCCACACCTAGGCTAATGGGCTGAGCGTATCGGCCGATATCTGATGCCGATTTAATAATACTGTTGAATAAATGAACTGTATACCTTACCCCGAGAGTGAAGGCCTCAGGTTTGACATTAGCCTTGTTAAAAAAAAAGGTAACAAATTAACACAGTTACATATTTACCTAATATTATTTATCAACAAATAACAAATTGCTCATTAGTACACAGCAAAAAGAAGTAAGACATTCATGTATTGAAAGAAAAATTAGTTAAAAGAAAAAAAAGACTGGATCAGAACGCTGGATCGGCTTCAGTCAACCGATATCTGATCCAGTTAATTTGTCAATATTGGAGCCGATATCCGATCCAAATATCGGATCGGTGCGTCCCTAGCGAGTACTTGTTTTTGTTATTGTAACATGGTTATGACGTATTTGTCGGCTTTTCTGCGTTCAGAACAACCCCAAACTTAGTTTCGTGTCGAGGAGGAGCGCCCTCTGGCGGGAAGCAAAAAAACCTAAAAAATCCGTCAAAATCCATCGATGGTACTGAAGGAGTTAAATGTCGACTGTAAGGTGATTTATTTTGAAGCTGTTTGTTGGTTTGTGTTTGAGTTTGAAACATTTGATAAAACTCAGACTTGGTTTGTTCTTTTTTATTACAGAAATTATCAAAAGGTACAACTCGCCACCGCCGCCGCCCGACGTTCTGCCTCCTGGAAAGAGGTACGGTGCCCCAAACACACACACACACACACACACACACACACGCACAGACTGATAAGGGTTGAGCGCAGTAATCAGAGTTTAAATTGCTTGTAAATACATCACAGCAGTTGATGCTATCTTCTTCAGTCGGAGAATTAACTGTGCATACTGTAAAACCCCGGCTGCAACAAACCTCCAGCAGATACCGACTGAGCACACAGCGCCAGAATGATTATGTTTGCACAAATTACACACACACACACAGATTATACACAAGACTACATTTGTTGTTCCTGCAAACGGCGCTGTGTGGCGTGTTGACACTGTGAGGATGTATTTAGGAGACCTGAGGGGAAGTTTAAGAAGAAGCAAACTCCTCGTGACGAAGCTCTGCAAATCCTCAAACCGCAGATGGACAACCCTCCTGCTCCACAGGTACACAGAGAAACACACACACACACACACACACTTACTGAGAATAACAAACCCTTGAGAAGTGTGACACAGGTGTGTGTGTTTGTGTCCTTCCAGCCCAAACGTCCTGTGGCGGCCTCACCGTCTGCATCCGCCCCCAAAGAAGGAGGAGGAGGAGTCAAACCGACCAAGAGCATGAAGACGAGAGCGCCTGATCGGCCTCTCCCTAAACCTCCTCCAGGTACTCACACTCAGCGGCGACTCCGTTTAGATCGCTCTCTCCAGCGCAGATGTAGACGATGGTAGCGGTCCAGAAAAGTCGTGTAATGGACGGATCTGTGTCAGCGAAAACCTAAACTCCAGTCCGGTAAAGGCAGAGTTCGTCGAAAAGCCCCGCCTCCTCATGTTGGGGCGGGTGTCACTGTTCTAAAAGCATCAGTTGAGCTAGAGCTCTAGTTTGATGTTAAAAATAGATCAGCTGATGACTCGAAGGTAAAAAATAAAACTGACTGTTCCTTTAAATCAGCGACTGGAACTCCTGACAATCTCCACGAAATCACAGCTCGCCTAAAACTCTGTCTGTACGATGATAAATCTAACCCTTCAAAATAAAAGCCCAGCATGTTGCAAGGGTTTGGCTCCTCCCCTCAAACAGCTCTAACTTGCAGGGAGAGAAGGAGGAGAGAGAAGGAGGAGGAGAGAGAAGAGCAGGAAGAGGAGGAGAAGAAAGGAGGAGAGAGGAAAGCAGGGAAAGGAGGAGGAGGAAGAGAGGAGAAGGATGAGGAGAGAGGAGAGCAGGGAGAGGAGGAGGAAGGAGGAGGAGAGGGGAAAGAAGGGAGAGGAAGAGAGGAAACACAGAGGAGAGCAGGGAGAGAGGAAAGCAGGGAAAGGAGGAGGAGGAAGAGAGGAGAAGGATGAGGAGAGAGGAGGCGAGAGGAGAACAGGGAGAGGAGAAGGATGAGAGAGGAGAGCAGGGAGAGGAGGAGGAGAGAAGAAAGAAGGAGGAAGAAGAGAGTATGAGGAGAGAGGAGAGCAGGGAAGGGGGGAGGAGAAAGAGAAAAGGAGGAGGAGAGAAAAGAGCAGGAAAAGAAGGAGGAGGAAGAGAGGAGTAGGAGGAGAGCAGGGAGAGAAGATAAGAGGAGGAGGAGGAAGAAGAGAGCAGGAAGAGGAGGAGGAGAGAGGAAAGCAGGGAAATGAGGAGGAGGAAGAGAGGAGAAGGATGAGGAGGGAGGAGAACAGGGAGAGGAGGTGGAGGAGAGAAGAGGAGGAGGATGAGGAGAAAGAAGGCGAGAGGAGAGCAGGGAGAGGCAAAGGACGAGAGAGGAGAGCAGGGAGAGGAGGAGCAGGCCGGTGTGTGAGAGTCAGAAAAATCCAGGTGAGAGCTGCTCCGATCTTTGTCATTATTTCACTTCTCTACTTTCCTCCTGGTCAAAGTCGTTCCTGATCGTAAATCCTTTTTCTGTTCTCACTTTCTTCTGCTGTTCTCTTAAAAAAAAAAAGGAAAAAAATAATCTTCATTTATCATTAATCAAATATTTTTGGAGGATATATTTTAAAGCACACCTTGATTTTTCTTATAGATACTCCTCACTGTCACCAAATATCTATACTCAGTACTACAGCGCCTCTAGTGGTCAATAATCTAACATGTACAGTAACTCCTGAGAAAAAAGGACTTATCGACTGTCACAAATCAGTGTGATCACATTTTGACGATCAAGTCTGAATATATTTAAATCCTGCAGAATAATTCAGACTTCCAGGTTCCTCGCTGGTCTGCGGGTCATCTGAGGAACAAAGACCTGCAGGAGTTAATTTTCAAGGTCACATGATCAGATATAGGAGAGAACAAAAGCCCACAGAGCGTTGTCGTGGCGTCACTCAGCGCCGACCTTCGACAAACACCCAGCAGACATCACTTTGTGCTCAGAGGACGTCCCCGGTTATTATTCTGCATAAATTCTGCTGTGAATTGAACCAAACTGACACTTCCCCTCATTTACTCACCCACACAAAAATATCAAGTCTGTTCGCTGATAATTTACATGTGCGAAGTCAAGGTCGGCGGCGACCGCAGAGAGACCGTCGAACAGGGACACGCTCGCCCTCACAGCAGGCAGGTGGCAACGCGCCACGACATCTGACAGGTAGATCGGCAGCTTGTGAAAACACATCTGTCCTGTCGTGTTGTGGGCGCTTGACCTCAAAGTGTAAACGACATCAGAACGATGTCGGCGAAGAGGAGAAATGAAGACAGAGTGTCGTAAAGCGGGACATCTACAGATTCAGAAAGTCCAGAAAACAGTTCAGGTTTTCCTAAAACACGATCCTCTTATTTCACCTCCTGTGTTCCTCCTCAGCCTCAGACTCCTCTCACCTGTGGGTGTAACGGAGTAAAGACCTGGCGTGGAGACGGTTGGTCCCAGAACGCTGGAGCTAAGTGATAAGGTGTCGTGAGCCCACTTTGATGAAACACCAGTGAAGGGAGGAGCCCGTCTGATAACCTCGGTGATACAGCGGCCCTCTCTGCCCCTCTGTCCTCATCTATCTTCACTTTTGGGTTTCAGGGGAATCTCAGGAGTGGTGTGGTCGGTTAAAAAATCTGCCAGTAGGGAAGTCCAGATTCAATCCAACTTTTTAATCTGAGGAGAAAAAGAAGAAGAACTTTATTGATCCCTGAAGGGAAATTCAGAGTCCTGCCCTGGATAATAGATCTGCACACTATCTTTTCCTTTTTTAGGTTGTAATAAATTAACTTACGTAAACACGATAACTAAAAGATGTCTCCAGTTCGCTCCAAAGTGAGACGTCGGGCGAACGTCAGAGCTCCAACTGTCTGTAGAAATGCTGACAGCAGCCATACTGTGTTTTTAATCTCCTCGTATGTCATCACACGCTTTACTTCAGCTCTAATCGGCGTTCTGGGTTTGTGATGTAATAATTTACAGACAGTTCAGAAGACAGAAACACAAACCAAACTCAATATGTTTCTGTAGAAGTGGATGAAGCTCAACAATCGTGGCCATCAACTGATTATTTCCACCCTGCTGACATCTTAGCCAAAGGTTTCCAGGATCAGGACGGGAATTAAGAACCGATTCTTGTTGAGAACTGGTTCCAAATGGTTCAATCCATCGACATCATTTACATCTTATTTTAACGTTTCCTTCCTTCTTGGTGCCTTAAAAAACGGTCTCGCAAGAGCCGACCTACGCGAACGAGAACAGAGACTTTGAGGAAAAAAAAACATTGCAGACGGTACGAAAAGTCAGCAGAAACGATCTAAAGCATCACTTCATTTTACTAAGAAAGACGACAACAGTGCGACGTTTGTCGAGCTGTGATAACATGTAAAGATGGAAACAGCAGCAACACGCTTCAACATTTGTCAACGAGGCGCAGCGACAAATATAAGGAGTCACATGTGTTCGATGATCTTCACCGGTCGTCAGACGCTGCCTCTTCGTTTCAACACGTCATGTATGTCCTGTTTTAACAAAAGCTCACTGCATGTCCGACTTAACAGCGTATTATGTATTTGACTTAATACCGACCGAAGAAACGCTGTACAAACAGTTTATCGTTTCATTATTTTTAGACTCTCACTGAAGGTGACATACGTCTTTTTCTGTCATCAGAGACTCAATCAAATTTTGAGTTAACGATGAAAACTAATAGGGCTCTACTTTCGCGCTCGCCGACGGCATGGTGTAGGCGCGGCGTGAGTCAAGTCCGCCAGATCAGATATAGATAAATATAGATATAGATCAGACTATATCTATAGATGTAAATGTATGTGCTGACTCAGAATATCGGTTGTTGTTGATTATTTATCTCACTGAAATGCGTCTGAAACTGTGGAAACCTGCCGGTGAGGCCGGTGTTGAAATGTCGAGATGGTTTCTTCACCGAGAACTTATCCTGTCATTAGAGTTCTACTACAAAAAATCAAAGTTCTCTCTCAGTGCGGTTTTATTCCAAACAAAGGGCCTTAAGAGGAGGAGAGACTAACAAATACTGATGTTTCTGTCGTAGTTTCTCGAGAGCTTCCTGTGGAGACGGAGACCATCCTGACACAGCTTCATCAGAGCACCAACGAAGAGCACTACACCTACACTAATGTTCCCTGGAGACTCTACCTCAGAAAAGAGGTGGGTACAGACAGAAACACAGACCCGCTCACTGTCAGACTGCCTGTTTTCTCTTCTTCTAGTTCTGTGAGTATTTTCCTGTCGTTTGCAGGTTTTTTATCCCAAAGACAGCTTCAACAATCCTCTGGTGCTGGATCTCATCTTCAAACAGGTGGGACTTCAGATTCAGATCCATTCATTCACCTTCTCCACCGTTTTTTACCTGACGACAGTCGAACCTCAGACTGAACAAACTAAATAATTTCTGCGGCTGCCTGTCCTCCGCTCTCTTCCGCAGATCGTGAACGACACTCTGTCAGAGGCGTGTGTTCGGATCACCCGGGATGAAAGGCAGAAAATGAAAGCTCTGTTCGGTACTCTTTCTCTTCTCTGAGACTGACTCCTCTAATCCAAACACATCTCTTTGACATTCATGAGCTCATCTGTATGCTCGTGTGATTGACAGCTAAACACGGCGTAGAGCAGAATATGGATCCAGTGGAGGAGCACGTGAAAAAAACAATCGTGACAGCAGCCAGGGAAACGTGGGAAATTTACTTCTCCCGTCTGTTCCCCGCATCGGTGAGAGCGATAATCCCCAGAGGAGAATAATTACTGACGGTGTCATGTTTCTGTTTTTTATTGAACCTCCCTGATGTGTGTGTGTGTGTGTGTGTGTGTGTGTGTGTGCAGGGTAGTGTGGGAACAGGTGTGCAGGTCCTGTCTGTGTCCCACAGCGGTATCAAGCTGCTGAAGACGGTGAAAAGCAGCGCTGCAGCCCCAGACTACTTCCGAGTGCTCCGACCTTACACGTACGTGCTGCTGACTCTGACTCTGTTCACACGTCTTTGGTCGAGTTTGGATCTTTAACAACGCAGCAGAATAATATTAATGATTTTAATGATTCTTTCAGAGAAAATATCTGTATTTAAGACTCGATTAAGGTCCAGAATAAACAAACAAATGAAGCCATTTTATAACTACAGCCCTGTTTTCTTGAAGTGCATGTTTGACTCTGACAAACTCCTGCACTGTGAGTCAAACACAACAAAGAGATTGACCGAGTACCTAAAGTTTGAGTGAAGCAGACAGAGTTTAATAAACATCATTAACTAAATATAAATAATCCAAATGATGTCAGACTGGGTACAAAGTTAAATAAAAGTTTCAATAAAACTACATAAAAGTCCAGAAACAGAATTTTAAAAAATTAATGTGTGTAAATATTTTTAATGTTCCTCTTTAACTCCGACTCTCCATGAGGAATACTAAAACCAAAAACCAGCATTTAAATATTTAAGAGATGCAGCTCTGCAGAGTTTTTACAGCCTGAATGAAACTAAAAAACGTGTGTAAGCTAGGGCTGCACGATTAATCGATTTTAAGTCATAATCAGATTATTCGATTATGACAATGTTAAAAGAATTAAAGTCATCAAATCGATTTTCCTCTCTATCATGTGTAAACAAACATGGCGTTTGCAAATGAAGGCGATAATTTCGTGGTTAAATAGGACAAGAGCGAGTCAGTCGTGTTGAATTGGTACGACTTCACAGTTTCAGATGAAGAGTAAACCACTTACTGGCTTTTTGGCATATGAACTACATCATTTTTAATGGTTTCATTTTGAGAGATGATAGAAAATCATGAACTGAATATAAAATTGAAATCGAAAATCAAGTTTATAGAGAAAAAATCGTGATTTAATTTTTGTCCAAAATCGTGCAGCCCTAATAATTATGAAAGTAACTTCAGACAGTTTTGTGTTTTCACTCCTTTGTTCTGGAGATATGAGTCGTTATCCGATCCTGTTTCTCTCTGCTTTGATTTTTTAGGTATGCAGACATCTTGTTCGTTACCATCCCCTCTGAGAACATGCTGGAGTTCAACCTGACCAATGAGAAGCTGATCCTGTTCTCAGCCAAGGCACCACAGGTCAAACATCTCATCGACACCTTCATCAGTGAGATTAAAAAGGTACAACATGCATCTGCACACGCACACGCACACTCTGCACACACAAACGAGCTCTGTCATTTACTGCAGGATAAATGAGGATCTGCAGAAACAATGATGTGCTTTTTTTGTATATAATAAAAATAAATCCAGATTTTGATCGTCCAAAAACAAACACTTTCTCTTTTTTAAGTACTGACAGTGAGATTTGAGCAAAGATTCGATCCGTCTGACTGTTTTTATCACATATAAAATGAGACAGACTGGTGTTAATGTGAAAACCTGAAGGCAGCCTCTAAGTCCTGGGATTGTTTGAACACATTGTCTCTCTTTCTGCGCCCTCAGGACTCCGACTACGTGATCGCAGAGCGAAACTTTGTGACAGACGACCGCTCAATGCTCAATTTTCACAAAGGTGACGTCATTCGGCTGCAGGTTATGGACGGGCTGGAGAGAGGTGAGAAGCGGTGGTACACAAAGAATAAATCCTGTTTTCCTGGCGATCAATCAATGATCCGAGAGCATGTGTGTGTCTGTGTGTGTGTGTGTCTGTGTGTGTGTGTGTTTAGGTTACAGCTACGGCTGTGTGGTGAGGAAGAAGGTGGTGTTTTTGGAGGAGCTGAAAAGAGACACTCAGGACTTTGGTGAGTGGATCATTCATGCAAAAACAAACCAGGATCATCCTTTTCCTCCGTGTCTGATTATAGAAAGCAGATGTTTGTTTGTGTGACGGCCGGGGCTCGACAAAAAAGAAAAAAAACAAGGTGACATTTCAAGTTGACAGCTTTGAGAGATTTACTAACCTGGACCCCGGAGGTGTGATGAAGATATTTTAAGCCACAGAGAAATAGGTGCAGCGATGTTGACAGCGCCTAAAGCACTTTTTAGATAAAAAATTGTATCAGAAAATTATTTTTCAAATGGGAGATGGCAAGGCAATTTCAAAATATTGATTCGTGTCATTTCTTTAGGAGAGAACAGATCACAGATGAGACGAAGTCACGATCGATCAATCAGCAGATACAGAATAGGTCCAGATCAGAGTGTGCTCTTTTACACGTTTCTCTAATTTACCCTCATGATTTCACTTTTCTTTAAACTCGGATATTTGACTTCCAAACTGTTTCCATAACAGTCAAGTTTTATGAACTATAATCCAACTCAAACTCCCTGAGCTGAAACACTGTGGTTCACAGAGAGTGGTGAAGTCAAAAACCTCTGTGAAGGGTTACACATGATATGAGTCCACTCTGTAGGGATCAGCTGATGTAGAAGAACGGCACCTTTCACATCCAAACAGACCTTTAGTTTACAGATGAAGAGACAGAGATTTAACCAAAAGGTAGAATTAAGATCTTGCTGCTTGTTAATGTGAAAATAAATCTGACACTGAATAAAAAAACAATTTCTTCAAATAAGAAAAACCTCTCAATTCAAAAAGAATATTTTTCTTTCACTGCTGGCAGATTTTTTTTCCCTCAGAAGCGATTAAGGTGTAAAATCGTAAAATAAGACTTATCTGGATTTGTCAGGTGAATGTGTCTTATTTTTAGTCTTTTCCCTTGAAACCAGACAAAACGACAGACTCGCTTATTTGGACTTTTTGCTGGGTTAGCGAAAGGGAAACCCTCAGTGAAAAACAGAAATCACAGGCTGAAAAAAAGAGGAATAAAAACACGGCAAAGAAAAGCCGGTCTAGTCAGGAGCACTTTCGTCTGGAAGAAGGATGAATAATTTGCATTCTAAGTTATATTTAGCTGTATGGTTCTGTCCTGAGAGCTGATTCACTGAGGTGCATTAGAGAGGAGAAAACCCCGACTGCATCACAAGAACATCAACATTAACAAAAAACAACAAGCAGGGAAGAGCAGCAATAAAGACAAGAGCAGAGCGGGAATCAATATCTACGATACTGGTACTTATCAAACTGGTACTTATGATACTGGTAATAATAGAACTGGTACTTACGGTACAGGTTCATATGAAACTGATACTTATGGTACTGGTACATATGATACTGGTACATCCAATACTGGTACTTATGGTACTGCGCCAAATGATTCTGGAACTTATGGTACAGTTACATATGATACTTATACTTATGTTACTGGTTGAAATGATACAAAAACATATGATACTGATACATGTGATACTGGTTCTTATGGTGCTGGCACACATGGAACTTGTACTTATGGTACTGGTACATGTGAAACTGGTACATGTTATACTGGTACTATGGTACTAGTACTCATGATACTGGTACTTCTGATCCTAATACTTATGCTACTGGTGCTAATGATACCAGTACTTTTCGCACTAGTATGTATGATACTGGTACTTATGGTACTGGTACTTATGATACTGGTGCCTTTGACATCTATGTATATGATACTGGTATATATGATTCTTGTTCATATGATACTGGTACTCATGATACTAATACTACTATACTGGTACATATGATACAAGTACATACTTATGATATAGTACTGGTACATTTATGATACTGGTACTAATGGTACTGGTACAGGCACAGCCTGAAGTAAGAAGGAAGGTTTGAGGGGAAGACGGGACAGTAATGAATGTCTGATAGTTCAGCTGATGTTCAGTGTTCTGACCCCTGACCTCATGACCCTCTGAACTGACTCTGTGTTCAGTTTGGCTGCTGACTTTATTCTGTTCATTAAGAGGACCAAAAATAATCCTAAGGCGTACATAATGTGATAATTCAGAGGAGGGTTTCAGTGAAGTAAGAAGAGATTTCAGCTCAGATTAGGCTAACACTGCCGTGAGTCGATGTAAGTCAATACGATGTACTTACAAGTTGTAGAAATATCCACTTGGAAGTATCTATAATTAGTCTTAAGCCCGTATTAAGTGCAGGGTTATCATCATGGGCCCTGAGGAAAGTCCAGTTTTATAAATGAGGCGAGCTGACAGATAAGAATCAGACTGTTTAAATGAATTCTGACCTGCTGCTGTCTAAAGAAGAGGGAGATAAGAGCTGCACGATTTCTTACTCTCCCTGCTCTGCATGTGTGTGTGTTTTTATCCGTGTGTGTGTGTCAGGCTGGAAGTTCGGCGCCGTGTTCAGCCGCTCTGGTGCTTTCCCGGCTGAATGCGTCCATCCCATCGCCGCTCCAGACTTCCTGTCACTGCCTCTCGACCGCAAGGCCGAGCCTCGAGGAGGAGCGGGACAGTTTGCTGTGTCATCAGCTGTTGCTGTCGCTGTAGCATCGACCATGGCGGCACACGAGATAGATCAAACAATAGAGGTACACAGTCAGCCGGGGACACACACACACACTCACATTTGGTGTTTCCTTTTCCCCCCCGTCAGTCAAAATGATCCGAGTGTGTCAGGTTGTTTTCACCGTCACTCTTGTCATTTCAGAGGGTTTCTCTTGACGGCTTTGCTGACGGAGAGCTGGATGAGAGGGCGCTGCAGGACAGTAAATATGACATACTGGAGTTCGCCAAGAAGTACTTCAGACAGCCGACCGGCGTGAAGGGGTGAGAGCAGAGGAGAGCGCACACAGGAGACCCTCACAAACACACACCTGAAGTCCAGCCAGGGGGAGAGTACAAATATATACAAACAACTACACCATTGTAATGTAGTTTTTTAGTACTATACATGTATTTCCTAAATTTTTAGTGTAGTTTTTAAAGGTTTAAGATGCAGTCATGTGGTCAGCTACCTCAGAGGAAATTCACACTGAGGGATAAAGTTTACATCTGGATTTGTTTTCCATCATTACTTTGGTTTATTTGATTTGTATAAAATGATCAGAGTTAGTAGTTTGGATGAAAGTGAAAATATTTCTGCCAAAGTCTCAAGTTTTCAGCTTCAGTAATAATCAGTTTAAAATGAATATGAAACCTGTAGTTTCAGGTTAAATCATGACATAATCAAACATCTTCCTATTGTTAGGATTGAGAGACCCCTTGTGGCAGAAATCACTTACTGTAGCTTTAAGAGCTGGAGATGCTGCTCACCCAAAGTCTGCCTAATTTGTGTCATAAATATGATGTGTTACATTACAAAAAAACTAGATTTAAAAATATATATACAAACTTGTTTTTTTTTTGTATCAGTGGAAATATCAGAAAACGTAGGATTGCTTCTCATTGAGGGTTTAAAAGTTAAATGCAAATATTAGTTAGAGCAGAGGACGTCAGCACTGATCTGTAGAGCGAGTGAACCCACCATGACCGAAGTCAGTCAGGGAGATCGGAGATGAAGAGACATGGTGACAGGAGCAAAGTGACACAGAAGCAGGACCAGTTACCTGACAGGTGAGGAGGAGGAGTTATGATGCCCTTTCAGAAAACTGGTTATGAATGCAGCGCAGACACTAATCAACTGTCAGCAGCTAAAATATGAAGTCTGAGTGTCGTTTTTCAAAGGCAGCCAGCACTAAAAGATGTGAGTGTGGACCTGAAAAACAGAACCAGAACCAGCTGATGGTGAGGTGTTTGAGGAGGACTTTTTTTTACTGGTTAGAGGAGCTGAAAGTGATTCCTCGGTCTGACATTCAGAAGCAGAGTGAGACCAGGCGGGAGATTTCTCTGCTGCTATTGTTAAAGTGAGGAGGAGGAGGAGGGTGAGTGGGAAGGTGTCAGACCGGATGATTGAGAGCAGGTTGGAAAAAAGATTTTTCTTTTTTTTTTACAGTGACTCACAGCGAGTAAAACTGAGTTTTTGTCTAAAAACACACGTGACGAGAACAAGAGGCGTCAGCAGGGGGCGCTAAAATATTCACACTGACTAAAAGTTCCCATAGACTCTATATACTCTAGACAACTTGGTTCCACCTTCTGCCAGAATTTGAAGCTGATTTGCTCTCAGAATTTCCGGGTTTTTTTCTCCACTTACTGGAAACAACCATAGACTGTATATAACACGGACAGAGTCTGCCTCCTCACTGGGTAAAGCCACTCTGACAACAGCACCCTCTGGTGACGGGCTGCAGTATAGGTCATAAATCCCGCCTCCGCCAGCAAAGCTTATGGAGCTGTGGACAAACTTTATAAATTAATTACACAGAGTATAAATGTTTCTTCCTCCGGTTAATGTCTTTCTAAGGTTTATCCACAGCTCCATAAGGAGGCGGGGTTTATGACCTATACTGCAGCTCGTCACCAGAGGGCGCTGTTCTCACTGTGGCTTCACCCAGCGAGGAGGCAGACGGCGTCCATTCTATATACAGTCTATGAAAGTTCCGCACAGCAGCTTTTAGCAACATCAAAAATTAGCCTCATCGAGAGCACGTTCAATTATTTTTTTACATGTGTCGAAAATATAATTTAACTTTGTCCTCGTTTTATTCAATAATTTTGTATTTATTATTATTTTATTTTCAACTTGATTTTTTTTTTACGATTTTTACGATTAAGTTTTTCAGTGGTCTTATTCCAATGAATGAATTTAGCTAAATGAATATTTATATTTAGAGAACAATGTGGGATTTTTATTAACTATTATAAAATAGCATAACAATAAAGACAGTACACCAAAAAACTTGTTATAACTGATTGATTGACTCATTGGTGGTATTGATTTAAAAACATTTGTGGTCTGGTCCTCTTAATTCTGTGTTTATCTACGGTTTAGTTTGTCAGTCTGTTAATTCACCAAAAATGTGATATTAGTTTAGTGTTAGTCTGCCCGCGTTCAACAGAATTAAAGAATTATTTATGAGAAATATGAGGGGGTCTATTCTTACATGGTAGTTTTAGGGTTAGGTTAAACAGTTAGGTACCTCTCTCTGTACTGTAATAACTGTAGGAAATGTACTCCGAACCTTTCAGAGTACAGTCAGGTTTTCATGTCCGTCTGTTCTTTGTCCCTGGATTTGTTGTCAGAGATTCCCTGAAGGGCAAAAGCAGCAGAAACAGAGACTCCAGAGAGCCCGCTGAAATGATCAAGTTCTCAAAGGTGGGTGGTTCATCCTGCTGCTCTTCAAACATCGTCTTGGTTTTTTTCTGATTGGCCTCAGACTCGTTAATAATCATAGATTGATCAGCTGTGATTTCCTCCTCCCTCCTCTCCAGACTCCTCTGACAGAGTCTCTGATCGAGTTTACAGATGTAGCCATGAACAGAGTGGCGGCAGACCTCTTCCTCTGTAAGTTCGCTCCTCTAATTACATCATCTTCTTTCATCACTCCCCCCCACCCCACTGTCGTCTTCATATAAGACTGTAACCACTCAGGAGACGCAGCGCTCTCATCCCGGTGACTTCAATAACGCAGATCTCTGTGTGTGTGTTTCTGTGTGTGTACATGTGTCATGTTTGGTCGTTCCTGCAGCCGTGATGCGGTTCATGGGTGACTCTCCATTAAGGGGATCAACAGAACAGGAAGTGGTCAGCACTTTCCTCAAGGTGAACACAAATTCACACATTTACCCCTCTACAAACACGTCTGTGGATTTGTAAGTGTGTGTGTGTGTGTGTGTGTGTGTCCTCTCTTATATGTGTGTGTGTGTTTCCTTTCTTATATATTTGTAAGTGTGTCCTAACATATATCTATGTCAGTGTGTGTCCTCTCTTATATATTTGTTAGTGTGTGTGTGTGTGTCCTCTCTTATATGTGTGTCTGTGTGTGTGTTTCCTTTCTTATACATTTGTAAGTGTGTCCTAACATATATCTATGTCAGTGTGTGTCCTCTCTTATATATTTGTTAGTGTGTGTGTGTGTGTCCTCTCTTATATATTTACATTTGTGTGTGTGTGTCCTGTCTTATACATATATTTGTGTATGTATGTGTCTTTTATATATCTGTCTGTATGTGTCCTCTCTCACACATATATTTGTGAATGTGTGTGTCCTCTCATATATTTGTGTACGTGTGTCCTCTCTTATATATTTATGTGTGTGTCTTCTCTTAAACATATATTTACGTATGTGTGTGTCCTCTTATGTATATGTGCGCTTGTGTGTGTCCTCTCTTAGGTATGTATATGTGAATGTGTGCACCCTCTCTTTTATACTTGTGTGTGTGTGTGTGTGTGTGTGTGTGTGTGTGTGTGTCCCCTCTTGTGTGTATACATAAATATATATATATGTGTGTGTGTGTGTGTGTGTGTGTGTCCGTCCCCTCTTATACATATATATGTGTATGTGTGTGTGTCCTCTCCTTTATACTTCGGTGTGTGTGTGTGTGTCCCCTTTTATGTATACATGTATATGTGTGTGTGTGTCCCCTCTTCTGTATATATATGTGTATTTGTGTGTCTTCCCTTCAGCTCATCGGAGAGTTCACCCTGATGCGGGATGAAGCTTACTGCCAGCTCCTCAAACAGCTTACTGCTAACACCAGCTCCAAACCGTACGTCTCCTCTAACACGGTTACAACATACACACACACATACATACACACATACATACACACATACATACATATGGACCCCCACATCCCACCACACACACTCTCCTCCCTGCTCCTGTAATCCTGAGTGTGTTCATGCTCTCCTACAGAGATAGTTGCCAACGAGGCTGGAGGCTGCTCTACATCCTGACCGCCTTCCATCGCTGCTCTGAGGTCCTCAAACCCTTCCTGATCAAATACCTGCAGCAGGCTTCTCGCAGCGCCGGCGCTCAGTATCAGGGTAAAACGAAAACGCACACTTTCATGGAGTGAAATGATGTCCACACGACCAAAACCACAAGAGTGTGTAATGTGTGTTTAATTGGTCAGGAATCGCTAAAGCGTGTGAGCAGAACCTGAAGAAGACTTTCCAGTACAGCGGTCGCATGGTTTCACCCAACAGCATGGAGCTGAAGGCCATGATGGTCAGTGAGAGTTTTTCCTTCAATGATGTTTGGAGATGTGAACGATCAGATCCGCTGATGTCTTTATGTCATTAAAATAAGCCGTTAAAACTGAAATTAACTTTTACAAGAACAGCATCACATGCTATCTCCATCTTCGTATGATTTAAACTGACTGTAATACACAGCTACAGAACAAACCCAGTTGTTTTACTGAATACCAACATGCAGGAGACCTTCAGGATATGTAGTCATACAGGAAAAAACTCCTCAATGTGGATTTGCAGCAACCAGAAAAATACTTGAGATTCCCAGCGTCCAGTTGTTTCTGCCTCCTTGTTATCACCGAGATAAGTGAGCGTGTTCACATGGTTTGGTGTCAGCTGAGAGCACAGCGGGGTCACTATCAGTCCAGGGGCAGAGACACACTCAGAAGACTCTGACACTGTTTGTTCCTGGGATTCAGAGATACAGTCTGAGAAAGTTCTCTGTCGCATCGACTCTCTACTTTGTGTCCCTCTGGGGGGTGGGATGGAGACTGAATTTTGCCCCTGAAATCTGGGCTAATGTCCTATAAACATTTCTCACCTCTGTGTCTCTGTCCACGCTGGAAGAAGAGCTGAATGTCTGAGTCGGGCACAACGCTGTATCACAGATGAGGTTGAATAAACGTGTCGCTTGTTTTTACTTTTTATCGGATTTGATGAATGAAGAAAATAAAGAGTCATGAAACAGATCCAATCATGTTTGGAAATGAAGCAGACGGTTTTAACACCGTGTCAGTGCAGACATCCAAACATCATAAAACCACAGTGTGAAATGTAACTGTACAGTGAACACTCACAGGAGTGTGTGTCTGTGCGTTTTCAGGCGGGACGCAGTTCAAAACGACAGCTGTTCCTCTTTCCAGGAGGCATCGAACGTCACGCCAAAATCAAAACCTGCTCTGTGAGTTTTCAGTCACTGTTGGCACTTCACTACTGCTGTCTGTCTGTCTGTCTGTCTGTCTGTCTGTCTGACTGTCTGACTGTCTGTGCAGATGTGTCTGTGATATAAATGTGTTGTTGTTGTTCCTCAGGTTGCCCTGGAGGTGATTGAGGAGCTGTGTTATGAGATGGGTTTACACAGACTGGAGGCCATAGAGGAGTACGCCATATTTTTAGTCACAAACAGAGGTGCGTTCACAGACGTTTGCCTCATCCTCTCTCTCTCTCTCCCACACAAACACATTTGAAAGGTTGCATAAGTGCGTGAAGTCACTCACCTTGTTGTGTGGTGAAGCTGAGCCGTCCGCTCACAGATCCCGTTTCAGACTCTTCTCTGGTTTCCAGCTGCAGGAGAAAGTCTCTCATGTTCATGACAGAATAACAAGAGGCGGCTGACAATCACAACACCGCGTCTCTGCCAATAACAACCCAAAACACACGGCGCCGCTTTATTACCCTCCACGGTGGGAGGAACACACTCCTCATTTGCATACTTGATCTCATTTTTAGGAGGCCACACGTGAACCGTGGAACACAGACAGGATAAGAGTTTACACTAGATCACAGCAGTGACGTCTTTATGTTCAGCGCTGCGAGCGACGACACCGACTCTGTCCTTGAAGCTCTCACACAGGCCTCTTTGTGTTGGTGTGTGTGTTTTTTTCTGCCCTTGTTTGGCATTAAATATCTCCACATGATTACAGCTGGCAGCTGCTCTTGTTAGCGTACTATTCAGAAGCACAGCGGGTAACACAACATGTGGCTACACGAGTACTGGCGCCTTGTTTGAAGCGGTAATTTGGATGAATTTTGGCTGATTTTTTTTGGCAGTTAAAAGTCAGACACTGAAACTGAGTGCAGGTTTTTAATCCTTTATTTATTAAAGCGACACAGAGAAGAAGGAGACGATTTAAGTGACTTTATTTCTGTGCGTTTGTTTAGGTCAGAATGTGCGTCCTCTAAACAAACACGAGTACATTCTGGACGTGGCGACGGAGGCGGAGTTAGTGGACACAAACTACAGCTTCTGGTTCAGACGAGTCATCTGGACTCAGACGCTCAAGTTTGAGAACGAGCTGTGTGTGGCCACGCACTATAACCAGGTATGACAGGTGCTGTTTTACAGACACGTGGTAAATACCGCACAGACAGATGTGTGTAATTGTTGTGTTTGTGTGTATTCAGATCCTGCCGGACTACCGTAAAGGCCTCCTGAACGTCCTCCCACAAGGAAAAGTGAGCGATCAGCAGTTCCATCAGATCTCCAAACTGGCGTCTCTGCAGCACAGAGCCAAGGACATCATCTTCATCCCCAGCATGTGAGCAAACTAACGGACCTGGCTTGTTTTCTGATGATCGTCAAAACAAACTCAGTCAGCAAACGGATCCTCAGATATTTATCATTCAGCACTACATGTGATCTTTTTATGGGATTGGACGTACTATAACGGGGTTCATGAGTCCAAATTCATTTGAAATTAAAAAAACATGAAACGTCAGAGGAATAGAGGAAGATTTTTTTAAAGGTGCATTAAGGGGGAAATAAATCTCAGAGTTGGGAGAGGGAGGTCAAAAATCTGAAAGCTGATTCATAATTAAAGCTTCAAATTAAGAGGGAAGAAACTGGAATTTTCTCTTAGATTAAAAAAAGGAAATAATGGATTTCAGAGGATATAAAACTTTCACAAGAGAAAAACTAAAATGTTCTTGATGAGAGTGAGTCATCATTTTATAGGAAAAGATCAGTCTGCTGTTTAAGCTTTATTTTTTTTAACCTTCTGCCCAAATGCACAGAAACAATACAGCAGAAAAAATAAATAAAGTATGTCAGACAAACTTTGAATTACGACAGAGTATAAGGGTCATATAAAGATAAAAAATGTAAGACCAAAAGATCAGAGTAGTTTACTTATGAGGAAAAAAGTCATTACCAATGGGAATAAAGTCATTACTAACAAGAGTTAAGTCATGACTATTGATATTAAAGTCATTACCAATGGGAATAAAGTCATTACTAATGAGGCCAAAGTCATGACTAACAAGAATAATGTCATTACTTATTAGGATGAAGTCATCACTAATGAGAATAAGTCATTACTAATGAGGATAAAGTTGTAATAAAGTCATTATTTTTGAAAATGTAAGAACAGTCATTACCAATGAGATTAAAGTCATTTCTAATAAGGGTAAAGTAATTACTGATGAGAATAAAGTCATTTCTAATTAGTGTTAAGTCACAACTAATGAGAAAAAAGTCATTACTCATGAGAATAATGTTCTAACAAAGTCATTATTTCAAGAATAACATAATTACTAATGAGGATAAAGTCATGACTTAATAGAATAAAGTCATTACTCATGAAAGTAAAGTTATTACCAATGAGAATTAAGTCATTACTTACAAGAATAAAGTCATTACTAATGAAGTCATTAATTACAGGAATAAAGTTTTAATTAAATTATGTCTTTATTCTCTAAGTGAAGGACTTTAATATTGAAGTCTCAATTTTAATACTCTGTCGTATTTAATAAGTTTGTTCTCTTGTGAAATCTCACCTTTGACCTTTATACAGCAGTACGATCAAACATCAGTTTAACTGGCAGAGAGAGGGACACTCATCAGCCACAACATTAGGATAGGTGAAGTGAATATCTCTGATTATCTTGTAGCGGTGACACCTGTCAGCGAGTCTGATATGTGAGGCGGAGAGTGATCATTTTGTCCTTGAAGCTGATCTGTTAGAAGAAGCAGAAGAATGACAGACTGTAAACAGGCGAGTAACTTTGATGGAAAAACTCCAACGCTGCAGCTCTGTGAGGTTTTCTCTAAAGAGGGAAATCCAGTGAGCTGATGGTGCAGTCGAGGGGGAAACAAATGTTGGCCTGTGTGGTCCAGCTCAGTGGAAGAGTTACCAGAGCTGAAAAAAAGAAATAATAATAACGCTGTTTCTGATAGAAAGGTGTCCATTTACCACCACGCAGCTTCAGAGGTAGAGCTGATATCTCCTCCTTTTTGAGACCAGAGAGGGTCGACTCAAGATCCACATAGTGACGGCTAATAAGTCTGTTTTATCCTGTTACAGTTATTTACCCAGAGAGCTCCGATAAGAAGACAAATGCAGATGCTTACATGGGATGGTATGCAGGGGTCAATGCATGTCTGTACATGTACAGAGTTATCAGCATCAGCACAGACGGAGCTCAACTACCTTACTGGAAACTCCAGACAGAGCGGCACAGACGCTGACACTCTATCCGGAGTCGTCCCGCAGTAATTTGAGTGTTTTGTGTTTATACACTGAAATTCTTTCAGATTTGCACATTTACCAACAGCCGCCCTCACGATTTTCTCTTTCTCTTAAAGACTTTAATTTACACAGGAGGAGACATTAAGCTGGGCCTGAGTCAATAAAGTGAAAACTACTTCTAATCTTCTTCTTCTCTCTTTTAATTTGTTCCTGTAATTCTCTCCGTTTGTCTTCTCTGGTTTCTTTTCAGCCTCTTGTTTTTATCTCAGTGAATATTTACACTTTGAACCATTAACATCCATCCAAATATCCTCTTTACCTCCATTTAATGGTTGTAATGATTGATGTGTCATCAGATTTACATGAATTTAACAATAATTTACCTGATTTGAGTTTGTGTGTTTCTAAAGCAGACAACATGTGAACATCCTGATGGTTCGAACACAGGCAGACTGAAGCTGCAGTGTTTGCTTTTATAGATTTTCCAATCTACTCAGAGGTTCAGCAGCCTCACAGAGAGCAGCTCGTTGTTAAAGGGATGAAAACAGTCGATAGTTTTTGTGTTCAAAGTGCGTGACACATTGTTTTTTCAGCTGTAAAACACTCGCCTCCTTTCTTTCGGTTACCGCGGTTATCGCCGCTGCGTCTCTCCGCCCACACACGCAGCAGACAGCCGAGCAGAACGGCTCAGCGACCGAAATCATTCTGAGAAATCACAGAGTGAAGCGGACTCGTGTTTATCTTCTTCTCCCCTTCTCCTCCAGACACGAGTTATCTGAGTACATCCCCGCACCTCTGTTCAAGAAGCAGCCGCCCCAGCAGTGGGTTACCATGGTGACGCAGCACATGCAGCAAGTGCAGACCCTGAACCCGCATCAGGCCAGAGCTCAGTTTCTGGGTGAGTTCTCTGTTCACATCAGCAGGAGATAAAAACTGAACGTCTTTGACTCCATTCATAAAATCCTGCAGTCAGACACGAGTACGAACAGCTGAGAACAGACGTTAGATTAAATTCACCTGAACGTCATCGTTTAGATCACGTGTGTTTAAACTGCAGCGCTGTAACTGTTGAACAAGAGGGGAGACTAAAGTTTTAACATCATGTCAGATCCCTCATTCATTCATGACTGCAGAAGATCTGTGTGGAAATTCTCCATCTGATGATGACGAGAGAAGATTAGGACCACATGAGGAGAATTAAGATAATTACAGGAAGGAGATTAGTCAGAATTTAGAGATTAAAAATCATTATCTCAAGATTAAAGTCGGAATTTCAAGATTACAAAATGTCGTAAATAAAGTCAAATTTCGAGATGAAAGTCAAATTTTGAGATTAAAGTAGAAATCTTTTGGATAAAAGAATTGATATCAGGATTAAATTCAAATTTTTTAGATTTAAGTCGAAATTTCAAGATTAAAAATTGAAATCTTGAGATCAAAGTCAAAATTTCAAGATTACAAAATGTCAAAATATCTTGAATAATGTCGAAATTTTGAGATTAAAAAAAAATTAAATTTTGAGATTGGAGTCATAATTTGGAGATTCAAGTCAAATTTCAAGATTCAAGTCAAAATTATGAGATATAAATTTAAATTTAGAGATAAAAAATTTAAATCTCGAGATTTAAGTCGGAATGTCAAGATTACAAAATGTCAAATGTCATGAATAAAGTCAAATTTTGAGATAAAAAAATTTAAATTTGAGATTTAAGTCAAAATTTTGAGATAAAAGTCGAAATTTTGAGATTAAAAATTGAAATCTCAAGATCAATGTTGGAATTTTAAAATTAAAGTTGAACTATAACTTGAACTGAAATTTCAACTTTCATTTCGAAATGGAAATTCCCTTCCGTAATTATTTAGTAGATAATTGAATTGATAATAGTTATAATAATAGATAATTGATTATAGTAGATGACTCTGCTGATGGTCGGCACCATCATTTGTTTGGACCTGATAAAGCTCCTCCTCCTTAGACTGAGGTTTTGTTAAAGCCTGAGTCACCCCACCACTTCAATGTCGTTTTTATGTCTGATTCATGCAGAGCCTCCTCTAGGAATGAAAAAGTGATGATCTGCTCTCACAGAGAATAAGTCCTCTGTCTGTCTGTCTGTCTGTCTGTGCAGGGCTGGTCAGTGCCTTCCCCATGTTCGGCTCCTCGTTCTTCTACATCCACAGCAGCAGCTCCACCACCTTCTACGCCCCCTGTATTGTTGCTGTCAATCAACACGGTCTCCACTTCCTGCACAAAAATACACACGTAAGTAACAGACACACACACACAGACACACACAGACACACAGTCATGGTGGTGAAGCATTAATGTGACTCATCTCATCGTGACTGAAACATGAGCCCAGAAGCAGAGTCACATAGTTGCGTTTGACAGTTGTGTGAGTGTGTTTGGTCTCTGTTGTGCAGGAGCCGATGGCAGTGGTCCCCCTGGTGGAGGTACAATCCAGCCGCACCCAGAGGCCCACTGCTGGAACCAGTTACCCTTACGTAGACCTGACGATCGGGGACATGAGCACACGGCGGGTCATCCAGCTGCAGTTAGAGCAGGTAGTAGAGAAAGCACTCTTCATAAACCAGGTTTGGAGTTTCCGCCTCTCTTCGCTCATGTCTGCTGCGTTTGTCGTCAGGGCCTGGAGTTGTGTCGAGTCATCGCCATGCAGGTGGAGAACATGATGTCGGTGCGGGAGAAGAGGCTCACTCTGCCACCCAGCGAAATCACAATGCTATAACACAAGCTTTAATGTACACACCCATACACAAACATGTGATAATAACCTACCTCTCTCTGCCTTCAGGTGTTTCTGGTGTGTCACATTCACACCTAAACGTGAACATTAAATATACTTGATTATTCTCCTGCTTTATCTGAACCTGAGAACTCACACCTCCATGTTGTTTTTCTGGATTACACCTTCTCATTTGCACTTTTACTGTGATAGTTTTAAACATTCGAAGTATTTCAGAAACTGTTATAAATGAAGTGAGGAGCTCGGTAGTAGGCCTGTGCCTTTTGTTTTAAAGTTTTATAACTCATACGCATAATTTTTTTATTTTTTTATTCATACTCTTTCACAGTAAAAGTTTGTGTTAATGATAATATAAATGTATGGAATTATTTTGTAAAGAATATTCTATCAAAATAAAATGTGCAAATTAAAGAGGAGATGATGGATGAAGCACTGAGTGATGAAATGATTTTACGATAAATCTCAATCAACGTCCAGGTCGCAGGGGCAGCAGCTTCATCCTAACCAGATGCCCAAGCCACCCCAGCTGACTCCTCTCGACGTGGAGGAGCAGTGGTTCTACTCTGAGTGCCTCCCGAGTGTCCAAGCTCCTTACCCTATCTCTAAGGCTGAGCCCGGACACCCTGAGGAGGAAACCCATTTCAGCCGCTTGTATCTGCGATCTTGTTCTTTCGGTCATTACCCAAAGTTCATGACCATAGGTGAGGATCGGCACGTAGATCGACCGGTAAATCGAGAGTCTCGCCTTACAGCTCAGCTCTTTCTTCACCACGACTGATCGGTTAAGCGTCCGCACTTCCTCAGGACTCAGCGGTCCACCTTCACTTAAAGGACACGGGTCACTCTTTCGAGGACAGCAATGTACAGGTGTTGGCTCGAGAAGACAGATGGTTTGAAAGAGGAGTTAAAGAAGTCCTCTTCACCAGACTGGAGAAACCTTCTCTGAACAGAGGGGGTGGACTCAGGCACAACCTCTCCAGCACTTACAATGCAGTTCTCAGCTCTCTTCCCAGGAAGCTCCACAAACATTCACACCTGGGACCACATGACCCAGGTGGCATGAGTCATGTGGTCGTTGTCTGTCCCCTTCTCTAGTAAGATAAATATCTGCTCCTCACACCAGCAATTTTAGAAATGAAGAAGCTTCTTGGATAAGAGGCGAAATGTCTTCTGAACTCCACACAGTCCAGTTGCCTGTTTTTTAAGTCTTCAAGAAAACCATGACCTGGATGAATGAGAATCTACATGGACTATTATCATCATTATTATTATTATAGATCAAGCTTCATCTATGGGTCCTATATTGGTAAGTAAACTGCACATTGCACTTTGTTTCTGCATTTTATCTTATTCACTCTGTTCATGCAAAAGTACTGGTATGACTGACATATGCTTTTCTTTTCCCCTCTAAATCATCTTTAATACTTTTTTACCTCCTCAACTGTTTTTTTATGTAAATGTTTTTTAAGTTATTTGTTTATTTTTTATGATGTTTGTCAGTGTTTTAAATGTCTGTGCCTGCTGCAACCCGATTTGCCCATTTTTGGGACATAATAAAGTTAAAGTGAAGTTACCCTTTGGCTCAACTTAACCCACTCTCCCCTACAGTAACCTGAGACATTAATAATAACCTTAACTCTGACTTTAGTTTGTGTGTTTTCTGGTGTTCTCTGGTCTAAAACCTCTTGACCTGCAGTCTCTCTGAACACCATGTGCTCTTCGGTAAATAAGATAAAATTAGACCGAGTCGGGCTCGTGCCCTCCGGGCTCCCAAAATGGGTTTCTGCGTCTTCCGCTCGACCCACGTGACCCGTCCTCCTCACACAGGCATGTCATCAGTGAGCATGCGCAGACCTCTCTTAGGTTACACGAGTTTATTTTCAGCCTTTTCTCCTGAATCCTCGTAATGAAGGTGTAAACTGAAGACTTTGGAGGATATAAAATGCTCTTTCATGGATGTTTGGAGTAAAAACTTTGAGCGGGAACGGCTCAGGAGGAGCTCGGACAGGAATCTATCAGTGAGATGTGAAATGTTGCTGCGTGGTTTGTCGGTATTTGCAGGAGGACAGACACAGCCAGGCTAACGTTAGCCCCGGAGCTCGGCTGTGAACGAGCTGTGGCGTCGACGCAGCGTTTATTTCACTCAATATTATCACGAACATTATCTAAAGATCACCTGTTTTCACATTAAAGTGGGTCTGACCTCAAACACAGCAGCAGAGGAGCGTCGAAGCTAATGCTAGAGACATCTATGTTAGCGACATCTATCATCTGAGGCTCCTTCTGACATTTACTCCGATCATATTAACCTTCCTCCGGCCGGACTGAGCTGAAATGCACCGCTGATTCTACATTATAAGTGTTTATTTTTCACATTAGCCGGACTCCTCCTCTGTGTTTTGGCTGACATGGCAGCCAGCGGATACTCGGACCTGAGGGAGAAGCTCAAATCCATGACCCCTCACAGAGACGAGCAGCAGAAGAACAACAACAAATACGTGGACGAAAGCGCGAGTAACGGCGGAAAAGGACGAAAGCGCAAATTTCGGGAGTCCGACGACGATGATTACGATCACAGCGACGACAGCGCCGAGCTCCGGGAGCAGGAGGCCCGCCGGGTGAGGAGCAGCATCCAGCAGAAGAGCATCTTCAGCCCCGAGGAGTGCGCCCTCATCGAGGAGAAGATCGACGACGTGGTGGCCAAAGGAGAGGCCGGACTTTACCGGGAGCACACCGTGGACAGAGCCCCCCTCCGGAACAAGTACTTCTTCGGGGAGGGGTACACGTACGGAGCCCAGCTAGAGAAGCGTGGACCCGGTCAGGAGAGGCTGTACCGTAAAGGAGAGGTGGATGAGATCCCGATCTGGGTTCATGAGCTGGTGATCAAGCGTCTGGTGTCCTGCGGGGTGATCCCAGAAGGTTTTGTGAACAGTGCGGTCATCAATGATTATCAACCAGGTGGCTGTATCGTGTCTCACGTGGACCCCCTGCACATCTTTGCACGTCCGATCGTATCGGTATCCTTCTTCAGTGACAGCGCGCTCTGCTTCGGCTGCCGGTTCCAGTTCAAACCGATCCGGGTGTCCGAGCCCGTGTTCGTCCTTCCAGTGAGGAGAGGGAGTGTCACAGTGCTCAGGTGATACCGTCTCTTAGTGTCAGTCATGCTCTGATGTAGGGCTGGGCGATTTGACCAAAAGAATGACCATGATGTATTGTGTCATATCGTCCGATCTCGATTATTATCACGATTTTTTCTCAAACTGCCAGTTTTAAAGTATCTGTACCGAAAACTAAAGAAACTAAAGATCAGTTCAACGTTTAGTTAACATGCAAAGTAAATAACAAACTAAAGTAAATAAGATAAACTAAGAAAAATATAAAAAACATTTTCACTCAACAGTACAACAAATGGAGATAAATGTTGTCTTGGTATTTTCACTGTGGTGATTATTTTTACTGCTATTATTACTATGATAATTGATATTATTATATAATATTATTATATATATTTAAAAAATTAGTGTAGGAGAAGGAGTGGGACGGGGTAAGTCTTGATTTCTTCCCACTCATTTTTTAACTTGAATAACTGTCATTTGTTCTGTATACTTTACTTTATTATTTTTATTATTTTATATGTTCAAAATAAACTTCAATCAATCAATCAAATATTAATTAATACAGTGAACTAGATTACTGTCCTGAGTGTTTTTTCAGGTATGCAAGACACCAAATAAACAAATCGCCCCTCAGGGATAATGAAGACTTAGTAAAATGTAACCATTAGATGATTTAAACGTAGATGATACGATTGATCGCTTTTTTACCGTCAGAAGTGACGGGCTGTACAGACTCCGCCCACATTTTTATGTTTTCCTCATAATCACTCGGGAAGAACTTCTTTAAATAATTAAACAGATTTGTTGTGTTTTCGATTTTTGAGCGCACCGACCGCAGCCATACCATAAACATCGGCTTAATAAACAGCCGATGTGCAATAACAACACACCAACGTTGAATAACTACCTTTCAACGATCGCATCTTCTGAGGATGACTCAAAGTCGTGGCTAACATGTATTTTAGAAGTGCCAAGCTCGACTCTGATTGGCTGTTGTGACACACATTTCTGCTATGTTTGATCGAGTAAATATGCTCACAGCTGATCACCGCGATCAAACTGAAATTCAACATGATCATAAATCATGATCATATAATCGCCCAGTCCTACTCTGATTGCATTCCTGCTTCTGTGCGGACGCCAAGAGCTTAACTCAGTGTGTTTTTTTCTTTTTCAGTGGTTACGCAGCAGATGATATCACTCACTGCATCCGACCACAAGACATCAAGGAAAGGCGCGCAGTTATCATCCTGAGAAAGTGGGTCAGAATCCTGTCAGAAGAGTCATAATCTGCTCTTAAATCTGACTCTGATTTATGTGCTTCTTCTTGTGCCTCTTCTCCTCATCAGGACCAGGCCTGATGCTCCTCGACTGGACTCAGACAGCCCTTTAAGTTCATCTCCTGTAGAGAGACCGATTCCTCTGAAACCCAAACGCTCTCATCGCAGAGCAGACCCAGACGCCGCTCACAGGTAAACATCCCCACCTGCACACAGCAAAGGTCCAATATGAGCAAAGTCAAAATCTGACAAATCTAAGGAGCTCAGCCCTGTATCCTACATGAAAACATTTCTTTTTAGTTTCAAAGTTTAACAGGGACGTGAAAACAGAAGATCACAGAGAATCAAAAACACAGAAATCAATGTAAACAGACTCTGATCAAAGTCCTGAATTCTGTGAGAGAAGGATGAACTTTAACCTTCAGTGTTTGCTGGTGCCTATCCAGTCAGTAAAACCAGTCATGCAGGTTTCAAGATTGCATTCTAACAGGCTTTAATATATGGAGGTAGTTTCCACAGCAGCGTGTTAACTCTTCATACCACCCAAATGTCCATGAACCACTCAGATCTCATCCAAAACACTCAGAAGATCAAATATCACTGAAAATATCAGACCCGCTCTGATTTCACTCTGTAGTGTCCTTCAAAGTAAAAGCATGATCCGTTTATTTTATTCTGCACGGTTCTTTTACTTTGAAGTGGAGGACAGGAGAGCTGTTTGGTGAAAGAAGAAACTGATTCAAGCTGAAGGTGAAAAAAACAGGAGTCAGCTGAGTTAGTAACCAAACAACATCAGGTTACCAGATATTTCCACCTCCTCAGACATCCTCTCCCTTCACATGCATCTGTTCCTGTTTTTACTGCTCAGCTGGTGTCTGTGTGAATCGAGTCCCCCTTCATAGACCCCTGACAGCTTCTGAGAGAATTTCCTCGTATGAATTAAACCTCACATATGAATTTAACCGCACATATGCCTGCAGTCATGATAGATTGATGAAGTTAGGAGAGAGATAATTAAGTGAGATCTCTTCCTCCCCCGACTCTTTGCAGTTCAGGGTCCAGTCGGTATCTTCAGTACCTCAACTTTTCAGAGTGGAAACCCAAACAGAACTGGACAAGACTCTTTAGTGGAAGCACAGCTGTTTAGACTAGGGCTGCACGATTTTGGCCAAAAATAAAATCCAGATTCTTTTCTCTGAAAACTCGATTTTCGATTTTTTATTCAGTGATAACTTCCTCAAACTTCACTTTAATACAAAGTTTCTCTATCATCTCTTAAAACCAAACCACTGAAAACAATGTAGTGCATATGCCAAGCCAGTGAGTGGCACTGTTACCTGAAACGCCGTTTCTGTGTGGATGAAACGCCGATACAACAAAAAACTTTAGCGTTTCCTCCTGAATTTGTTTCCATGGTGACGGGTTGATACCGCCTTCAGACAGACTTTACAGCGGGGAGTGGTTTACTCTTCATCTGACACTGTGAAGTCGTACCAATTCAACACGACTGACTTGCTCTTGTCCTATTTAACCACGAAATTATCGCCTTATTTAGTAAACGCCATGTTTGTTTACACTGGTGTGTGGGAACTGGGGAGCCTACGGTGGCCTGGAGGGGCGAGACATGAAAGAGAGGAAAATCGATTTGAGGGTTTTTATCTTTTTAACATCGTCAAAATTAAATAATCTGATTACGATTCAATTTGATTTATCGTGCAGCCCTAGTTTCGACACACAAACATCAGCAGATCCGCTCAGGTGGGAGGTCGCTCTCTGACCGACTTTACTCTGCATTTAGGATCCATCAGCCTCCCACAAATCCACAACTTCTGCAAAACCTCAGCTTCCTCCAGCGAGCCCAAAAACAGCCCATGATCTACGATCAGGAGCAAAATTACGGCAGATGACCTTGTAACGTAAAACAATTCTGCACTTCTGCTGTTCAGCTCCTGAACATGGTGACACACACACACAGCCTTTATTTCAGCCTCAGCACTGAAATCATGGCTGACAGTCCTTCAGACTCATCGCTCTTCATGTTTCTTGGATCATATTTCATCCGCTCTTGTCAGGATTAAACGTTACTCTCCTGACGAACACAGTTTCTCTGTTGGGCTCATACGAACTCACAGCTGGGGTCAGAATGCAGGTTAGCTCCAGGAGTGGGTCTGTGGGGGCCTCTGTAAGACTTTAAACCCTCCTTTGAGATCTAACAGGTCGGTCTCATGTCTCTACAGGCACACTAGTCCTTCTTTCAGAGCAGCCGACTTAGATCTGAAGTGAAATCCAGTCAGATTCATGTGAAGGCTGCTGCTCAGTGTAAATCAGAGTCCTGTCGGCCTCACAGCTCTGTATACCAAATATATTACGATCTCCCGTTCATAAAATCAGTGCAGCAGACTCGTAAAAATTGTGAAAGAGCTTCTGTAATTTGGGATCAGTCTTCTTCGATCAGATCTGTTGATTAAAGCCGCCTCTCCTCGCTCGACGACTGGAGCAGAAAAAGTCAAGAGAGCTTAAATATCCAATTAAGGATCAGATCAGTTTTCTCTTTCCTTATATTTCATCGTTCATTTGCACGGTGAATGAACGCTAAGCTGAGATAAGGGCCCCACATATCACTTCTGTCACTCAGTGCTTCAGTAGAAATCCACGGAGGAGAAATCCGGATTTTCTCTGTTAAAAACATGAACTGATGACGGAGATATGGGAGTGTCTCAGGGGGATTCACGGTGAGGGACAGGGACGGCGTCCCTCGAGAACACGGTGGTCATTAATTAAGACTTCAAAGATAAAACCTTTTCAGATACATCAGTGATGAAGCTTCTGAGAGGACACGAGGAGCTCCTCTTCATCAGACATTATTGAGTCGAACCAACAATCACATTCTCAGTGAACTCGCATTAAAAAGGGTTTAGATAAGAGGAGGAGAACTTCTTCAAATGTCCTGGATTTGTTTGTAAAACAGATAATCATGGAGAACATAAAAACTTAACATGAGTTTATGTTTAAGATCAGAAAGAGAGAGCGTTATAAACTCTGATGGAAGCTCAGGAGACAGATTTGTCCAGAACAACTGAAGAAAAAAGAATCATCAGATGGAAAAATGTTGATCAATCAAACTGAGAGTTTCACAAAAACAACAATAACAACAATAACACCTCTGTTAGAGAAATGATGGAAGTATGAGTTAGTAACAAAAAGTTATGGGATTCAATCAACAGTTTGGTTATAACACTTAAAAGTTCTTGAACTGAGCTAAACCGAAAATATAAGAGAGTTTATTTATTCACCTTGATTATTTTCAAGGTGACACAACACGCTTACGTCACCACAGGAGAAGGAGGAGTAAGCGCGGTCAGCAATTCTCCTCTGAGTTGTGGGCGGAGTCAGCGCTGCTCTGCACACTCCTCCTCACGCTATCTTACAGTCTAATAATGTCGGTGTTGTAGACGAAGCAGGTAACACAGGAGCTGTTCAGCTATCAGACACTTTGGGGTCATGATAAAAGTTAATATCATGATTCGCTTTCTTACGAGCATTGTAATCGGCTAACACACACGCTTGTTCAGCAATAGTTACACTTTAACTAAAAAAAAGATGTCTAATCCGATTACTCGATTATGTTGTTAGTTTAGCACTTAACCTGGTATCATATATTAAGGTTACCAAAGAGGGTTAGGGCAGCATTAAGAGAAAAAATAACCACAGGAGGGAGATTAAAGTCGAAATTTTGAGATTAAAAAAATCGAAATAATGTCAATAAAGTCGAAATTTGGAGAATAAAAGTCAAAATTTCAAGATTACGAAATGTCGTGAATGATGTAGAAATTTCGAGATTAAAAAAATCTGAATTTTGAGATTAAAGTCAAAATTTCGACTTTATTCACATAATTTAGACTTTAATCTTGAAATGGAAATTTAACAAACCTCCTTCCTGTAATTCTTTATTTCTCTTTTTGTGGCCATTATCCTCTTTTCTATCAGGTATCGAGGATTCGTGTGTCACATGAAAATTTGCAAAATATATAAATGAAAATGATGAATCATCATGTTCATTATGATAATAAACACAACACAGCCTGATTTATACTTTATAATAATAATAAAATATCAAAGCCTTTAAATGGTTCGTGTCTTCTTGTCAAACGTTTTCATTCAGAATAACTGCTGTCCTGAAGGCTGTCCCTCGTACTTCTAAATACAGTCTGTAATGTCGTGTAGGGATGTCTGTTAAAGGCCTCAGCTGTATTCAGATCCTGACTCAGTATAATTTTTATTTCTTCGCAGTTTTTTTGTAAATAGTGAAGTTAATTCTGAAACTGTGCAGGAACTGATCAGTACTGACCTCCATCTTTGTTTGTCCTGCAGGCCCAGAGTTCTGGAGATGGACAAAGAGGAGAACAGACACCCGTCTCTGTCCCGTCACGAGCGCCACAGCGTCAGCTCGGAGAACTACTGGAGACGCGGTCAAGACTCGAACAGACACAGAGAGAGTTCAGGACGCAAAGTCAAGATGAGACGCCACTGAGCGCCGCTCTCCTTATCCACACATGATCTACACTTATAGAAACATACCCGCTCATTCACGTATCTCTGTATCGTAACTTTTTTTTGACGAGTCGTCATTTTCTCGCTCACAGATCTGAACCACGTCTGCGTTTTGATTTGAGTCTCTTCAGTTTCGGTGCGTCTTTGTTTTGTTTCTGGCAGATGAAGCTGGCGTCTCTGCGGATCCTCGAGTTACTTAGTGCAGTTAGACTCTGTTACCTTCTTTCTGTGTCCATAGAGACGTTGTTCTGAACGGCATGTATTTTTTTGTAACCAGGATGTACAGACCCCCCCCCCTGAGAGATAAAGAGGAAGATGTATGTATGGACTTGTACAAAAGGAGCTGTAATCTAACTTGTTAAAATGTACAAACGTTTGTAAAGTCTTTGATGGAGGGAACTTTTCTGCAGGAGGAAACTTTTCTTTATTTTCATCCACAGTCCGGACCGCGGTCAGACTCACGGCGTTTTCACGGATATTTGCTGTTTGTCGGTTCGTTCTGTTATTCTGTTTCTGAAACAAAAAGCTGAACGTCTCGCTGGGTTCTGATTTGATGCAGGAAAGACTCAGACTGATGATTAATATTTTTGTTTCTGTCTAAAGTTTCTTTACCATATCTAACGGAGGACATGTTATTGCTGTTTCGCATTAAATCAAAGTTTCCTCATTTGATTGGGGTGATATTTGGGTCGATCAGAAGTTAGCTGAACCAACCCTGTCGTGTCTTTTTTAATGTTTCCAAAATCAAGGCAGAGGAGAAACCGGATTTCCAGATGGTTTTGTTTGTGCGCTTTTCTATGTAAACACAGATGAATTTGTATCTCGTCAGCAGGATTTTGGCAGAGGTACTCGTTAGCCGACCGCCAGGATTGTCTGTAGTTCCACTTGAACCAAAATAACTTTGGTTGAGTGAAGAAATAACTTTCTAAGATCAGACTGAGTTTTGTTTGCAGTTTCTGAAGCTCTCCTCCAGCTGTTAACATGTCTTATAAAAAAGGTTTGCAGTAATCGTCTTCAAACTGAGCATGAGACTCCTCTTCTGGGGAGACATGAAGTTGCTTCTGTGGTCACTTTTTCTGGCTACAAGGTTCTTGCTGAATGAAATAAAGCTCAAATAAGCTTCTCCAGGATTTGTCTGTGCCCGTCTCGTCTCTCCTGTCAGATCCACGGTCTCAGCTCGACCCCTGTGACATTTTTAACCCCACTATGAAATCTGTTCATTTGAAATAACTCTAATAGAATTTTAGCAAAAATATTGAATCATGCAGAAAAACTGAGAAACAGCCTTTACAACCGTGTTTTTGTGTAGATCTAAAATATCTTAGACTGATATGTTTACAGTGAATCCTTAATGAACAGAGCCTCAATGGGGCCCTCAGCTAAATCTGATTTTGGGGCCCTCTATTTCTGCCAATAATATTGATTGTTGATCATTCACACACCTTTACAAATCTCTTTGATTAACAATCCCTGACATGCAAACAGACCTTTATCTTGGCTTTTTTTTTTTCTTCTTCTTCTTTCTTTTCCCACAACTACCTGCTCTTTAGATACTCAGTGAACATTTCACAGCAGGAGGAACAGAACGGTAGCGGAGCTTTGACATATCGACAGTAAGAATCATAGACCTACATCAGCAGCAGCACTGAAACGTTTTTACTTGATTTTATTTTTACAATAATATATAAATGATCAAACAGAAATCATCACTCATACATGCAAAAAATAAATATTTCAAAAATGTATTTTTTGATTGCTCTTGGGGCCCCCTATTGGCCGCGGGGCCCTAAGCAGGCGCTTAGATCGCTTATGCTTTGGGCCAGCTCTGTTTCTAAAGAGAAGTGTTCAGTAAAAACAATAAATGAACTTCATATTTTAAAACTGATCTAAGATAAATTGACAAAAAGGATATTGGTACAGGTGAAAAAGGGGGAAAGTTTGACCTTTAGGGTTTTTTATATATATATATAAATTTGATCAGAACTCTAAAAAATATAAGTGGACAGTATTTAGATCAAGATTGGTGCAAAAACAATGACGACAAAGATTTGAATTGAAAAGGTGAGAATTTACTTGTATTTCTATAGAGGCATACTGCATTCACAAAAAAAACAAAAGGAACCTTTTTTAGTATATTTTAATTTTTTTCGCTGTTTTTTGGACTTTATTTTCTTTTTATCTGACTAGTTTTTTTCCTTTCTGTTTTTTTTGTACTAATAATTTTTACCCCTCTTTCTGTTTTTCTATTTTTTTCTTGTTTTTTTTGTACTCGGAAAAAAAATCATCTGAAAAGCAAAAAAAAAAAACAATCTGGAAAACAGAAAAGAAAAAAAATTAGTCTGAAGAAAAGAACAGAAAAATTACTCTGAAAAAAAAACCTTTTTTTTTAATAGTGATTGCAGTACACTTCCCTATATTTCTGCTTGAGAAATTGTTTGAATCAAGCCTTGAGGAACTTTGAGAGTCTTCCAAATCTTTCCAGATGATGATCACGACCATACTTAAAAAAAATATAGATGTATATATTAAATCGACCGATAACCGATAATATTCTCCTCGTTCCTGACTTCGCCTGTCGCTGCCACAGAGCTCCTCTCGGTGTCGCTGCCGTCCCTAAACTCTAAAAACTCATCCTCCATTCTAACAGAAGAAGAAGAGAACAGCTGTTTGCTAGCAGGTTGAGTTATATTTACTCCGAGTCCGTCAGACGGTGGAAAGTTATTAAAGACTGTTTAGTTTCGATCATCTGCATCATTTCAACATCATTAAACTCTGATGGTGTGGAGTCGGTTTGTCCCGTTTCTCTTCCGGCTGAGTGGTGAGTGTTATTGAAATAAACGAGGACAAAGCTGTCCGTGATGCTAACTGACTAACTGACTGACTGACAGCAGCTCACAGTTGGCCTATTTGGCAGGTTAACGTTAGCTAACATTATCCTTTAATACCGTCACAGTTAAACAGATCAAATTAGCTGGACTTTTCCTCCTGTACTTAACCTTCAGCTCGACAGCAGTCGTGTTAGTTTTCTCACGCTAACTCTCAGGATACTGACTCCAGGGGCGGAGTCACACTTTCTGACCAGGGGGGCCCTAACGTGGTGTTGGGGAAAATGTTGGTGAAAAGTCCAGATTTTAGTCTCAAGCCCACTAGATTTCTGACTCAGCTGGGACTTGTACTGTGATTTCTGTGTGACTGAAGGTGGAGATCTGTTTGTGTTTGTTGTCTCTGTCAGGGTGTGACAATATTTGTCATCCTGGTTATTTTTAAGAGTTTTTATAGCACATGCAAGCAAGAGCAGAGCAGTATGAGCTTCATGAGTCAAAGAACGATGAAGGTGAAGACGGGGACGAGTCCAAGCTAAAACACAAATCTGTCCAACATACCTCTGGAGGAGACACTCGATGTGTTAACATGTAACCCCCAATTTCCACCGCATCCGAAACGTCTACGAAAAAGATGTCTCCTCCGATCGTAGCTGATCGTAACCATTCAAGTTAACGTGTCAATTTCCACCGACTTCTTTCCGTTCCTCTGCAGATCGCCGGACTCCTCAGCTGATCGCAAGAGTTAAATTTTTTCTGGACGCCGGAGCATGGCGGATAAATTCAGCACATATTAACCCGTGCTGGAAAGGAAGTCGGGCACAGACACAAAATAAAACTTCCGGCTTCTTTTCAAAATAAAACACTCCGTGTTTCAGGAGGATCGTATTTCACACCATGCAAACAGGCGGAGACAAACAAGTGAAAGGTTTTTAGACGTCATTTCACCCCGATGACACCATGGATGAGGAGATGCTGATTCTAGAAGTCTAGAAGTAGATTTCCTCCTCTGGAAGGACACAATCTACTGCTTTTATGGTTAGCCTCTGTGGTTAAAGACAGCTTGTTATGGTGCTATTGACACACATTAATGTAGGAATTATAAAAATATGTTCCTTTATTTTTCAGGGATGCTTCTTCTCTAATATATTCAGTGATGCCCTTCATGGCCGTCTCACAGATTACTTCATATATTTTGATCTTAAACAGCGTCTTCACTCTGATACAGCAGCTTTCTGCAGGTTTGACAAACACGTCTAATCATTGACCCAGTTATCAGTGTATCAGCAGCAGCTCCTTCTGATCGGAGCTCTAATGTTGGATAACCTCTGTAACAAGGAGTCTTCTGATTGGTCTGATTATAAAACCGCTAACATTAAACAGAGGAGTGAGTGAACTCTGCCCTGATGTTGGACGTGACTCCACAGCTCACAGACAGAAACTAGACCAGGAGGCTGTTATATATTTGACCCTGTCGGTATGACTGAGTCACTTATTTGGTCTATTAATAGAGCGTGTGTCCATTCTTGGGTTTCTGCTGTACGTCTGACGAGGAGAGGAGAGGAGAGGAGAGGAGAGGGGACGACAGGCACTTGGTTGGAATAGTTGAGGGTTGAGTTCTGCAGCTATTTTTGGATCTCAGGTGATTGGAGCTGATAAAGATGAGCAGAGCGCACATGTTCAGTGTTTAAAAAACTTCAGATATATCAACATGATGGTTTCGTCCAACAAACTCCACTCTTGAACCCTCCCAACTTTTACCCCAGAGGAATCTGTTGGTCATCATGTGAGGCTGATTGATAAACTCCAACGTCTTAATCAATCAGACAAAAGGTTTTATTCTCGTTCTCAATGAAGCTGCTGATATTTCTGACATTTCTCCTCTGCAAGATCTAGGGCTGCACGATTAATCGATTTTAAATCATAATCAGATTATTTGATTATGATTAGGGCCCGACCAATATGGATTTTTTGGGACCGATACCGATTATTAGGTGGGGAAAAAAACAATTAAAGATTAATCGGTCTATTTAAAAAAAAATTTTAATGAAGTTATAAAAAATATAAAATAATAAAATTAGATTTATTGTAGATATATTAAACTATATACTGTAGATATACTGTAGGCTACTGCTCTTAATGTCGACAGGAAGACCGACTGATCAAACTCCGACCAGAAAAGCGTTTTCAACTTATTATGACGATGTTAAAAAATTAAAATACTTAAATCGATTTTCCTCTCTATCATGTCTCGCACCTCCAGGCCACCGTAGGCTCCCCAGTTCCCACACACACCAGTGTAAACAAACATGGCGTTTACAAACAAAGGCGATAATTTCGTGGTTAAATAGGACAAGAGCGAGTCAGTCGTGTTGAATTGGTACGACTTCACAGTTTCAGATGAAGAGTAAACCACTCCCCTAACAAGAACTCATTATGTCTGTTATGAAAAAGGTCTTAACTCTGTCAGTTTAGTCATCTTTGTTTTGAACGACTTCTCACGCTGAAAAAGAACCAAAAACAACAACGACAACACGGTTTCCAAGCCTCTTTTTATGAGAAGAAATCAAGTTGGATTAAACCTGAAGCCTTGTGTTTATTAAAAAAAAAACTGTTTTTTTATGGTCACTAAAAGTTTACAAAAACATGACCTCAAATGCTCTGTGTTTTAAACCAAAGGAGACATCAGCAGAAAGGTCTGTTTCTTCAGTTAGAAGACAGTCAAACTCCTCCCCTTAATGATGTTACAATCTGCTCATGTTCAGATAAGATAAGAAGAAGGAAAAATCAATACAGTAACCCTTTTAAAGAACATGTTCCTAACCTCTAAGTTTACTTTAATCATTTTAATGATTTCTCTCAGCTAAAACAGCCGTTTGGTTTCTCCAGAACTCTGTAAAGTAGGACTTTAGATTAAACGTGTTTCTTCTGGATCAGGACTAAAGCTCAGCTCAAACATGGTGGGAATGAAACTACGGACCCCCAAACAGGTGAGGGTCATTTAGAGGAAAGAAAGAACTGTGTTGGTCTTTCTTTTTTTTAGTTTAAGTTTAAACTAAACACGTAATAGTGTCTCTAAACGAAGCACTGAGTCCTGGATTCCTCCTGAGTGTGTAGGTCAGGTGTTAGCATCCTCTTTCGTCTGTGTGAGCGCTCCACACGCTCAGCCCTTAAACACGAATTCCTCTGATGCTGGTGTTCAGATGGTCATAGTAAAATTTCAGAAACAAGCCGTCAATGGGATTAAAACGGATCAGCAGGTTTTCTTGAACTCTGCAGTAGCAGTGGAAACTTCGGGTCTGTGGGTCAGGGCTTATCCCGGGAAATTTCAAGAATGTTAACACCAGCTAATCAATCGTTCATAACAGCCCCGCTCTGCAGCTTCCTCACTCTTAGCAGCACTCTGGAGAAGGGCGGACATTTTACAAGAAATCATCCATAAATATATTATCTAAAACGGATCCACTATAAATAAAATAACGGAAGATCTAAGTGTGCAAACTGGTTTTATAAACATTATCTTTGCGGACCGTCTTTAGAGGACAGATCCGAGCTGATATGTTATGTCAGAGTTATTTTTATGATGAGCAGTTAAGAGGCACAGCTGGGTTTACATGTGGGGTGTGAGAGGACGTCAGAGTTCATTTCAACTAGGGCTGCACGGTAAATCGATTTTTAAATCGTGATCGGATCATCTGATTACAACGATGTTAAAAACATTAAAAGCCTCAAATCGTGTATCATGTCTCGCGCCCCCAGGCCACCGTAGGCTCCTCCAGTTCCCTCACACACCAGTGTAAACAAACATGGCGTTTGCAGAAGAAGGCGATCATTTCGTGATTAAGAGTAAACCACTCCCCGCTGTAAAGTCTGTCTGAAGGCGGTATCAACCCGTCACCACGGAAACAAATTCAGGAGGAAACGCTTAAGTTTTTTGTCGTATCGGCGTTTCATCCACACAGAAACGGCGTTTCAGGTGACTGTAAACGGTACTTTTTGAAAACGGGTCAGAGAGTGAATAAATCTGTAAACGACGACCATTTCATCTCCGTGTGGATGTCTATCTGCATCTCTGGAAACGATCATGTGACACACAGAGTAACTCTTTTATGGCGCCAAAACAACCTTTATACACATGCTCTGTACTCTTCTTCAGCGTTACAGTGCCACTTACTGGCTTATGGCATATGAACTACATCGTTTTCAGTGGTTTGGTTTTGAGAGATGATAGAAAAACTTTTTATTAAAGTGAAGTTTGGTGAAGCTGTCACTGAATAGAGAAAAAAATCTGTATATTATTTTTTGCCCTTATTTCAACAGAGGAGAAAATGTCCAATATTTTCACTTTAAAAGTCTGTACCTTGCAATCAGCTGACTGTGGCACAAACACAGTCATACTTTCTACCAGTTTTACTTGATTTCTTTCTCTCGACTCTCTCTGGCTCAGCACACACAGATTGTAGACACAGACCATATTGTTCTCCGTTAGATAAACTCCTTCTTCTGCTCTCTCTGTTTTGTTCTGATCAGGTGTTATCTCCTAAAACAAACTCACAAAGGTTTTATTTGTTTTAGAAAGTTTTTTGAACCTCTGTGATAAACTCTTCTGTCAGGTATTTCTTCATCAGTATTTCAAACACTTAAAACACCCCGCCAAAATAAAAGACACGACTAAAACGTCTGACTGATCATCACTGAAATCACGTCTCTTCAGCTGTTTTAATTTACTCCGTCAGCCTGAATTCACAGCTTTCATCGGGGAGGTGTCCTTCACCGTGTGGAGAAGCTGCAGTGAATCCTCCTCAACCTGAAAATCACCTCCACTCTCTGCTCACTTCAATTTATGTGTTCCTCCTCTCAAGGCTAACCCCTGAATAAGGAAGCGATGAACTTCCAGGGCAGTCGGAGGCGAGGCGAGGATGGCATCGCCATGGTGATTGACTTCTTGCTGTCTAATGCCCGGCTGGTTCTGGGAGTCGGTGGAGCCGCCATGCTTGGGATTGCTACACTGGCAGTAAAGCGGGTAAGTGTTTTGGAGGTTGTTAGTTTCATATCAGTGCGTTTCTTATTGACACTTCTCTCTCTCTAACTCTGGGAATTTCCTTCATTTGGAGAAAGTGAGACGTTGAAACCTTAAAGTCTCCAAGAATTAGGACTCTGGACTCTGAAAACTTTGTGTTCACTGAGTTTTTCTGTCCACTTCCAGACTGACAGTTCACCCTGAGTCCGTTTTATTTACTCCTCACCGGGACAGAAAGTTCTCATCAAACAAATGCTCAAAGTTTAGACTCTTATTATGTTGAAGCTAGGGCTGGGTGATAAACCGAAAATTTACAGAGACAGAAATTTACGACAATAACTGATGTCATTTTTTCCATATCGATATATTCAGTGTCAAAAAAATAAAAACTAAAGTTGTTTTTGGATGTGTGTAGGTAGGCTATGGTCTCATGTCCCTTTTAAGACGCTGTCCTACATCAGAGACGTGACTCCACCCCATCCAGTTCGTAACAACAGTCCTGAAAAGTGGCAAAATAATTGCAATAAAGGTGCATACTATCAACATAACTGCCACAGCCCCATCTACTGCCTGCACCTTTTTGTATAGGTGGCGCAGTGGAGTAGTTATCGTCCATTTATTGTTATCGAGGTGAACTGCAGAACACATCGTGATATTGATTTGAGGCCATATCGCCCAGCCCTATCTGAAGCTCTGAAATCTGATTATTAAAAGGATGGAAAATAAAAGCAGCAGTGATAACCAGATGATTTTAAAGGTCATAAATTTTAGGCATTTATCGACAAGTCAAATATTCAGCAGTGATTCAAAGCTTGATGAATACAACTTTGTTGAACTTGAAGCCTCTTTCATGTTGCGTCAAGTAGGGCTGGGAGATAAACTGAAAATTTATCGATACTGAAATTTGTGACAATAACCAACGTCATTTTGCCCATAATGCTATATTTGGTGTCAAAAATAAATAAATAAATAAATGAAAGTTGAAGCTGAAGTAGACGAAGTTAATGTGGGAGGGGGTGAGCAGCTTATGGAGTAGTTATCATCCATTTATCATATCAAGGTGAACTGATCAATATATCGTGATATTGATTTGAGGCCATATCGCCCAGCCCTAGATGAAGCAGTGATTCAAAGCCTGATGAATACAACTTTGTTAAACTTGAAGCCTCTTTAATGTTGCTCTGAGTAGGGCTGGGCGAAAAACCAAAAATTTACCGATACCAAAATTTATGACAATAACCGACATCATTTTGCCCATATCTGTACAATTGGTGTCAAAAAAATAAATAATAAAAGTTGAAGCAGAAGTAGAGGAAGTTAATGTGGGAGGGGGTGAGCAGCTTGAGGAGTAGTTATTGTCCATTTATTGTTATTGTGATATTGATTTGAGGTCTTATCGCCCAGCCCTATCTTCGAGGTGGTGTCCTCCATGTTCAGCGTATCATCAGTCCTTCTGTTCGCTGTTTCCCCTGGTGTGTTTTTAGCTGATCGAGCGCGCTGGCCGTGCTGCAGACGACGAGAAGGTGGAGCAGAAGATGGCGGAGAGCTGGGAGGAGCTGGGTCTGGTGTCTGCGTCTCCCACACTGATCAAAAAGGGCATAAAGGGCGTGGTGATGAAACATGTCGCCAAGGCAACCAAACAGCAGAAAGGTAACCTCCACTCCACGACCACAGACTGAAAATCAAGACAGCAGCCCTCTGATGTGACCTTTTTTAACCTCTTTCTGAATCAGCTGACCTGTGCCAACAACCTCAGGCGTCCCCACTGGAGGTCGAGTCCAAACCCGAGTCCAAGTCAAAGAGGATCCAGCTGTGTGTCCTCAGCCTGCAGGTACACGCTCACCCACGTTTCACCTCTGAGCTCTTCAAAGCTCTGATGATAAATTCAGCGTCAGCAGCTGCAGAATCCGCCCCGCTCAGCGTTTGCTCATTCATTTATGCATGTGCGACATGTTTTTGAAATTACTGCGCTTTAGGGACCCTTATTGTTATGCAGTGGTTAGGCCGCGCAGAATCCCCTGAGCCCTACATAATGGAAATCCTGAGGGCCTCGTTCACTCCCTCTGTAGATAAAATCAGACATGCATGGAGCAGCTCTGAGTTTGGAGCAGAAATGTTGAAGATGTTGTTGAAGAGGAGCATGAAGTAATCTGTCCTGTAAGTGTTTGTTCAGCGAGTCGGGGTTTAAAACAAAGGGGTTAACGTTTAAAGAGAAATTATGCAAATAGTTTTTTTAATCGAGAGCTGAGAACCTCAATCCCTGGAAAGCTTCTTGTGTAAAGAGTTTTGTAGGAAGAACTTTAAAGCAGAATAACCATAACCCGAACTTTTCTGGGCCGAACTTTCAAACTGAAACAACTTTTGAAAAACAACGACAGGAAGGTCTCCGAAAAATCAGGAGTCTATGTCTCTGGGTCAGACTGTTCGGGAAACTTTCAGCTCAGACTGGGCAATTATATGATGGTGATAAATTTCAGTTCGATCACGGTGATCAGCTGTGAGCATAGTTTCAGCTCAGAGTTTTGTTGGCGGTACTTTAAACTCTCTGCACTCGTCTTTGAGCGTCTGTTCACCTCTCTTCCTGCTTTAAAACAGTTTTGTTCTTCTGTTGTTTATCAGTCCGAGCAGTAAAGCCTAATCCTGTCAACACTCTTCAGTCCGCTCTGAGGCACTTAATGAATTTGAATTTTTATTTCTCAAGAGGCGGCTGCTCTGGATTCCCAACAGGAGGCCTTAAAACTGTTCCTGAAAGAGTTGAAGACACTTTCTGCACACAGTACATCTGCTCAGAGTTAATGCAGCAGCTCTCCTCATCCCTCCATCGTTCACCCACGCTGTGTGTTTGTGTCATGTCTGTGTTCAGGACCGGCTGCAGCAGTACTATCACACCAGGGCGGCGCTCGCTCCACAGGAGGTCCAGAGGGCTCAGTCTTTGGCTCTGGACATCTGCACAGAGATCCAGGGCTTCCTGCACAGCCGACACCCCGACATGCCTCTTGGAGAGATGAGCCTCGGGGGTTCTTTACTGGACGACCTGCAGGTACTCATGCAGAACATCTGTTTGTCTCTGCAGATAAAAACACAACCTCTCTGCTCCTCCCTGATATCGACTCGCTGGATTTCATGTGACCTTTGTTTGTTTCTGCGTGTGCGTTCAGGTGGTCAGTGCAGACCACGCCTGTCTGCTGGTGCCTCTGCAGCTGGAAGCCTCTCTGTGGCGTCTCATCCCTGGGGAGGAAACTCTGCTCACACACCCGCTGCACTGGATGGTCCGACGGATCAATCTGGAATATTTTCCCAGAGGACGCAGCTACTGGGACAGGTGATTCCACTGAAACATGATACCTCCTGACCTTACTTATCTCTTCATTATTGTTAACAGCGCTGCAGCTTTTATGTGCAAAAACAGTTTGACCTCGGACTGCAACTAAAACTTAATTTAGTGATTATTGATTGTTTGGTTTAATAAGTTTGTTAGTAAGTCTGTGAGGAGTCGAGTTTTATAGAGTTTAAGTTTAGATTTTCACAAGTTACCTAAACTCTAAAATATTCCATTTAATAAAAAATGAATAAATAAGAAGTTTGACTTATTTCACTGTTTTTAAAATAATTAATCACTTATAGATATATACAGAGGCTGTCACGTAATATCTGTCAGCTGAGAATTATTTTAGGTTTAACTTCAACTAAAATAAACAATTTTAATCAGTGATCTTGGATTATTTTGGTTCAAGCTCCTGGGAGGAATTTAGGGTTTATGTTAATTTTGGCGCCCCCTGTGGACAAAACAGACTTTGTCTTCTACATGTTTAAGTCGAGCAAATCTCTTCCTGCTGACCTTTGTCAGTTAAATTTCATATTTATGGTGAATATTACATGTGAAATTGTAAAAACAGGACTGTTGTCAGTTATTAAAAATTACAACATGATAATCATCTGTCCCGTCGCTGATTGTCACGTTTGCTTTTAAAGATCACAAATATGAATTTCATGAAGGTTAAGTCTGAGACATCACTGTAAACAGCTCCTTGATATTAATATTGAATCAAGTTGGTGAATGAAATATAAGTCAGCATCAACACGAGGATTCAGCAGAGTGATCATTCAGGCCGTCCTGCTGCTCTGTGTGTCCTTCATGAAGACCTGTGTCACTGACATGTGAGCTGCAGTAACAGACTTGGATTCACAGGGACAGACACAGAAACGTCTATCAAAGCTCTTCACTGAAACCCGTCTGCCTTTGTGTCCCGTAGGTACCTGGTTGGCGGTTACCTGTCCGCTGAAGCTGTCATGAACATGTTTAGTAAAGCCGTCATGGAGACCATTAACTGGCCGTCTATCAGCAGCACTCTGGACTGTCTGGTCAGACCTGTACTGGGAGGACCAGACCTCAGACTGGAGATACAGTGAGTGTTTGGAAAAAAAATGTTGGAATGTAGTAACAGACTTGATATAAATCATTTCACATCATAGATCACAGTCTTCACTTCAGTTTCAGAGAATTAAAAGTTTCTGTGTTAATTTACCTCAACTTCAGAAACACTACGACTGTGAATTTAAAAAAAAAAAAAAAGACTCAACAGTTCCTAATGAACCAAAAAAGGATTTTGATCAAACATTAAGGAGTCAATAATAATAATCACGGCTTAAAAACGACTAAAACAGTTTAATCTGCTGTAAAAATGGGAGATGACATCAACAGTTGAGAAGTGATTCATTAGTTCTTGCAGCTCTAATATTAACAGAGCATTAAATCAACATTTTTAACATCACCCTGAGGACGCAGGACGCTCAGAGGAACATAATGTCTCCCTTTGGCTTCATTAATCAATACATTTACGTGAACAGAGGCTCATATTTCAGACGTTAAAGACGAAGGTAGAGCTGAGAGAAAGTGACGGTTTGATTCACATCCAATCAGGAAACATTCGTTAAAGTTCCTCTTTACTTGTGGAGGATATCAAACATGTATGATCACAGTGAGTGTGTGTGTGGTGTGTGTAATAAACTCTGTGTGTCCTGTTTCTCCCCGTTGTGTTCATGAAGGCCTGAAAGTCACCTAGACGGCGCAGAAAGCACCGATCCGCCGCTCTTCATCTCCATGTTGCCTCTGCTGAGGGAGGACGACGTCGCTCTGACCTGCCAGCCTGAGCTCACCTCTCCCTGGGTCAACGCGTGGCACCTGTCCCTCTACCCGTGGGAGACCCAGCGCCTGGCACAGCTGGACACAGCTGACGACGGATGTCGCAGACACACGCTCAAAATCCTCAAAGCGGTGTGCAAACTGAACCCGGCCCTGCGAGCGCTGGAGGCCGCCCCGCTGGCCAACCTCATCCTGCACCTCAGCGACAGTGAGAGCGACTGGTCCGAGGGCAGCCTGGACGCGAGGTTCCAGCAGTGCATCACAGAGCTGATTGGCTACCTGGAGCAAGGGGCGCTACACAGCTACTTCAAGCCGGCTGTCAATCTGCTGAGCGGTTTGTCAGAGGACCAGGTGGATCAGATGGGCTTCATGATGTACTGCGCCGTGTCCGAGCCAGAAATCCTGCTCATATAACGAACATGAGACCAACACGGGGCAAAGATGTCGTCTTCTTCCCCCCGTCTTCTTCGATCTTTAGCTTCTCCGATCTTCTTAGAGACAACACGGTACTGCAGGAGTGAGGCACCTTGGAGCGACGTCTACACCGAGGGAGGAGAAGCTAACAGAAGACTGCACATGTGAAAGTGATAATTGAGCTAAGCTTATCACTGCGGGGGAACGAGAAGTGCCGAGAAAGGAGCTGAGGAAGTGTTTATCAGGAACAATGTGCCTAATCACACAAACCATAGACAAGTCTGCGTTAGAGTGTCAGTGACGGTGGTTTTCATCAACAGTCTATCCATTAACAGCAGGGAAGCGCTGGAGTTTAACGCTTTGGTTCTTTTTTTCCGCTCTTCTCTTTTAATTGATAGTCTGCTCTGCATAAATCTCCTTCACCACATTGTAAATATGCAGAAATGAGATCGGCTGCTTCTACCTAACCACTCAGACTGTCTGAGTGTGACTCTATCATGTAAATTTTCTCACACTGGAGGAAACAGCCTAGCTGTGTTTTTGTCCTTTCTGTTAAGTGTCTGTCGCCTGTCTCATCTGGATAAACTAACTCTTTAAGTTATGGTTGCAGTTGCCTAATGATTTTAAGCACTTGCTTTTAATGACAGTATGAATGCTCTGGGTATTTCTTCAGTCGTGTTTTCTTGAGTGTTGAGTGAAAGAAAATCAGATTTTCAGTGAGTGAACAGTGACGGTAAATAAAATTAAAGCAGTTGTCTAGATTCTCACTTTGGCTCTCGTAGTTTTTTTTTTACTCCTGTACGTTTCAGTTCGACTCAGTGTGAAAATATTTCAACTCTTTCACATCATGATCTGAGCTCGCTCTACTTTCATACACATGCCAATCAAAATGCATAACTCATGTCATGTGAGAGACGGTTTTGTTATTGACACGAGCTTGTAACCACAAAGTGATGACCCCCCCATCATATGATACGGACCTCTGTATGTACTGTCGGGTGAATTCTCAGAGAATGTGCCGGAGCTGCAGAAAGCACAATGAATTGTGCATCTGTCTCATGCCAGATTTACAAAAGACAATGCATAGATTATATCCTGACGTAAACACATCCATAAAGTTGTGTCTTTGAATTCCCATCAGGAGTCGCCTGCAGATGTAAGTCTCTGCAGAGAGTTCCAGCTCTCATGCTTCTGTTGATCCTAAACACACAGAGATGGCAGGCTGGGGAGGAATCAGGCGGCTCATTTCCAAATGTATTGTAAAGCCCAGAATCCATAGATGTTAAATCAGCTTTCTCAACTGACAGGAAACAAATGTCTGAATAATGGCTGATTTAATTATATGCAAACAACACTGGAGCGCTGGAGAGATTATTGAAGGGCTGTAACAGGCAGAAATGAGGATTACAGAGACAATGATTTAATATTGTCATTATGAGGAATTTTCTTCAAGTTGGGCGCTGAGTTTGCTGACATTTAAATTGGAGATTAATCTGCTGTGCTGCTTTTATAAGATAATTTTGATAACATTTTGATAGTTGTCATGGAAATGAGCAGCATGTTGCACTTCTTTTCGACCTCATCATCAGTCTATTGGGATCAATAAACTCCACACAAACCCAGACGACTTGTAAGTATGTAACAGGTAAGATCTGTGGCCAACAGTCAAAATTAAACTGTTGAAGATAGGTGTGTCAATTACTGCTTTTTCACCTGATATTTGAAGACTTGCAGGTTAAGTGAGTTTGGAAGAAGAATGATTTGAGGCTTGAAACACTACATAGTAAAATAAAAATGTCAAAGTATAGTATGATTAAAAAATGTAATTAAATGGTATGATAAAAGGGTCGTACTAAGTATGTTAAAAAATAGTATAATATGATAAAACTGTCATGGTAAAGTATGTGAAAAATGTCTTATTATAGAAGGATAAAAGTGTCTTAAGTATGATAAAGAGATCATAGTACAGTATGATAAAAAATGTCATGATATAGTATGTTAAAAAAAAGTCGAAGTAAAGAATGTAAAAAATTGTCATAGTATAGTTGGATAAAAATGTTCATAGTATAGTTTGAAAAAAATATAGTACAGAATGTTAAAAAATGTCATAGTATAGTATGATAAAACATATTGTTGAGTATGATAAAAATGTGAAAGTATGGTACAATAAAATTGTTATGGTAAAGTATGATAGGAATGTCATAGTGTAGTATAATAAAAATGTCATAGTATGGTATGATAAAAATGTAACAGTAAAGCATGTTAAAATATCATAGTTTGGTATCATAAAAATGTCATAAAAATAGTATAGTTTGTTAAAAATGGTCATAGTAGTGTATAATAATAATGTCTTAGTATAGTATAATAAAAAATGTCTTGTGTAGTATGATTCAAAAATGTCATAGAATGGTATGATTTATATGTCAAAGCACAGTAAGATAAGACAATTCATAGCATAGTATGCAGAATAATGTAAAGTTTGATAAAAAAATCTTAGCATGATAAAAATGTCATAGTATAGTATGTTAACAAAATGTCAGCATAGTATGTAAAAAAATGTCATAGTGTAGGCTATTAAAAATGTCATATTATAGGTATAAGTATGATAAAAATTTCATAATAAAGTAGAATAAAAATTTCAAAGTATAGCATGATAAAAATGTCATTGTACGGTATGATAAAATGTCATAATATAGTATCATAAAAATGTCATAGTATAGTATGTTAGAAAATGTCACACTATAGTCACATAAAAGGGTCATAGTATAGTTTGTTCAAAAAATGTCAAAGTAAAATATAACAAAAAATGTCATGGTATAGTATGCTTTAAATGTCACAGAATAGAATGTTAATAAATGTAATAGGATAGTTTGTCAAAAAATGTCATGGTATAGTATAAGAATAACGTCATACTATAGTATGATAAAAATATTATTGTAAATTAAGTTAGAAAGTTATTAGAAAGCATGTAAAAAAAAGTTTAAGTAAAGTTTGATAAAGATGTCATAGTATGGTACATAGTATGGTCATTGTATGATATGATAAAAGAAATCGTACTTAGTATGTTATAGTATAATATGATTAATTTTCATAGTATTACATGCTAAAAATGTCATTGTTTAGTTTATTTTTTTTTTATCGTATTTTCGATACAAATGTCATGGTAAAGTTGAGTAAAAATGTCATTGTATAGTATATTAAACAGTGTCATAGTATAGTATGATAAAAAAGGAAATTGTATAGTATGGTAAAATGTCATAGTATAGTTTGTTTAAAAAATATCATAGAATAGTATGACAAAAATATCATCTTATAGTTAGTTAAAAATGTAATAGTATAGTAAGAATAAAAAATTTCATAGTGTAGTATGATAAAAATGTCTTAGTATAGTTTGTTAAAAAATGTCATAGTACAGTATGATAAAATGTCATAGGAAAGTAAAATACGTCAATCGATAGATAAAAATGTTTTGTTTCATACGTAAAAAGATGTTAAAGTAGAGTTTAATAAGTATGTCATAGCAAAATTAAATAAAAATGTTATAGTATAGTATGATAAAAAAGTAATAGTTTAGTATTGTTAAAAAAATGTCATGGTCTAGAATGATTAAAATGTCATAGTATAGTATGCTAAAAATTAGATAGTAAAGTATGGTTAAAAATGTCAGGGTATAGTATGATAAAAAAAAAATGTCATTGTATAGAATCTTAAAAAAGTCATAGTAAAGTATGATGAAAAATTCTCAGTAAAGTATGATGAAATGTCTCAGTATAGTATGATAAAAAAAGTCATAGTCATAGTTATGATAAAACAAGATGTCATAGTATAGTGTGTTTAAAATAATGTCATAGTGTAGAATGATAAAAATGTCAAGGTTTAGTAAATTAATAAGATGTCAGTACAGTATGATAAAAAAATGTCATAGTATAGTTTGATAAATATGTCACAGTACAGTATGATAAAAAAATCACAGTATAATATAATAAAAATGTCATTGTATAGTATATTTAAAAAATCATAGTGAAGCCTGATAAAAATATTAACGTGTTGTAAGATAAAAATGTATTTGTTCTTGTTGTAGATATAGAAGTTGTCTCTTTTTATTTTTTAAATGTATATAAAGTTGGCTGTATTTCCGGCGAATACACAAACTAACGGTATTTTATTTTGAAATCACCGAGCGGAAGTCTCTGTTAGCTGCTCTGACTTGACTCTGTAGCTCGATCCCGTTTTTTCATGAAGTGCCGCTTTCTGCCCTGAAGTTAGCGGAACCCCGGCGCGTTCGTCGGTCGGCCGGCCGGCTGTCACATGGCTCAAAATGGGAGTCGACGGTTCAGTTTACCGGTCAGGAACGTGACACCGGAGCTCAGGTTTTTCGGCTAAAGTATGGCACAACAACAAAAACAACAACGACGACGACGGAAAAGAGGAACACAAATCCCGGGACAAAGGTTAACGTGCCGTGTGACTCTCTGGCGCTCGCGGGGAACTTTCACTTCTCCGTTAACTTTCTCGGTCTTCTCCGTGAAACTCCGCTTCTGCGCGAGGCTGACGAAGTTAAAGGAAGTAGTTTAGAGAGTTTCTGGAGTTTGAAGTCGGTAATTTGTCGTTTTTTGTTTGTCTAAAACTCCGAGCGAAGTTTTTTATTCCCTGCAGGCTCCGGTTGTTCTTGTTGTTGTTGTAGCGGCGGTGTGAACAGCTGACTGCCGGGCGGAGGGCCGGGCTGCACCTCCGGGACACAGCGATGTTCTGATCCTCGGTCTGAAGATGATCGGGTCCCCGGACCTGCTGGCCTTCACCGGTTCTGGGGGGTTCGGGCAGGTGGAGGAGGAGCAGGAGGGTCAGGATCTCCCTGAAGAACTGTCCGTTCCTCTCGTCCCCTTGTCCAACCCCTGGAGCTCCTCAGCCCAGTTCCACAGAGACTTCATCCTGGTGGCTGAGTTTTCAGAGCAGGTGAGTGTGACTGTGTCTGTGTTTAAGCCCACCTGAACCCGCTGAGATCACGGTTTAATATCAACGAAGACAGTTTTAAACACATTTATTTATTTTTTTAACTTGATATTTAGTTTTATTTTCATATTAACACATAAATTCAGGACAAAGCAGAAAAAAAGAGAAAGGAAAAAAAAAAGGATTCAAATGCATAGATAAATAACACCCAAAGTAATAATAATATTAATAACTTTATTTGTATAGCATTTTTTAAAAAACAGAAGTTTACAAAGTGCTTTGACAATTAGGGCTCTATTTTGGTGCCCGCCGGCGGTGCGGCGGAGGCTGGCAGAGCCCCGCACAGTGGTATTTTCATCTGGTGGAGCCCAGCGTACAGCCAGTTTGATGTTCTCGTAGACTGAGGTCCGCCAGGCTGAGCGTGGTGGCGCGGTAGGGGGAGGTGTCGACAGAATCAGCTGGCGCAGTGACATTTCGTGCTCGCCGGCGGAGTAGAAAGTGCGCTGAAGGTCGTTGATTCAAACCTAGTCAGCTTTCAGCGCAGGCGAAGCGCAGCTGGTATAGTGTTATTTTGGTACACCGGCGGCGTAGTGCACATACGTCATCGTTGCCTCACCGGCAGGTTTCCGATGTTTAAAGGTGAGGGGAGGAGCTTATCTGATTGGCGAAAACCAAACCTGAGAGTTGGTTTGAGGAGCATTTGAATGATTTAACTGTCAATAGTTATTATTAGTAATTAGACGATGGATTAAAATCAGCTGTAATGTTGCATCAACTTTTAACAAATGAGCCAAAAAAAAAAATCACCTTAATCCTTCCTAAAATCACCAAACAAACAATCATGTGCAACCTTATTGGACTCAATAATAACTAAAAAAAACTCCATTTGTATGCTAAAAATGTCATAGTATAGAATGATAAAAAATATCATAGTATACTATTTTTTAAAATTTAAACAGGATTCAGTGGAATACAGCTGTCTACTCATTTACTACAGCAGAATTTATAAAATTATCAGAAGGTAGTTGTAATTAAGTTGATCTGTAACCATGTTTCTCATCTTCAGGAAAGTTAAAGTATTTTTTTAAGAGAGGTAACACTTTCTCAGTTCTCCTTATGATACTGGTGATTCAGATCTTTACAGGAGGAGAAACTTTGGACAAAAACAACCAAACAAAACAATTTTAGTTCACAAGATGATGAGTCAGACACAGCAGCAGCCTTCAGACAGAAAGAGAGAGAATGGGAACATTTACCACAAACGCTGGTGTGTGCAGAGTCAGGATAAAGTCAGATGAAACAGTCGGCCTACTTTCTTTTCAGGTTCAGAGTTTTAAAACAAACCTGTGATCTGTTTTCTCCTGACTTTGACTGATCTTGGTGTCAGGTCTCATGTAAACAGAGATTACAGCGTCAGTGCCAACATCCCTCCTGGACCGAGATGATCATGATACATGATTGAGTTTCTTAATGCCTCACAGCGGCCAAGTGACACGTAAGCCAAACAAATAAAAACAACACGAGGAAGTTTGAACTAAGATTAGACTGGCAGACCGTACTCTTACTCCCTATGAGTGGAGATTACAACACGCCTTATTTAGAACATTAGGACTAAATAAAATGACGTTTTATTCTATATATACAGTTTCTACGGAGGAGGGTTAGGGCCACTAGGAAAAAAAAAAGGTTTGATATAATTTTTTAAATAATTATTCTGAGATTAAAGACAGAATTCTGTTTTTTTTTTCTCAGAATATTAATTTAAAAATTATATCAAACCTTGTTTTATTGTTCCAGTGGCCCTAATCCTCCTCCGTAGTTTCCTCACATCTGCCTGACGTGATTACAACAGATAAATGAAATAAACAGTTGCAGTGAGTTTATTTACAGCAACACAGGAAACACTCTCACCTCTGCACAAAGGTATTCTTATTCTCCACAGATGAGCTAAGATTTGTGTTGAATGTTTTTGCTGCTGTGACATATCTAATATTTTTAATATTTGTTTGTAAAGTTCTGAAAAATGTATTTTAGTGTTTTCCAAAGCCTTTATTCACACCCTGAACGGTTGTGTAGTTTAGCAGACATACTGTCGATAAGTAAAAAGACCATTAAACAGATTAAGAACCATTTATTTAATCAAAGTTGTGAAGGTAAGAACTCAGATTTTCACTTACAGTAAAAACCAAACCGAGAAATCGTGACGTTAAAGTTAAAGGAACAGGAACCCTGAAGGCAGCTCTTGTTCCTGATTCAGTTCTTTATCATCGAATGGATTTTTAGATTGAAGCAGCTTTAATGAAAAGGAGGAACTTGACTTCTTGTCTAAAATAAAGTCTATAAAAGGCCGACCTTGTGTCCACACTGTAAACACCAATCATGAACGAGTGACAACAGTGACGGGCGTGAAATACAAATCCTCCTGCTGATGGGCGGGTTTGTTTTTTTGACTTTAAGGTACCTGCCCTGAGTGGAAACTTTCCTCTTTCTGTGCATCTGTGTTGAATACTTGATTTTGATTGGTTGAAAACTGGAGTGACTTTATGTCCTCCGTTGAGCATCAGTTCAGAGCAGTAAATGGAATTATGGGTCAATTTAAAATGAAAATAGTTTCCAGGTTGGCCTGAAAGAGTTTGATTGAATTAATTGAATTAATTGAATCAAACAGAGCCGTCTGATTTTCTTGATCAAAATCGACTCTGTTTGAGGATTAACTCAGTGACAGCCAATTCTCAGAGGAGCTTAAACGCTCAGATTTCTGCAGTTATTATGTTTTTTTAATATTTCCTGGACTGGATTAACAGGTTTATGTGAGCTTTAGTCCACTGTTTACTTTGGCGTCTCTCATCCTTGCCGTCTTTCTCCAGGTGGGACCAAAACCTGTGCTGACGATCCCAGACGACCCCAGAGCTATCGGATCTTTTGACCTCAACCACTTCTCTGTTCGCATCATGTCCGTGGACTACCAGGCGTCCGGCCCCGGACACGCACCGCCAGCGTCGCCCGGTCCTCGTCTGAACTTCAGCGAGGACTCCAAAGTGGTTCTGGGAGATTCTGCGGAGAGTGCGTTCGCGTATGTTCACCACATGACCCTGTACGACCTGGAGGCCCGGGGTATGGTGCGTCCTTTCTGCATGGCGTACGTGTGCTCGGATCAGGGGAAACTCATGGAGAATTACGGCGAGCTGTCGACGTGCTTCTCTCAGGCGGCTGACAGCCTCAAGACGGGGAACAGACAAGCCTTCTCCATGGAGCTGCAGAGGAAATTACAGGAGCTGGAGTAAGAGCAGGATGTTTTTGATTTAAGAACTTTATACACACACACGTATCGTATCAGGAAAGATTTCTGTTCTTACCAGCGGCTACTCAAATCAGCCGAGCAAATCCAATATTTGTCAGGCTCTGCATACGAGATGATGTGAAACGAGCAGCTCGGACAGGCTCCTCAGGGGAGAAAAACACCTCCTCCCTGCTGTCCGGATTATTTTACAGCTGCTTAAGAAATCAAAGTGATTTCAGTGATTTAAAAAAGTTATTTCTCCTTTTCCTTTAATAAAAACAGAGAGCTGGTTCAGTCAGTCAGACACTGAAATCTGTTTGTCACACTTGTACAGTGCCCAGCATGCATCAGTACACCCCCCTATTAAAATTGATGTATTACTCAATGTCTAGACGAGCAAAAGTACAATTAACAAAGTTTAACAGAACATTTTATCTACCATAAGATGGAATTAAGGCTGATACGGTCACTAAAATGTAGCTTTACTCCCAAACTTTGACTGGGGTGTACTCATTTTTCCATCCTGATTTTAAATAAAAAAAAAATACTTTTTTTAAGCAACTTAAAAAAAATCTTGCTTGCAATCAGTGGTCTACATTTGGGGGAGTATTTTGTTTCATAGTCGGACGTAGAAAATGTTGATTTTTGAAAGGAAACTAAAGGTTTTCTGATAAATCTGAAGGGTTGTACTTATTCATGCTGAGCACTGTACATCTGCTCCTTTTAATTTTCCTGTTCTCTAAATGTTAAAAAGAAGGAAGAGGCATCTGCTCCTCTTCCTGACGGTGAAGCCAAAATACTTTCGCCACAGGTCTGCAAACTAAAAACCTTCAAATTACCGATCAAACAGCAAAAACCAGTCGACAGAGTAACAGAGTCTTATCTCTTTATTTAGTCTGTACTCTGCTAAAGAAGTGCAGCTGGAGCTGTCGGACAGGATGTGTCAGCGTCGAATAAAAACTCGGATCAGTAAAATGTTCATGTTTTCATAAATCGGCTTTAAAAGACCAAATGAAAAAAACAGAAGCAGTTTAAGAGAAGAAATTTTGATTTCATAGTTTGACCGGGCTGATGTCCATGATCATTGAAAATATCAGAAAACAACCAATCAGAATCAAGTGTCAGTTACAGTAATACAATAACACCACCTCTTCAACAGACCGTGTAAACGTGCTCAGACTCAGACTCAGACTCAATCAGGAGAATTTTGAAACAGCTCGGTGAAAATGAAACTTTAATCATTCTTAATCATCGAGACTTTGTGTCCCATTTCCAGTTGAACCCAATAAAACCAGTTCAGAAGATCGTTCCAGACTGACCTCTCCACCTTCGTTCAGCTCAGACTGGATCCATGGCGGCCCGTACAAACGCCGCTAAGATGTCTGTAGAAAGTCAAAACGACTGTTTAAAAAAAAAAAAAAAAAAACACATTCAGATCTTTATTTTTGTTTCTGTTGTGAAGGTGGTCGATGCAGTCAGTCGTACTCTATGTGTGGACCATTGCTCAGATAAGAGGCTGATGAAATGTGTAAATGTGTGTTACAGCAACAATAATCTGGTGGAGAAACAATAATCAGAAAAGCTGACGGCAGTATTATAATCTGTTATTATGGTGCAAAGTTAAAAATTGTAATTAGAAACAGAAAATTACAGATCACAGACTTTCTCTGAGCTCAAATAGACGATTGGAGAATTCTGGTTTTGATCGGACCGAAATGTAAAAAATTGACGAAACAGTGAAAATCAGCTAAACGCAAATGTTCTCAGAAACTGAATCTCAGAAACTGAAGCTCGGGTATGTTTCCTTTAGAGGCCTCATGTTGTCAGGATTTATATTGATTATTACAGCAGCAGGGCTCCAACCTCATCGATCAATACTCTGAGATTTATTTTGTTTTATTCGCAGAAATCTTGAAAAGTTTGAGCTCAGTTCTGTGGCAGCAGCGATCGTGAATACAGACACATATCAAGAGTAAAATCAGAGCAGTTTGAGGGAAGTAGCCTGCCTGGTCTAGCTCTAAGGTGTGGACCATTGCTCAGATAAGAGGCTGATGAAATGTGTAAATGTGTGTTACAGCAACAATAATCTGGTGGAGAAAGAATAATCAGAAAAGCTGATGGCAGTATTATAATCTGTTATTGTGGTGCAAAGTTAAAAATTGTAATCAGAAACAGAAAATTACAGATCACAGACTTTCTCTGAGCTCAAATAGACGATTGGAGAATTCTGGTTTTGATTCGACATCCACACGGAGATGAAATGGTCGTTGTTTACAGATTTATTCACTCTCTGACCCGTTTTTAAAAAGTACCGTTTACAGTCACCTGAAACGCCGATACGACAAAAAACTTTAGCGTTTCCTCCTGAATTAGTTTCCGTGGTGACGGGTTGATACCGCCTTCAGACAGACTTTACAGCGGGGAGTGGTTTACTCTTCATCTGAAACTGTGAAGTCGTACCAATTCAACACGACTGACTCGCTCTTGTCCTATTTAACCACGAAATTATCACCTTCTTTAGCAAACGCCATGTTTGTTTACACTGGTGTGTGTGGGAACTGGGGAGCCTACGGTGGCCTGGAGGGGCGAGACATGATAGAGAGGAAAATCGATTTGAGGATTTAAAATTTTTAATCAAATAATCTGATTACTATTTGAAACCGATTTATCGTACAGCACTAACTGCATGTGATCCCGACTGTCCTGCTCATATTAACGTGACCCCTCGTGTCCTCCCTTCTGATTGGTCCACACAGTCGTCCTTTTTTTCGTGTCTGCAGGACTGTTTCATGCTGACTGACTCTTTCCGGCTGTTTCAGGTTCACCCGTCTGACTCTGATGCAGGATCCCGCCTGTTCAAAATCAGCCAATGGGCATCAAGAGGAAGAGGAGACGGAGGACGAGCTCGGAGCTGTGGAGCGGTTGATCTCAAATCACAGAGACCTCCTCCGCCAGGTGACTTCCTACCCAAACAGGAAGTTAAAACAGCCTGACTTCCTGCCGTATGACCCGGCTGACTCCCTCACTGATCTATCTGCACTGATGCCCCTCGAACCCTGCCCTCCTTTCACCTTCTTCAGCTCAACCTACTGCAAGTCTGAACGTGAACTCAAGCCTCTGCAGGAGCTCTGTAACTCCTACTTCCTGTCGCTGATGAAGGAGCAGCTCGCCGACACAGAGCGGCGCCTGCGCGGTGACAGAGGCGCGCTGAGAACCGCTCACCTCACGCGCTCCTTGTCCAGGAAACTGGAGCTGGTCAACTTTCTGTTTGAGCTTTGGAGCCCAGAAGACCGAGAAGAGGAGGAGAGAGAGAGCGCCGAGGCGGAGCAGCAGAGGGAGACGGGGAAGAAGAGCGGCGTGGAGGACTTCCAATCTGAGCCCATGAGCCTGGAGTCCTTCTCCTCGTGTGTGGAGGAGATCTCCATCAAGCTGGAGGCGGTCGAGACGAAGACCGTGATCCCTGATCCTGATGTTGCCACGGAGATGGCAGGAAGTGTGAGCAGCGGAGACAGCATCGAAGTTCTGGGGACTGAGAGGTCTTATCGAACGCAACATGTCGTCTCTGGATCTGACAACAACAGAGGTGAGAAACCGACGGATGATAAGAGGTGGAAGCACCGTTACTCTGTGGTTTAAATTAGGGCTGGGCGATAAATCGAAAATTTACCGATACTGAAATTTACGATAATAACCGACGTCGTTTTTTGGAGGTGTAGATTTTCACAGTAAATGCTCCAGAGGTCGTTTATGTTCAGTCGAGGTCTGTTGCAATAATAACCACATTTTTAAAGAGAAAATCTTGATATTGTACCAAAATGAGCTCCTGGTGATACCGTGAGTCCACAGTCGTGGTCCTTTACTCTGGAAAATCCAACCTACTGATCAGTCCTTTTACTCGGTCGTGTTTCTCTGAGAGCTGATGGAGACAGCAGGACTCGACCTCGACCTCTATGACTTCACATGTAAAAGAAACAAATGAACGTTCTAACTCTGCTAGGGCTGAGCAATACACTGAAAATTTACTGATACTGAAATTTACAAAAATACATTCAACTCTGTAATTAAGAAGTTCATTTAGTGAGAAATCTAGAGTGGGTTCTTTTACTGAGTGACGATATTTTACCCAGAAGATGGCGCTCAAAAAACAAAGGAACCGCCTCCTTTTTTATAGCAGGCTGCAAACATAGCAGAGACCGGTCTAGCTGTGCCTCTTTTTCACACTGTTGTGAAACTATCAGGTAGGGCTGAGCGATAAGCTGAAAATTTACTGTTACTGAGACTTATGACAATAATCGACGTCATTTTGCCCATATCAGTATATTGGGTGTTTTTGGATGTGTGTAGGTAGGCTATGGTCTCATGTCCCTTTAAGACGCTGTCCTACATCAGAGACATGACTCCAGGTGAGAAGATGGAGGACGGAGAGAAAGTTGTAGCGGCTGAAGTAGACGAAGTTACTGTGGGAGGGGGTGAGCAGCTTATGGAGTAGTTATCATCCATTTATCGTTATCGAGGTGAACTGATCAATAAATCGTGATATTGATTTGAGGACATATCGCCAAGCCCTATTTTTTACTGTTTTATATGAATATGAAATAATAGAGGACACGGACATCAGGTTATAAGACCAGTTCACTCCTGTGACCCTCTTCAACAGAAACACCCGTCGGTACGGTCGACACCTCCTACAGGCGAGCTGCAGCAGATCCAGGCGTCAGACGTGTGCATGCGTACGCCAGGCGAGCCAACAGCGAGGACAGCATCGAGGTGCTGAGCACCACCGAGTCCATCTTTCCCGAAGACCTCACCGCCATCACAGAGGAGGAGGCGGAGCACCAACCTCTGAGTAACGGCTTTGAGTGTCGGGAAGATAAAGAGAAGGAGAGTCAATCTGACGACGTCGTCAAGGCGGAGAAGAATGTAAATCCAGATACGTCAGCGAACGGGGACGAAACCGAAGAGGAGGACGTCGGAGTCGATGGAGAGGAGTCGTCAAAGCAAACAGCCGTGAACGGGGAGATTTTGACTCAAGATGAGCAGGTCAGCGAGTGTTCGAAGAGCGATCCGATTCACAAAGACGAGGACCCGGAGACGACACCCAAACCACTTAAAGGTATTTCCTCTATTTCAACATCCGAGCCTGAACAAAACTGTCTGAGCTGAGACGCAGACGTGTCCTAAAACTGTTTTTTCTGTCATTTGTTGAAGAAGTGGTGGAGTCCAGGTCTCCGTGGTCGGAGGTTCAGCGTAAGTCCCAGCCCGGCCCCAACCTCCACATGTACTTCTCTCCTCCTGTTGTTACCGGGGAGGTGGAGATCTGGACCCGACCCGGTCCTCCTGTCAGGCTGCTGAGCGTGGAGGAAGCCTCTGACTGCACCAGCTTCACCGGCTCCTCTGATCCGCCCTCCCCCACCCAGAATATCTACAGCAACATCCAATCACACAAGAGAAGAAGAAGGAAGGCGGGGCTCCGAGCTCTCAGGTTCCTCAAACTTAACTCATTCTCCCAGCATGCTTTGTTTTGTCTTCTGAGTGGCCGGCCGCTGGTCGTCATCGGAGGAGACGAGACTCTGGTGAGGAAGATGGTGGGCGCTCTGAGTCTCTTCCTGCCTGCTCCAGGTCCTGAACGGAGCGCCGTGATGCCGTGTCTGACCGCCCCGCTCCAGCTGACCGACCTGCTCGTCTGGAGACTGATAGGGATACACAGGTACGTCACAGGTGCTGCTTTTAGGGCGGAATAAGGCAATAATTCGGTTTTCTCAAGTGTCATGTTAACGTACTGACTGATGATACATTGTTGTAATTTCTTAACTGGTCCGGTTCGCGTTCACAAAGGTCAAACTCAAACGGTCCAAAAATTGTCACATGGAAGCAAAAGCCGTTCAGTGATTATTTATCACGACTAATCCTTTGCAATTTTTACGGTACATCATGGATTTTTATGTTGGTGTTGATCTGGACTGAATATCAGCAGACTTTAACAGACCGCGAATATGAACGGCTGGGAAGATTGCGACAATTAAATAATGTATTAATACACGCACGTCATGGGAGACGCTCTGCAATCGTAATTCATAACTCCACGTTTGTCCGCTGACAGACATTAGCTGCACTTTTCTAACTTTGCCTCTGACCAAAACGAAATGACGTGTAAATCGGCGCGCTTCCTGTGATTGGTGCGGATTGGGTTCACACTAGGGTGCCCATACGTCCTCTTTTACCCGGACATGTCCTCTTTTTTAGGGACTGTCCAGGTTTGTCCGGCCTTGTGTGGGGAAGTTTATAAAATCCTTTAAATGTCCGCGGTTTGGTACGTAAGTTTCGGTTTTGAGTCACATGGACTTACTGAGTTAGAAGCACGTAAAAGACACTCGATCCAACCCGAAAAACTCTCAGAATTAACTTTGCACGTCTCTGTGACTCCGCCACTGTGTAGTCGTGTCCTCTTTTGGGAGTATAGTCCCCGTAGTTCACACCAGAAGTAAACCGCTCTAGAGTTCACTTGATAGCGGTCCGAGACCATCTGTACCAGGCGGACCCGTGAGCGGTTGACTGATCCACACCAGAGTTTGAGGTAAGGCTGCACGATATTGGAAAAAACTAATATTGCGATTTTTTTCAACCCTGCGATATATATTGCGATATTAAAAATACAGTATTTTCACCAGATGACCTGAATAGCATTTAATGTTATACTGCACAGCTGAAATCTTGAGGACAGTTAATCTGCTCTGATCTTACCTCTTTTTGTGAATGTTAGTAGAACGGCTTCTGTCTGTCTCAGAGATATTTTTAGCTTTTATTGTGCTGGGACGTTATTGTGGCAACAGATGAACACAGAACACGTGTTATGGTCGACATCATCCTTCTTTTAACCGAAATAATTCCAGATAACTGACTTTCCTTTTCTTTTTGGCAACCAATCTTCATTTTCGGTGTTTTTCTCTTGTTCGTTGCTCATTTTGCGATCGTTGTTGTTGTTGTTGTTGTTGTTGTTGTTGTTGTTGTTGTTGTTAGCGTTGTTGTGCCGAGAAACGCATGTCCTCCGAGAATTGCATGCACCTCGCAAAACGCGCACCGCTCATAGTAGAGTGGTCCACGGAAATGTACAATTTAAAACCCATACAGTTCTTATTTGTTGGGCTTAATAGTCATGAGTAAAGTTCCGAAAGTAATTCTCAGCGGACACACGTCTCCCTCCATGTGCAGAACATGTGCAGGGGTGGGTTTTCTCCTCCCTGATTTTGATTGACAGCTGGCAGGGTAGTCTGATTGGCAACTGAGTTAAGGACGAAGGTGATTGGTGGATCGCTGCACAGCACATGCAGAGTCACATGGAGTGTATCTCAGTCGGTTACCCTTGAAATTAAATGAGTTCATTCACCTCCAATATCGCAGGCTCTGCGATGTGACTATCGCATACACGTATATCGCGATGATGATGTTCAAACGATATATCGTGCAGGCCTAGTTTGAGGCCAGCGTTCACACCAACCAAAAAGAACCGCACCAAGGGGGTAAACGGTCCAGGGTTCAGTTCAACTGGACCAAACAAGGCTGGTGTGAGCGCGACCTGAGTGTGTTTTTCTGTTTCAGTGCATCAATGTGTCGCCTTTAAGTCGCTGAAATTTCTCTCTTGAAAGAAAAAGATCGGCTGTTTTAAGAGTCGTCTTTGTTCTCTCACCAGATCGTCCTCCAACTCTTCCTCCAGCATCCTTCAGTCGCTGCCTCGCTACAGTCGATACTTGGCGTTGTTGGACCTGGATCAGAGGACGCTGCACAGCCCGTCATACTCCGGGTCTCTCATCAGCAGACTGGCCAACCCCGACACGGGCATCAGCCGGGGGATCACCTACCTGCTGCATCTGGAGAGCTGCCTGACCGCGCTGACCAACCAGGCTCTGCTCTACACGTTCAGTCCCGCCGCGAGACAAAAGGCGAACGCCGTAGAGAGGAGGAGCAGCGCCGAGAAGGAGAGTTCACCCGCAACACAAGGACCGTGTAGCAGTGAGAGCGATTTGAAGGTGATACACTTCCTGTCTGACCTACTCAGTCAGCACCACGCAGGACGTGGACCACCGGTTCTGAGGTTCTCCTTTAGCTCAGTGCACCTCCACAGAAACACAAACACAACATAAATATTGATCTATGAACTATTTATAAAGATGCTCTATTCTGATACTTTAATGCACTGATTTCTCTCTAACTTGATCTGCGACTGTGAAGATGCACGTCTACTTTTCTTCTGTTGTGTTGAGTGTGTGAACTTTAGGGGAATTGATCGATGGATTATTGATGCACTTGTTTCTCCCTGACATGCTGACAGCTTCCACTGGACATTTAATGAAGTATGCTGGTTTTAAATTAAACATCTGTATATTAGAGTATTGAGCCTATTATCATGAACACTGTATCATTAAAGCAGCTGAGACAAGATGAGATTTATGTTCAACCAGAACATGATGTTGTTACTTCAGGTTTTGTGCAGCTTTATGGACTAGTAGTTATTACCTTAAATATATATATATATGCATAATAGCTCTATATCTGCAGGCTGACTGAGCTGATGCTGTTTCTACAAGATTATATCGAAGGTCTGTTCATTTCACTGACAAATTAAAAACAAAAAGTAGTCCTCACACTTTTGAAATAAACTGTTTTAACAAACTCGAGTCTGAAAGTCTTTGAACAGAAACCGTCTTTAACCTAAAGCACGACTTCAATCAGCTGATCTGTTCACAGGTTTGTGTCACATCTGAAGAGTCCAAACACACCTGTGATTATTGGAGAGGAGGGGGTCCTGCAGATCAGGTCAGAATGGACGCCGTCTGCCTCCTCGCTGGGTGAAGAACAGCACCCTCTGGTGACAGGCTGCAGTATAGGTCATAAATCCCGCCTCCTCCAGCAATCCCTATGGAGCTGTGGACAAACTTAAGAAATTTATTACACAGAATTTAAAATTGTCTCGATACATCCTATTGGCGTTCAAAATTGCGTAGCTCACCCGGAGGATACGCTGTTGAAGCAGAGCGTCATCACAGCGACTCTCCCACTAAATGCGTACAACACTAGTGGTGGTTCCAGGAAGTGGAGAAAATCCCAGAAATACAGAGAGCAACTCAGCTTCAGATTCGTATGATGATGGAAGGCGGAGCTAAGTTGTCCGTAGTACAGTCTCTGGGTTGACCGTGCTGTAATCAGACCTCCTCACCCTCTCTCTCCTCCAGCTGAATTTTTTTCTTCCTGTCTTATGTGGCGCTCACACCAAGTGCGAGTAAAAATGATCCACTCGCTTAATTCGCGCGAATTTAGACGGGCTAATGAAGAGTATTTACTCGCTTCATTCGCACGAATTTAGACTTGTTAATGAAAAGTATTTACTCACTTCATTCGTGGGTCAACGATAATTTCAACGGTAATCCCGGCTAATTCAAGCGGCAGGATCAAGTGATGGACAAAGGTTTTTAACAATTTACCAGGTAATCTGACCTCCTCACTCACTTGTCTCCAAGCTCCTTTTTTTCGGTTTCGGTTATTGAACGGTATCATATAATTCGGGACACCAACATGATCCGTTTGTCCATTTAAGATACCACTGAACAACCGTCCGTTTTCATACGTCACCCGGCAACCTTATCACAACACGAATATCCGCTCAAGTTGAGACATTTTCTGCTCCCGCCACGCTCACGCCTCCAGAGTAGTAGGCGTGTCTTATCGCGCCTTTGCATTGACTTAACATGTAATTCATTCGCGCGAATGATTTTACTTGCACTTGGTGTGTGGAGACGGTCTCAGGTGAGTTTTATCCTCCTGCTCAGGTGGTCTCTACTGTCACGATCAGTTAATTCTCCCTTTCTTAATGAATGAACCTCTGCCGTCTGTGGGCGTTACAGCAAGTAGCGCGTTTGACAAGACGTGAATTCACGCGTACTATCACCCGAGTAGAACCCGCGCCTTTGCATTGACTTTACATGAAACTACTTCCCCCTGCACAACTGCTAACAAAAACGAACTACTTCAGATAAAGCTAATGAAAGGAGCAGCCTCTTAGTTTTACTCATCACACACGTCATTTATTTATGCAAAAACACAAGTTTGTTCATTTACTCTGAAAATAAAGTACAGTAGGAGTTTAACTGAAAGAAAACACAATCATCAATCATTTTTTGCCACCCTGAATGTCACACAATAGTGGACCTCCTAACAAACACAAAATATGTTTGAATTAAAGAAATAAAACCTCAGTGCAAAACTTAACAAGTATCCAGTTTAGCCTTTTGGCACGATCCACAAATACTGATCAAGTCAGGTATGGATGAAGCAACGTAAAGTGACTCAGCAGCAATAATAATAATAATAATAATAATCATGATCTTTCCCAAGTCTCTTAGTCGGCTCATATCCGGTCTTCAGGGGAAAATCTGATGTCTAGAAGAAAATCACACGACCATCCGTCCCTCACTGCTCCATCTTGTTGCTGTTCTTCAGCCAGACTGGAACCACGACCTCCTCTGTGGAAGTCAGACCAAATCACAAGCTTTAAAAGAACAATCCAAGTTATTACAAAAATTAGCATCTTAAGCTGAAAACACACAGGATCCATATTGAGCGTGTGGCGTCAGCGTCGCGTCTCAGCTCCGTCAAGCAGCGCTGTCTATCAGCCACAGGACGCTTATTTGGAGTGTAGCAGCAGCGTAGTGAGGTGCAGATCTTCTCTGTGTAGACTGACGCATGTTGCAAGCGTAGAGCAGTGAAAACAGATTTGGCGTGTATCTTTAGCAGTTCTGCTCTCGATACGATGCTGCGGCGGAGCTGATACGCGTCCTGTGTGCGAAGCTGCGTTGATTAGAATGGAAACCTATTGGCTGCGGGATACAAGACGCTGACTTTACACGCTCAAAACGGATCCTGTATGTTTTCGCCTTTAGTATCAATATGTTTTTTTTCTATTCTAATCAAAGTAAGACTTACTTTTTCATTGTTGTCTGTGCAAACAGAGTTTTTAAAGTGAGAGATGATCAGTCCTGAGGGAACAAAACGTGCTTCAGTTTGATGCTCTTCTAACAACAGTACAGAGCTGATCCATTTTTGCATCAAATACAGACAAAAAAAGTGAAAATGGTGAAATTGTGGACCCCCCCCGATGAGAAAGGATCAGCTGATAGAGAGGTCAGACTCACGGCTGAAGTTGCATCATCTGGGAGGAGCAGAGCTAAGAGCTGCTGGACTGCCTGCATGAGGAGAAAAAGACATTAAATACTTAAATCTGGTCCGAGTGCTCAGTGAAGATCACCACATGTGAAGGAGCTCCTTACAGGAGGTGATGATCACCGCATCACGACAAGAAGGCGTGGAAAACAAAGCAACAGACCGATAAGTGAGAATAACTCAGACTGACAGGAAATCAAAACTGGAGTCTGAGAGTTTTCAGCTGAAAGAGTTTCCTGAGTTTGTGTTTGTTAACGTCAGAGAGAGATAAATGAAAATATGACTCACTGGTCCAAGCTCCCCGCCGAAGAATAGACGGTATGAAGTATAGACTGTAAAAGAACCTGAAGGAAGGGTAAGCATGTTTTCCCGTCTGAGAGAGAGAGAGAGAGAGAGAGAGAGAGAGAGAGAGAGAGGGAGAGAGAGAGAGAGAGAGAGAGAGAGAGTCAATTACTGCAATAGGGTCTTATTTGACCTACGGTGGCCTGGAGGTGCGAGACCTGATAGAGAGGAAAACCGATTTGAGGATTTTAATTTTTTTAACATCGTCATGATCAAATAATCCGATAACTATTAAAAATCGATTAATCGAGCAGCCCTACAGTACATAAAAATACAGTCTATTTATCCCAAACTCTGCCGCTCGCCTCCTCACCCACCCACACCTCTTCATGTAACCACATCACTCCAGTCCTCCAGAACCTCCATTAGCTCCCTGTTCACCAACATATCAAGGTTAAAATTCTCCTCCTCACCTCCACTATCAGGTCTCCTCCTACTTCTCCTGAGTTGGAAAGTGTCTTTGACCGCCATGACAAGCATCATATAAATAAATCTAATAATATTATAATGAACTTCTGTAAACTCTCCTATTTTCTAATCTACAGTGGATTTTAAAAAGTGATGAACATTTCTCGGCTCAGATATCTTCACATTTCGTAGAGACAGATTTCTTTGAGTTTTCCACACATTCATGATCTCAGAGGAGCAAACTGAAGCCTCCAGTGTGACGTGGTTTCATAACTTATTGTAGTTTCTTATATTGCCACAAGGGGTCACCAAATATCACCGCTATCTTGCATGTTCGTCCTGTTGAGTGAGCGCAGCCACACACCTGTTTTGCCGTCGGTGTGCGGTGTGACCTCCTTCGATTCTGCACAGAAACTCTCCCACAGAAACGTCAGGGCCCACGCATTGTTCTGAGAAAAGACACAACAGTTAATTATCGAAAAACACTTTCATTATTTTACACACATGTTCAGCAAATCCATCATGAGCAGACCAGGAGTTTTCTTTAACTCAAAAAGAAGATCTTAAACTCAGAAGTAAATTCACTGAGTTTGAAGAAAGTTACAGGAGATTTATTAGGAACCTCTTCATCCTTTAAAAAGTAGCTCCCTGCGCTAACAGATAAGGGAAGATACGAGGAGTCACACCTGAAATGTACTGAGCACAGAGTAGGCCGGACTTAGAGCCTGGCTGAAAATGTGTAAAACTAAAGCCTCGGTCACCAACAGCAGCAGGGCCTGATGCGGGTACACCTGGAAACACCAAGAACAGAGTCAAGTTTTAGTCCAATGAGGTTTTATTTTAGTGTGTTTGAATCATGACAAACTCACCTCCAGGAAGATCTTTGGGATGCTGCAGTTGGACTCACTTATGTTGAGTAATATCGACTTCGCAAGAGTCTTCGCTTCCTGGAGAACAGATATGAAAATCACAGGTTAGTGGAGGAAAGTATTGGAGCAACATTTTGTAATAAATAAGAGAGAAGACAAACCTGGAGGAAGTTTGGGCTCGGTGCTGGAAGAGGTGTGTTCACAGCTGTGAGTAAACAGGCCCAACACTGAGGCTGGATCAGAGAGGGACAACCACACGTTAGAGAGAGACGCTCACTCAAATCTCAGCATGAATTCAGAGATGAGGTTTGTGGACTTACATCAGCGGACACAACAAAGCTGTGGCTCTTCGCCCTGAGAGCGAACCTCACCAGCTCAGCCAGCGGCAGAGGCCGGGTGTCTGCAGAGAGGACAGAGTTTGACGTCTCATACGGAGGGAAACAGTGTGATGAATAAATACCACACACTGATCAGAGGCTGACCTTTGAGCGGCTCCCACGCTGCACCAGAATCACACAGCTGATCGGGCTTACTGACGGTTATCTTCGGCGCCGTCGCCGTTTTAAAGATGCTGAAGTAAAGGAGGTAGCGCTTCGGGGTGAGGCGGGCAGCGGGGGCGTTCACGGAGGGGAACAGAGTGTGGAGGGCCAACGAGAAGTCCCCGCACATGCAGGCGAAGAAAGGGACGAGGTCCTGGAGCTGCTGGAGGCTGAGAGACAGATGAAAAAAACAAGAACCTCAATAAGAAAATACAAAATCATCTAAAAAACCGTGAACATTCATTCTGAGAGCTGTCGTCATTCGACCTCCGAGAGGAACTGTGAACAAAACCAGCAGAAGAAGAACTGACGGCAAAGATGATCGAGTCGGTCTTCAGGCGATAATATCGGACAAAAATAATCCACATGATAATCAATAAAAACTGAATGAGGAGAAAGATATCAGGGAGGCAGAGTTTAGGGCTGGGCGATATGTCCTCAAATCAATATCACGATATATTGATCAGTTCACCTCAATAACGATAAATAGACGATAACTACTCCACAAGCTGCTCCAACTTTCTCTCCGTCCTCCATCTCCTCACCTGTCTTTACCTCTTTGTTACGGACTGGATGGGGTGGAGTCACGTCTCTGATGTAGGACAGTGTCTTAAAGGGACATGAGACCATAGCCTACCTACACACATCCAAAAACAACTTTGATTTATTTTTTGACACTACATATACTGATATGGGCAAAATAACGTCGATTATTGTCATAAGTCTCAGTAACAGTAAATTTTCGGCTTATCGCTCAGCCCTACCTGATAGTTAATGCAACAATAGTGTGAAAAAGAGGCACAGCTAGACCGGTCTCTGCTAAAAAGGAGGCGGTTCCTTTGTTTTTTGAGCGCCATCTTCTGGGTAAAATATTGTCACTCAGTAAAAGAACCCACTCTAGATTTCTCCCTGAATGAACTTCTTAATTACAGAGTCGAATGTATTTTTGTAAATTTCAGTATCAGTAAATCTTCGGTTTATCGCTCAGCCCTAGCAGAGTTAGAACGTTCATTTGGTTCTTTTACATGTGAAGTCGTAGAGGTCGAGGTCGAGTCCTGCTGGTCTCCATCAGCTCTTAGAGAAACACGACCAAATAAAAGGACTGATCAGTAGGTTTGATTTTCCAGAGTAAAGAACCACGACTGTGGACTCACGGTATCACCAGGAGCTCATTTTGGTACAATATCCGGATTTTCTCTTTAAAAATATGATTATTATTGCAACAGCCCTCGACTGAACATAAACGACCTCTGGAGCATTTACTGTGAAAATCTACACCTCCTAAAAACCGTGAGTTCATCGTGAGTTCATCTCGGGTGACGAAAAACTCCTGGTCGTTTTCATGAAACATCCCGTTAGCATCAACTGTAATTAGGAGTGTTTAATGTCTCCTCAGACTCTCAGACAAACTGACTGAGAACATGTTGTTAAAAGAACAGAATAGAACAGAGTGCCGCCTCTCTTTTCTGGTGTTCATGTTGATTTTATAATCGTAGTAATTTAAACACTCACAGTCTGGAATTGTCAGCCTGGACGACCTGAAGATAGCGGCACAATTCTCTGTACCTGCAGACGGATAAAAACACACTTTGAGTTTCTGTAAATAAACAGATTAGATTGAGTGTGTACATGTGTGTGTTTCTTTTGTACCTCTGCTGTTTCTGCAGCACTTCTGTTCGCAATAAAACGATGGAAATCTGCTCTTTCAGGACGTCCTTCTTGCCTTTAACTTTGCGGACGCCTGTCACATTCTGGCCCTTCAGCACCGACACCAGCAGGATATCGTCCCAAAGACGCACACAGAGACTGAAAAAAGAACAGTTTTAAAATACACAGAATAGATGTGAAGTGCCTAACCTCGGGGGACTCACACACCTGTTCTTCAGGTTCTTCAGCTCAGCAGGGAAGAAGAGTCTATTATAAAAATCCTGCAGTTTGTGGATGAACTCTGGAGTGAAGTCAGCCGTCAGCATCAGTCTCTGCAGGGACGATATCACCCTGAACAAACACAATATGAATACATTAAAGACAGGACAGCACATGGGTTCAGTGTGTGTGAGGTGTGTTTCTATTACCTCTGCAGTAAAATCACTTTGGCTTCAGCAGCGTTGGACACCGAGGACTGTACAGAGACAGAGCTGGAGAGAAACACACCAGTGAAATTCACAGATTCACAAAAACATGACCATGACAACAGAGGAGGAGGTTCTACTACAACCACATGTCTGCGTGGTACAGCCGGACTTAATTTTGGTCGCAGTCGCATCTTTAGGTCTAAAAGAGGTCTAAATGTAACCTAGACGACCGGTCTAAAATCAGGGTCTAAAAATTTAAGTTTTTTGGACGTCTAAATTTGGACCAAGTTTAGACTAAATCTAAATCTGGACTATATCTATACTTCACTGTTTGATGCTGAACGGCTATCATAATTATTTTGATTAAGTACTTGGAGATCAGCTATGCGTCTCACAGTTGCTTTTTGAGATAAATAATTATTGGTTAACGGGTTAAAGTGCGACGTCTAAATTACATCTAAAAATATACAGAATCTAAACGGTTGAAATTAGGTCTAAAAAAAAACTAGATGTCTAATAGCCGTTTATTGCTCAGTCGGTTGTTAATTCTACCTTTAGGATTTTTTCAGCTGTTATGTGTGTGCATGTGTGTTTGTGTGTGTGTGTCGGTACCCTCGAAAGTGTCTAATAAAGTCCTCAGCAGCTCCCAGGTTCATAACGGCTGCAGCTCTGCCATCCAGTTTATCTGCCTTGTTCAGGAACGACGTAATAAACTCGAACACTTTTGTGTAACTGCAAAATAAAATCAAAAATCACATCACAAAATCACAAAAATCCCACTACAGAGCCATGTTTGTTTTTTAACGCAGTGCTGCCTGAGGGCCTAACCTTTAACCTTGTATCTCTTAAATTGGTATTTTTCCAGATTCTCAGAATTTTTTTGTAAAATTAAAGCTCCAGTGAGGAGTTTTTGGATGGTCGTGAAACGGACTCTGATGGACAAAAACCATCGACAGACAAAACTAGAAACTTCAACAAAACAGTTTCATGCTCATTAAAATCTACTCCCCCTATCAAATAAAACTAACTGAAATTTCTTCCATTCAGACAGAGAGGGATAACAAGTGCAGGAAGAGTTCGGTCACTCACTCGTGGACGCGGCTCTGCAGACTACATAAACCATGATTGTACTCGTGCACTGAGATTCCTCCCAGATAGGAAGAGAAGTGGACAGAGAGCTCTTGTCTGAAGCTCTGCAGCATGTCGTCTGGAGGAGAGAGAGACAGGTCTGAGGCGCCGACAGGACACATGGACACAGTCTTAGGAAAGAGGTTTAATCATGAAGGGATGTGATTTGTGTGAGAGCGAGTACCTGCATGTCTGAGGTGAGTGTCCACTTCAGACAGAGTGAGGTTGAAACTCTTAAGTCCTCCCAGCAGCGCCGTGTTTCTGAGATTATTCCAGAAGGGACTTTTTTTGTGGCTGTTGCTGTGACACACACCACTGTAAATCCACATTACACACTGACATACACAAACACACACAGAAATAAAGACGAAAGAAACAACAACAAAAAAAATCTCAATGTCGTTCAGAACAAGAAGCAGAGTCTGAAAGTTTTCAGTTTTCTTTGATACGTACGGATGAAGCCAACTTGTCGCAGATGTAACAGAAGCACTGATCACAAAAGAGGTTGTTTTTTTCCACAGGAGCGCCCACTTCACAATCTGTGGCCCTGAGGAGGACAGAGCAAAGGACATGTGAATTTTGCAATAAAAAAAAAAACGGTGTGTGTATTTTATAAAGTGTGTGTTTCAGTTTCTGGCTCACTTGAAAGGATGTATGTGACAGTCGTAGCGTGCGTGAGGCAGCACCTCGGCACGACGGGAGAAGGTCACGACTAAGTCTTCTTCAAGAGCAGTGGGGGGTAAAACACAATCTGAAACACAGAGCGAAGGAGTGGTCAGTATGGGTGGGCGAGATGAGCTAAAATATTTATCACGATAAGATTTACCATTCTGGGGATAACGATAAAAGTTCAGATACAAATATCATAACTCCAGTCTATATTTTTGACTCATTTTGTCTTGAGAAGACCAGTTGGAGTCGTCAAATAAGTTACATAACCACAAGTTTACGTGGTAGGTTATGGAGAAACTAATGAAATCAAACAAGTCTCAAATATGAAAACATGTTTAACATTTGTTAAAAACTCTTATTACACAGAGTGAACAGCAGCAGATCTACCGTCTGATGTCAGGCAGACCTGACTGCACTCATTTAAACCCCAATCTTGATGGAAATCCTTCATGTTGATCCTCGTTCAGTAACCAGCTGCCCAGAAATGTCTTCTTCTTACCTTCGGCCATGTTTGTTTGTTATTCTGTTGTGTGGGCAACAGCTGCGAGTCTGTCACTCACCCTTACATCATCTATCTTGCATTAGATGGCAAATATTTATCATGGAGCATTTTTCTGACGATATATCGTGAACGATTATTGTGGTCAACGATATGTAACATTTACCCACTAAAAACCAGCTGACTGTAAAGAAAACCAGCGTGTTACCGTTCTTTTTCACGTCCTCCGCCTCCACAATGAGAACTGAGGAATCACCGCATGAGACGGCGTTGTCGCAGTCTTCTTCTTCATCATCATCACTGAGGATGATTATCTCGCTGTTGTCCACCATTGTACACATCAGAACCGGAACATGTGACCTCTTGTCCTGTAACAGTTTCAACATGTGGATTGTGAATGAATAGTGAGGTCATGAATTGTTAATGTGAATACAGTGACACCTTACATGCATCAGTGAAAAAACATCATGTTCGCTGTATGATACTGAAGTGATAAAAGAGGTTAGTAAAAAAGTCATTTACATTTACAGTGTGCGGTCGTTACTAAAGTTGGTATAACTAGAGAAGCAAGCGGTCGGCAACATTCATCTCTGGAGGGGGGTCTAACTCAGTGTTACGGTGTGTCTGACCCTAAATTAATTTTACACCGGAATATCCCTTTAAAAACATCATCATGTCTGCTGTATGAAACTGTTTGAACTGTTGGAAGAGGTCTATAAAAAAGTCATTTACAGTTCTTGTGAATGATTGATGAAGCAAAACGACACTCCTTTCAGTCTGTCACTTTAACCCGACACTTTGATAACATCATCAAATGTTTCTGAAGCCAAAATCTCTCTAAAGCAAACAGCAGATTAACTTTTAGTGAACAATTACTGATTAGGCCTTCAGCTGGTCTGCTACTCCTCAACAGTATCGGCATCGAAACCGATATCGGTATAGTCATGTCAGGAAATAAACACTGAGATTGATTAAAACACACTGAAATAGGGAGAACAGAAACACAGATCTGGCCCTCAATAGTCCAAATGTATCGATGACATTTTGTTCCATAATAACACTGACTGATTAAACTTTATTTTGGTTTCACAGACACCAAAGATACAGTTACAGCGCTTTAAACGGCTCATATTATAATTAATTACAAAAATATAAAGTTGAATCTTTCTTTTACAGCTCCCCCAACTTTCCTCAAACTTTAACTAAAACGCTGAAGAAACAAAGTAAATGTGAAGTTTCGATTCAGCCGAATTAACGTTAAAACAGCTAAAGTTTAAAGTGACGCTCTATATGGTAAATGTTTCCGAAAACAAGCAAACAGCAGATTCAGTTTGTATAAAAAAGATATATATTTAGTCTTACCTTTGTTTTGATTAGTCTTTCTTTGATTTTTTTGGTCCGAACTTGTTTTTTTTTGTCGTAACTTTTGTTGTCCTAAGAAAATTTTGGCGCACGAAATACTCAAATTTGGCTACTTCCGGAAATGACGTTTCCTTTCTTGTTCGTCGTCTGTTTAGAAGTTTGTGAAACCAGTGAGGGGATTATTACCGCCACCTAGAGGACTACAGGATGAAGCGCTGTGTGTCATTCAATCTACAAAAACTATTTATTTCGTTTTTTTTGGTTATAATAATAATAATAATAATAATAACAGCGTAAAATTCTGTATTTTTAAGATTGTTTATACCTCTTTTCATTGTGATTCAACTTGTGCTGCTGCAGGGCACCTCTTGGGCAAAACAATATTAGAACTTTTTTTATTTTCCAGGATGTAGAATAAAACATAATTACCCTGCTGCCTTTTAAAATTCTGACCCATAGTTTTCGGAACAATGTCTGAATAACGTTACAGTTTAAGATATTCATTTGCAGCACTCAGAAGAAACACAATTTTTTTAAAAAGGAATTTAATTACTTATTTTCTGTTAAATTAATTTAATCACTTTTACTGACACCACCTCAGACCCATTAGGGAAACTTCAAAGTGACATTTTTACCTCGTTGCTCAGGTAGACTCCTGCTCCTAACCCACCGCTGCAATAATGATTCTGAGAGCTTATTCTGCTGCCAAAAATGTAGCAGAGAGACCAATGCAGTAAAAACATCTACCTTCATCCATTCATCCAAGATACATTTTATATCAACTGTTACGCAACAGTTTTAATTTCCTTTAATCAGCCATTTTACATCAATATCTCTTCTTGGTAAGTGAATAAACACAGTTATCCAGAATACGTCAAATTTCTGAACTTCGGAGTCTTGCTCTGACCAAGAGTAACTCCGGTTTTATCACAGCTGAATTCAAACAGACTGTCAAGGTGCGGAGAAGAAGAAGAATGAGAGTTTTATTCAGAAGAGCTGCTCATCTTTTCCTTCTGATGAGACTTGACTCTTCTTGCTGCTGCTCTGCGGTGTTTTTGGCTCTCTGTCAGCCCGTCTGTGACCTCTGGTTTCAGCTCCGCAGTGTCCATCTGCGACTGCAGCGCTGCCCGCTCGTCCTCAGCGCTCTGAGCCGGCATGTATCTCAACCAGTGCTGGTAGAAACCTCGGAAACCATCGATTTGGATCAAGTAGTTGTTTCTGGACTTATACTGTGGAAGATGGATAAAAGAAAGGAGGAATGGAGGAGAGGTTTCCAATTTATTTCGATCTTGAAAATGGGACAATAACTTACATAACAGTCACTTTATATTTACAGTGTATACAGATAAGTGACTTACTGGTTTCATATCAACAAACAAACTAAAGTGAAGTAAACAGGGGTGAGGACTCGGCTGACCTGGTTATAGTTTGGTGGATACTGTGAAGCAAACTCCAGCTGTTTGATGATGACCTCATTAGGCCACACCTCCGACCTGCTCATACACTTGAGGATTGTTTTCAGGTAGTGGTAATCCAGTCTTTTAGTTGCTCGGCCAATCAGAGTAGAGAACACATGGACATTCGGTTTAAGCCCCACCTCCTGTAATTAAAAATAAATGAGCGTTAAGATTTACGTTGGTACTCGGTCTTTCTCTCTAACCAGACATGATAAAATGGAAGAGAGTTTGTTTCATGGTTCAGATGTTTGCGTAATCACCTCCATGTGTTCCAGCAGCTGCAGGGCGTCTGTCTCTTTGTCACAGCCCAACGCCAGACTTCCAAATGTCTGCACATTCACACTTACGTGGCGCTGTTGCATCACGCTCAACACACCCTGGAGGGAGACATGAAGTGCATGAAAATATTCACGGAACATCTATCGGTCACCTCAACGAACCCTGAACCCGTAAAGGGGTACAGACGGGTTTGAGATCTGAAGTCTGGAGCTCTGAGCTCACAGAAGAAAGAAATGTGGTGCAACTGTCGTCAATTTGTTATGTTTGCTGAGTCCTGTACACTTCAGTGTGGGGTTATCAAGGTCAGATAAGAAGAACTTCATTCAATACTAAATCTCATTCACTGTAAACTAATTCTGCACAAGAGCACAAATTAAAGCTGGGGTAGGCAGGATTCCGTTAAAGAAGCATTTTTTTTTCCTTTGGTGTATTTAAACAAAAAACCTTATATCCGTCAATAGTTATTAGTTATTGATGAGATTTGGTAATATATCGATATCTCTGTGTTCTCTTCTGTCTGTGTCGTCAACATTTGAACATTTTTGAGCGGTCCGCTCTTTCTGACTGTAAACAAAGCCGTTCTCCACCTCCTCTAACCTGATTGGTTGTGAGGCAGACGCTGCTCCCCCGTGTCGTTCAGGAGCCCAAACAAAGTTAGCGTGCTACAATATCGGACAGTAGAAACCAACCAGAAAGTTCGGAAAATTGTCTGAATCCTCCTTTGGCCACGACTGCCGACACAAGCAAGAAAACAAAGTAAATAGCGGAGACTCTGGAGGAATAACGGGCGCTTAAAACGGAGGTAGACCGGACAAGAGCTAAAAAGCCGGGTCAACATAAACCATGGGGGACGCTTGGGGATCTTGGTGACCCTGTAACCTTTCTGCTGGACAGGTAAACCGCTTTAACAAAGTAAGACAAGTGTCTGTAACAGAAGTGTTTCTTGTCAAACGGACCTGCTGTAGCGTGTTGTAGCGCCATCGCTAAACTGTCCTCCCTCGGGTCCTGGACTATGTCACTTTATCCTCGTTGTAGAAGTCCTGCAAACATTGTGTTTGCTGGTAGTCTGTTGGCATCTACAGTAGCACCAATGCTTTTGACTTTCACCTTGACTGGGCCCCATTTGTAATGATCTGAAGTATTTATCTGCATTATATCGGAATTTAATTGGAACGATACGAGCGAGCAGGAGCGTCTGTTTGTGGGCGGGGCTTGAGGGGAGAGGAGGAGCTGAGGGGAGAACTGGTTGGGAGGGGTAGAGTTTTGCATAATAATGATCAGAATACAATCTGAGTTTATCCAAACAGATTTGTGTGTGTGTGTGTGTGTGTGTGTGTGTGTGTGTGTGTGTGTGTGTACCTTTGCTCCCTCCAGGTCACCAGCTCTAGCCGCTCTGCGAATCACAGAGTTGAAGAAGGCGATGTCGAGCTTCACTTTGTGCTGTTTCGCGACCTTCAGCAGCATCTGCAGAGAACCGAAGCTCGGCTCCATCGTGTCGGCCAGCAGGGTCAGAGTTCTGAGATCTGGGCTGAGACCGTTCGCCTCCATCTTCTCCAGGAAACCTTCAGCTCCTCCGATGAGAGCGAGCCGATCTGATGCTGTGTCCACAGTGCCGAGGGAGACCACGCCGCCCCTCTTACCCTCAAAAATGTCCAGCAGGTTCGGGGCTGAAGAGGAGTCCGCCGCTGAGTCCACAGGCAGGGTGACGGTTTGCCTGACCGGTACCAGCTGGGTGGAGTTGGACTCTTCCTCCTCCTCCTTTTCGCCGTCTCTGCGGTCCTGTTGACGCTCGCTGAGTGGATCAGACTGGATGAACAACTGACTCTCCAGAAGATCGACGTCTATCACTTCCTTCCGCCTCGGATCTGATTTTCCACGCTGTCTCTCGTGTTTACTGTCGGGGCTCAGCAGCATGCGAGTCGCCAGGGCAGGATCGCCTATCCCACAATCCCTTGCAGTTCGTAAGAGCAGGTTATAATTCTGCAAGCTCGGCTGAATCCCTGACCTCAGCATCTGCAACCAAACCTAATAAAAAACAGAGGTACCTTATTATCAAAACTACAACACTGTGTCTGAAAACCTCACAGTCACAGCACCGTGTCTGATTTACCTGTAAAGCGAGTCTGAATCCTGTGTCTTTCTCCTTCAAAGAACCCATCAGCAGGTAGTGTAACGTCTCCTGAGTCACCACATGACCGTTCTGCAGCATCTCCTGTCAACAGATACAACCTCGTTCAGAATCACAGACACAGTTCAGCAGAGGAACCAACTCCTGCGCCCGTGGACCATGTGGACTAACCCTGAGTGTGTGGATGCAGGCTTGGAGGTGGTTGGTGATGGCGTGTGTCTTGAGGAGGGCGTGGTACGTGATGGTGCTCAGAGGGTAGTTTTTACGACGGAGTTCTTGTTCCAATTGCAGCGCACGCTGGAGGCCGGCGTGTTTGTGCGGCGCTTCAGCACAGGCGTTGAATAGAGCGGTGTAGGTCGGATCTGTGGCGACAAGACCTCTCTTCTTCATCTGTAAGATAAACGCACACATGATTACAGAGATTACATGGAAGCTTCAGAAATATTTAGTTTTTATTTATTTTAAATTGATTTCACAGATCAATATTCCATCAACATTTTACATATATTGAACAAATTTCCAACTGTATAGAATATTAGCATACTTCTCGGAAGAAGGAATAACTGAAGTAAAATAAAACACTTTTCACTCATGTCTTTTTTTCACTCCTCTGTTTCATTAATAATAATAATAATAATAATAATAATAACAATAATAATAATAATAATAATAATAATAATAATCCTCTGTTTCATTGTCCCTTTTCTCCTGTTGGAGGGTAAACATGATAAACAAATGAACAATAAACAAGTTTGTAGTCTGAACCAAGGGGATCAATAATCTATAATACACAACGTCTTTACGGCACAAAGTCTGGACACAAAGTCAACGCAGTTTTTCCAGGAGTTTTTAAAAGTTTCTGTTTTTAGTCGAGATGAAAAGTCAGCCTCTCCATTCTTTATATATCGATCATTACCTCGACCCGATCCTCGATTTTTGGTTCATCTGTTTTTAGACAATTTTTAGAGATGGCCTCTTTAGTCCCCACCAACATTATTGTAAATCTGTATTTTTCTCCTGACCTTGTTATCTCCTGGTTCTCTTTTCACAAATATAAAACATCAAATCTAAGTGGAAGTTAAACTTTCCAATTTTTTCTATCCTCTTCTTTATCTCCCGCCAGGAAGCTAAAATACCAGAGCATCCCCAATAAGAGAATGAGAACATCGGTCTTATTCTCCTCACATCATTGGTATAATAAAGTATCTCACAATATTCTTCCAACTTCCACAAGTCTCGTCCACAGCCTTGTCACCTCCTGTATTGATTATTGTAACTCTCTTCTCTTCGGCCTTCCTCACGAATCTCTCCATAAACTTCAACTGGTTCAGAACTCCGCTGCTCGTATCATCACCAAAACTCCCTAATTCCGCCACATCACCCCCATCCTTGGGCAGCTCCACTGGCTCCTGGTTAAATTCAAAATCCAATCTAAAATCCTCCTGTATACATTCAAGGCCATCCACAATCTCGCCCCACCTTACCTCTGTGATCTCCTCCACATAGCCACCTCCTCCCGCTCCCTCAGATCTTCCTCTACCAGCCACCTCACTGTGCTCCCTGACCACCTCAGCACCATCTCTGGAACTCACTCCCACCTGACATCCAGGAAATTGACTCCCTCCCTCTCTTCAAATCCAGACTCAAAACCCACCTGCTCACATTAGCACACTCCTTATAATTTATCTTGTCGTGTTTTTGTTTGTTTTATTTCTACAAACATATCTACTTTTGTTTGTTTTGTTTTCTCTCGCGCTTTTATCCTGCTGTTTTTAACTCTGTTAAGTGTCCAGAAAGGTGCTTGTAAATAAAATGTATTATTCTTGTTATTATTGAGTGTATGCATAGAGTGTCTCCTCACATCGTTGTAAAGCTTGAAGGCCAGCTTCAGTTGTCCTGCTCGTCCACAGCCTCCTATCAGGACAGAGTAGTTGAACTCCTCCGGCTGAAGCCTCTCTCCCTTCAACATGTCTCTGCTGAACATCTCCAGAGCTTCCTGCAGCTGAAGAGGACCACAGACCGGGTCAGAACAGAAACAGATAAACATGGAGGGTAGAAGGACAGAGAGAAGATGTGATGAGGACTGACCTTATTCTCTTTAATCAGTTTCTTACACTGGAGAAAATACCAGTACGGAGTGTTCCTCCTCTCCCTGCTCCTCCAGGCTCTCCTCTCCACCTCCTCCTCCACTTCTTCGTCCTGGTGCTTCATATCCCGGATTTCTGGGTTACTCTTCCTGAACGACCTCCTGGAGGACATGTCAGTGGCCAAAGAACCGAACTTCTCCTCCTGTTCTTGGTCCACTGGGTCCGGACCTCCATGACAAACCCGGGACAGGAACACAGATCTGGAGGTCAGCCCGCTGGGTAGGTGTGATGGAGCCGGGGAGAGGAGTGGAGGTGGTCGGTATCGTGAGAGATTCTGGACCCCTGTCCGGTTCGGGGTTCTGGTTGGATTTGTCGAGAAGATGGAGAACTGAGCTAAAGAGACTCTTCTGCTGCTCCTCACAGACCTTCTGACCACAGACGTCAACATCACCGACACTAAGATTCTGTTAATAAACTAATGAGAGGATTTCCTGTTTCCTTTAAGACAGTTTATCAGAGTTTAGCAGTTAGCTTAGCCGAACTGACATGCTGCGAACTCCATGATGTTTCAATGACAAAACAGACACCAAGACGTGACTAATCAATACAGAAATATATCAATATCCTGTCTGACGATTTCGGGCATAAAAGAAACTGAAACAGGAATAATTTGGGTTAAAATAAATAACCTGATATTTATAGATAGCTTTCTTTGGTTAAGGTTGGTAGTTTTTGGAGTCTGACTGCGATCGACTGCATCGGTGGATGATTAGTATGCCTGAGCCGTAGGACAAGTGAGCAGCATGTGTAAACAGGAGCTGCAGGGTCAGGCCATAGACTGTACATAGAATACACACACACACATATATATATATAATTTTTTAATTTATTTATTTATTTATTTATTTACTTACTTTATCACACAAATGGTCCCAGAGTCTTAAACACTGGGAAAAAGGCCGCACATTTCTTGTTGCGAAGAAAAGAAGCCACTTTAAAATAACCATCAAAGTACTTTTGTGTTTGGATTTGTCTTATTTGTGTTTCAGGAACATTAAATGTAGTAATTTTATCAAACTGAGTTCATGAACTGAAATTATATGTTATGAAAATAATCTATTACTTTACACAAGTCACTCAAAACTCAATCTTAGTGTCCACAATAAATTCATAATTTAAAGGAAAGTATGAACAGAAGTGATAAACAGAGGCAGTAATTTAATGCAAATGTAAATATGTAAAATAAGGGATAAAATGAAATTAAAGTATGTTGACAGTATGTCCAGTTGTCTCAGCAGGGGGCTCCAAAATATGAGAATCAGAGTTAAAATACTGCTGGCCTGTAGATATTCAAATGTTCCCGCTCTAATTCATCGCACCATCATCCATTTGCTCTGGTAATTTTAGTTGTTCAAGATGCACATTTTATACTTTCATCTGTATAATTTTTTGAGTTTTTAATGTATAATTGTCTTGTCCTGTAACCACTGATACAATCTTTTTTTGTATGTTTTGTATACATCCTCATGGACACATTGAAAAATGCCTTTTTTTCTCAAAGGAACAGGTCACAACAAAATTAAATGTATTTAGTAACCTGTTCTCATTTCTCATCAAACTTCAAATTAAACTGACACACCCTCTTAAAGCCAGTCATCTGTGTCCTCAGTAAGAGGCTGTGAAGCGTAAAGTCAGGAAATCTGAGGAAACGCCTGAAAGTTTCTTAACTTTCACTTCAACATTTAAAACCGCTGCTACATAAATCAGTAGAAGCAACATTTTTATCAGGCTCAGAAAGAAAAACACAGATGTGATTTTTTAACTCTTTAAACTGATTTCACAAAACAATAGAAACTGAGAAACATCATCATCGACATTGGAGGCAGCAAAATATCAGACAAGAGTTAAAATAGTACAGGGATATTCTGGTGTTAAATTAAGTTAGGGTCAAACACACCGTGACACCGAGTTAGACCCCCCCTCCAGAGATGAATGTTGTCGACCACTTACTTCTCCAGTTATACCAACTTTAGTAACGACCGCAGGATAGAAATACAGAGAGGTCTGAGGAGCCTGCAGCGGGGTGACGCAGCTCAAGGAAGATCATTTATAATTTCTTGATGGAAATACAATCAGACCGAGACGCTAAGACAGAAGAACTACCAGGTCTGCAGTGCAAAATGATTAATATGGTGATTATTACTTCACGGAAATGATAAAGAAATGATCATGAATGTTCTTCCTTGAGCTGCAGCACCCCGCTGTAGTCCGCAATGGACTAGCCTGAAATAAGCGTCTGCTGGAAGAGAGTAGGTGAGTTGTGTTTAGTCTCTTTGCTAAAGAAATGAGTCAAAGTTAAAAAGATGTTTGGTGTCTAGTACTATGTCTGTGACCCTATATGTCCTGTTGATGAAGTTAGGTGCTGTTCTGAGCATTATTTGTGGCTATAGAGTGGCGTTTTGGTTGAGGGCGTGGCTCTCTGTATTGCTATCTTGTGGTCGTTACTAAAGTTGGTATAACTAGAGAAGCAAGCGGTCGAGAACATTCATCTCTGGAGGGGGGGTCTAAACTCTGTGTTACGGCGTGTTTGACCCTAAATTAATTTTACACCAGAATATCCCTTTAGGTCAGGGGTTAATGACATGATTCGATTGAGATCACCTTCACGAGGTTCTTGAACAAATACATCCTCTACATCATATTTTTTGGCACTTCTTATTTTAATAGCAGACGTGAGTCGTAACAGAAATCCTTTTAGACTGAAATGCTTCACTTGGCACCAAATGAGAAATGTCCTGAATCGATAGGATGAAGACACACCGAGACAGAGAAATGTAAACAATCATGGCGGATGTGTTGTCGTTCAACAGCCCTGAATCAGTTGCTGATGTTACTGCTTACAAAGACACGATAAGAGATCCCTGTGAGCGTGACGATCACTCTTTTCATTCACACACTTTATTTTCCAGTCAAAAACAGCCCCTCATCTGCTGAGCACCAATCACAATGAAGCTTTCCCAGCGATGTCACAAGGGTGATAGATGAGGCGGTTGGGCCACGTGGCTCTGGAACAAAGTTACCCGGTCCAGCAGAGTCAGGGGGATTTCTCTGATGACTGAAGGCAGGTCCTCATGATGGAGTGGGTAGATGACCACACTCAGGGCTGGGCGCGCCGCTGAAAACCTGAAAACAAAACATGAAATAAACACCAGACCCCAGAATATCCCTTTAATGCTAAGTTTCTAATAATTCCCACGTTCACCGGCACTGACCTGTCTACCAGCGTCTTCTGCAGCGTGCCACAGGCCACCAAAGTGCCGCCCATGAACATGTGGCACATGACGACGTGGCGGCAGCGCTCCATGAAGGTTTCAGCCGCAGAGGGGTCGAAGGTGCCGCTACGTGAGACGAGGCAGAGACGCTGCAGGCGGGAGCAACACGACAGAGCCTCAAAGAATGAGGCGTTGGCGTTCAGGTAGGGCTGCTCTAACCTTGAAAAGACAGACACACACAGAGTTTAATCACATGATGAAACAAAGATGAGAACCTATCGTGAAGGTTAACTCTTGGAAAACATAAAAACTATTCATACCTGGGTTCACATCTGAATAATAAACTATAAAAGCAGCTTATTCTGTATTTACAGAACTTATCCTGAAATACTTCACATGTCTGTATCAGGTTGGGACGTGTGTCATCTAACCCACTGGTTCTCAACTGGTCTTAATCTGGGACCCACATTTTCCCATGGTCCTTAAGTCGCGACCCACTTTTATAGAATTTAAACCAAACGTTTAACGTTTATAAAAAAAACCTTTAAAGTCTCTTATCTTTAACATAAATCCACTTGTTTTATTGAGTGAAGTGCATTTCAGAGCACATGAAGGAGACAACATGAGGACGACAACTACTGAAGCTGCATATACAGAAAATATCAAATATCAAATAAAAATCACTTTTAATATTTACTTTTTTGACCAGCTGTTCGTGACCCATCCAGAACCTGTCTGCGACCCACTTTTGGGTCGCGACCCACCAGTTGAGAACCACTGATCTAACCTATATTTGACTGAATTATTTGTTATAATAAAGATATAAAGATAACATGATTCATTCAAATACTAAAATAAACTAAATCTTGGGATAAATCAGAATATCAGGTTTCAGTGTTGTTGAAAGAGTCAAAGAAGCTGGTCTCACCTGAGCTCCTGCAGCTGTGTGCACTGTTTGAGTGTCTCCAGCAAAGCTGATGTGTAGTTCATGACTTTTAAAGACCCGATGTTGGCGAGGGATAGTATCTGTAAGTCTCTGCACTGCCTGGTCAGCTGTACCAGTCCTGTCCCCCTCAGGACCCCCGGGAGTCCAGCCAGAGTCAGGCGATGTAATCGAGGCAAAGCTTCAAGTGCTGCTAGGTGTGAATCTCCGACCCCTCGCGCCCACGGACACATACCACGAGGCTCCACGCTCGCACGAGAGCAGGGCTCTAACCGAGGAAGCACAGAGACAAAACCCGGACCAATGAGCTCTAAAGTCTGGAGAACATGGCAGCCGGCTAAGAGCTGAGAGAGCCCTGAGGTGCTGTCTCTGGACAGAGAGGCGTCAGAATCAGGTTTATAGTTCTGGAGCCCGACCCGAGGCACCTTCTTCAGCCCCAGGAACAACCCTGAGGGGGTGTTGTTTGTGGAGATCTGATGAGAGTTTAACCCGTCTGACAGGGCGCACACAGGCAGGGTGAGAGAGTGCAGGTGTTGGAATTTGGCTAAGCTGGCGCACAGGTGTGTCTCTCCAGATAGTCCAGGTGAGTTTTCATGATGATAGTGTGTGTGCATCAGGTTCAAGTGCTTAATGTTGGAACAGCTGACTGCCAGCTGGTTCACTGTTTCAGGAACCAGCTGATCATCCAAACTCCTGCACTCCGAGTAAAGGACCTGATTGATCCCGCTGAGATTCAGGCTGGTCAGCTGAGTGCAATCTCGGACTCCTCCGTCCAGTAGAGACTGAAACACCTGGGGCCACAACGCCGGGCAGCGACTAAAGCTGAGATGCTTCGGACTGTTTCCCTCCAGGGCTCGCTTTAACGACAGGGAATCCAGCCAGGAGCGGGGGAGCTGCAGGGCCTCCAGGTCACCGTGTAGACCCAAACTCTGAGCCAGTGAGGGAGCGGCAGGCCAGTGAGCGGGATTTGGTCCAGGAATCGACACCAAGAAAACTCTGAGACGCTTTGGGACGTGAACGCTGAAGACAGCCAGGTAGAGCAGCAGCAAGGTCTGGTTTACCTGCAGACATCAGCGTGAAGATAAAACACCGACAAACTCCACAGCACTGATGTCAAAACTGCAGATAAATGTGGAGAATGAAGTCACCTCTCCTGGAGCGAGCCTGGCGGTGAACTCCTCCAGCTGCTGGTAATGAGGCACGCTGCTCTGACCCACCATCAACTGGCAGCAGACACCCACGCCCTCTCTGGTCACGTCAGGGATGTCGAACTGCAGCATCAGCCTGAAGAGAAGAAACAAACACTCTCATGATGCCACACCACCACCACCGGGTTTAATCAGGCTCATCAAGACTTTGACTGATGATCAAATATCTGCTAAACAGATGAAATTTGCCAATCGAACAGTGCAAAACTAATATGTGCATTACACAGATATTTACAAATGTGGCATTATTTGGAGCAAACTATAAAAAAGTTTAATTCAGAGGAGCTAGAGTCAGGAATCAGGATTCATCTCAGCGTATGATTCAGACCAGGGGAAGAAATTGATCTCAAAACTATATAAAGAAGTCGGAAACGATACAACATACATAAAAGAAAAATGGGAAAAAGAGGCTGGGAGGGAGTTATCAGAGAAGGACGTAAATGAAGAAGAGTGGAAAACAACATGAGAATATAGTTGGAAGAATATTGTGAGACACTTTATGACACCAATACAACAGAACTCTGGAGACACACGATGTTGGAGACGATGTGGGAGAATAAGACCGATCATTTTCAGATTTTTGGGGATGCTCTGGTATTTTACCTTCTTAGCGGGAGATAAAGAAGAGGACGGAAAAAAATGTGAAAGTGCAACTTCCACTTAGATTTGATGTTTTATATTTGTGAAAAGAGAACCAGGAGATAACAAGGTCAGGAGAAAAATACAGATTTACAATAATGTTGGTGGCGATTAAAAAGGCCATCAGTAGAAATTGCCTAAAAACAGATGAACCAAAAATCGAGGATCGGGTCGAGGTAATGATCGATGTATGCAGAGTGGAGAAGCTGACTTTCTCATCTCGACTAAAAACAGAAACTTTTAAAAACTCCTGGAAAAACTGGATTGACTTTGTGTCTCAGACTCTGTGCAGTAAAGACACTGTGTATTATAGATTATTGATCCCCTTGGTTCAGACTACAAACTTATTTATCAGGAGATGTAGATGCCAGTTCTTTGTGGTAGCCATGATCTTTTACAATATTTGTGTTATATACAGGGATGAGCGTCACGTGGTGTGGGTGGAGGTAGTACGTCAGCACTGGTAGTTGTAAGTCAGCTGTTCACCTGGCAGGTTTTGTAGATGAATGGAGAGGGGGTGAATAGGGAAGCCCTACTTTTTGCTGATCGCTTATGTTTCGCCTGATTTTGAACGACTGCCCTTTTCTGCTTCATGTAAGTGCTTTTTCTTTTTGCATTAATAAAACTAGAAACGGAGATACAGCCTGTTTTTTGAAGTTCATACAGCCAGCGCATCGGGCAAGGTACCGTTTTCTCCTACTCAACCTCTTGGCGACTAAGTTGTTTTAGATAGTCACCATACAGGAGAAAAGGGACAATGAGAGAGAGGAGTGACAAAAGGACATGAGTGAAAAGTGTTTGATTTTACTTCACAGTTATTCTACTGGAACTTTACTTCAGGAGTTTATGTCTCTCCTTATGTCTCCATGATGGAGAAGTGTGTAAAATATGTAAAATGTTGATGGAATATTGATCTGTGAATAAAAAAACTAATATGTGCAAGCGTGCATCTCCCTGCATCACATAAAACAGATAAAAGTAAATATAGTGCAGGGTCTGTCATATAGGAGGTGATCAATCACACAGTCATGAACTCCTGATCAGAGGTCATTTGTTAAAATCTGGACGTCAGACTTACTTGCGGAGTTGTGCACAACAAGGCACCACACCATAGCTCGGCGTCAACAGCGTTTGCCGGAGCTCCGACAGGCGGCTGAGGGAATCCACCGCCTTTGAGCTGAGCTGAGCGGAGTTAAAACCAGGCATCACATCAAAAGCGAGAGATCTGAGCAGAGAGAGGGAGGAGAGGAGACGGGAGAGTCTGAGGGAAGTTATACGACAGCCGGTGACATCAAGGTGCGTCACTCCTCTGCAGCGAGCGAGGAGCTCCATCGTAGAACCGGAGAGCCAGTAGCAACCGTTCAGGCTGAGAGACAGCACGTGATTGGCTAGCTGCTTCAAGAGGTGCCGAACCAACAGGTCATCAGCCTGAAAAAGAAAAGAAAACATTATTCGACTACAGAGCAAAACTGTTGTAGAGATCTTCACTTTAACTGTCGAATGTGACTTAAAAACTTTTACCAGATACTCCTCAGACAGCCTGACGTGTGCCAGCAGGGTCTTATCATGGCACAGGGTGTGCAGCTTGTGGCAGACCTTTGCCACATTCATCAGCAGGTCACACACCGGAACATGGCGGAGGATACACAGCAGGATCTCATCGGATAAATCTGACATTCCCACCGAGCTGGAGGACATTATGTCCTCGACGCACACAGCCTGAGACAGACAGAGAGAGAGAAGAGTGTGATGGTTAGGAGAGAGGCTGGTACTGAGACAGAATATCAAAACTGTAGGAGGATACAGAGATACACATCACTGACTTTTATACTAACTCTGTATCCTGATAAAAGGTACATCACATGTATATAACTGTAACTACCAGCTGAAGTGTGCCTGTCTGTGTGTTTGGTATGAGCGGATTAAATCAAGATTTATGTAAGAAATAATAAGAGGCACAAAGACCAGACTGAACAAATGTTTGACTCTAAAGTGACTCATTTTTAGCTGAAGTGAATATCTAAAAAACTTAGCTGAAACTTGGCTGCAGGGAGGTCTAACATCACCAAACAGAGACTGGTCCCTGGTCCTAGTTGGCGTTACCGTTGGCAACCATTAACTCGACAGTTACCTGTGTAAACACACACCTGTTCAATTTTTCGATCCATGTCCTCTGAAATCTCCTCCACGCTTCCTCCGCTCATGATCCGCGGGGTTTTTAACTCTTCATCCGGCCACCCGGAGCTTCATGACTCCCGGTGGGCGCTCTGCTCTGGACCGAAAACGGATGGATTTTCAACGGTTGACGAGGCGGAGGGATTTTAGTGTTACACACTGGCTGGCGGAAGTTGGTCAGTGACAGAGAGACTTCCTGTCGGCTACAACATTTTTCATTTACTGTTTTATTTTAAATAAAAATCGATTTAAAATGAACAAAATTTTAACACAACGTTAAAGAAAAATATAACAGCGGATAAGACTGTATTTTAAACAGAAATATCACTATTAATACAAATACCACGACTACTGCGAATACTTTTACTTGTACTGGTCTATTCAGCTAAACTTGACTTGATTTAGGTCTCACCTTTCATACATAAAAACATTAAAAATATAAAAGCATAATGAACAGACATCAAGATAACAATACGAATAGGTAAAACTATAAAAATTTTAAACAATAATTAAGGACCAAGACATGGAAGGAGGTGGAAAAAAGGAAAAAAATATACAATATAATTAATACAGAAAAGTTCATTGAATATATGAGGTTAGAATATACAATTAAATGCAATGGAAATTTAAACTGATCAAATAAACAGTAGTATTAATAATAATGAATTATCAATTAATCAATCAATCAATCAATCAATCAATCAATCAAATTTTAACTATATAGCGCCAATTCACAACAGTCGTCATCCCAAGATGCTTTTCAAAGAACAAGAGCAGGTCTAGACCACGATCATTGTTTGGTTAATTATCAAGACCCAACCTAAGATGGGATTTGGCCCATCTCATCTAACATGAGTGACAGTGGAGAGGAAAAACTTTCTTTTTACAGGCAGAAACCTTGAGCAGGACCAGACTCATGCTAGACACCAGGCCGCTGCTGGGTTGGGGAGGAATACAGAGAGATAGGGGGAGAGAGGGCAGGGGGAGAGAAAGAGAACAAGATAGTGGGAAGGAGAGAGAGAATGAGTAAGGGAGAGGGAGGGAGAGAGAGTAGAGAACGAGGGTGTGAGAGAGAGACAGAGGACAGCAGCAACATTAAAACAACTGTTTATACAATGATGAAACAATATGAACTCAGTTTACACGGTTAGGATATGAGTAATTATGGACGATGTTAAATTAATTTAATGTGATTGCAGTCAGTCACTTTGTGCTCAAATTGCATTATTGTGTTTATGAATCCTGAGTAAAACCTACATTTTAAAAGGTAAACGTGGTTTTGACCAGCAGGTGGATGATGACAACAAATGTAATTATTGAGCTGTAAATTAAAAACAGCTTTATTTTTTTTAAATGAAAATATTAGCCCACTTACAGTCAAATGAGGAGCAGTTGGAAACAGAGACCTGAGACAGATGTATACACAGGAAAGGCTTTTAAGGACACTTCTGCTGCAGACTCTCATATAATATTTACAGTTTTATAAAAATAACATTTCCACTGTGCTCACAGAGTATAATTATGTCTTCAATTGTTTAAATAGGCAGTTTTTATGTAGACATATCTATTAATCACCACCTTCCTGATGTTTATACTATAATCTATTTTAAGTATCATTAGTACAGTGTATGGATTCACCAACCCGCTTATTTAACTTTGATTTATCATCCTGTAAACAGACTGGTTCCTGGTGTTCGGACTAAAAAAGAAGAGTGGTGCTGGGCAGGAATACATTTCCAAAATCTGATCAACACTTTAAGACATGTCAAAAGTGAACTGACCATGATTACATGTAGCACAATAAAATGTAGTATGAAGCTATGTTTTTAATGATGTGACTGAATGATTTGAAAGTAGGAGTCATTGTTACAGCACTAATTAAAGAATCAACTGCATTTAAAATCTACTTACTTCTGTACTAATCTTCTGATCACATTTATAATTTTTCTCCAAATGCACTATAATTTCTGATCCTTGAAAGTTTAATTGATGTTGGTCCTTTTCATGACATCCTTAGATATGGCCATCATCAGCTTAAAAAGCCCAAAGGCAGCTCTCAATGTTGTCAGGTCACACTTAATTTTATGTGCTTCTCCTACCCTGAAATGTGATAATATTTTGTTTTATATACCTCTCATTTTTGTTGTCAAATTAAGTGACAAAATCCACGTTTCCTTTAACATATATCTTTCATATGTTTAAATGAAGACCAAGAAGACAGACTGGAATCTCAGACATGTGCGCTTTATTGGGTTGTTGTGTACATCAGAGGCCTGAAACCTCATGCACAATCCTTCATGTACCCCCATACAAGGTAGAAGCTTTGTCTTTTGCATAATGACAAAAACAAACTGGACCAAGTATCATTTAAGGCTGAAAGTACAAAAACAAAACAAGTTTCAGATTACATAATTTACATATTAAGCAATACTACAGGTCTGTTGGGCAGTGGGCCCACCAGAGAATAAACCTTCATAGAGGCAAATAAGGTGGTGAACAAACACATCTGGAATGACCTACACAAACACGACAATGGACATCATGTTTCTCACACATTCACACCGCCTGGGACGCTCTGTACCTCCTGCAGAGTTTCTCCCCATCAGGGGGCACGGTGCCATAGCCATAGTGATGAGGAAAAATGGGAAGAGGTGTTGTGGGCTCGGCATACACCAGTGTGTTGGTGTAGGCATGTATGCAGAGCCGGTCGTTTGGGTTTGTAGCAGTGTGTGTTTCGGGGGGAGGGGACTGACAGTCTGTTTAGAAGCACTTCCTGTGGACAATGCTGGGGCCAGACTCATCGTACTCCTGCTTGCTGATCCACATCTGCTGGAAGGTGGAGAGGGAAGCCAGGATGGAGCCTCCAATCCATACAGAGTACTTCCTCTCAGGGGGGGCGATGATCTGCAGGGAGCAAGATGGAGACAAATTAGCTGTTAGGTATTTTAATTCGTGTGTGCAGTGAAGCAAAAAAAAGACTGAAGAGATGGGAAACTACATTCGCTACCATTGCCCACCAGGTGGCAGTAGAGTTAAAGATCTTTCTAGAACACAGTTTGCATCATTGCCAAAGGGAGGATGTGAGCCTGAGCACTGAGGATGGTCATACCTTGATCTTCATGGTGGTGGGTGCCAGGGCTGTGATTTCCTTCTGCATACGGTCAGCGATGCCAGGGTACATGGTGGTACCTCCAGACAGCACGGTGTTGGCGTAGAGGTCCTTACGGATGTCCACATCGCACTTCATGATGCTGTTGAAGGTTGTTTCATGGATACCGCAGGATTCCATACCTGTGATGAGAGGATTTCAAAGTTAGTTTGTGATACTCTCTCAGGATTTCCACCTTTTAAAGTTTTCCTTGACTTCACTTACCCAGGAAAGAGGGCTGGAAGAGCGCCTCGGGGCAACGGAACCTCTCATTTCCAATGGTGATGACCTGTCCGTCGGGCAGCTCGTAGCTCTTCTCCAGGGAAGAAGAGGAAGCAGCAGTGCCCATCTCCTGCTCAAAGTCCAGTGCCACGTAGCACAGCTTCTCCTTGATGTCACGTACGATCTCACGCTCAGCTGTGGGACAAGAAAGAAAAACATTATAGTTTGTTTGTCCAAGTTTCTTGTTGAACCTTTAAACACAGGCATGCGTCTTAAATGTGCTTTTTTATGCTTACCTGTGGTGGTGAAGCTGTAACCCCTCTCAGTCAGGATCTTCATGAGGTAGTCTGTGAGATCCCTGCCAGCCAGGTCCAACCTGAGAATGGCGTGGGGCAGGGCGTAGCCTTCATAGATGGGGACTGTGTGGGTCACACCATCACCAGAGTCCATGACAATACCAGTGGTACGACCGGAGGCATACAGGGACAGCACAGCCTGGATGGCCACGTACATGGCAGGGGTGTTGAAGGTCTCGAACATGATCTGGAGAGGAGAAAGATGAGTCATTTAAAAAAAAGTGAGTCAAGAAGCCGTGAGTGAGCGAGTACGGTTAGTCTAGTCAGAGCAAGAAAAGCACAGCAAACTGGCAGTTTGGTTTTGAGTATCAACACCGTCATGAGACCAGTAATTACAGTAATCTGCACTCAAGTTTGGTCATCCTGAAGGTCTGAGATGAGTTAGGAGTCCCTTCTCTATCCTCACCTGTTGCATCATGCAGTCAAATGTGTAGTTAGATGCCTACTGTCTGCTTTAGAGAGTCTAACACACGCCTAAGAAAGCAGTGACCATGCTGCAACAAGTCATTCCTGATGATGCATTACATGGCAAAGAGATAGAAACCTGGAGTATCCGAGAGGACGGAAAGATCAGCACAGGACAGAGGAAACCTGGAGGTTTATGAAGCAGGAGGAAATGGACAGATTGAGAAGAGGAGGAAATGTCTGTGTGCTTCCTGTTGCAGGGCCCTGTAGATGAGCTGAGTGGGGTTTATAAAAAAGTGAAGTGTTGAAGCCTCTGTTACCTGGGTCATCTTTTCCCTGTTAGCCTTGGGGTTCAGGGGGGCCTCAGTGAGCAGGACTGGGTGCTCCTCAGGGGCAACTCTCAGCTCGTTGTAGAAGGTGTGATGCCAGATCTTCTCCATGTCGTCCCAGTTGGTGACAATACCGTGCTCGATGGGGTACTTCAGGGTCAGGATACCTCTTTTGCTCTGTGCCTCGTCACCAACATAGCTGTCTTTCTGGCCCATACCAACCATCACACCCTGGAAACAGACAGGAGGAACAGTCAGAACAGAAACTAATAGAATTTCTATGAAAGCATGCTGATTAAAATATATATTTTTGGGACTTTTTTGGCTCCCTGTTCAGTTCAGGATTGATTTTAAGATTCTTTTATTTGTTTTTAAGTCTCTGAAGTCTACTTGCTGCTTGTTGCCGATTGCTGTTGTCCGGGTGTTTGTCATTAGTTGTCTGTTCCTTAAAGTCTGTCCTATGTGATGTGCATTTTCGTCCTTTTATGTAATATACAGTTGGTGAAGACAAATTTCCCCACAGGGACCAATAAATCTATCTATCTATCTATCTATCTATCTGAATGGGCCGTCCAGAGACCTGAGGTCAGCTGATCAGGTGGTTTTAGATGCTCCTCGATCCTTTTTAAAATCTAGGGGAGATCGAGCATTTTCTGTGCGCACTGAGAATAAGCTTTCCACTTTTAAAACACTTCTGAAGATGCACCTGTTCAAGAAGTACAGCTACTTATTTATTTGCTATGTTGTTTTCTGCTTTTATTGTTTTTATAGTTTTATTGTTTCTATTTTACTGTAAAGCACTTTGATAAACCACTGGCTGTTGTCACTGACATTAAAAATAATATTAATAAGAAACTTTACCTGATGCCTGGGGCGCCCAACAATGGAGGGGAACACAGCACGTGGGGCGTCATCTCCTGCAAAGCCAGCTTTGCACATACCAGATCCGTTGTCAACAACGAGGGCGGCGATTTCGTCTTCCATTTTTTTTCTGGACAAGAGAGGAAGGAAGGGGAGGGAGGGAGGGAGGGGGAGAAAAAAGGGTGAGACAGTTAGAAACAGATGCTCTCTCTCTCTCTCTCTCTTTCTGTGACAGTTCAAGTGTGACATCTGGCAAACATCAACTGGGTCTAACTCATGTCATTACTCAGAGTGGACGCTGGATGTCGCAATAGCGCAGGTTCCAGTCCAAACCCAGAACCTGGAAACAAAGGCAGTTTTCGCCTCGGTCTGGCCATGGCCATATAAGGCAAAAGTGAGAGCAGCTTAGAGACGGCGGCGGCGACGGCGGCGGGAGGCAGGCGGAGAGCCCGGCCCGGGAAGCCGCAAATGACACCGACAACCCGGCCACTCCCTACGTTTGGATCAGAACCGAGTCAACAACCCCTAAACCACGAACCTCAAATCTAAAAAAGCGGGTTTTAAACATGTGAAGTGACTGAACTTCATCCTCCTCAGAGTCATTCATCAGGTGAACCGTTACGTCGTGACAACTGCGGTTAACTTACAAGGTTACAGGACCAAAAATTTAACTTTTAACCACATTTAGTGACTTAACTGTTAGATTTTCTCTCAAAATGACCTGTTTTATAATTGTAGACAGGTCGTTTAACATGTATCATCCTCTCTGTCATTAAGAGTCTGTTTTTTCTTCATGTGTGCAGTGAGAGGCAGCAGACCACGACCACAGATGCTTACATGTAAACGAGAAGGTCAACCTATTAGATTAAAGCGTTGACAGCCGAGTTATTTCACTCAAACCTTAAAAACACCAATCTACATCAAACCAGGTTCATGATGAGACAAATGTGCAGATTCAGAGCCGTTTTAACTTGAGGAAAAGTCCTCACATGAACACCAAAAATCAGTTTACCGTCAAAAATATTCCACATAAAAGCGAAAAAAAAGCGTTTAAAATCTGTGAAGAAGTTGAATGTTTCTTACCTGTGTGAGGGAGGGTTCTCGGCTAAAGAGGACAGTGAGTGAGCGCTACACTCCGGTAGGGTTTAGTGTCTGAATGTGACTGCAATGGAGGCCAATAAACTGCAGGGTTTTATCAGAGCTCGTGCTGCAGCCCCTCTCCATAAAAGGAGAACTTTCCGCACGGCGCCCTCTGATTGGTTCTGCTGCATCCACTGGGTGTGGCGCATGCAGATAACGCTTGTGTGCTCTGACAGGACAGAGGGAAGAAGAACAGGCAGCATGAAAACTAACCTATATACTATCGATATGATCAATCTGGGATTATTCACCGATCGCTTTACCACATATGTACGTCTTTCGTAATCATGAAGCATTACCACAGTGGGAGTGATTCACACACGTGCTGCAACAACAATCATGTCACTCCTGCAGAGTCCTTGAGTTTGGAACAAGATAACCCTCCTCCTGTGTATTAGGGTCTGCAACGACCAGTTTCTGAGTTTTAATGCTTAAAAGAAACACTTGAATGAGCTTTTATGAATCAAGACTTTTTCACTTTGACAAGATCCTCAATTACAAAAAATCAAAATTATAGCACTTGTCGTGTTAGGGGACCAGTTAGATCAATATCTAATAATTAGAGCAAAAACTGAAATCATAAGTGTCCTGTCAGGCATCACACTGATCGTGTGAGATTTAGGAAATTCTCATTTTGCACAAAAATGTCCAGACATGTGGGATCAGTTCAGTACAGATGTCTGTGTGAGGCCCACTACAAAAACTATTATACTCAATATTTTCATGCATAATGAAGCCGAACAAGGTAACCTAAAGATGGGAACCAAACTGTATGATAGAGAATTGTTTTAAGTGTAATTTACGGCTGATTTAAGACATGGATCATAGTAAAAGCTAAGACAGGAGGAAGGTTAAGGTGTGTGCTTTGGTGTATTCTCTGTCCACATTGGGAAGAGGCCTAGATTTCACTCTTTGATCAACTTATTCCATTGCTTTTTCTATCTTGATATGATTTAAAGAGCCTCCACATGCAGGTCACAGACATATGTAAGTTTTATATAGTTCACATGTAAAAAAAAAAAATGACAGGAATGCAGCGGCTCTGAGTTAAACTGAAGACTGTGCTAATGCATTCGCAAAGCAACATCCCCTCATTCATGGCAGACGCTTGTGGTGGTTAGTGGTGCCAGGACACGGGGGTGGTTACGATCTCAGGGTCACTGACAGCACTGTTAACACCCAGGCTGACACGTCTGCCCTGGCATACCAGCGTCTCACGCCCCCCAACACACACACACACGGAGAGGGGTGACACTGATACATGTAGTCAAGCTGAGGTATGTTCACAGCAAACACTCTGCAGGCTGTGAATCTCTTATCTCTCATCACTCCATTGGTAATGGTGAAGTAGGAGGTGGGGGCAGATTAACCTCGCTTGCCTCAGAGAAAAGTAATAAAACAGGTGAGTAGTCTCCGGAAACACGACTATAATCGACGTCTGAGTGCTTCTGCGAGGCCTTTTAATGATTATTCAGCTCTGACTTTGATATCCATCTACACACCTGTATCTGAACACACCCAAATGTGTCACACAAAGCAACTCCTTGTGAGTCCTCCGAGTTGACCAGAGATGAAGTGGGTGGGTCAGGGTGCTTTTCAACTCAATAAGGGCACTGGACAAAGACTCATAAACTTACTCAAGGAATTCTCACTGGCCCTATGTGTTCCTAATAAGGATATTTAGGAGCAAGCTCAGGAAAAGAGACAGGAAGTAGGTTTCACAGGGCTTCAGTGCTGCAGATCCACGCAGGAAGTGATCACACAGATGTAGAAATGCACGCAAAAGTCCATATGTCAGGAAGTATGGAGCAAATCAGGACAGCATGAGGGGAGGAGGGCAAATTAGCTGATAAAGGAATTAGCTTTCCAGACGAACATTATCCTGCTTCAGACGCACGCAGACGCACACCCTCACACACACACACCCTTACACACACACACACACACACACACTTACACACACCAAGTATAGACCCAGGGCAGGACAACCATCCCTTTAAGAGTTCCTTTGGATGACGTCCATATAAGGAGATATTGGAGCGAGTCACATGGGGGGAAGAATGCACTGCTCAGGTCATGTGACCGGTCTGAGGAAATGAATGAATCTCCCTTTATAAGGCTGTTTAGTATGTGTGCAAGTGTGTACATTTCATGTGGACGTTCCCATTTTCACTCTGATTTCTGTTTCCTCCTCCTGAAACCAGCGATGGTTCATATTTAAAAAAGAGAAATAAGAGATTTTCCTCTTTCTAAACTTTGGACTCACTCACTAACTTAACCCCTCCCTGGCTTGACTGAGATTTCTCAATATTTCCTGTGCACACTCATACCATTTCAAAAGCTTGTTATCCTGCGTGACTCACACATGCTTTGCGACACACACATCTACACACACACACACACGCTCCCGCCCTGCATTGGTCACTCACACAGTCAGAGAAATTCACAGGCCTGGCTCTTGGCTCTGACTAAGACCGTATATGGAAGAAGCTAGCAGGTAGCTTCTGTCCACTTTTCACTCATCATCCCTCTTCCTATCTCAACCGCACTCTCTCTCTCCCTCCCTCTCTCTCTCTCTCTCTCTCTTAAACACACATCCTTTCTCTTCCTTTCATCATCACACTTCCTGTCTCTTCAAAATCAATCACTCTCTTATTTCTTTTTCCCAGGACAGGGACAGTTATAGGAGTGCAGTGAAAGGTCGGTGTGCATTTTTCACCCTCTCTCCCAGTCTTTTATGGCATCACATTCCAGCTGAGTTTCATACAAAACACAGAGGGGAGTGGCTTCAGGAGTAATGTGCAATTCTCGCTGAAATGTTATATCATAGCATACCAATTTATAAACCAGCCGTTATCAAACTGGGGGGGTGTAGCATGGTTTATTAAAGACAACGCACCCAGTTTTGCACCGTTAGAAAACCAAACACAAATAATTAAAGACAGTAGAATAAAACAGGAGATACAAGCTCTCACTGACTGTGGAGCCAAAAGATTAGGTATAGGTTACAAGCCCTACAAGCCCCGCCCCCTCATGTTAGCAGATGGAACTTGGGCGATGTTCGCACTGCAGGTCAATTCCGATTTTTTAACCATATGTGACACATATCTGATTTTTTCATCTAAGTGTGAACAGGTCAATTCTGATTGGTCCTAATCCGACCCAGGCCTCTTCTGTATGTGGATATAAATCAGATATGTATCTGATGTGACTGCAGTGTGGACGCTCAGGTCGCGTTCATCCGACTTATACGACATCAATATGAGACAAACGTCACCATTGTTTGACAACACAAACAGGAACGTAGCCTTATGCCATGTTCGAGTTACCGCAGACATCAGATGTCGGAGCTGAAAATGACATCACACCCCAGTTCCAAGCGTTTCAGTTACCAAGTCGGAAAAACAGAAAATCGGAGGCGGAAACAAGATGGCTACATCCATGAAAGTTATTTTAGCACTGGCCTTGTCCAAATATAAGGCAAGTGCTAAAATAACTTTTGTAATTTGGGTGTGACGTCATTTTCATGTAACTCAAACTCAGCAATAGGTCCCACCATAATAGGGTGACTGTATTCTGAATTTCTGGCTATTTTACTGTAAAGCACTTTGGTAGGCCACTGGCTGTTTTAAATGTGCTTTATAAATAAAGCTGACATTGACATTGACATTGACATTGACGTATGGTCACCCTACACTATCAAATTTTAGCACATGCCAAATAAGGTGCTCTCAAACACGGTGCCTGTCATTATCGTTCTGATTTAGTTATTTGATTTGAAAAGGAGATTGATTGACAGCTATGTTGACTCCAGTGGGAACTGGACTGTACGGTCTCAAGGGAAACTGGTGTTTTATGGGAAGGTTAAAGGCACATCTTGACGGCGTACCATGTCAGTCCCATGGCTTCATTAGCAAGGTCACTTCTACAAGCGCTTTGGTTCCACCGGCGTTACATGTCAGCGCCTATTGACTTTTACCTCCATTAAAGGCACTTTATCTGCTTTACAAACAGTCAGGGGTTAAAGGACTGGCAGGTAAATGTGAGACTGATGATGAATCTTTGCCAAATGTCAAAACCACAAAAACAAAGACAGATTATGATGATTCATACCTCACCCAAGCTAAACCTCTATCAACGTCACGCCGCCTACACATTAAAAATGTAGAAATATGCATGTTGCAGTATCGCTGTCACCTGCTTCCTTTGTCAAAGTAGCTCAGTAGTTTTTCAGTTCAGTGTTGTACACCAAAATTATTTCTCTAAGAGTTTTGCAAAGTGTGCGTCTAAACTTTTCACTTTTCAGACTTTCCCTCAATGTAGTAAAACATCGTCCAAGCTGGAATAGACCAGTCCAAAAACTGGACATCAGAACAACACACACAAATATAAATATATATCGACCAAACCATCACATTATTATGTAGAATTTAAGAATAAAGGCCAGAAGAAAATTACAAGTACTCTCTATGTTCAGGCTGTCACAGTGATAGGACATAAAATATTAAAGACCAAGATGCTGAGGTGAATCTGTGGGCATCTGCGGGTTCTGTACTGGGTAGGCCTGGAATACATAATTCAACTGGTCTGCAGAAAATAAGCATCACGGGGTCATGAGGCAACAAAGACATTAAAACCAGAAACACATATTTTATATACTGTATATACATTTTTTAATTTTAAATATAGTCTTAAGAAAGTATTTTCATATTTTAAAGACCCCTGCAGTGAAATCCTCCTTGAATGAGTGTTTGGTTTGATCCTGACGAAGGTCGATGTGAAGCTCCTCGAACACTAGAGCCACCTCAGCCTGGCAGGAAACGTGTTTTGTGTTTACCATTCTCAGAGTCCAAACTTAACATTTAGGAGCATTATTTATTAGCAAATAAGAACAGCAGAGCTTGAACAATGGCTGGGATTAGGACGCCCAAGGGTCCACTAAATTTTAGTCCAAAATCGAGGATCATAAGATCAGATTGGATCACAATTCATATTTATTTTTATCATCACTGAATACAGCTTTTAGTGTGTAGCTGTTGTTTTTTATTTTGTGGATCAAATGTTTTTCTTGTTTTGAGTTTGTTTCTTTGTCTTTTGATAGTTTTTTCCCTGTAATTTCTACACAGTATTTTTTACATAAAGATTTCACATTTCCTTTGAGAAGAGAGTGCTGCAACGGTAGTTACCAAAAAAGGATGAGAGATATATCAGGGTGCATGTTACTGCAGGACATACCTTTGCTTAAATTGTACCAGTATAACTAATTGTAATTATTCAAATTGCATAAAAACATTAATCTCAGGCTTTTATGGGCCAAAAATCCAGATTTACTCAAACCTCCACAGGAGACTTTGGATGGATCAAGACTACTTCAACCCACTGTAATACTCAGTTCTTAGAAAAAGCTGGAGTAGCCACTGAAAAGTTTTTCTTTTTCTTTTTGCAATATTATCCTAAACAATGTGTTAATGCTGTTAGCAGTATGACTAGCCAGATTGACAGCACTCCTTCACCTTTAATTAACCTCTTTAGATCGTTAGCTGCATTTGGGGCTGGGCGATACGGCCTCAAATCAACATCACGATATATTGAGCAGTTCAACTCGATAACGATAAATGGATGATAACTTCTGCACAAGCTGCAAGACGTTTTCCTGTCCTGCAATATTGCGGCATTTATTTTTTCAGATCACGGTTAATTTTTATTTCTTTTACTGACACCGAAATTTAAAATTTTGGTATCAGTAAATTTTCGGTAGTTGTCTCTCAAATGGAAGTTTGCCTTTTTAATCTCAGTTCTTGCAGATAGACTCTGAAGACGCTGAACTCTAAATTGCTCTATTCACAAAGTCAGTTTAGCTGTTTAGCCATTTAGCTAATCGGCCAACTGATGGTGCCACATTACAGCTGAATCTGCTATCAGTTTATGAATATGGAAGTAAAGAGGGAAGAAAAAGTGCTGTCAATGGTTAGATGGACTATCAAAGAGATATGCAAGTATAATTAAATCAGCCTACCGTTGAAAATTTCCTAATTAAAAAGGAGGAAATCACGCTAGCTTTCCTCGTCTATGCTTGGCTAACAGTCTTAGCGTGATCGCATGTCAGTCTTTCCCCAAACTAATTTCAAACTTTGGTTCTTGTTTTTATCATTCCTCTTATATCTCTTTCTTTTCTAACGTGTTTAATGTATGTAACTATAAAATGTCTGAAAGCTGTTAAATTGTTTTTGAAGGACAAACGTTTCCCGCCAACGTAGGAGTAAGTTTAAATAACTACAAAAAGCAAAGATACAGTCAGTATCACCCTGAGTATCATTCATGTATCAAAGTATTAGACATATATTAACAGAACAACAAACAGGCAGTCAGGATGAACTTGGGGTGAAACAGGTTTGAGACAAACTGGAACAACAAAAATAGAAACATATATACACATATACACATTTACAGATATTGTCAACTAAACTGCAGTTTCTGAGGCCAAGTTGCACCAGTGTAAGAAAAGTTTTGCCTCTTTTTTCAGGCAGTCCAGCTCTTCATGTCCACCAGCTCCATCCCCTCACAGTAGGACCGCGGCCTCGACACCCTCACCTGGTTCAACAGGGGAAAACGACAACAACTCACCGTAAAGACGGGTAAACAAACAACTTTTTCTTATCATCACAAACAAACACAGTCAGACACTCACTGCAGGTGTCCTGTGAGCGGCCAGTTGCTGCAGGATTGGGAAAGGAGTCCACTGAATGGGTTCGACAGGCCAGCTACACACTGAGAGGTCGCTGGCCTTACCCGAGTCCAACACGCCGTCGCCGACGCTAACCTCGCTTCCTCTCCAACCGTACTGAGAGCTACAGGGACATTTACGTTCAGGCAAAAATCAAACAAAAAACAATTTAAAGAAGGAAAACTTCAGATTTGTTATTCTCCGATAAAGGGTTTTACTTATTCAGTCAATTTTATTACATTTCAAACAATTAGAAACTTTATTAATCCTTTCTAATCAGGGTCAATGTAAGGTCAATATCTCAACAGCAACAGAATCCCAAATCCAATTATCGGTTCAGTTTTTACCTCATTTACTCGTTATTCTTTAGTCAAAGCTCATAATCGGTATTTCTCTGAACATATGTGTATCCGTCTTTTAAAACCTACTGTGGCTCTTTCACTCTCAGCCTTTATTCAGACAACAGAATAAGAAATATGTCGAATCAAACTCGGGTCACTCTGTACGTGGAGTGTGCGGTTTATCCGCAGGGCTAAACACATTTGAAGCATCTTTGAACTTCCTCTTTCAGATCTCCAGATCATGTTTATATTTAGGGTTCATTTTGGGTTCCCCAGGGTCACTTCAAGATGTGTGCACAGCTGTTGTACGCTCCAACAAACCGCTGCACACGGCCCTGCCCACTTCAGGTCCTAATGTCAGACATTTAGAAATGACATTAAAAATATTAAAGTGTGAACTCTTTGGAGGTTTCGCATTAGTTTTATTTATTCTGTATTCCTCTAAATATGTTTTTTGTGTTTCCAGTTTTAAAGCAGTTGTCTTTACTGGATTGTAGTTTTTTTTCTTTGTACACGAGTGTTGGGGGGATTTAGAGATCACAGTTCAGAGCAGAAGTAACTTTATATTCATGTTAGAGAAACGGCTGAGCTGCTATTTTTATTCGGGATGTAATCAACCAAATTAATTCTTGGTCGACTAAAACCCTGAAATTTTCGACCAAAAATTGACTAATTTTCCGACTCTGACAACAAAACCTTCTGTGGCGGGCGATGACACGACTCGGCGGGGTGAAAATATACTGATATCAGCACAAGAAGGGAATTAAACATGATAAAATTTGAAACGCTCAAAATAAAAATTAATATTCAGTAAACCACCAGACGTGACATTTTAGCCATAAGGAATAACCAATCAGAGCCCAGCTTTTCTAGCCAATCAGAGACAAAGGAGGCCGGGACCTTCGCCTACCATCCTACAAAATAAAATGTCGTGTCTTGTGGTCAACTGAATATTTATTTTTATTTTGAGCATTTCAACATTGTTTAACTGCCTTCTTCCTCCGGGGGGGAGAAACATTTATATCCTGTGTCATTAATTTATAAAGTTTGTCCACAGCTTCATAGGGAGGCGGGATTTATGACCTATACTGCAGCCCGTCACCAGAGGGTGCTGTTCTCGGTGTGGCTTCACCCAGCGAGGAGGCAGATGGTGTCCACTCTAGATACAGTCTATGCCTTTGAAACAGAGGTGCTCTGTAAACACCCCCATTAGCACTTGGTACGTTCCTCCTGATGAAATTAACCATAGACTGTAAATTGACGGAGAAAAATCGAGTCGACCAATCAACTCAGACTCAGCACGCATCATCCAATCAGTCGACCAGTCGAATCTCCATCTTTGTTTTCTAAGTTATAATTAAAGCCTAAAAACTCTCAAACTCAGACAGGAGGAGGAGGAGGAGGAGGAGGAGGAGGAGGAGGAGGACACACACATTAGCAGGATTAATTATTCAAACATAATTATTCCAACAAGCAGATCAGCAGATCATGAGTAATGCTGAACCTCTGTCTGTGTGTCTGTGTCACTGTGTGTGTGTGTGTGTTTGTGTGTACCTGTGCGGGTAAATAGTGTTGATGCGTGTGCCATGGCTGGGGCAGGTGGATGCCAGCGACAGCGTGTCGTCGTGGTAACAGCAGGGGCGGTCGAGTGCCCGCAGGTGCAGTAACTCATCAGAGCGTGTGAAAGCAGGATTATCCAGCGAGTCTGCTGATCCTGCCCACGAACGCAACCAGAACCGTCCTGACAGCTCATCAAAATGGTTGAACCTGCGATAGCTGCACACAATGAATCACCACGTGAGGTTAATATTCACAGCCTGTCATGTTTACTCCTCCTGCTGCAGGTTACCCCAGGTTCCTGAGACAGTTTTGAACATTTGCAGAAAGTTTCATGATGAGGATCTTTTTTTTTTTCCTCTGAAGCTAAATTAGAAGATATTAAAAAACAGGATCACTCTGCTGCTGACTGACTGACTGACTGACTGAGCCCGTTATAGAAAGTAAAGCTCCGGCCTAAGAGTCCAGCTCCCTCTTTACTGTCACAGAGACACTTTGGATTTACGGCTTAACTTCTTCAGACTTCCTGTCTGAACTTTCTCTGTCTCTTCCCAACATTAGAAGTTAATCTCTGCCAGAGGATGAAACCACATTGTCTCAGTACAGGCGGATAAACTCTTACAGTCCTGCTCTGTGACTCCAGATTCAAACGGTTCCTGTACAGTTTTAAGAAGCTACAGAAATCCTGAAAACTGTCCACATCCACAGATCATTAAATCCACGAGAGCCTCAAACAAAACTGTCTGTATTTGGTGAAATATTACTCATGTTTTTGAGATGTTTGATCCTGATAGGAGAGGGAGATCTCCTGTCCTGTCACTGAAAGATGTGATGCTGACAGTCAACATCTCACGGCACGTATGACAGCGAGGGGTGTCTGCATTGCAGGTCTGAGGGTGGACGTTTGGATTCACCCAGACTGTCTCCACATTTGCAAAGAGTCTGCAGCACAGGCTCCAGAGTCTTCAGAGTGGGATTTAACAGCTAGACAGGGACACCTGCTGGACACTGGTGTAATTACACTCCCTTCATCTGCAGTCACACCCCTGTCAGTGTCGATTTTAAGATGTGTGTGTTTCATAGATTACAGTATCAAAAACTGCACCAGTCCACAAAACTCCCACATTCAGTCCTTTTCAGGTCTAGTACAGAAATATACTCCGTAGACGTGCCGCTCACAGCTGGTCTTTGATACAGCATGTGATTGGCTCACAGCAGCAGCTTCAGCCCACACAGTCTGCGGTTCAGTGGAGTGGAGCTGGATCTTTTGGTGCAGTTGGCAGTTCGGTGTCGTTAATTACCGCGTACAGATTATTTGGACCAGAGAGAGGACATCTGATATGACTGAAAGCTTGGTGCTGATACTATACTGGACTCTACATTCATCATTTATCATGTACAGAGTGTCTTCAGGTTATCATATATAATGATTGGTTTATGTATTTTTAATTTCGTGTATTTCCTGTCTTCTCTGCACAGTTTGTTCCACCGACATAGTTTTGTTTGAGCGCTGAACAAACGCAGAGACCTGGGAGTTCATTCAGTGAGACAGTGATGGATGATGATTCTCCACTTAAACAGCCTCATCTAGGGCTGGGCGATATGGACTCAAATCAATATCACGATATATTGATCAGTTCACCTTGATAACGATAAATGGACGATAAATTTTCTGTTTATCGCCCAGCCCTAACCTCATCTGAAGCTCATGTTTGTGAATTTGGAAATAAAGAATAATTAACCTTGCACCTTAGTTAGCATGTGAAACATTCATTGCGCTGAACTCTCTAAACAAACTTGTCTTTGCCTCTGGTGACTTCACTGCTGTTTTATTTCTGTGGTTTATCGCTCCTCTTCCTGTTAGTTATTATTAGATCAATAAATTTGTACAAGATTTAAAACATAATTAATATTATTTTTTAAAATATAACAGGATGAAACTATGTCAGAGTGTTATAAAACAGGATCAGGGACACATGAAAAGAATAAAAATAAATAAATACAGGAGATTAAAGTCCAAATTTCCAGATTAAAAAATCTAAATTATGTCAATAAAGTCCAAATTTCAAGATTAAAATCGAAATTTCGAGGTTGCCAAATGTCGAAATGTTGTGAATAAATTCTAAATTTTGAGATTAAAAAATTTAGAATTTTGATATTTAAGTTGAAATTTCGACTTTATTCACGTAATTTGGACTATCGTCAAAATTCTGTTTTTTGTTTTATTTTCGACTTTTTAAAATTTCCACTTTAATCTTGAAATTTCAACTTAAATCTCAAAATGGAAATAAAAAAAATCTCCCTCCTGTATTATTCTTTCTCTTCTTGTTGCCCTCATCCTCTTTCATGTTAAGGTAGTTTGAACACATGGAAAAGTTTTAAAAGCAAGTATTAAAGTCACAGATTGACCGAGATACTTACACCAGTAATGTTAACAATAAAGTAACAAACTTTTTCCACCTCAGGTAAATTCATCAGCAGGTTCAGACTTCACTGTAAATACACTTGAGAGTAAATAACAGTTTCTGATTGGTCCATCCATTCTTGCATTTGCACAAATTTTGCACGACCTAAAACCAAAACCTGCCAGTATCTGAATAACGTTTTTTAATACGAGTGTTTCTGCATTTTTGACCCTTTTACACTTCTCTTTAGTCATTTGTAATTTAGTAATCAGTAATGTCTTTGTGACTGAGGCTGTAGAGAAGGATTTATATCTGCGTCAGTGTGTACCTGCTCCGAGTCTGATCCACTTTGGCCTGGATCAGCGCTGCTTTGTATCGCCGCACGGCAACAAAGGCCAAAACGCCGATCACTGTCACCATGATGAGCAAGATGGCGAGACACGCACCCACGAGCCGCGCCCGAGTCATCCTCACGTCGCACCTCTGACCCATGTACCAGAAGTCCTCACCTACGAGGCAGCTGATCCGGACAAAACCACATTTACAACCCAGAACGCCTCACGAGCGGACGGTGATACTCTAGATACTTTGAATGAGCGCGCTCTCACCGGCAGACTGGAAGTTGTCCCGGGTGGTGCGTGCAGATGCCGTGGTGGTGGCAGTGGTCGAAGTGGCAGACGGATGAGCAGCTGTAGTTTGAAGAGCCGGGCTGGGACACACACTTCAGTCCCGCTGGGCACTGCAGTAACCAGTCACACACATCAGCCTGCACACCTGAGGGGAAAACATGACGGAGGATCGACTTACGGCGCTCTACGCTTTTCAACCTTCAGCTGAGATAAAGCAAATACAGTCGAGTACGAGAGTAACTTTGTTGACCTGTTTATTTGGATATCTTTGCTCGATTTAATAAATAATGTCTAATTTGATCCTGAGCCTGAATTAGTGTTTATTAAGGACTTCATGAAGTTACTTGTTCTTGACTTTTTAAGGTCTTTTAATGGAGAAGAAATCACATGGAGAGAGGAACAGACTGCCCCTCTTTAAGGACCGACACACTGTTAAACGCCGTCATTAAGTGTAATGACATCAAATCCAGTAACAACCCTGCACTGAGAAGGTCCAAACAGTCACACCACATCTTCGTAATTGAGGTCCGTTAATCAGATTTCCTGTAACCTGATTGTGAGCTCCTAAACGGAGTCAAACGGAGCAGGTTTTGGTGTTTCTGAGTCCGTCTCTCTAAGTGGGTCAAACGAGGAGGAGCTCCTCTCAGGTAAATAAAGTCACCCTGCAGTCGGAGTATATTTTCATTAAACAGTCAGAGGAGTCAGGAGAAAATGACAGGAATGTGGAAAATTACTCCAAACATAAGCTCCTCAGTGAGAACTGTTCTGAACCCTCAGAGTCCGGATCCTGACTCAGCTCTCCTCGGGTTGGCAGCTCAACACGAGTTTGGTAACAGAAATGGACTTTCATAAAAAGTGAAAGAGTAAAAGTCTGATCGGTGGAGCGGCTGAGGTTTACCTCCCAGAGTGATGTTGGTGATCTTGGAGGATCTGAATTTCCGCCCGTCTCGGACAGCCTGAGTGAGTCCTGTTCTCTCCAACAGAGATGACGGACCGGTCCTGCCGAGCCACTCCAGAGCCTGGCTGGTCTTAAACTGGACCAGACTCTGAACTGCATGACCGCTGCAACGACAAGAAAACTGTCGATTTACCTCTCGTACCTGTCGTTCAGGTATCTTTGTTCAGGTATCTTTCAGCAGCTTTTTGGTGACGACATGTGGAGTCACAGATGTCGACATACAGACTCTGAAAAAGTGAAACCGCACTGACTCTCTCTGTCCCAAGAATACCAAAGGCTCCTCTTACCATGTGGATAAAAACAGGAGAGCTCATCCACTGTGGTGTGGGAAAATTTCAACCCACTTTCCAAATTAGGCCGTTTTTTCCAGATCCGAAGATGGAACCAGAGAACTGAACCTTCCTTTAACTCGTACGATCAAAACCCAAACTAAAAACTGTGAAATCACTGAAACCTCGTCTGATTTTCTTACTTTGAGTTTTTAAAATCAGAAGGTTTTCATTTTTTCAAAGCTGCTGTGAGGATTTTCAGCTAATGTCTATTATGGCGCCCCCTGTGGGCAGAGATGTACTCACTTAACATGTTTAGTGTGTATTATTGGGCAGCATTTTCTCATCTTTATTTTAACATTGAAACAAACTAAAGAGGAATAAGACCACAAGAAGATAAAAAAATTAATTACAGGAGGGAGATTTTTTTAATTTCCATTTGAGATTAAAGTCAAAATTTAAAAAGTTGAAATTTAAAAAAAAATGAAATTTTGAAGACATGTTTGTATGAAAGAGGATAAAAACCACATAAAGAAAAAAAATAATTACAGGAAGGAGATTAAAGCCGATATTTCGGGATTAAAGTCGAAATTTCAAATTTCAAGATTAAAAAATCAAAATTATGTCATTAAAGTTGAAATTTTTCAAAATAAAAAAAAACGGAATTACATGAATAAAGTCCAAATTTTTATTTTAAACTGAAAAATGTATTTTTTGTGCTCAAGACATTTTGGTATTGTTCACGACATTTTGATATTTTGTAATCCCAAAATTTCGTCTTTATTGACATAATTTCGATTTTTTTGATCTCGAATTTTTGACTTTAACCCCCTTCTGTAATTATTTTTTTCTTCATGTGGTCCTCATCCTCAGGTCTCTTATTTTGATTGTTTAAGAATAAAATGTAAAGAAATGGTGTTTCTCTGCTCTGACCTTCTCACCACCATTAAAATAAAATTTTAAAAAAGTTACAATTCAAGGAGGAAACCGATCTGATCAGTTTTACAACCAATTATCTTATTGATGAATTTCACACACTTTGGCCACATTAGACACACAGACGTTCAGAAAAGGACCTCACCTGCTCCAGACTCCGAGCAGCCTGCTGAACCCCGGGGCTCTCTGAAGGTACGGCTCCATCTGAGAGAAACACAAAGTGAAAAATGAAGCAGAGTCTCTGTAAACTTGATCTGAAAAAATGGACGATCTTCTGCTTGTCATTGCATGTTGAAAAGTCACATTTGATGGTATTTTAATCCGTCTGCAACAATTAAATGCAAAAAAAAAAAAACATCACAGATTTAACCTTCATGACGGATCTGCCTCGAACCTCAACCCTGGTGCAGTGATCTGTGTGGGGCTGTACTAACCGGTGCAGGTGGATTAAGGGGGAAACACTCCGACATGACCAGAGGTGGGTACAGAAAAACTTTGACTGACTCGTTTTCTTTTAATTCACCTCCTTATTAGTTAATGTGGGTAACCAAGACAATGACAGATTAACAGGGCGTGGTTATCTCTCCTGTGGTTACATCACCAAAGCAGCTGAAATCAAATCTTTATTTTCCTCGAAGGTTTTACTTCAAACATAACACAGAAGCTTTTTAACTTCCACACTCTCAGAGCTACAGGGCTGGAGGATGTGAAGTAGACATGTTTGTCATCATATGGGACCTTCTAGCCTTCATGTGCAGAATCTCTTACCCAAGCAGTCGCGTCTTCTTCCAGGTTGGACTTTAAATCTGATCTGGACTCTTCCACGATGATCTGCAGCAGCAGCTCGATCGACTCCACTAGATGGCACAAGTAAATAACGTCAGTATAACAGGACTGAACACCCAAACTCTGATTCATTCCTCAAACAAACAAACAACCTCACCTCCGATGGCTGCTGGCTGGTCGGGTACGATGTAGTACTTGGGTGTCTGACTGGTTGTGGAGCTCTGAGTAGGTTTGGAGTTAAAAACAGCTGTTCGGAGAGTCGTGAGGCTCTCCTGGATGGTGTGTGGTGTGGTGTTTGACGGAGATCCAGCAGAGGGAGACTCGTCCCGTTCCTCTACCTCTCTGTCTCCTTTATCTCTGTTTGCAGTTGTGACGGAGGGCGGAGAAGCTTGTGTGGCAGTAACATGATCTCCGGAGTGTTTCTGTGTTAGTGGGGCATCAGTGGAGGATGGAAAAGGTGTGTGTGAGGATGGACGTCTGACTGTTGATGTTTCTGAAGTCGTCGGCACGGTTTCTCGGTCCAAGAGGGGCGTGTGTGCGGCGGGTTGACTGGTAGCAGACGACAGAGGAGAGGTTGTGTGAACAGAAAGTGAAACACCGGGGGATGTAGAGTGTGTTTGGAGTGTTTGTGAGTCTGTGGAGGAGTGTGGGGTTGTACTTGTTGACAAAAGGGAAGCAGAAGTCTGTGAATTTGCTGCCACGTTGTCATCTAAAGTATAAGATTCAGTGTTTCTGTTAACAGCGGAGCTTTGGACGACATCCCCCGATGTTCCAGCTGCTCCAGGTGTTGAGAAATCTGTGAAACTTAAAGTCCAGTCATCATCTTTGGTTCCATCTGGCAAAGACGAGACAGCAGCAGAGATGCTTTGTGTACTTTCTGTGTCTGTCTGTGTGTAAGGAGTTTGTGTGATGCTCTCTGTGCTTTGGGGAAAGTCGGTTTGACTCAATATAGAAGAAGGAGAAGTTAAAGAGTGAAGCATCTCCGTGTTTCCGAGCTTTTCCGAGGACTCGAACGCAGCAGACGGGCTGGTAAAGTCCGGAGTGTCAGATCCTAAAGAGCCGTTTGTACTCGTGTTTGGATGAAATGAAGCGGCCTCCACAGTCCTGACAGTGCTGCTGTTGTCTGAAGCTGCGGTGGTGGGTGAGAATGCCATCATGGGGTCCTGTGAGGAGGATGGGAGCGATACTGCAGTGGGTTCTGTATCGGTGTTTGCACTTGTTGAGGCTTCCTCTGGACCTTCAGTGGAGGTTTTTAGGGGGTTAGCGGTAACTGAGGAGGTGGGATCGGAGTTCAGCTCGGCTGTGCTTCGATGGCTCCTCCAGGATGGGGGTGATTTCTCTCCAGGTGGCCCAGAATCAGCTCCAAAATGTGGGGTTAAAAGGGGGCCACTCACCCTGGTTGTCAGAGGTGAAGAAGAGACGATAGTTTGGGTGTCAGAGCTCAGGAAAGAAGGATGAGTGGTTGTAGATTTCTGTATATCTGTGCCATCCGAAGTGTTAAAGTGACTTTCTGTTTCATGTGTGAGTGTCGTCTGCTCATCTCCAGCGCTTCTTTCCGTGTTTTCTTCCTTGAAACCGTGAAAAAGTGACTCTGCGCTGAGCGTCGGCTGAAAATAGGGGCGTGTCCTCCCTCTGGCAGACGTGGGACGATCAGCGAGGTGAGCCGCTCCAGATGTATCCGCTCCATTGTTCGGTCCTTCCTCAGGAAGAGGGAGAGTTTCCCTATCGGCTTTCCACGTTGAGGCGAGTCCCTGCAGGGATGAGGTAGGGCGGAGCAGACCCTGGTCCTGAGAGGAGGAATACGGCCCAGAACTCGAGTCAAGACCTTCGTAGAGTCGACCTTTGCCCTCGTCTTCCCCGCTCACTATCTCTTCACCAATGAGAGCACTTCTTGTAAAGCTGGTTCCTGTCTGAGACCGATGCAAGAGGTCTTGGTTTGAGTAAGAGTTGGTGTGGTCCTCTGAGGAATGCGGGTCATCTTCCTGGACTGCATGACCAGGAAAAAGAGACAAAAACAGAGAGAAAGAGAGAGAGAGAGAAAGAGAGAGAGAGAGAGAGAGGGTGAGGCGAAATCACAACAACATAACTTCTGTCTAACTCTCCCCACAGTTAGCGTGATAAGAACTTTCCGACAGATTTAGAGCTCATAACAACATATTTTGAACTCTATATTTCCACAGTTTGTTTCCACAATTACACAGTATGAAACCAAAGGAGCCAACATGGTAAACAAAAATACTTCACTGACACACTATAGGTTAAAAACAAACTCTGAAACAAGCGTAATCTAGTTTTGTAGAATTGAATCAAACTCTCGTGATCGAGCATTTAGGCCACGGAGACTCAATAAACCCAACAGGATAACAAAGTCAGCGTTTCTCACCATAATAAGACAGCTCAATTACATTTGACGACTGTCTCGGTCCTGTCCAAGAAAGTGTTGCTTTGTTTCTGTCACAGCCGGACAGCAGAGCCGACCCCCTGAGGCCCTCCAGAACCAGATCTTCTCTGTTTGGGACACAGTGAACTGATATACTCGAGTTACTCTCCAACCATACCAACTTTAAAAGTACCGTCCGACCCGGAGGGAGACTTAGAGTCCAAGTGCAAACTGTGATTGGTAGGATTTCTTCAGAGAGGTGGGTTACAGAACTGGGTCTGTCGGTGGAGTCGGGAAAAAGTCCAGGTAGAGTGAGATTGAAGCGACCAGCAGGGTCCTGATCCAGGTCGAAGTTTCCACCACAGAGGAGCTGCGACGAGGCCCACGATTTATCTGTGGAGAGACAAAAGAGACGCACTAATGAAACCTATACGCTGTCTAACACAATCATTTATATTTAAACTAAAAACTATGAAAGTAAATTAAAGGTCGACAAATGGACAAGGTTGTACGGCAGCCCTGGAGCACAAAATTATTGTCTTGTGCATGTAAGTCATGTGACTCATTTGAGGTATACTATGCTATCTTGATAACTTGTTCCCACCAGATAACAGCTGAAGACATATGCTCCTCAGATAGTAATTGACTTATAGATCACTTTAAATGCAACCAAAGCTGACACAGAGTGCTGTACATAATAACATAAAAACATAAAACAACAATAAATAATTGTTTTAGAATATAATAAAAAAGCAATAAAACAAATGCCGTCTCATACTGGGTCAAAAGCCAAGAAATAAAAGTGGGTTTTTAGACGGTAGTAATCCACAAAGTAATTCACTTCTGAGCACAGGATATCAACTTTAGCACGCACAATAATAACAATATAAATATAATATAAAAAGTCGTATGAACAATATTCATTTTATTCACTCCAGAGCACAAGACTCAAAACTTATATTTACAAGAACTGATGAACTGTTCAGTCAAATTCAACACAAACCAAAAAGTTATTTCATAAAAGTTTAACTTTTGGTACCTCAGGGCCTCCATAGAATGAGCACATATTAAACTGTTCTCTGTGTTCTTATGGAGGATATAACAACAAGTTACATTTCAAACAAGTTTTTAATGAAAAATAGGAAATTTTAACACATCTAAAATATTCTAATATAATTCTAAAAGTTTGAATAAGTAGTCTGGGCTGTTTAACCCTTTAATGCCTTTTGATACATACTTTTATTTACTTCTATCAAATCAATATGATCAACAAATTACTAAAAAAATCACCTGAATACAGTCAGATAAATGATAAAAATGTCCTCTTGTAGTTTATCAGATTCAAAAAACATCTAATGTACCAAATGAGATAAATAAATATATTTGAGGACAATTTGATTTTTTTTTATTTTCAGTATTCAGTGAAATAAACATTTCAGCTCCAAAAAAATTGAATTTTCTGGCCATAATTTGTGGTTTCAGGCATTAGAGGGATACATGAGTTGAAAAATAATCTTGGACCCAGTATTTAATCCCATATTTTTGATAATCTGTCAAAGGAGACTAATCCCAAGATCTGACACAGGACTATATCGCTCAGGTAACCCCCCAAAAAACTAGCCATGCAGAAATCCTGTCCACCTGCACATTTACCTGACAACAGAGCAGTTATTGAATCTGCAGTTTCAGACATAAAAACAAAGTTTAGTGAGTATCAGGAGATCTCAGGTTCTCTTACCTGTTGTAATAATGAGGAGCAGCAGACAGGCGTGGAGCTGCATTTCCAATCATGAGACATTTCAGAGTTAGAAAACGTAGAAATCCCAGATCCATACAGACTTGTACCGTGGTCTTTTTGAGTGTTATGATGAGGATCAGAAAGTCGAGCAAACAGCGAGTAAAAATGTTCGTGAGTTTTTTTTCCTGTCCCCACAAACACGGAGCGGCGTCACCAACTTTCCTTCTCCATCATTTCCTCCGAGAGGAAACCGCCGAGGATCTGTCAGGAGACCAGCAGCACCAGCCCCCGAAATCAGACACACGTGTGCCGGACCGTGGACCGGGTCTACACTGGTTTTAGACCGGGTTTAGACCGCCTCCAGGCTCTTCGTTTGAACCGACTAACATTTCCAAAGATGAGAGGAAAGAGTGAGTTTTACGGAGCCCATTAAACACCACACAGGAAACTGTCGACAGCAGGAGGTTTGAGACATGAGAGAGAAAAGAGGAGATCATTAGAGCTTTGACTTTTTTACTTTTACACCCCCACGGCGAGGAGGAGACTCCAACAGACACCAGGTACTACTGTTGTGTCGTTCGCGAACGAATGTTCAAAAGAACCGAATCTTTTAAGTGAACGTACTGAACCGAATCACATCCTCGAGTGATTCGTTCGTTTCTCACCTAAGTAGAGCTGAAGTGAGAAACAGCATTGCCAAACCAGCAGCCGGCGAACGAGGGACCACATTCACCGACACCTGAATCACTTGGTGAACGAATCACGCACTGAACTCCACTCTCTGGAATCATTTTTGTCGGACAAAACTACCTTTTTTTTCACTGCTAAATTTTCACCACCACAACTTTCACACAATAGAACACAGCATGTAACAAGTAGTGCATTAAACCCTCAGCACAGCGCATGTTCAGTGTGAATTCTTCTAAATGTTCAGTGAACGAATCACTCACTGAGCAGACCTGATAAATAGCATACCAAAGGACACTTAAACATCATGACTTATGAACAAGTTCATTTTTACAAACCTGTTTGTAAAAGAAACAGACAAACACTCTCGTCTCCCGGTCCCAGAAGCTATATATAAAACTCAAATTCTGAGTTTTCTGAGTTTGTTTTCAACTTTCTATAAAATAAACTTGTTGGTATAAAACACAACTAGGCTTTTTAATGATACGCATTACAAACAATCTGATACTGTGAGATAAAACTTGATTCGTCAGGTGAATGGGGTTTACAGTAAGTCTATTAATACTATTATTATTATTATTTATTAAATAATAATAGAAATTTTTTTTTAATAATTACTTTATCCATCTATTTATCTCTGTGGGGCGTGCTTTGGGCTCCTTTGTATCTCACTGATGTTTGAAAGTCTGAATTTTCCACACAATCAAATTATATAATTCACCATAATTTATAAACTGGAAACAGATGATGAACAGTTATTCTACATGACCCAAACTGACATATTGAAATATTTACTCAGAGGACTGCTGTGAGATTTAGATCTTGAGTTTAGGGTCCCCAGAAGATGGATCCCTCTGAGCTTGGATATCTCTAACCTGTTCCTCTAGCACCACCTGCAGGTTAAAAACACACTTATACTGTGAATGCCTCATAAGAAAATCAGCCCTAAACTTTGACTCATATTCCACAACTATTCAATCTGATGATTTTGGTTAGAAAGTTCTTTTACCTTAATCACATGTTGCCAAAGTTTGGTGGTACATTGATTAACTTACAGACATTTATGTCATGTATTAGGCAGAGGTTATCGGTACCTTATAGTGAATGTAATCATCATGTTTATATCTTCAGGTATCTCTGAAAACTAGAAACGTGCATGATGAGATCCCTGTCAAAATCATCTTAACCTTTACATACAGACTTTTTAAATGTGGCTGTAAAATCCCAACACATCCATTAAACTGCATGTACAACACAGAGAAATAAGGAATACCAGTCACATGTTCTCAGCTAACTTGGTTTCATACAGTATATCTGAATGTATCCTTCAATTTTAAATCATTGTTGACTAAAATAACATCAATTCAGATTCAAACCATTTCACTGTTAATGTCATTATCCAGCATTAAGTTCAGATTTAAGCTATTTCCAGAGCATTTCTGTGACTTTAGAGAGTTTTGTTGAATGATGTTCATTATGTCTTAAGTTTTTAGAAATAGTTTTCTTTTTTTCCTTTACATGTCTGAGATAAAGAGAAAAAACTATTTAGAGAGTTTTGATGATGTGAACAAATGAAACCTAAGAGAAAAAAAACTTAATATGCTTCAAGTCTTAATTGGAAAGAAATGAACAAACTGTTTCACTCATATCATATCGTGATTTAACTTTACTTCAAGTCCTTCAGTCCAAAAAAAGTTCATACATTTTTTAAGTGCCACCCTCTTTTGCAAAATAACCTAGAAATCGAATTATTATAAATAAATGAATTATAATTAAAAATTCCTTTAATCAATAAAGTTCTTCTTATCTTCTCTTAAATTTCATCAAACATGGATAAAATAAAACTACACCTAAACTTAAAAGACGGCTGTGGGACTGTCCGGCTCATTACATTTCAGGGAAGTCTCCACATCTGATTTAATGCAAATCATAACAAACTGGACAGAACATGGCCCACAGACTGGATTCATCTCTATGGAGACGGTTTGTACAGGTTACACTTGTCTCCAGTCAGGTATTGGTCACAAGTCAGAGTGTACTGGACCTCCACATCGCCTCTGAGTGTTGGACAAGAGTATGTATGTGTCCCCTTCTTCAGGCTTTTCGCACATGATCCCAGAAGGTCATCGTAAATCCAGTCGTCATCCCAGACTTCGATCTTCAGATCCGACTGTGTGTCCACCTTCATAAACAGAGGTGGGGAAAATAATATGAATGTATAATATTTTTATGGCACTTTTAGGAGATGGACATTTTTGTCCACCTAAGGACCTAAACGTAACTTTTTTTAAGGACCCCTGAGGGTTAAGAGCTGACATTTCCGTCTCCTTCGATCAGGATGAGTTACTGACCTTGCCAATGGAAAAACGAGCGTTCCATCGAGGGTCGTTTGAACTGATCACTGAAGTTCTGCCGGAGTAGGAACCGTACTGGATCTTGACATACCTGTGTGTTTGAAAAACATGGGAGACAAATGACTTCAGTGACTCCACATGTAGAATCTTGTTTAGAAAGACCTCCCTCAGGAAGTGGTCTTGCTTTCTACACACCCGTCAGTCGTGCCCCATATATCCCCGTACAGATTCCAGGCTCGGACGATGGTCACCACCAGCGTTCCTCTGCTGGCTTTCAGTGGACAGCAGTTGTTATCGAGGTTAGGATGACTGCTTCCACACTCGGGGGATTCGGGCTCTGCACGGATGCCATTCATGGCTAAGTAATTCTCAGTGGCGCCCTTCAGTCCGTTCCTTTGTGCTCCTTCTGGTAGGAGCGTGTACAGAGGTCTCAGAGAATACCTGACAACACCGGGGTGATCCTTGAGAGTTTCCCTCCACTTTCTGTAGCCCAGGGAGTCATTGTGGGTGAGTGAGAACTCCCCTGTCCACCCTTTGCCTCCTACCACCTCAGTGTAGTGCTCATGGACACTGGTGTTTGTCGAGGCAAAATCGTTCTGGTTCTGTAGCACTTTGTCGCAGATCTTTTGAAGGACACCCCCTTTGCTGACCCCGAGGCCAACGTTGATACCTCCTGATAGGCAGAGGTGTGTCTACATGAAAAGGTAAATTTAATGTTAGTATTAAAGGGATATTCTGGCGTAAAATTAAGTTAGGGTCAAACACACCGAGTTAGACACCGATTGCAGATAGCAATACAGCGGGGTGCCGCAGCTCAAGGAAGAACATTCATGATCATTTCTTTATATAAATATAATCAGACCGAGACGCTGAGGCAGAAGAACTACCGCATCTGTAAAATGATTAATACGGCAATTATTACTTCAAGGAAATGATAAAGAAATGATCATAAATGTTCTTCCTTGAGCTGCGTCACCCCGCTGTAGTCTGTAATGGACTGGCCTGAGGTCTCGTTACAAACAAGCGGCTGCTGGAAGAGAGTAGGTGAGTTGTGTTTAGTCTCTTTGCTAAAGAAATGAGTCAAAGTTAAAAAGATGTTTGGTGTCTAGTACTATGTCTGTGACCCTATATGTCCTGTTGATGAAGTTAGGTGCTGTTCTGAGCATTATTTGTGGTTATAGAGTGGCGTTTTGGTTGAGCGTGTGGCTCTCTGTATTACTATCCTGTGGTTGTTACTAAAGTTGGTATAACTAGAGAAGCGAGCGGTCGGCAACATGAAGCTGTCAGAGTATAAGTTCTACCCCTACCTCCCATGAGGAAAGGCCATTCAGTCTGGACACGCATGTATGTGCAGCAGTGACCCGCTTGACTCGCCCTCCAAGGTCGACCTGAGAGATCACAAATAAATGAGGTTATACAATAAAGACTGGGGTTGGTAACTCTTTGGTTTTAAAAATGGCTGTGAATGTTTCCTGACCTGGCGGATGTAATGTGTGCCGTGAGTCCTGATGAACTCTATCAACTCATCCCTGGTTCCAGGGTTGTAGATCAGTGGTAGCTTCTCGAGACTCTTAAGGAACTCAGGGCTGAGGGGTGGACTATCTGAGACACCGAGCCTACGCAGAGAAGCATTGTAGCTACAGTTAATTCAAACCAGAGGAGATCTACTTGTTTTTATCCATAAATGTGTTATTATCTGTGAGTCGAGGTCTTCAAACCCCACCTGTAATGGATGCAGGTGACCATGTGAGTGCTGAAGGCGGAGGGGTCCTTTTCGCTTTTGGCTGCTGCAAATTTACTCACATTTGAGAGTTTTCCTGCAAACACTCCGCTCCTATACTTCATCACTTCGAGTCCCATCTGAGGCAAAACAAGAGCTGCTTTATTTTCTCAGACAGCATAAATACTGCAGTAGTAAAGCAGGTATTTCACCTCTCAAACACCTCTTTTCAAAATGTCTCAAAAACTATAAGATTAAAACTAAATACTCCTTTTAATTTGCAGAAATAAAGGGATGCATGTAAAAAAAGCTGATTTCTTTATAATAACATGAGATTCTTACCGTCCAGTCGTTACTTTCCAGGTCGGCGTGGGATTTCACCAGATCGCTGTGAAAAGCATCAGTTTTATTTCGGTGTCAGAAAACAAATTATGAGTGTCTTCAATGACGCTCATTTTAAGACTTTCAGGTTTATTAGACACATTAACAAAAATCTAGGTTTTGTGTGTTTTGGGAGCCGATTTAATCAGGCTCAGTTCATGATTATCCAGGGTGACATATGTCGTGTGGATTTATGTTTTTTAATGAGGGTGCGTGCTTCAAAATGAGTCCCTGCTCTGGTGTTTGAGTAAACTCAGAAGTGTCCAGTGCTCTCTTTCTTAGAGCTCGATGTCTCTGTGAGGATATTTGAAATGGTCATGACTGGAGTTGCAAAGGGGCGGAAAATTTCCAGAAACTTTCCATGGGAATTATGGGAACTAACTGGAAATTGGGAGTAATTTTAACAAACTGTATCATATCCAAACATAAATGTAAATATTTTTGTTTTTTCATAAGCAGACATCCATGAAAGATAATACAATTAACATTTCAACAGATCTGAGTGGCGATGGTGAACGTGGCATTTTTCTGTGGAATAAAATAACAAAAAAATCTTGTAAAATCACTGGAATGGTCTTCAAAATATTTGATAATTGATGTTTAAATTATTGTTTGGTTACAGAAAACTGTCTTGCAGGAGTCTGAAGGAACAGCATCACCACCATTATGAGCTGGACCCTTAAATGGTCAATGAAATGAAAAATAGTTTACATTTAGCAACTGTTTTTATTTCATTTTTACAAGTTAAATATCAATACTATTATAGATCAAATATATTTACCCCATGGAGGAACGTACTGTTCATGTAGGGGGTGTGGCTTCAATAGCCCTGCAGTGTGATCATGTGATCATGTGATTAAGGGGTGGACTAGTATTGAATCTGGTTGTTTTAGTCAAGATTATGCTGCACTTCCATTGTTTTGGTTAATCAGATAATTGTGGGTGTGCATTTAGGTGGATCATTTACACGAAACCAAAGATACAAAAAATTGAACAAAAGCAGAAAACCTTTACAGAGGCGGGGAATACTGTTGTGGAGAAAATCAAATTAAAAAGATGCAATAAAAAGGATGAGGTCAAAATAACTTGTTGTCACGAATTAACAGTCTGAAAATACTGATCAGGTCCACATATCTGACTCTGCGCCGACACGCCGAGATTTCCACTTCCTAACTTTACGAAGTAGCTCAGTGGTGGCGAAGTAAACGAAAGAAAAAAGAGCAGAGATGATTCCTTCGGTCAGGGAGACTGAAACTGTAGCTCAGCTTTGAACGTCTGACTGTATCGAACACACCTCTGGACTTCACCAAACAATAGGAGTCTGATTCAGCTAAAATTATAGTGGGTGTGAGTTCACTTGACCGAAACAAAGACGCCGTGTTAAACTGAGAAACAAACAAATAAATGAACTCAGAATCAAAAGTGTTTATATTTCTTTAAACTTTATGTCCACACACGGTGACTGCTGAAGATAAAGACTGAGTTGTAGGTACATTTATGGGGTTGTGTGGGGGTTTAGTCAAATTACAGAAATAGTTTTATGGGTCCAACACATAGACTGTATAAACTATGGACAAGTTGGTTCCGCCTCCCGCCTGGATACAGATTTGAAGTACATGATCTTCATGACCCATAATGTTATCAAAACATACTTGACTTTCTGTAGTCGGTGGACTGAACTGTCTTGGTCTTTGGGCTCTAAAGTGTCGCCTCCAGGGTTTAAGAAATCGTCTGTGAGTCATGTGATGGAGGAACGTACAGTGCATGTAGGAGGTGTGGCCTCAGTAGCCATGCAGTGTGCTGTGTGATCGCGTGATTGGTTGTTTTAATCAAGATTATGCTGCAATATATTTTAACCAACTATATTTCAGTTCCTGTTGAAGGCCAACCCTCAATTTTATACATTTCAGATTTATTCCAGCTTATTTCCATGAAAAGTTTCCAACTTTGAAAATTCCTGAAATTTTGCAACCCTAGTTATGACACAGACTTAAACACAGTGAGTGAAAGTTCACAATGCTGCAAGTGACTAGTTTTTGTTTTTCTGGGTTACCTGACGGATGTGTGCATCGTGTTGTAGAGAGATTTACTACAGGAGGTCATTGAACGCCAGTCCACAACAGAGAGTGGCAGCTGAGGAAGGTAAGAACAAAAAGGTTAACGTGTGTTCATCCAAGAGTTACAGGTGTTCAAGTTTCACTTTGGCTCTCTGATGACCTTCTGTAACTGGTTTCCCTGCAGTGGGTTGGCGGTGAGAGTACAGTTTCCATCAGAGGACATGTACGTTTTCACATCGATCAGGTGGCTTCCTTTACTCTGCAGAGTGACCACATCAAAACCCTGTCCAATCAGGTCGTAACCAGGTACAAAGGGAGCGTGGACACAGTGGCAGTGGGTCCCAATCTGAGAGGAGAGGACAGGAGAGAGGGAGGAGGAAGAGCGGAGGACGCTCAGGAGCAAGATCGACAAGAAGAGCATGGCTGGAGAAAGACGAGGAGACACAGAGTAGAGAGGAGGAATAAGAACGACGATCATTTCACACTCACTTTTTTTCACACATGCTTTACATCTACATTTTCAGGAGTAAAAGTCTCCCACTACAAACACTCAACATGTTACAAAGTCCAGGTATTTACTGAGCCACTGATACAGACACAGATTTCCTCTTTAGATTCATGGATCAGACTGAAAACCCAAACTTCAATAGAGTTTTAAATACACTTATTAAAGTAAATACATAAACTCTGAAACAACTCCAAAGAAATATCCCACTATCTTTCTAAAGTTAATATTAATCCAGAATGTTCTCCTCATAATCTTGGAATTATGTGCGCCGCTACCAAAATTTCACACATCATTGATATCAATGCGCCACTAATGATTTCTACTCCCACTATGGGAGCACAACAACAACATGTCGTTATTCTCGACTTGTTTTGAATCATCGAGTTCATCAAATTTTCAAAGATTTCTGTAATGAAACATCCTCAGAGGATGTAGCGCCCCCTGTAGTAACGTGCAACATGTTTACTCGTGCTTTCTACCTGAGCTACCATAATAACTGTAGTTCTGGTCACGCAACATTTTTGTCCACACTCATGAAATGCTTAAATCGGGGCCATGATTTGGTTGGGGAAGGTCCCGCCCTCCTTCGCCTCTGATTGGCTAGAAGTGCTGGGCCCAGATTAATTACTCCTAATGGCTGTGAAACGTCATCGTCTGTCGGGTTAGGGCTAAGGTTAGGGTTAGGAGATTCAGAATTGCGATAATGTTCTGTTCGATGTACAGAGCCGACGTAATGATGTTTCACAGCCAATTAGAGGCGAAGGAGGCGGGACCCTCCCCTACCCTCCTACGAGTAAAATATCGCTTCCCGGGGGACAGGTCATCCAATACGGGGACTGTCCCCAGAAATCGGTATGTCTGGTCTACTTAGCTTATACAAAGCCTATATAGCGAGTAGCATTAATATCAATGCGCCACTAATAATTTTTACTGGCACTGTGTGAGCGCAACAACACACGACGATATTTCTGACTTGTTGTGAGTCATCAATGAGCGAATCAAATCCTGTCGGACCCTCTTCTATCAACGTGAAAGGTAACGTTCAAGCTTATACACGGTTTATATCGCGAGTAGCATTAATAGCATTATTAGCATTATTAGCATTATCATCAATGCGCCACTAATGATTTCTACTCGCACTGTGTGAGCACAACAACACACGACGATATTTCCAACATGTTCTGAGTCATCAATGAGCGCATCAAATCCTGTCCTACCCTCTTCCATCCCATCACTGTGAGGGGTAACGTTTAAGCTTATACACAGTCTCTATAGTGAGTAGCGCGGGTAACGTAACGTAACGTGAATGTAACGCCGTAGATCCTTGAGCGGCAAGAGAGTAGAGGAACATCGTCAACCCCCCACCCCCCACGGACACAACAGCAGTAAATATTAATCCGAAAATGTTGTCCTCATAATCTTGACACAAATATCTGCTCAAACTCTATTTAATAGAAATATTGATTATATGGGTTTACCTTTTTGTCAGGGTTTCCTCTGTGGTGTGACTCTTCAGGTGAGATGAAGATGAGTGAAGAGGAAGGAGGGATGCTTTTTATATTGGGCTCCAGCTCTATTGTTCTCAGGGTGGAGTTCAGCTTTACTTAAAACAAAAATAACTCAACACGTGACTTTCCAAAACCCGGCATAGATGTCAAGTCTTTGAATTAATGCCAAAAATCCTGTTTGGCAAGATCTTAATTACAGCGAGGAATCTTTAAATTATTCAGTAATTATGTAATTGAGGTTGTACGTCATAAATGTTAATATAACACTCAGTTTGGATTCATGTTGGAAAAACAGTCTTCTTGAAAAAGTTGGAGGGAACAAACACACACTTTTAGTTTATCACAAGACTGGACAAACACTTGCATAAGGAGACAGAGTCATTCACTTCCATTGTTTTGGTTAATCAGATAATTGTGGGTGGAGCATTTACACGAAACCAAAGATTGAAAAAATTGAACAAAAGCAGAAAACCTTTACAGAGGCGGTGAATACTGTTGTGGAGAAAATCAAATAAAAAGGAAGCAATAAAAAGGATAAAGTCAAATAAACTGAAAATACTGATCAGGTCCACATATCTGACTCTGCACCGACACGCTGAGATTTCCACTCCAGCTTTTTCTTCGTAACTTTACGAATTAGCTCAGTGGTGGCGAAGTAAACGAAAGAAAAAAGAGTAGAGATGATTCCTGTAAACTGAAACTGTAGCTCAGCTTTGATCGTCTGTCTGTATCGAACACACCTCTGGACTTCACCAAACAATAAGAGTCTGATTCAGCTAAAATTATAGTGGGTGTGAGTTCACTCGACCGAAACAAAGACGCCGTGTTAAACTGAGAAACAAACAAATAAACTCAGAATCAAAGGTGTTTATATTTCTTTAAACTTTATGTCCACACACAGTGACTGCTGAAGATAAAAACTGAGCTGTAGGTACATTTATGGGGTTGTGGGGGGGTTTAGTCAAATTACAGAAATAGTTTTATGGGTCCAACACAAAGACTGTATAAATTATGGACAACTTGGCTCCACCTCCCGCCTGGATACGGAATTGAAGCCAAAAAACTCTCAGTATTTCTGTGATTTTTCTTCATTTCCTGAAACCAACATTGTGCAGTAGTGTTGTGAGCATTCGGTGGGAGAGTCACCAAGAGTCGCTGTGATGGCGCTCGGTGAGCTACGCTATCGTCGTACGCCCGTTGGCTGTATCAAGTGTCAATCATAGAAAACATGAACCCCCTAATAACTTTTAAAAATGGAGCTGTACAGAAAAAAGAGGACTTGAGCACAAACCAGTCTGACAGTAACTACATGTCAACATCACAACCAGGGGGGAGAAACATTTATATTCTGTGTCCACAGCTCCATAAGGAGGTGGGATTTATAACCTATACTGCAGCCCGTCACCAGAGGGCGTTGTTCTCAGAATGGCTTCACCCAGCGAGGAGGCAGACGGTGTCTATTCTCTATACAGTCTATGGTTTAACATCAAGTTCAAGGCTAATATGACTTTTTTTCCCCTTTAAATCAAAATTTTTTAAAGCAGAAATGAGTCAAAAGCACTTAAACATAATAACATTTTATCAAAGTTGTATGAGAAAGAGTCAGATATGAAGAAAGGTGATATTTTAAAGGCAGAAAAAAAAGTTAATCGACTGATTGTTAGCGTTAATTTTAGATTTTAGTAAAGAGTAAAAACATGAGATTAAATCTGGACATAAAAAGAGGACGCAGGATTAAAACTCTCTCTCACTCCAAGGACGGCTTGTACTGTTCACACCTCCCTCCAGTCAGATGAGGGTCACACGTGAGAGTGTACTGGATCTCAAAACCACCGTGATTCGCTGGACAGCCTAGTCTGTGCGTCCCCTGATTCAGGTGCCAAGAACATTGTCCGAGGTGTTGATGATGTGGCCAGTCCTCGTCCCAGAGCTCCACGTGTAACACCCCATGTGTGTCCACCTTCAAGATAAAAACAAACGTATAAGCGCAGCCATGTTTGATCAAACTTGAGGATGTTTTCTTTACCAGCGAACAAAACTGCCAAAGAAAGAGGAAAAAGTTTACTGACTTTTCCAAAATGATAATAAGCGTTCCACCAGGGGTTGTGACATTTGACCATATGAGTCTGGCGATAGTGTGAACCGTACCTCACCTTCACATACCTGTAAAAAACACAAAAATAAAGGAAGAGAATTCAGATCACTGTTTAAAGAAGACCTGTTTTACAGACTCTCATCGTGTCAGTCTGGGACACCTGTCTTATTCTCTAATGCTGTTTTCTTGATAGATCATGTTGCACTGTTCTAACTTGTGGAACAGCCTATTTTCACTTAATGTTCATATTTTTAAAAGTCAAATCAAGACTTTTTATTTGAATTTTGTTTTAATCTTTTAATCTGCATTATGTGATTTTACCCTGTTTTAGTTGTAGAGTAACAATTCTGTGTTTTATTACCTCTTTTTTTAATTTACTTCCTTTTATTGTTTGATTTTAAGACTGTTTTATTTAATTAACTTTTAACGTTTTATCACCTTTATCATATTTTATTATGGTTTTTATCGTTTTAGTCCTAGATCCAGCGTTTCCTCATCTTTTTAACTCTAGATAACATTTCCTCAGTCATCTGTGGAAAGTTGAAGAGTCCTCACCTGTGTGTCTTTTGTGTGTCTATCTGTGCGTGTGAGTGTGTGAGTGCTGTATTTGTATTTTTATCTATTTTATTTCATTGTTTTTAATATCCTGCACTTTGTGCTACATTCTATGTATGAAAAGTGCTTTAAAATAAAGTTTGATTTATTGATTTGATTGAACTTCAAGTTCGGGGGGCCAAGTCTGTCCATTGTGTCCTTGGGCAAGACACTTAACCCACCCTGTTTCCAGTGTGTGTCCTACATTGGTGTATGATTGTGAGTGTTGTGTGGTGGTGGTCGGAGAGGCCGTAGGTGCAAAATAGCAGCCATGTTTCCGTCAGTCTGTCCCTGGGCAGCTGTGACTACTACTACTATCTTAAATTCTCACACTGTGTGTGGTTGTGTGTGTGTATGTGAGGGTGGGTGTGGGTCCGTGGGTGGAAGGGTTGGGTTTTTGTCTTTATTGTTGTTTTTAGCCTCTGTGAGGCACTTTGAATTGCATCTCCTTTTGTATGAAAAGTGCCATATAAATAAAGTTAAATTGAATTGAATTAAGGTAGTTTACCACCACCAAAGTGTGACTGTGTGAGTGAATGAATGATGTGTCCAATGTAAAGCACTTCTCTGGGGTCTCTGATAAAGCGCTATATGAAATCTGATGCATTATTATTATTATTATTATTATTATTATTAAGTTGGCACGGTGACTTGGCCGTGTCTGGTGGTGCCACTGAAACAGCTTTTCTCCTCACTCGGTCATTATTATATGATAATGATCTCCAGCCCCAGTCCTGGGCTTTAACATACTCACCCCTCAGTTCTGCCTATAGGATCGCCTTTTAGATCCCAGGCTCTGATGACAGTCACCTCAAGCGTTCCCAATGACACCCGCGTCGGACAGTTGTCGAGGTTTGGAGAGTCTTGGGGTGATTTCCTCTCTGCGTTGTCTCTTAAATACTCCTCTATGGCCGTCTTTAACCCCGCCCTCTGGGCCTTATTTGGCACCAGCATATGCAAGGGTCTGAGGGAGTACGAAACAACATCAGGATGGCTCTTCAGGGATCTCAGCCACTGTTTGTAACCCAGGGAGTCATTGAAAGAGAGAGAAAACTCCCCCAACCATCCGGACCCTCCGACCACAGAGGTGAGGTGTTGGTGCAGACCTGCGCTGAATGAGGCTGAGGTGTCTCTGTTTTGTAAGACATTTAAGCAGGACTCATATTTACTGGATATTTTTGCTACCCCCAGACCTATGTGGAGTCCAAATGCGATGCAGTCGTGAACCTGGATGGCAGGAGAGGAGATAAGGTACCATTTAAAAACCATGGGTGCGGGTCTGCATTCGAATTAAAACCACAAGGTTACGATTCAAGAGGCTTTAAAATATAACAAATAAACACCCGAGCATGAGAGTTGTTTTTATACCTCATGTGAGGAGAACCCATTCATGGAAGACAAACAGGTGCGAACAGCTGAGACTCGCCTGAGTCGCCCCCCAAGGAAAGCCTGATGATGGATGATGTTGTTGAGAAATAAACTTTGAGTGACTTTGTGAAATAAGAAGAGTGTGTAGGTGTGTGAAAAACCTGGCGGATGTAGTGTGTGCCGTAGCTGTGGATGATGTCACTGTACTGGTCCTTCGTGGAGGAGTTGTAAAAAGTCGGCAGTTCGGCCAGATCTTGTTTGAACTGAGAGCTGAGGCGGGGTCTGTTAGATACACGGTACCTAAACACAGAGACCAGGACATTGATGCTCGTGATCGACGTTTTTTGAATCAACTAGACTCACATGTGTTCATAGTGATGCAGGACTCCGTATACTGTACCGATAGTGGCTGCAGGTGATCTTGTGGGTGCTGAAGGAGTACTGGTCCTCTGTAGACCGCTCTGAGGCAAACTTATACACAGCTGAGCGTGTTCCTCCCACCCTGAGGCCGGCAGACACATACTTCTTTATACTTAGGCCGACCTGAGGACAACAACAGAAAGCTTCACTGAATGACATTTTTAATGACACGTGGTATGGTCTGGCCCAAGCCTCAATGGGACCCTCAGCAAAATTTGTTTTTGGGGTCCTCTATTTCTGCCAATAATATTGATTATTGATCATTCACACACTACTACAGTATAAATTTAATGCGCCTGATATGTCTTTACACATTTAAGGGGGTGGCCTTGGTAATAACATAAATAATACCAATGCAGCCATATAAATAATACAAATGAATGACTGATGAATGATGTTTAGGCTGCCACACATGGTTTTTAATCCTAAATGTAACACATTCAGGTGCTCAGTGCACATTTGACAGCAGGAGGAACAGAATGGTGGGCGTAGCTTTGACATATCAGCATTTAGAATCATAGGTTTACATCAGCAGCAGCACTGAAATGTTTTTACTTTATTTTATTTTTACAATCATACATGCAAAAAATAATATTAAATATTGTTTTCTTGTTTTAGTCCATCAGGTTTTACTCTTTCCTTGCACCATTATTTATTTTTTATCTTTTATCTCCAGTGTTTCCCAAAGGTCGCTCTTTCCTCACATAATGTCTCGGTGTCAGGCCATGTCTCTCCAACAATATATCTTACATTCTCACACTGTGTGCGGTTGTGTGTGTGTATGTGTGGGTGTATGTCTTTGTGTGTGTGGGTGGGAGGGTTGGGTTTTATTGTTGTTCATTGTTGTTTTTAGCCTCTGTGAGGACCTTTGAACTACATTTCTTATCTGAAAAGTGCCATAAAAATAAAGTTGATCTTTGGATCTTTGGAGACATTTCAATATAAGTTAAGTAGATATTAAATATACTATATGATGGCATTCAAGAGGTAAAATACATGAAATGATAAATATTTGTCCACGAATCTGAATCCTGATAGAAACATGAAAATCATCAGTTTCTGTCAAATGTTTCTTACCCTCCAGTCGGTGCTGTGCTGAAAGATGTCGCTGTTAACCAGTGAGCTGTGAACACAAGACATACAAGTTTGTTCTGTTAATACATATTTAATACATAATATTAAATACATAATTGTTTGTTAATATATATACATATATATACATATACATGTATATACATACACATATATAAACATATACATATATACATATATATACATATATATATATACACACACACATATAAATATATATACATACATGTGTATATACATATATATGTATATATATGTATATATACATGTATATATATATATATATATATATATATATATATATATATATATATATATATATATATATATATATATATATATATATATATATATATATATATATATATATATATATATATATATATATATATTTATATATATATATATTATACATGACTGCCGATTCAGGAGATATCTGTTATTGTTTATGTATTGTTGTATTGTGTATTTGTATGTATTCTCTTTGTTTATTTGTGTTTATTTTATGTATCATTATCATTTTTTATTTTTTTAATCTTTTTTTTCTTTTTACATGTGGTGTATTATACATATGAGATATTTGCATTGATTTATTGTGAGTTGGTTTAAGGACCCCAGGAAGAATAGCTGAGGCTCGGCCAAGGCTAATGGGGATCCTAAATAAATCAAATCAAACCAAAATACCTAACAGAGGTGTGCTCAGTGGTGGACAGGTCAGCATCGCATCGGCTGGATGCTCTCCAGTCCACTGCAGAGACTGGCAGCTGAAAATAGGAGTGAAGACACATGGTTTGACGTGCACGACTGTGAAAGTTACTGCAGGAGTGTAATTTCATGTACAGACATTACCTTCTGCAGCTTGTTGCCTTGAAGAGGGTTGGAGCAGAGAGTACAGGTGCCTCTCGGAGTCAGGTAAGTCATCACATCAATCACGTAGGCTCCTTTACGCTGCAGGGTGACCACGTCAAAGCCCTCGCCCACCAGGTTGTGGCCGGGTACGAACGGAGCTGAGGCACACTTCCTGAAGTTTCCAGTCCGGAGACAGGAGAGAGCGGGGGGCGAGAGGAGGGGGAGAAGACTCAGGAGGACCAGAGGTCGGGTTGAAAAGGAGAGCATGACGGTGGAGAAAACTGGATGGTGTAGAGAAAAAAAAAACAGGAGATAAGGAAGCAACCATTCAACCTCGACACGAAGGACAATATTTATCTGTTTAACGACATGATCCTCTCGTTGAGGTTAAAGTTAAAACTATATAAATCGAGTCGGTGATGCACACCTACCTCTGAGACACGTTGGCTCTCAAACATCAGATCTCCAAAGAAACTTCAACCCATCGTCTGTTTAAGCCCCGGTGTTTTATTTCCTTTTACTGCTCTATATATCTCTGTTGATACAAAGTCTACTGCCACTGCACCACCTTTAATTCTTCACTGAGTCTGTTAGCCTTTGCTGTGATCTACACTGAACTGTAACACAATCCTAAACCTGCGATACTTGATAAAATACAGAAATGACCTCCGCTCTGACACGCCTGCTGGACAGAAACACTTCAAAACAAACTTCAGTGAGAGTGAAGCAGAAAGTCAGGAGAATGATTATCCTGCTGAAGTCTGTTTATGTTCAACATCCTGTCTTAATTATTAAAAACCTGTTCACGTTATATTTAGACGACTTTGTACCTATTAAGAATTCCAGTAACAGACCGCAGGGCGAGGCTTCAACATTAAAGGTGCAGTTTTTAATGACATTAAAGGGTTGAGTGATTTACATACTTTCAAAACCTGTTCTATTTTACATCCTCATAACTTCACGTGGATTCAGGGCTGTTGTTGTTCTTGTTGGGTTTCTTATTCCTCCATAAGCAGCAACAGAGAGGAGGGTCCGGCTGAAGGGGATGAGGGTTCCTGGAGGAGTCTGGGTCTGCAGACTGAACAGATTATTCAAGGGAGGCTGGTTAGAGATCCTGTCGATTTAGAAATCAGGGTTAGGCTGCTCACACAGTATCATACAGTGCGTTTACAGTCACAGTTTAATCAGAATAAGCTCATAATTCATTTTTTTTGCCGAATTGGACTTCTCTTCTTGACTGTCAACAACCGTCAACAACAACAGCAGGTCGGTGTCAGACGTCAGAAGTGTCTACAACTGCTGCTGGGCATTTTGGAGAAACAAGAAGGAAATGGCGCTGTTTGAGAGGAGAACTCTGCAGGACTAACTAAAGCTGGAAGAGCTCGGTCCAGATCGACCAGACGCCGCCGCTCAGCGAGTGACCACGAGAAGAGCAGACAATATAGGCGGACATTTTCAAGAGCATGGTATAGGCACAAAGCATAGCTAACTGGAAGTCTTAAGAGTAAGGCTCTTTTCTGTTTCACGAGTAAATCAATGGTGATAAAAAGAAATTATAAAGCTGGCAAAATATAATTTCAGCGACTGAAACAGTCAACAAAACCTGTTTGTAGAAAAGTAGAGTATCTAAAGATTAAAACCTAGTATAAACCATAAATGCATTATAGTGAGACATAAAAGCCAGACTAAAAAAAAAGCTAACAGACAATGTTCATGTCACAATGTTAGAAATCAATAATTTTTAAGGCAGGATGAAAACGTCCTGTCCTGGAAAAGTCCTGGAAAATGATTTCTATAAAAGAGTGGGAACCCTGTATTTGTTCACCCAGTTTCAATTCAGTTCAACTGAAATATTAAATGTAACTAGAAAAATTGCATTTCCTTGCAGAAAATCCAAAAAATGGAGAAAGGAATTAATGTAAAAGCTGTTAATCAGCTCGCAGCTGCTATTATTAACAGAAGTTAAATAATTGTGAATATGGTTGGAGGACAAATAGTATGAATATGCTCCATAAATTGAAATTTTATTCCTGCTGAAAGAGGCTGGAAAATTTTCTAAAATTGCACAAAGTTTGAATGAAGAAGTAAATTACCTTAAAAGGCAAGTAAGTGAGAAGTGGCATCAGCTTAAGTTGTAGTTCTAGTAGTAGGATGATAAGTCGTCATAGTAGTGATATTAGTAGTCATGTAAGCAGTAGAAGTAGTTTGAGAATAGAAGTCAAAGTAGTAGAGCTCTTAGTAGAGGTAGAAGAAGAAGAAGTAGAGAAAGTAGAAAAAGTAGCAATAGTAGTTGAAGTAGAAGTCAAAGTACTAGTTTAATTGACATTAGCAGTAGTTGTAGTAGAAGAAGTGGGCGTTTGTTTGAAGGATTGAATAATGCATGAATATTAAAACTAATTTAAAACAGGGAAAATTTCAATAATTATAAAGTTTTGAAGTATCAGAAAGGTTTGAGTCAGTTTGAATGAGGTTTAATTTGTTTGAAGAATTGAACAATGCATTATCACTGAGAGAAAATGGGGAAAATTTAAATGAATAAAAATCCTGAATACACCCCATAATGTCCTCAATGAGTTGAAATTTTGAAGCCCAGAATGGTTTCTGTAGCTCAAAGTTTGTGGGTGGAGATAGGTGGTGAAGCAGACACATGGTCAAAGTGTGTGCATGTAGGTCTCATAGACAGAGAGACGCTCACGCACACACATATTTACTGTGTGTACATGCAGGTGTCAGAGAGAGAGACTAACGCACACACATTGTCAGAGTGTGTGTATGTGTGTGTGTGTGTGTTTATCAATGCATCCTAAACAGATCAAAGGACCAACTGACCAACGTTTTGAATGAGAAGCTGCCTAACTGCAGTGAATTTAGGGCTCTGAACTTCTTCACATAGCGCAATTTCCTTAAATCCCAGAATGAAAATACAAACATCGTAGGAATCCTGAAACCTGAAAGAATACAATGATGTGTTTTTCATGTCTGTAGTCTAAAAAATGTGGCCACAACAGCGAGTTAAAAAAGTCTGACCCTGAGTGATTATCAGGATTTTCTGGGAGAAAGATTACTTTATGGTCAATAGGAGGCATCTCTGCCATTTTTGGACAGTTGGTCACCTGCTGGCCAAGGGTTAGGATTTAATGATTTGAAACCTCTTTTGTGAGAATCAGGACTTATTTTCCTCCATTTTGATGTATTTTTTATGGCTGTGGAGTGAAATTTGTGGGCATGGGAGCGATACATTCGAGCGAGGTTTTGTCGATCGAAAAAGTCCTCTCCACTCTAGCGATGACATCATCCCACTCTAGCTCTTCCAATACACACCCATTATAAAGCCTGAAATTTGCTGAATACTATGAGTTGCTTAAAGCTAAATTGTGGAAAAACTGTAGGGATAGCACAAAAAAGTTAATACAACATATTTAGAGTCGAAGATTGTGAACATTTTAAAGCAAAAATGAGGTCTGTAGGTGAAAGTATGCTGAAGTTATAAGGATGAGAAGGTGGAAGAGTAAAAGGTAGAATTTGAAGATTTCCCCATTCATTTCAATGGGAAAAAAAATGCACAAAAAGTTAAAAAAATCAAAAAGTTTAAAGGGTAGAAAAAAGAAAAACAACGTAACGTCTGACTGTATCGAACACACCTCTGGACTTCACCAAACAATAAGAGTCTGATTCAGCTAAAATTATAGTGGGTGTGAGTTCACTCGACCGAAACAAAGACGCCGTGTTAAACTGAGAAACAAACAAACAAATAAACTCAGAATCAAAGGTGTTTATATTTCTTTAAACTTTATGTCCACACACGGTGACTGCTGAAGATAAGAACTGAGTTGTAGGTACATTTATGGGGTTGTGGGGGGGTTTAGTCAAATTACAGAAATAGTTTTATGGGTCCAACACATAGACTGTATAAACTATGGACAACTTGGTCCTGCCTCCCGCCTGTACAAGGATTTTAAGCCAAAAAACTCTCAGTATTTCTGTGATTTTTCTTCATTTTCAACATTGTGCAGTAGCATTGTGCGCATTCGGTGGGAGAGTCACCGAGAGTCGCTGTGATGGCGCTCGGTGAGCTACGCAATCCCTGAACGCCAATAGGCCGCATCAGGTGTCAATCATAGCAAACATGAACCCCCTAATAACTTTTAAAAATGGAGCTGTACAGATAAAAGAGGACTTGAGCACAAACCAGTCTGACAGTAACTACATGTCAACATCACAACCAGGGGGGAGAAACATTTATATTCTGTGTCATTCATTTATAAAGTTTGTCCACAGCTCCATAAGAAGGCGGGGTTTAGGACCTATACTGCAGCCCGTCAACAGAGGGCGCTGTTCTCGGAGTGGCTTCACCCAGGGAGGAGGCAGACAGCGTCAATTCTATATACAGTCTATGGTGTTAAACAGCTGATCATCTTCTCTTAACTCTGCAAAAACTCAAAATCTGACAAGTGTTTTCATCTATCCATAAAATAAACTTGTTAGTGTAAGACACAACCAAAGGTTTTTAAAGTTACTCATTACAAACGATCTAATACTAGGAGATAAACCTTGATTTTTCAGGTGAATTTGGTTTATAGTAAGTCTATTATTATTTACAAAATAATGATAGACACAGCTTTTTAAAAATGTATTGATCCTTCTATTTATCTATCTATTTGTCTCTGCAGGGTCCCCAGAAGATGGATCCTTCTGAGCTTGGATATCCCTAACCTGTTCCTCTAGCACCACCTGCAGGTTAAAAACACACTTACACTGTGAATGCCTCATAAGAAAATCAGCCCTGAACTTTGACTCATATTCCACGACTATTTAATCTGGATCTTTTATCTTAATCACATGTTGCCAAAGTTTGGGGGTACATTGATTTACTTACAGACATTTATGTCATGTATTAGGCAGAATTCACATCAATTAACATCAATTCAGATTCAAACGATTTCACTGTTAATGTCATTATCCAGCATTAAGTTCAGATTTAAGCCATTTCCAGAGCATTTCTGTGACTTTAGAGAATTTTAATGATGTGAACAAATGAAGCCTGAGGAAATATATATATATATATATGATTTATGTCTTTATTGAAAAGAAATCAACAAACTTTTTCACTCATATCAGGAATTTCATGATCCAACTTTACTTCAAGTCCTGCAAGCGCCACCCTCTTTTGCAAAATAACTTAATAATTGAAATTCCTTTAATCAATAAAGTTCTTCTTATCTTATCTTAAATTTCATCAAACATGGATAAAAAAAAAACTACACCTAAACCCAAAAGACGGCTGTGGGACTGTCCGGCTCATTACATTTCAGGGAAGTCTCCACATCTGATTTAATGCAAATCATAACAAACTGGACAGAACATGTAACACAGACTGGATTCATCTATGGAGACGGTTTGTACAGGTTACACTTGTCTCCAGTCAGGTATTGGTCACAAGTCAGAGTGTACTGGATCTCCACACCGCCTCTGTTTAGTGGACAAGAGTATCTATATGTCCCCTTCTTCACGCTCCTCACACATGATCCCAGACGGTCATCGTAACGCAAGTCCTCATCCCAGACTTCGATCCACAGTTTCGACCATGTGTCCACCTTCATAAACAGAGGTGGGGAAGTTAAACTGGAATAATGAGTGATGGTTTTACATGGATATTCTCTTAACCCTCCGGTGCTCTGAGGACATGTTTGTACATTTTTGGTGACTTTTTACCTTTTATTTTGGCCGTGTTCATGCAAATGAGAAGATGTTTTTCAGGGGTTTTTTTTCTTTCCAAATTTTAAAACATGACCACTCCATTATCATATCAGGTCAATATTCACTGTGAGACAGAAAAACTACATGTTTAGGTCCTTAGATGTGCTCTAAAAATATTATCCATCAATATCAACAATTATTTGGTAGTTATGATTAGGACTGAAGTTAATTCAAAGATCAACTTTGTACATTTTTGTACATCTAAGGACCTAAACGTAACTTTTTTAGAAATCAGACAATACGTCAAACATGACAATGCATAATTAATGTTGTTGTTAATTACTGATCCATCATAGTTGATTAAAAGATTTCAGCCAAAAAAAATGGAAAAAAACATTAATGTATAATATTTTTATGGCACTTTTAGGAGAGGGACATTTTTGTCCACCTAAGGACCTAAATGTAACTTTTTTTTTAAGGACCCCTGAGGGTTAAGAGCTGACATTTCCGTCCCCTTCGATCAGGTCTGACAGGATTAGTTACTGACCTTGCCAATGGAAAAACGAGAGTTCCATCGAGGGTAGTTTGACCGGATCATTCGAGTTCTGCCATAGTAGGATCCGTACCAGATCTTGGCATACCTGTGTGTTTGAAAAACATGGGAGACAAATGACATCAGTGACGCCACGTTATATCTTGTTTATAAAGACCTCCCTCAGAAATGGTTTTATCGTTTTAGTCCTAGATCCAGTGTTTCCTCAGTCATCTGTGGAAAGAGTCCTGGTGTTTTGTGTGTGTATCTGTGTGTGTGAGTGTGTGAGTGCTGTATGTGTTGAATGAGGGTGGGTGGGGTTTGGTATTTGTATTCTTATTTATTTTATTTGATTGTTTTCAATATCCTGCACTTTGTGCTACATTCTATGTATGAAAAGTGCTTTAAAATAAAGTTTAATTGATTGATTTGATTGAACTGCATTGGCACGGTGACTTGGACGTGTCTGGTGGTGCCACTGTAACAGCTTTTCTCCTCACTCGGTCATAATTATATGATAATGATCTCCAGCCCCAGTCCTGGGCTTTAACATACTCACCCCTCAGTCCTGCCCGTAAGATCGCCTTTTAGACCCCAGGCTCTGATGACAGTCACCACAAGCGTTCCCGATGACACCCGCGTAGGACAGTAGGCAGGGTTTGGAGATGGTGATATCCTCTCTGCGTTGTCTTTTAAATACTCCTCTATGGCCGTCTTTAACCCCGCCCTCTGGGCCTCATTTGGCACCAGCATATGCAAGGGTCTGAGGGAGTACGAAACAACATCGGGGTGGGTATCCAGGGATCTCAGCCACTGTTTGTAACCCAGGGAGTCATTGAAAGAGAGAGAAAACTCCCCCAACCATCCGGTCCCTCCGACCACAGAGGTGATGTGTTTGTGCAGACCTGCGCTGAATGAGGCTGAGGTGTCTCTGTTTTGTAAGACCTTTGAGCAGGACTGATGTCCACTGGATAATTTTGCTACCCCCAGACCTACGCGGAGTCCAAATGTGAGGCAGTTGTGAACCTGGATGACAGGAGAGGAGATAAGGTACCATTTAAAAACCATGGGTGCGGGTCTGCTTTTGAATTAAAACCACAAGGTTACGATTCAAGAGGCTTTAAAATATAACAAATAAACACCCGAGCATGAGAGTCGTGTTTGTACCTCATGTGAGGAGAGTCCATTCAGTGAAGACAAACAGGTGCGAACAGCTGAGACTCGCCTGAGTCGCCCCCCAAGGAAAGCCTGATGATGGATGATGTTGTTGAGAAATAAACTATGGATGACTTTGTGAAATAAGAAGAGTGTATAGGTGTGTGAAAAACCTGGCGGATGTAGTGTGTGCCGTAGCTGTGGATGATGTCACTGTACTGGGCCTCCGTGGAGGAGTTGTAAAAAGCCGGCAGTTCGGCCAGATCTTGTTTGAACTGAGAGCTGAGGAGGGGGGTGTTAGATACACGGAACCTAAACACAGAGACCAGGACATTGATGCTCGTGATCGACGCTTTTTTAATCAACTAGACTCACATTTGTTCATAGTGATGCAGGACTCTGTATACTGTACCGATAGTGGCTGCAGGTGATCTTGTGGGTGCTGAAGGAGTACCGGTCCTCTCTAGACCGCTCTGAGGCAAACTTATACACAGCTGAGCGTGTTCCTCCCACACTGAGGCCGGCAGACACATACTTCTGTACATCTAGGCCGACCTGAGGACACCAACAGAAAGCTTCACTGAATGACATTTTTAATGACACGTGGTATGGTCCGGCCCAAGCCTCAACGGGACCCTAAGCAAAATTTGATTTTGGGGTCCTCTATTTCTGCCAATAATATTGATTGTTGATCATTCACACACCTACTACAGTATGAATTTACATGTCTTTACACATTTAAGGGGGTGGCGTCGGTAATAACATAAATAATACCAATGAATGACTGATGAATGATGTTCAGGGGGCCACACATGGTTGTTAATCTTAAATGTCTTTGCTTCTCTCATTCTATGTGTGGTGAGACACCTCCTCCGTTTGTTTTATTTTGGTTGGACTTCCTGTTTTTCTTCGTGTTCCTGGTTTGGCTTGACTCTTTTCCAGAGCTCCCTGCCCTCCCCGGTCACTGAGGCTGAGTGAGACTACACACCTGCTCTTCATCTGCAATCAAGGCATTTTAAGAAGCCAGCAGCCCTCAGGCCCGAACTACACGTATATGAATATTTACTTATCAGGATATTTTTGTCCTCCCATCTAAATAAATGTATCTGTCCACACGTGTTAGTTCTCAAAAATATCTGCGTCCACACGTAGCCGTCAAACTCAATCCTATCTGGTGCCGTTTAAAAAAAAAATTTCAGTAACAAAGCTACCTGATTGGCGGATGAATCGTAACAGCGTGATGCGTCATGCATTGTTTGCGGAAGCTACGTTAGTGCGTCGGGTCCATGTGACGGACCATGTGACCGATAAAAGTATTGGACGTAGCAGACGCCTCTGTGAGCTGGCTGACTGGTGGATGTAATTGTATAAAACAAGGTTCACTTGCAAGGCTGAAATTAGCCCCAAAAGGGCGAAACAAACGTAAAGAATACCCTGTCTGTCCGCCATCGTCGTTGTTGTTGTTTTTCTTTTTAATTCGCATGCGCGAGCTGCGATTTGACGTCATCGATCCGTAAAAGTCCAACCACAGGAATCCGCTACGGATAAGGGATACGGATATTTTTTTATTTCTCCACTTGTTTTTCCGGATTCAGATTTATCCAGTTTGAGTGTTCCAAACTCCCGTTTTGATGTGGTAGGGAGGCCTAATCGGACATAAATATGTGCGGTTTGAAATATATCCACATTCGTGTAGTTCGGGCCTCAGTCTCAGCGCCTGAGTATTGTCTTCACTCCCAAGTGGTACAGACGCGTCTCCTGGCCTCCTTTTGGAATAAGTACTCGTAACTCTGCTCCTCATTATTTTTTGTATGTCTACTCAATTCCCTCTCCTCTGTTTTCTCCGCAGTGTCTCCAGCCCACACGACAACCAGCCAACCTACCGGACTTCCTCTTTTGCCTTTTAAACCTGAGTTTGGACATTAAAATGACATCTTAAGTTGATATCTGCCTCTGTGTCTGCTTCTGGGTCCTCAAAACACACCAGCACGCCACACTATGTTTGCTAAGGTAGTGTCCTCTGACAAAAATGCATTATGTGCACGGAGGTGCTGATGCTTTTATCTCCTCTTGTTTAGATTATTGTAATGCCCTGCTCTCTGGCCTCCCCTAGAAGAATTTACATACGCTTCAATTATTACAAAATTCATCTGTAAGAGACATTTTAAAGAGCTTTTACTTATCCATTCATTAATATTGTTTTCTTGTTTTAGTCCATCAGGTTTTACTTTGTCTTTTCACGATTTTGTATTTTTTATCTTTACAGTATCTCCGGTGTTTCCTAAAGGTGGCTCTTTCCTCATATAATGTCTCGGTGTCAGGCCATGTCTCTTAAACAATATATCTTAAATTCTCACACTGTATGTGGTTGTGTGTGTGTATGTGTGGGCGTGTGTCTTTGTGCGTGTGGGTGGGAGGGTTGGGTTTTATTGTTGTTAATTGTTGTTTTTAGCCTCTATGAGGAAATTTGAACTACATTTCTTATCTGATGCCATAAAAATAAAGTTGATCTTTGGATCTTTGGAGACGTTTCAATATAAGTTAAGTAGATATTAAATATACTATATGATGGCATTCAAGAGGTAAAATACATGAAATGATAAACATTTGTCCACAAATCTGAATCCTGACAGAAACATGAAAATCATCAGTTTCTGTCAAATGTTTCTTACCTTCCAGTCGGTGCTGTGCTGAGAGGTGTCGCTGCTAACCAGTGAGCTGTGAACACAAGACATACAAGTTTGTTCTGTTAATATCTCACAAATTTAACATGATCGTTTTCTAAGTAAAGATAAATGTTTTAATGAGCTCCTGTGTCAAAGACCTTCTCTCTGCAGCGGCCGTAAACTCATGTATCATTATCATTTATTATGAGGCGCCCCGTGTCGGAGCTACATGGTGTCAAAACCTCAATATTTAGACAAACTGTAGTCAGTTACAGCCTCCTGGTTCGATTAAACAGAGATGGTCGGGAGAGAGGTCGGGTCATAGCTGATGTGAAAAAACCTACTTAAAAATCATTTTCAAATTCAGAGATATACATTGCAGGCTCTGCAATGTGACTATCGCACACATGTGCATTGCGATGACGATGCTCAAACGATATATAGTGTAGCCCTAATGGTGCAAAAAAAGACAAAAACATGAACCCGTAATGAACATGAACATGAGACAATGGCCGCTGACGGATCTATAGGCTCAATTCTCAATGCTCAAGTGGTTTTTCAAGGAACTGCAGTTTTTACCTCTATTTTAATTTCCAAGTTTGCTTAAAGGTGGTGTAGTCAGGATCTGAGGAAGTTCCAGTTTTTAGGAGAAATCTTGAATGTAAACTCCACCCCTCCCAACCAGTTTTCCCCTCAGCTCCTCCTCTCCCCTCAAGCCCCGCCCACAAACAGACGCTTCTGCTCGCTCGTATCGTTCCAGTTAAATTCAGATATAATGCAAATAAATACTTCAGATCATTACAAATGGGGCCCAGTCAAGGTGAAAGTCAAAAGCATTGGTGCTACTGTAGATGCCAACAGACTACCAGCAAACACAATGTTTGCAGGACTTCTACAACGAGGATAAAGTGACATAGTCCAGGACCCGAGGGAGGACAGTTTAGCGATGGCGCTACAACACGCTACAGCAGGTCCGTTTGACAAGAAACACTTCTGTTACAGACACTTGTCTTACTTTGTTAAAGCGGTTTACCTGTCCAGCAGAAAGGTTACAGGGTCACCAAGATCCCCAAGCGTCCCCCATCATTTATGTTGACCCGGCTTTTTAGCTCTTGTCCGGTCTACCTCCGTTTTAAGCGCCCGTTATTCCTCCAGAGTCTCCGGTATTTACTTTGTTTTCTTGCTTGTGTCGGCAGTCGTGGCCAAAGGAGGATTCAGACAATTTTCCGAAATTTCTGGTTGGTTTCTACTGTCCGATATTGTAGCACGCTAACTTTGTTTGGGCTCCTGAACGACACGGGGGAGCAGCGTCTGCCTCACAACCAATCAGGTTAGAGGAGGTGGAGAACGGCTTTGTTTACAGTCAGAAAGAGCGGACCGCTCAAAAATGTTCAAATGTTGACGACACAGACATAAGAGAACACAGAGATATCGATATATTACCAAAAGTCATCAATAACTAATAATCACTGACTTATATTAAAGATTTTTTGTAAATACAGCACAAAAAAAGATGCTTTGTAAACCGATTCCTGGCTTCTTCACCTTTACGTCTTAAGACCTAAAAACCAGTTTATGGAAAGCTTGTATTCTCTTGATTTTCTAACAAACAGTAAAATTTAAACAGATTTTCATGCTGAGAAATCACAGCTGATACAACCTGTAACTTAAGTGTGATAGAATACCTAATAGAGGTGTGCTCAGTGGTGGACAGGTCAGCATTGCATCGGCTGGATGCTCTCCAGTCCACTGCAGAGACTGGCAGCTGAAAATAGAAGTAAAGACACATGGTTTGACGTGCACGACTGTGAAAGTTACTGCAGGAGTGTAATTTCATTTACAGACATTACCTTCTGCAGCTCGTTGTCTTGCAGAGGGTTGGAGCAGAGAGTACAGTTGCCTCCTGGAGTCAGGTAAGTCATCACATCAATCAAGTAGGCTCCTTTACGCTGCAGGGTGACCACGTCAAAGCCCTCGCCCACCAGGTTGTGGCCGGGTACGAACGGAGCTGAGTCACACTCCTCTAAGTTTCCAGTCTGAAGACAGGAGAGAGCGGGGGGCGAGAGGAGGGGGAGAAGACTCAGGAGGACCAGAGGTCGGGTTGAAAAGGAGAGCATGATGGTGGAGAAAACTGGACAGTGTAGAGAAAAAAAACAGCAGATAAAGAAGCAACCATTCAACCTCGACACGAAGGACAATATTTATCTGTTTAACGACATGATCCTCTTGTTGAGGTTAAAGTTAAACTCATGTTTGGATCAGAAAGAATAAATCGAGTCGGTGATGCACACCTACCTGTGAGACACGTTGGCTCTCAAACATCAGATCTCCAAAGAAACTTCAACAAATCGGCTGTTTAAGCTCCAGCGTTTGTTTCCTTTTACTGCTCTATATATCTCTGTTGATACAAAGTCTACTGCCACTGCACCACCTTTAATTCTTCACTGAGTCTATTAGCCTTTGCTGGACAGAAAGACTTAAAAACAAACTTCAGTGAGAGTGAAGCAGAAAGTCAGGAGAATGATTATCCTGCTGAAGTCTGATCATGTTCAAAATCCTGTCTTATTTATACACCGGTTGACGTTTTATTTAGACGACTTTGTACCTATTCAAAAGTCCAATAACAGACCACAGGGCGGGGCTTCAACATTAAAGGTGCAGTTTTTAATGACATTGAAGGGTTGAGTGATTTAATTATTATCAAAACCTGTTCTATTTTACATCCTCATAACTTCCAGGGAATCAGGGCTGCTGTTGTTCTTGGGTTCCTTATTAGGCATGATGGGTAACATTTAAATGTGCAATAACACACTGCACTTTGCACTGCTGCACTTTCCTTACTGCCTGTTTTACTGTTTTATGCCAGTTTTATTGTTTTATTGTTGCCTGTTTGCTTGTTTTTTTTATTGCCATTCTTTTAGTTATGTGTAGGCTTTTTAGTCTCTATGAAGCTACCGAGCAGGAAGTATTTCAAAGGTTCAAAGGTTTCTTTATTTATACCTTGCGGTAAATTTTGTTTGCAGGCAGGAACCCAGCCATCCAGACAAGACACACATAAAAACAACAATCAAGTACAAAAAATGCCAGTCGATAAGAGCCATAAAATCTCTCCAGATCCAAAGGTTCAATAAGACTTCCTCATCTCTTAGCCCTGCCATTAAGCTTTGCAATAGCTGCTGGAACAAAGGTGGTTCTGTAACGCTTGGTCCTGGCCTTGGGGACCAAGAAGCGACAGCCGGAGGGAAGGAGCTGGAACTCGCAATGCAGAGGGTGCGAGCTGTCCAAAGCAATAGCGCTGGCTTTACGCTGCAGCTGGGCCTCATAGAGAGCTGTCATGGAGAGTTGAGGCTCCCCAATTAGCCTTCCAGCCCATTTAACAATCTGGCCCAGAGCGTTTTTTGCCCTGGAGATTCAAGTTGCCAAACCAGGACACCAGTGCAAAAGATAAAACTGACTCTATAAAAGCTCGGTAAAAGAGAACAAGCATGAGCTGCGCCCGAATTGCCAAGTAGTAGTCGAAGTAGTAGTCTAAGTAGTATCTAGCATGTCCGAATTGGCCACCGGAGCGAGTAGCATGCTACTTCAGATACTACTTCAGATAGTAGACACGCTCACATTGTAGGTTGGTCTCGGTGCATCCTACGGGCATGCTACTGACCCAAAATGCACCGCGGGCTTCTTCTTCGTCCTCTTAAAAGTTGTAGAAGCGCATGTGATGCTAGCGCCACCAGCTGCTCTGCCTATTTAAATGTGTCGCGAACGCCGGCTGGCCACAGCAGCGCGCACCATGGCGGAGCAGCAGCAGCAGGCGGGACCGCAGCAGTACAGATGTAAGTTTCATGTAACTTAACACACTGTCCTAAAAAATGTGCGGTTGTATCTCTTTGTCATGTCATGGTGTCATATTTGCCCAAGTAATCATTTTATGAGCAAACATGTGGCGACATCATGGAGGTAAAGCTCACTTATTCCATCATTAAACTGCACAGCTGCAGTACTACAGCCAGGCCCGCAGATGAGGGGCTTCAGTTACCACTGTCTGCACGGGCGCAGTACCTACTCTCTGCCTGCGGGGGTCGTCTTTCCCCACCGCTCGTCTAGTGTGTCCGAATTGGGCCAACGTGTTTAGTAAGTAGGAGTAGGATCTAGCAGTAGTATGTAGCAGTAGCATGTAGTATCCGAGCGGGCAATTCGGACGCAGCACAGGTCTTATCAACATTAAAATGGGCCAGTCGCTGGAGGTAAAACAAACGCTGATGTCCCGTCTTACACACAGCTTCACTGGTTTGTTTCAAAGACAGTTTTGAGTCAATAATAGTCCCGAGGTATTTGTAACTTCCCACACATTCCACAGGTATATAGAATGGACGCCGTCCCGCTGAATGTGCACAACGCTACTGCACAAGTGGTGATTCCAGGAAGTGGAGAAAATTCCAGAAATACAGAGAACTTTTCGGCTTCAAATTCGTATAATGACAGAAGGCGGAGCCAAGGTGTCCTTAGTCGCATATACAGTCCATGCACAGAACTGAAAACTAAAACATTACTACCACTCCAGCTGGTCTCTCAAATGGACAGCGAACGCGCTCTGAGGAAAAGAAAACAGCAAACGAGAGACGTACAAAAAAGAGTCTTTATTAGAGGAAGTTTCTCCAATGATACAACAGTGTGTCACTCTTCATCTGAACTTGGACGCCTTTAAAAGCTGCAGGATGTGATTGGTAAAACTCGGAAATGTCCAACTGTGCCAACTTTGCATATCATTAGGTCGAGGGAGGGAGGGAGGGAGGGAACATGCACTTATTTTTAAAGCTGATGATGAGAAATAAAACAAAAATTAGAAGAAGGACAAATGGAGAAGGACAGTGTTTGCTCTGACAGTATTTCCAACAAAACCATGAATCTACAGTGTTTCCAAGGCGATCTTAGACGGCTGCTTTAGCATGGAAGAGTTTACAAGAACACAAATACAGCAAATGGTCCTCTTGAAGAGACATGCACATACCAAAGACAAGCTTTCGACTTCTGCTGAGGCATTCTCAAACTTCATGTGAAACTGTTAACACGTCTCTCCCACAGAGTCACAGGCACTCATGTTGTTATATATGGACTTTATCATGGTTAATAGAAGCTCGAGGTCCTACAGAAAAAACATCTGCAGCTCTTATTCATGTTAAACGTATCGGTATTATCTGCTCGGGACGAGTCGACCCCGTTGGAAATAAAGCATGTCAGCCCGTGAGCTTTGTTTACGGCGTGGTATGAGTCGTTGGGTTTGATTATGGGTCTAAGTTTGGTTTTACTCTGCGTGTGTGTGTTTGTGTGTTTTTGAGGAAAGTACAGTGTGTGGCTTGTTCCTTTCAACCTGTACGTAGGATGATGTGGACCCCAGAGTCAGTGAAAACAGGACCGCTCATGTCTCCCACTTTGAGAGCGAAGGAGGCGTCTTCAAAAGGCTTCTGCATTTGTCCTACGAGACAGAGACACAGACGATGAAAACTGAAGTGAGCGTTTTCATCTGTCAGCTGTTTGTAATTTATTCAAAACTATCTGTCAGCTTCTTTAAAATGCCTTCAAACTTTAAACACAATGACCTTCAATCAGGTTGAGAAACACAAAAATGACTGAAAAAACAACAGCAGACTTGGCAGCATTTTAGGACCAAATATGAGTCCAATCTAGGGCTGGGCGATACAGTGAAAATTTACCAATACAGAAATTTATGACAATAACTGACGTCATTTTGCCCGTTGTATTACATTTTAAATCTTATACAGAATTATTGATCTACAGCTCCCAAATATCATAATAACGAACAGGAAGAGGAGCGATCAACCACAGAATTAAAACAGCAGTGAAGTCACCAGTTTTAGAAAAGTTTGTTTAGAGAGTTTAGAGTAGCCAATTTTTCTCCACATGCTAATTAAGGTGCAAGGTTAATTATCCTTTATTTCCAAATTCACAAACATGAGCTTCAGATGGGGCTAGGGCTGGGCGATAAATCTGAAATTTACAGATACCGACATTTACGACAATTTGCCCATATCAGTATATTCAGTGTCAAAAAATAAATAAATCAAAGTTGTTTTTGGATGTGTGTAGGTAGGCTATGGTCTCATGTCCGTTTAAGACGCTGTCCTACATCAGAGACGTGACTCCGCCCCATCCAGTCTGTTACACAGGCATGAAAATGGGTCAGGGGTTGAAAAGGTGAGCATTTAGATGAATTGTACTTTAGTATAGGTTTCACAAACATGGAGATACTTAATCCTTTGGTACATGAGCATTACACTGTCAGAACTTTAAAAAGAATATATGAGAAATGCTGCTTTTGTGGAGGGGAAAATGGCTGGAAATGGCTGTACAGAGGCTAAATTCATCAATACAGCTGTTAATAGCAATAGCATAGGGCCTTAGTTTATCATATGAGTTTATCTGCCATGAGGTGTTGAGGTCTCTGCATGTGTAGGTTACTGACTTACTGTAATCATCGGGTCTTTCTCGTCCTTATAAAAACATGCTCTATTTCGGCGAGTGTCTGTCTTCATCCGTAGTCAAACCGCAAGATATCAAAATCTACCCGGATACAGCAATGCTGCTTTTTGATTGGCTGTTCAGTAGATATACTTTATTTGATTGGCTTGTGCGTGGCACGCAGCTTCTGAACTCTCGGAGGAACTCAGTTGATTTCCCCCTGTTCCATTGTTACAGAGGTGCAACTTGGTCGACATCACCATGTTCATATAAATGCGTGAGAAATACAATGTGTGGCGTGTGAGCGTATGAACGGGTGGGAATGCGTGTGTCACACGCTGAATGCGTGAGACCTGAGAGCCCTGCAGAGCACTAAACGCGAGACGCCCGCTTTCGCTATTTTAGATGGCTCAAAACCATTACGTTTTAATGAATCAATGAATAACATCAGCGGCGAAAAGGAGTGTTAAAAAGACCAGGGTTCACATGTTTTTATTTTGTCACAAAAGGCTTCAAGCATGGGCCAAAGCATAGGACAACAAGTTCTAGAACCTGAATGAAGTCATTAAAGGCACACGCTTTTGAATCCGTCCAACGGTAAGGAAAACTTGGATTATTTCGCCTTGTTGTGTACTTTCAACCGCGCTCCCGTCAGGGGGGCATTCTACGGCAGGGGTGCGTTCTACGGCACAACACCGGCGTGGATTCTCGCAGCTTTGCAATGCTACCACAGGCTCTCCAAGCACTCTAAGTGCACGTGAAGAGTGTGCGCATGATTGGAATAATGGAACGCAGTTCTGCCTGTGATTGGTTCTCGTCAGCGAAGGAGCCAGGAGGATTTGCTGACCGTCCAAGTGTCATTTAAAGGGCCGATTTCTGAAGTGCTCAGTTTACGTATTGAGTCAATCACATGATAATAAAAGAAAAAATAATCTCCCGACCCCGATTAAAAGACAGCCAGCTTTATTACAGTGAATTATCTGATCTGTTTATCTCACTTTTTTATGTTTTAAGGTCGAACAGATTAGCTGGACGCCTGCAAACTTCCTCCTTCCTCTCTGAGTTGATATATTCTTTATCATGACCTCATTCCAAACACAGGATAACAGGATAAATGAGGCTGTTTGATCATGTGTTTGTACCTCTGCCAAACAGTCCCAGATCTCCACCGTTCTTGGCTGAGCTGCAGTCGCTGAACTGAGAAGCCAAAGACTCAAACTTCTCCTCACCGGACTTGATCTTCTCTATGTACTCTGCAGAGAGAGGAGAAATAATTCAGTGAAACCTGCTGATCAGACGTCATGAACCCCACCGTCCTCATGTTTTCCTTACTCTGAATGAGCTCCAGCGCCTCGTCTTTAGTCCGTGTGATGTTCTGTTCTCGCCAAGAGGACGGACGGCGGGACTCGTTGTGCTTCACCAGGAGGTGAGAGCAGCGAACCTGAGAAGGAAAGAATCAGATTATCTCAGATGTTAACAGACTGAATATGTCATTTACTCTGTAGAGCTTTCTGTAAAATACGAAACCCTTTTCTTAATTACATTTGAGAAGTGGACCTGCCTTTTCATTTCTGTCCTCCTAATTTAGAAATAACCATATTTCACTTTAACAGGTATGTTTGTCAGGTATTAAGTGATCATCATCTTTCTTCAGGAAATGTTCTCACTCAAAATGTCACCTCAATGTCAACCATGCACCAAAAACACCCACATCTGTCCGTGTGATAAAAACATCCCATAATAAAACTTCTGCAGTTTCTAATTTCATCTTTTTATGATAGAAATTTGTACAGATGAAAGCAGGTATGAGGATGATCTTGATTTGTGTTTTATGAGTTTGACATGCTGTAGTGTTCCTGCCTCGGCCTCTAAACCCTGCTGTTGTCCTCAATAACCACCAGGTGTCACTGTTTCTTTCATTATGATCCCCTTTAAATTCAGTTTTAATATGATGTGGTGCTTAAGCTGCTATCTGCAACACCGACAACATTTCCTATTCATACAATGAAACATAAATATTAATCATACTTTGTCTGGTTCTCCACGGCCGTCTCCTACTGGTCGTTCCCACTGACTGGCGTTGGTGATGTGGTTAAAGTAGTAAACTTTGGCTGGAGAGGAAAAGAAGAGAGAGAGGGAGTTTTAAAGAAGTGCAGCAGAATTATGAGTCCCTGTGCTGAAGCATATCCAGTTTTCAGCTGAGACCAGTCCTGAAGTCCTGACAGACCCCTGAACCTTCTCTGATTCTCTCTAAATCTGTTTCCCTCTGAGACTCACTGAACGCCCTTTCATAGATCTGATGCCGATATCACGTTGTTTTTTTCGTTTCCCTTTTTCTGCATTTTATAAAATAGAACTTTAAAGACTGACCAACGAGAAACAAAGTTAAACATCAGTGAACACTTTATTCAGCAGCTGTAGATTAAATAATATTTTGTGCTGTAAAAATACAACCACAGACGTTTAGATATCTGTTCAACGCTCTGAAGTTATTGATATAAAAAATTAAAACCCAAGGTAAATATGACTAAAAAACTTTTTTAAGACGTGTGTAATTCTATTATTTACTGCACAATCAGATCAAATATTGATGATTATCTAAGGCAGTACAAATGTTTTTATAAAACAGTGGTGTCAGTCTTGTGAAGGCTGATACCAAACCGATCAATTAATCAAAGGTTTGAAATGACATGAAAAGTCATTTAAAGGGACAGAGCGCGTTTTTTTTTTCAGTCACATACTAGAAATGTTCAAAGGACAGAAAATCCAGATGAAAGTGTGTGACCGATCGAGACAAAGAGCTGCTGATTAACTAGTGATGGGAGAACAGTTTTCTTGACTGAATCTTTAGAATCTGTTCATTAAAATGATTCGGTGAAGTACACGAGTGAGTGACACAGCAGCGAGTTCGTTCATTAGCCCCTCCCTTCGCTGATGCTGAAGTCACAGCATCGTTCTCTGGGTGTCGTTCATTCGCCAAGTCCTGTGGGAAGAATCACTCCCCTGCCCTGAAAAAAAAATCACCTCTCCGTGTGTCGCCATTGGCCGAAACAACACAGCAGCGAGCAGCACGTTCGCTAAGCAAGCGCGAGTCGTCGTTCTTTAATATCGTGGAAAAGTGGAGAGATTGAAAATAAATAAACATGTCGGCTGTAGCAGGGATTCAGATACTTTTAAAGATATCAAATATTGTATTTCTGTAAATCGGCTGAAATTAAATCCGTCTTACAGGAAAGTTTAAACACGTGTATAAATGTAAAGACGCTATAATGACCTGATTTATCTTAACCTCAGTGAACGAATCGCTGCTCAACAGCTCGTGAAAGGCGATACACCTCTCCCTCCTCTGCCTGACCCAAGTCATTAGGAAGTCGTTAATTTCATTCACAGACTGACTGATACTCGTCGTTCATTCACTGTGAGCAAATCATGAGACTCCACTCGCCTGTCCGCTCGCTCACTGGCTGTGTGTCGTACGCCATAGAGTCAAAGGCGGCAGTTGCACTCCTGATCCGCACACCACGGTCACAGCTGAGCTCAACTGAACTGAGAAAGGAACGAATCAGGTCTTGGAGTGATTCAGTTTTTTTTTAATGAACCGTTCTTTTGTACGAATCGTTCCTGAACGACACAACACGACTATCAAGAGTCAGGAGGAGCGAAGTGAGTCACAAACTGTGATCGTGACAGCAGAGTTAGATTACAAAACAAAAACACACATAAAAATAAAAACCCAAGACTAAACAATTCTGTGTTTCCTGAAACCCGGACCTCCCGACTCTCTGTCTCTGTTCTGGGAAGATTAGAGGTTTTGAATCGGATCTCTGGACCACATGGATCCACATAGATCCAGAGAACTCACAGACCCCAAACAGACACAGGGGGTGACAGAGGGTGGTGGTCCCAGACTCATTTGGGCTCAGGTAACCCTGCTGATGCTCGCGCGCTCTGCAGGTGATGCTCAGGAGGAGGGTGACGTCATAGTGGGCCCTGGTTGAATCGAGAATTTTAGGCGGGATAAACAGAGAAGACAGACCCGCTAACGGACAGACTTGACAGTTTAGGAGAACCTCAGTCACAGTGGGGTCGCTCCTCACCCCCTCCACCTCACAGACTTCACCCCCCCTCCTTATTTCGGGTGTTAACCACGATGCAGCGCTGCTAGCTACGAAGCTAACTTAAACATATCACAATATTGGACGTTTGTGTTAAATTTATCCATTAAATCTTTGACTTCATTACCTGAACTTCGGCTCATTCGTTTCTCCCAGCCTGAAGGTAGATTCTCCTCGTCTGCCATTTTGTGTTTTTCTGCAGCAGATCCTGAAAATTTGATTTCAATGTAGCTAACGTACGACAGCTTCGGCTGCAGAGAGACCGGTTTACGACAGTTACCAACGTCTTTACGATACAAGTTGTTTTCAGACTGAGGAGCATAGATATATCTATCTAGATGGCTCACACACGCTGTTAGCCAATGGAGACCGACGTACGCACTTCCCAGAATGGTATACTGGAGTAAGATGGCCGCCATGGAGGGACGCCGGTGACTCCGCCTGGAGACATCTAGCCTTTCTTATAGATATCTATGGCGAGGTCCGCCTCAGATTAGATTCCCTGATCTTCCATAGGCTCACTACAGGTGTCAGTCATCTATGCTCGTATATGATTGGTCGAGAGGCTGACACATAAAACGAGCTTTCCGTTTGTCAGTTTCCGGACAGTCTAAGCGAAAAAGAAAATATTAACAATTCCTCTGTGACTTTAAAGGTATGAACCGACACGACACACACAATCGATATTAATGCGACTTTAAACCCGATATTATCAGGGATAAGTGTGTGTTTTCTGTGTGTGTTTGATAGGATTTACGGTAACACACGTTGGTGTGTGAAATGTGTGAATGAGAGCTCGACTGTTTGTTAGCTAACACCTGACTAGCTATCTGTTTTGAGGAGATTTAACCATCTGTGTCTGACATTTAAGACATTATAAAAGAGCCGCAGCAGACTCTGGTTATCAGTAAATGTCCAGAAGTTCCTAATATAAACGGAGAGTGGTTGAAATTGACGTTTTTCTAACTCTGATCCTCTCTTAAAAACAGGACTGAAGATGATCGAGGTGGTCTGCAACGATCGTTTGGGAAAGAAAGTCCGGGTGAAATGCAAGTATCCTTGAAAAATAAGGGTTTTCAAGGAAACATCGGGTCATGCAAGTTGGCTGACCAATCAAAGCACGGTAATTTGTTTGTAGTGAGACCTCGGGCCAGTCCATTACGGACTACAGCGGGGTGACGCAGCTCAAGGAAGAACATTTATGATCATTTCTTTATCATTTCCTGAAAGTAATAATCACGATATTAATCATTTTTCACTGCAGACACAGTAGTTCTTCTGTCTTAGCGTCTCGGTCTGATTGTATTTCCATGAAGAAATGATCGTAAGTGTTCTTCCTTGAGCTGCGAAACTCCGCTGCACTCTATGATCGACTCATCAGGGCTCCCCCACAAACAAGTGGCTGCTGGAAGAGAGTAGGTGAGTTGTGTTTAGTCTCTTTGTTAAAGAAATTAGTCAAAGTTAACCCGGTGTTATGGTGTGTTTGACCCTAAATTAATTTTACTCCAGAAGATCCCGTTTGATGCATCGACTCCACGTCCTCGGTCCACTCTTTTTGAAGCTCACCCAGGTTCTGACCTTCTGTTTCTTGCCCTCCTCGTTGAGGATGTCAGTGTTCACCTACTGGTCAACTGTCAAGCCAGCCGACTTTCTACATGATTGGGATTTCCTAGACTGAGAGGTAGATGGCATAAATACTCTTTAAAGAAGATACAGATGTTGTTCAACTGAGTCACTTCAGAAGAGGTGGACTCTTTCTGTGTTATTGTGTCAAAGACCATAGAAATGTCACATGATCTTTTTTCCATACCATCGTGCGTCTTTCCTTAACCACAATGTTTCAGCGCCGACGACACCATCGGAGATCTGAAGAAGCTCATAGCTGCTCAAACAGGAACAAGGAGTGATAAGATCGTCCTAAAGAAATGGTAAGGTGCTTGTTTTCTATACTGCTCTGTTAAAATGTTCCTCTGACTGTTCACCACTAAAGGTTCCTCCTCTGTTCCCACAGGTACACCACATTCAAGGATCATGTAACTCTGGGTGACTGTATCCTTCCATAGAAGTCCTGCTGCTGTCATGTTTTTAACTGTAGATCTAGTTTTTATATTTCCGCTCTAAAGGTACCTATTTGTCATTTTAAGGACCAAGAGTCCTTTATGTTGGCTGCTGGTTGGTTAGAGCAGATGTTTTTTTAACAGTTGATATTTGTCCTGATTCTGTGAAATTGGAGTCATCTGTCCTTTCCTGATTCTTAAACCACATCAGAACCATTTTCTTTATTTCTGTTGTCCTTAACCAAACATTCTGCAGATGAAATCCACGATGGGATGAACCTGGAGCTGTACTACCAGTAGAGCAGGGCCATAAATTGATGCTTCACAAACAGACAAACAAACCTCATCTTCACAGCAAAGACGGAAAGACCCCCCGATGAAACCTGTCAGAAGGAAACCGCCGTGATCGGACAGAAGAGAGGAGCAGAAAACTCACAGATGTCACATAATCCTCAGTTTTAGTTTCTGATTTTAACGCCTAAATTCTGATGTGAAAGATTTGTTGTTCTTTTTTTTTTTTTTTTTTTGATATTTTGAAATTAAAGTTGAAAATTAGTAATGGTCATGGCTGCTATCTTTTGTCTGAAATCTCACTTTTGAGTTTAGTTTAGACCAAAACTATGAAATGTTAATTTCATAAAAGTTTTTCATTTTAAAAGTGTGTAACTTCATCAAACTTGGTGCATAGAAGGATGACTGAACTATGTCTGATCATTTTCAGCTCAGTTTCTTTCAGCTTTCGAGAAAATTGCTGGTGTGTAAAACCCCGATTTGGACTTCTAAAGTCCACAAGACATCTGAATTTATGCCAGGCCATCCATCCGCCTTTTCTTCTGCTTATCTGAGGTAAAGTAACAGCAGCAGGACACTCAGCAAGTCCACTAAGGCTCAACAAAACAGAACAGACGAAGTTTTCAAGAGCCACGTTTACATGAGCAAAATTTCTTGATCTGATTAAAAATTTGATGGATCTGTAAATCTGAATCCACTCTTTATATGGGCGCAAAATCAAATAATCATGACCTGCGCTGCGTTTACATGCACCAAGTTTTATTCAGATTAGAAGCATTCAGACATGTGTAGAGTTGTCTGATTTCACTAAAACAACCACAGAAGAAGAGTTGTGTTTACGCCTGTGCTGTCAACAAACTAACAGACACAGTAGTCGCTCACTTCATCCAATTCAGGATTTTTCCCCCCTGTGAAATGTTGTCACTAGATGGCGCTCTTGTGTACTTATTTTACTGTTCTGTTACAGGTTGCTCTGTGCGTACAGATGTGACATCATTACGCCGTATGTACGCCTTGTTATGTTACCGGAGGAGCAGACACAACACCTGAATGGTAATAATGAAACCTCCAAAGGCTAAAGAGAGAAGACCGAGTCAAGTTAGAGAGTCATGCTGCGTTCGAGTTACGTCAGAATTCAGAGCTGAAAATGACGTCACATCCAAGTTCCCGTGTCGGCGTTTCAGTTAAGTCGGAAAAAAGCAAAATCGGAGACGGGAACAAGATGGCTACATCTACGAACGTTAATTTGGCGCTTGCCTTGTCCGAATATGAAGCAAATGCTAATATAAATTTCATTACTTGATTTGATTGATGCTGTTTGAACCGAGCGTCATCACAGCGACTCCCACCGAATGTTTCAGGAAGTGGAGAAAAATCGTGGAATAACCGAGAGCTTTTCAGCTTCAAACCCGCATACTGGTGGAAGGCGGAACCAAGTTGTCCATAGTTTATATGGTCTATGGTTTACATGGACACGTTTCGGAATAATGATCGGCATAAACCACCCCTCTTGATCGGAATACAACTTCTTTCCGATTGAGCTGAACTGGATCAATATCTTCCGATCAACATCTTTAAATGACGCGTTTTTATTCCGATTCTTTGTGCCCGTGTAAACGCAGCTGATGACCAGGATTCAAACCCCACCTCTTCTCCAAGTCAGCTGCACAGAAGGACGGTCTTACTTCAGGTCAGATGAACAAAGGTTTATTCACACCACTGGACAAGCATCAGATCACAGAGCATCTCTCTCTCTCTCTCTCACACACTCACACGGAAACACACTCATCCATATGCATTAATGCAGATCATGGGACCTGGCTCGGCACAGACCCCTGATCACACAGAGTCCACACATCTCCAGGATCCGCGTCAGCAATAGTCGGAGTAGTCCTCCTCTACGTAGTTGGCTGGAAAGAGGCCCACCTGGAAACAGGAGCAGAGAACGTCCAATAAGAAACCCCGAAGTCTGTGGAAACGCTGTTAAAGAGCGAGTGTTTTTCAATCCCTCACCCGTCCGTACACCTCTCCTTTCCACCAGCCGCTGTGACCTTTCTTGGAGATGATCTTGATGGTGTCTCCTTCCCGCAGCGACAGCTCTGAGCGGTCTCTGGCGGAGAAGTCGTACCTGGCCCTCGCCACGCCGAAACTCTTTATGCTGCCTCCTGAATCAGGCAGAGCCAACGTGGAAACAGGAAGATGGTCAGAAATGAACTTCTTAAGGTTGGATGAAAGGATGAAAACTCTCGTTCTATCACGTCTAACAGAAGACTCTCAGCTCGACCTCTGTCTCTTATCCTGCTGTGATCTATGTCCGGGTTTTCTTTGTGCTTTGGTCCGACTCTAAAACGTCCGTCACAGATGTGTTTTACCTGGCGTGATATTTGGCGTGTTGTTCGGCGAGAAGCTTTGCTCGGGTTGTTTATACGGCGTACACAGAGTGGTGTCCACTTCTTTGAAATACTCCTTTAAAGAGTTCTTTTGGTAAAACTGGATCAGCTCCTGACACACAGAGAGGAGAGGCTTCGTTAGATTTGAGAGTGAGAGTCCGAGTGTTTCATCGGCTCGTTGTCGGGATTTTTGAGGATGAGGTGAAACTTACGATCAGACCCTTGAATGCTTTCTTCTCGTTGATGCGGTACAGACCTTCAGTTGAGGTGATCTTTATGTGCCGGATGTCCATGTTGAACCTGGTGGAGCAGATGAAAATAAAACGAGGACGATCAGTGCTTGACAAAAACCAAAGAGGCGTTTGAGTTGAGATGACTATAAGATCATTCCTGCGGCGAGACTTACTTGATGCTAATCGCGAACTCTCCTGCGTCTTTTTGCCGTACCAGGAAGGTCCCATCAGACCGAGACATCAGCAGGTTTTTCGCCGCCGTTCTGTCCATGTTTCCTGCAAACCTTTAAGCACAGTGAGCAGCAGAGCTTTACTCTCTATTCTGAGACATAAAAACTGATCGATACCAACTCTGACACCTCTTTAGTATCTTTGCTACTGAAATCACTTAAAGGTAGGGTTGGTAATCTCACATGCACGAGCGCCGCTGTCTGCTGATTAAAAACCACAGACTCAAAACTTTGGGACTTTAGATTGGGAAGTCTTTCACAGCAGGGACAAAGACGGTAACGTGAGCATCTGCATGACCACTTAACTAACTTTTAACAAGATTAAAAATCTGAAACAAACCTTCAACGTACATTTCCAACAGAAAATAAGCGACCGTGGCGTCACTTTTAAACCCTCAACCTCTTTCAGTTCTCTCCATCGCTGAAAAGCTGTCCCGATGTTGACTTTCGTTTTCGCCCTTGCTTTCTTCAAACTCTGTCTCGCATTGACCTTCTCTGCCTCCGTCTTTCTTTTCTTGCTCTTTTTTGCAGGAGGAGCGCAGGAGGCGAGCGCGGGATTTGATTGGTTTAAAAATGTGGGACCTACATGATGTGATTGGTTGGTGTTTTCCCAGTCTTACTCCTGCTGTAGATAGCGGCGATGTTTCACTCCTTTATTGATCGCCATTGGAACATAAGGATTATTTAAACCAGAATAACAAAATGTGTGTCTAAATCAGATTAACCAACACGACCTTTGAGGACAGAAACAACCTTATTTCAGGTTTTTAAGCTTCACTAACTCCAGAATTATCTGATTTCATTGAAGGTCCTTGAAAGCATCAGTATTGTTGTTCATAATTAACTCTTCATCTGTATTTATTGTTTCTGCTCTAAACACCAGCACACATTCCTCTTACATGTAAGTTTACTTTATGAACAGGAGGTGGCGCCAAAGTAAATCCTTTCAGGATCTATTGACCATGACTTGAAGGACGGGAGTATTCGATGTTACTGATGTCATTTGCAGGACTTTGCAGAGAGAGCACACGCTCTGATGGATGTGGGTCATTTTAAAAACCGGACACAGCAGTTTGAGGTGGATTCAGACTCTGCAGTGTCTTCCTCTGAGGCTGAGTGTCATTATGTATTTTAAACTCTGTGGTGTCACTGAAATGCCTCTGAGGTTAAGAGTGGTTTGGCGAGCGGGTGATCAAACCCAGTTCCTGTAACAACTCACCAGCTGAAGCCCGAGAGGTCCGGGGTCGGCCTCTGAGAAAGAGAGAGAGATCACACTCAGAGGTTAGTTGTTAACTCTGCAACAGTCTGTGGTGATGGTGGTGGATGTGCTTCTCGTTTAATCCTTCAGCTAACTTGTGAAAACTGACACATAGACGAGGAATCAAAACTGACTTTATCACCACACACTGTAGCGTGTGTTACTGAATTTTCGACAAGTCTGGGGTTCAACTCACAGAGACGTAGGGCTGGACTTTTTGGCTGGGGAACCATCCCATCTGTCCCACAGTCAGGTTCTTCCCCTGAGAGACACATGATCGACAAAAATTAATGACTGAGAAACACAAACGAGAGGAATGATGTTAATACGAGGTGATTCAAAAACAAATATGTAATCAACAGGAGAGGATTAGCAGAGACGGCGAGGAGTCTTTAACAACTTCACTCATAACTTTTATATCAGAAACACGATCAGTTCTGTCTTTAGAGTTGATAGTTGAAAAAGAGTTGATAAACCGCACTGACCCAGAAGTATCTGTGTTAGAAATCTGCTGATAAAGTTTGTCAGAAACGAGTTTTTTTTTCTTTTTTAAATAAAGTTTGTTTGTTTCAGACGGTGAAACTGTAAAAGCGGGTCTTTGTTAGTAAAAGATCAAAATGACGATGAAAAGGATTTGATGAAGGTTAAAACGACACCGAGCAAAAATGAAATCCTACAAGAACATCTGAAGTTCATTCGTTTGCTTTCATAATAAATGTACATTTTGTCTAGAGTAGGGGTGGGTGATATGGAAAAAAAATCATTTCGGGATTTTTTTTTCAAAATCACAATCATGTTTTTTTTTTTTTGGGGGGGTGTGTGTTAAAGTCTCATAAATTATATAAATCTCTTAAAACTAGTTTACAATATACAACAGATATAATCTTACCGCTCGGTGCTAAAACCTGACAATATAGCCTGGCTACTTCCTGGCTCGGAACAAAGGGGAAGGTCGATGTGTAACACATTAATTCTGTTGGTAAATTAAAATGCTCTCTCTTAACTCCTCAGATGTTTATTTGATTAATTTAAAACATTAGGGATACACTGTGCCCTACAGACGGTTGTACGATCTCTGTGCTGCGATCATCACTTTTTAATCCTCCATGATCTAAGATCTCAGATTGCACACCCCTAGCCTAGACCCTTGTCTTTATGACAGTGTGTGGGGGTGCTCATGGGAAATGCAGTCTTCATCCTAAAATAACTTCACTGATTTCATCCAAACACATAAAACTCCTGATACTGCCTTTAAAACGTTGTGGATCCACATCTAACCGTTTTTAAACGTGCTTAATAAATAAATAAATTATTATTATTATCATTATCATCATCATTATTATTATTATTGTTGTTATCATCATAATTTTTAATGTTATAATAATAATAATAATAATAATAATAATAATAATAACAACAATAAGTATTATCATTATCATCTTTAAGAAGACGAAGGAATGACGCTCAGAGGTGGTCTGTCCTCCCCTTAGTTTCCGTCATTTCAAACAGCGTGCAGCACTTACATTTGAAGTAAAAAAACTTTATTTTCAGACTATTTTCTGGGTCGCTGAAAAAGTCCAGAGCGTTGAAGGGAATTTCCAGAATTATGTACGAGCGCTGATGAAAAAAAAAGTATCACCTGTAATAAAGTGTAATGAAACGAGCTTTCCCCACAGTTAGAAAATCACCGTCGTTATGGAGACAATAAAAACGGGTAATTATCCTCTAATCTAACGGCATCGGGCTCTAAAACCAAAGCAGCTCAGAGAAACTCGGCCATTATGTCAGATTCATTTTCCAAACCGAAACCTCTGAGCTGCACCGAATGCGGTTTGGCATGAGGGAGGAAGTGGACGATGAGACGAAATTACTGAAAAACAGAGCATCACAAACCGACACATCAACCACAGGAAATAAAGCTCCGCCCAGAGCGTTCGGTTTCTAACTCTACCTCCCACCACGGCAGGTCTGGGTCAGCACGGCTCAGCTCAATGATGTCGCCTTTGGACAGGTGAAGGAGCTGACCGAAGCCCACGGGCGGCGGCGGTAAGCCATAATACTCCTGACACACCTCCATTTTTGGAAAACCTGATCGAGACAAGAAAGAGAAGAAGTTGAGATGAAGAGGACCTGCTTTTCTGCTCTCCGGTTTTATTCAAATATTGAAATTTAAGATTATTTTGTAGAAAAAACAATAAAAAGTGTTACGCCTGTAGGATTACTTACCAACAGAGGAATTTCCAGAAGACCGCTGAGATTTACTCTGAGAGAAAAAAAGACAAATCAGATGGAGAGACTGTCGCTGGAGTCTCACACACAAAATCTGTCGTATCCCCCGATCTTTATCTTAATGAAGAAATATACGGCACATGTAAAATTCTCACCGTAAACAATGACTGTGGTCTTACCTTCTTGGTGGTGTTGGAGTGCTCTGAAGGTTTAAACGCAAAAAACAACATCAGACGTGTGAATTAGTACAAATATCAGACATGCAGGCGGACTGAGACAGACCTGAGTGTCGTCCACAGGCGGGGACTCTGCCTAAACACTCTTTATGTGCAGCCATCCTACACCGAGTGCAGCGATAACCCTGGAAAAATATCCCTCTGCAGACGACAAAGAGAGAGAGAGAGAGAGAGATGAAGCCTCAGAGGGCGAGTTTCCCTTTTAAAGTCTAAGGTCAGAGAGTCAGCGAGAGGAGGTACCTCAGCAGCATGGAGCACGCCTTACAGCTGGTGGTTTCTTCGAAGCAGTGCATCTGGAAGTCATGGTTGTTGGCTGTGGCGTTTTCTGGACATATATTTGACCTGTGGATCAGAGAGGAACATGAAAAGACCTTTAGGTGGTCCCGCAGAGACCAGAGAGACCAACATCGGCAACAAAACCAGTCAGACTATCAAGATTTCTTTACCTCACATCGATTATCTTACGCACATAAACAGAGGGTGATCGAATTCACGCACACAGACACGCAAACAACACGACTACAGTTCATGAGAGTGAAATCTCCATCAGGGTCCCTACGCAAGTATAGAAAAGTATGAAAGTAATATGATCAATTTCCAGGTCTTAAAAAGTACAATAAATAAAAAATAGAGTATAGAATAAATATTTAGGTTTCCAGATATCATCACAGTAAACAGTAATGAACTCTGTCTCCATGGAGACGGGGTTTATTTACTCTTCTACATTGTCATGATCATTATTACAGGTATATGTAAATATCCGTGCGATCACTCACAGAGCCATCTCAAACTGCTCCAGCCACTTCTTCTTCAACTCTCTGGTTTTGAAGTACAAGTCGTACCCGGACCTCCCGTAGCAGTCGAGCAGGAGGAACAAATAAGACCACTGTCAATCAAACACAAGGACATGGTTAGAAGGAGTCGACTCGACCTTCACTCTGGTGTAACTGCTTCTATAAAAACATCCTCAAACCTTTTTTTTGTCCTTCTCTCCCGTCGTTTCGTCTCGTATCTGAAAGTGTTGTAGTTCGATGATGTCCTTCAGCTCAAAAGTCTCTCCGCTCTTCTTCTTGCACACAAACATGGCCTTATCGAAGAGGAACGCGTACCTGGCGATCACAGGTGCAACCTTAGCTCAGGTAAATTACGGTATTATCAGGTGACACAAACGCTGAGGGTTTAAGGACACACACCTGTCCTGTTTGGACTTCTTCTCTGGGCTGCAGATCTTCAGCTCTCCGTCAATCTTGGGTCGACCGTACATGGCGAGAGACTGTGTCTGAAGAGCAGAGGGCGAATGATCAGAACGTTACAAAGACGATAACGAAATAAACGGTTTAAATGTGCGGCGTGTGAGCTCACCATGTTTTCTATGGACAGCTGGAAGCTTGTGATCTGCCTCATGACCTCGTTGTCTCGCTTCACCTCGTTCACACACTGCGCCAAGTCCTGAAAGCGCACAAACCCATGAAACTCGTTTAATGTTTATATATTTATATTTAAGACGTTAAAGCGAAGTAAACATCATCTCACTCTCATGGCGTCGAGCGCTGATCGGAGGTTGTCTTTGTCTGTGGCGTCAGTGGTGTGTTTGACGAGCTCCTGCAGACACGAACAGAAGAAGATAAACCCAAAAATACTGTCGCTCTGGTTCGACGCTAACACACTCTCTTGTTTTAACGTACCTGTAACAGGAGATGATATTTGAGGACCCTCTGCATGGGCACCATGAGCAGATCTCTGAGAGAAAAGCGTCCACTGTTCGCTCTCTTCGAACACTCCTAAGAGAGAGAAATTAAAGTGATCGTCTGCAGAAAAAAACAGTTTGTGGGAAGAGGATGTTCAGAAAACCAGCTTTCCTCTCGGACCAAGAAGAGGTACTGAGACAGAAATGTCTCATCCAAGCATGTGAAAATGCTGATTCACTACCAGGTTTTTATTTATTTTTTATTCTGTTCATTTAATATCAGAGTTTGGACCGCAGTACAGATGGTTGGGTGACAGTAAAACACACTGAGAGTCAAATTCTGTTTTTTTTTTTGGGTCACCAGTCAGGGCCGGTGTTTCTGAGTCGTCTTCTTTATGGTTTTGAATGAAGCAGCAAATTGTGTTCAATGAGTTTTTGAGTCCATGCAGAGACTTCCACTACAGAGTCATGTCTGTTTTTAGTGCGGTGCCACCTGAAGATCATCACAGATCCAGTATTGGATTCTGGCTTTGTCCTGATCTAGAGCTGTACAGCTGATGAACGGACAGACGGACCCCGCCTCTTTAATTAGGGGTGTCCCAATACAACTTTTTTAACTCCAATACGATACTTGACATTGATCCGATATTGGCATCAAATTGTGCGTGATAAGTTTTGCACATCAGTCCTACTCGTTGGTATTTGTTAGTACCTTAGTTCACACTGTTGTTGTGATTTTTTGGGCTCTACATGCTGGATCAGGGCTCTGCTAGATAGACGTGCTGGAGCGGAATCTGGAATGGACTGCTTGTATCGAAGTGCTGATACTTTTTAGATTTTAGATGCAGGCCGATATAATCCAATATTTATTTTTTTGCTGATATCAGACTGATATCCTAAATCAATATCGTATCGGGCCTTTTTATACCTGAAACCTTAATTCTCCAAAGACTTTACATTGCAGGACGTACAAAAAAAGACCCTCTGTGTGTTTTTTTTTGACTGGATGAGACTCAAACACAACCTGTCGAACATGAAAAAGCCTGATGACAGAAAAAAGGGGGATCAGTCGAGCTCTGATTGATAACAACATCCATCAGACTAGGGCTGGGCGATATGGCCTCAAATCAATATTGCGATATATTGATCAGTTCACCTCGATAACCATAAATGGATGATAACTACTCCACCAGCTGCTCACCCCCTCCCACATTAACTTCTTCTACTTCAGCCACTACAGCTTTCTCTCCGTCCTCCATCTCCTCACCTGTCTTTCCCTCTTTGTTACGGACTGGATGGGGTGGAGTCACGTCTCTGACGTAGGACAGCGTCTTAAAGGGACATGAGACCATAGCCTACCTACACACATCCAAAAACAACTTTGATTTATTGATTTCTTTGACACCAAATATACCGATATGGGCAAAATGACGTCTGTTTTTGTCTTAAATTTCAGTTTCGGTAAATTTTCGGTGTATCGCCCAGCCCTACACCAGCCACTGCAGAGCATCTTTATTCCTCATTTTTTTCCTGCAGGCTCTTCATGAGTGAAAAAAAGGGACTTCAGGACGTTCTATAACAGAATTTGCCCGCAGATAGGACAAGAAGGTCAGAGGAACCACCTCTGAGGGCTGCAGACTTCACGTCTTTTCTTAGAAACACACCTTTCTTCTGATCCTACCAAGATTTCATTATCGCTCGTGTTCTGATGTGACATTTGAGAGCGCGTTTCCTCCTCACCTCCAGTTTCATCCGGAGGCCTTCCTGCATCTTTGAAAGCTTGTCCAAGTGTTTGGTCGCTGTTTCCACCTGACTGCAGTAATGTCCGTACAGTAGGAGCCTAAAGGGTTAATAATTACAAACATAGTTTAACACACGGCACCTACAATCGTCATCTAAATCTTATTAACAATGTTGTGTTTGGTTTTCTACCTCTCCTTGTAGTTCAGAAACACCTGGTACAGGTTCTTGGCTCCATGATTTAGGATGGAGGACCGGACCTCGTTCAACATGTTACGGTGGGTAACCGCCAAATCCTTCACGAACACATACAGAGGAAGCGTGTAAAGATGTCTGACGAGACACGGTCAAAGCAGACATGACCAGGTGTGTGGGTAACTACCTTTACGTTGATGAAGATTGTCTCGATGTCTGGAACCTGGAGAAACTTTTCTAGTGGTTTCATAAAGTGCTACAAAAAAAGAAGAAGAAGAAGAGGTGGTTTTAGAGAGCGAGTGATTGAGCGGGTCGTCTTCAGGTGGAGTAAGAAAACCTGCACACCTGTAATATCGATTCAAGAGTGTCCGAGTATTTCTCCTCTGTTTGTCTGATCTCCTGCAGGCAGCACTCTCGTTTGTCCACCCCGCCCTTCTGCTGCTGCAAACACACACACACACACACACACACACACACACACACACACACACACACACACACACACACACACACAAAACTGTCAAATAAAGTATTTAAGTTCTTATTACTTTTGCATCCTGATGGAAACAGCAGAGCGCATTAATATTTGACATAAACGATAAAATGAGGAGTTCGTCATTTTAAAACAGTCTCTAAAAACATGAAGGGTTTTCAGTCTCAGTGTTACATCCTGATTTTTTCCCTTCTTGACCTTCCTCAAAGCCTCGTTTTCACCTGATGAATGATTTAGCGGCTGACATTTACACATGATGTCTTTTCTGAATGAAGCTTCAATCTTAAAATCGACCGGAAACACTTATCTTCACAAGTCGTGGTGGTTTTGGTTAATAGTTCACAGATCAGAGGTCAAGAAACCCAGAAGAGGTCAGAAAACGCGTCTGATGGCTCTCTGATAAAACGGATGAGTAAGCAGAAAAGTCGACTGATCGGAGCTCCTCTGGCTGTGAGATAAATCCAGATAGATTAAGGTTGTTTATTCAATGTTTAATTTGAGCACTGACTGCCTCACAGTGACGACGCTGTAACACATCCCTAGAGTTGAAATATTCAGGGTGAATAAGTCTGAGGTGCTGAATAATTCTACTGTTTATCCTTCCTTTTATTTATATTTTTGCTCTGATTTACATTTCCAACCGTTTTTCTACTTCAGCGTTTTAACACCGATTTTAGCCGACCACTTCCACTACTTATCCATTTTTTTGTGTGTCATCTATTTCAATAACTAAGACATTTCTTTAAGCTGTAAGCTATTTCAAACACGTACTCATTTTTTATGCAAATCATTTCAACCTTTTATCCCTTAAATTAGGGCTGCACGATTTTGGCCAAAAATAAAATCTCGATTTTTTTATTCAGTGACAACTTCACCAAACTTCACTTTAATTAAAAGTTTTTCTATCATCTCTCAAAATGAGACCACTGAAAAACGATGTAGTACATCTGCCAAGCCAGTAAGTGGCGCTGTAACGCTGAACAGGAAATGCACAAAGACAGAAGAAGAGTACAGAGCATGTGTATTAAGGTCGTTTTGGCGCCATAAAAGAGTTACTCTGTGTGTCACATGATCGTTTCCAGAGATGCAGATAGACATCCACACGGAGGTGAAATGGTCGAAACTGTGAAGTCGTACCAATTCAACACGACTGACTCGCTCTTGTCCTATTTAACCACGAAATTATCGCCTTCTTTTGCAAACGCCATGTTTGTTTACACTGGTGTGTGTGCGAACTGGGGAGGGCTCCACAGGAAGGGGGAGGAGCCAACGGTGACCTGGAGGCGCGAGACATGATAGAGAGGAAAATCGATTTGAGGATTTCAATTTTTTTAACATCGCCATAATCAAATAATCGGATCAGGATTTAAAATCGATTAATCGCGCAGCCCTAGTTTGAACTATTTCAACAGTTTAACTCTTAGATTTAGCGAAATTTTACCTTGATAGCTTGATCCTTGACATGTTTTAGCTAATATTTTCCTTAACATGTATCTGTTACTTTTAGCTCGTCATTTGAAATATTCAGACTTTAAGACAGGCTTTGAAACCTGTTTCCACAAACTCTTACATGACTTTTAAGCTTGTCTGGAGTTGGTTACCGTTCTGTGAGTTTCATATTTGAGCTCCTCTAATAAAACTTTCCGTAGACCTGCTGTACTCAGCAGAATTGCCTCCTTGGTTACAGATATCCTGGTTTGGAGTCTTCGCTCTAATGTTTATTTTTCATGCAGAAATAAATCACTCTGGTAAAGTATCTAAAAATAAAACCGTCACTTTGCGGCTACAGCCAGACGACCAGACAGGAAGTTCCTCCTGGACTTCATGAGCCGCTGCCTAAAGATTGACCAGCCTCTGAGTTTAATGACCCGGTCTAAACTCTTCTCTTTCAGGTGTTTGATGGTTGAGGTCCACTCACAGTTCCAGGATGTTCTTCTGTCCTCATCAGGTCTTCATAGATTTCATCTCCTTCGTTCTCCTCGTCCTCCACTAAGTTGTACAAGTCGTCATCCTCGTCCACCGTATCACTGAAAAACACAGAACATCCAACACTGTTTATCTAAAGTGTAAAACTACAGCTTCAATATTATCTTTAAATCATTGTTGTTGTTGGTAGACATCTCAGGTCCAAACCAACAAGAACATTTCAGCCTCCTAGTCGAGGTTCGTATTTTGTTAAAAAAACGTTATTTTTGAGAGAAAGTTATGGAGAGAAACTGGAAGTGAACCCGACCAAGTTTGTAACAAACATCAGTCTTTGGTTTAATTTAGTTTTAGGACAGGAGGCGAAACAAAAATGCTGAATGCAGCCGAACAGGGAGCTTCTTTACTAAAGCCGTTTATCTTTAGGATGAATATTTTAACAGGAAAGGACTTACTCTATCAGATCAGACAGGCCGCTGTAGATCTCATCATCTGGAGTGCATCCCTCTAAAGGAAAAGGCCTGAAGGAAGGGAAGAGAGCCAGGAGGAGGTGAAGAAGAGGAATATAAACAATATAACAGATATTTATTTTTATACAACTAAAAGATAAATCAGTTTGATAAAGAAGTGTACAGACAAATCTGTCCAGAGAAAGAGTATGACTTACTGGACTCCTCTTTGTAAAGCGATGGATGTATGAGAGAGGATGGACAGCGTGTCAATGACCTGATGCAGACAAACAAAGGTTGGTTCAAGTATCGAAACTCTGCATGCTGTACAGTGAGACTCAGAGACACAGACAATGTTTGACTCGAGCCGAGCGCTGCTGCTGCTGCGCTGCACGACCTCAAAGCTGTGGTGGCGATGAGTGATCTCAGAAATGAAATAAACACGATAAGCGCTGTGGTCAGAGACAAACTCAGACGTGTCACACAGACCATCAGTGAAAATGACGGCTCGTCCTGATCGAGCGACATGTGACAGTGAGTTTCAACGCCTCAAAGAACTTCAGGAGGTTATCAAACTTCACAAACATGATGGATTCCTAGTCTGATTAGCATTTTTGAATTTTGTTCTCGCTGAATATAAAACACACACGCTGTCCAATTTAGGACATTAAGTCTGCGTCTGCTGAACTCGTCAATCTCACTTTTAGTTTCGGTCGAGAGTAAAAAAAGAGAGAAAGGAGGAGGGCTGTATGGAGAAGTGAAAATCTAAACTAGAACAGACTCATTTCTGCTGCTGACATCGGATCCTTCAGGGACATTTCAGGGGCACACGGGTACACGAGTTAAAGCTCCTGAGAGGAACTCTTACGCTTCATTTTATGTGCTGAGTGGCTGACTGTAAAAAGTGAAATGAGAAGCTCAGTGACGGTCACATCACTACAACTGAAATAAAAAAAAAGGAGAAACACGGCTGAGTTTTGGCCTCGTCTTTGTGGGGTCACTGTATTCTTAAAGAAACGACTTCCTCTTACAAAACAAATCTACGAATCTAAAAATGTTCACACCAAAGTCTGGAGGCAGCTCTGCTCTGAAAGTGAAAGAGAACTTTGAAATCATTGGTTCACAAAAAAACACCTCAACGCCAAAAATCCACGAATCTACTTCCTGTCAGGGGTATGTGGTTGACTGCAAGCTGCTGCAGCGAGGGGCCGGGTCTCTGTTCACACATCAACTACTGAGGTGACTGAAGAACACAGACAGATGAGAGACAGATTAGATCAGAAAGATAGATTAGATTAGATAGACAGATTAGATTAGGGTAAATATAAGATAGATACATAGATATATAGATAGATAGATATACATGGATAGATAGATACAAAGATATATATATAGAGATAGATAGATATAGATACATAGATATATAGATAGATGGATATACATAGATAGATAGATAGATAGATACATAGATACATAGATTGATAGATAGAAAAATAGATAGATATATACATAGATACATTGATCGATAGATAGATACATAGATAGATAGATAGACACAGATAGATAGATACATAGATATATAGATAGATAGATAAAAAGATAGATACATAGATACATAGATTGATTAGATTAGACTAGATTAGATACATAGATAGATTAGATTAGACTAGATTAGATAGATAGATGTGTTGTGGTGTTACCTTTGCGAAGTCTCTCATATCAAACAGGTCGAAGGATTCGAACAGTTCGCTCTTCTTCAGATGAAACTTGTCCTGACAAATCGCTAGAAACATCCGGATATTCTTCAGACACAGGAACTGAAAACACACGGACACAGAGAGTTGAATTTCACTGATTCGAACCAACAACATCACAGCATTTCTACATTAACCAAATATAGTTTTTTGTGTTCACCAAAGTTCACAACGTCATGGAACAACCACGATAACGGCTGTTCTACTAAAATATTCAATTTACAGCTCCAATGAGGAGTTTTTGACATTTCTTGATGACTTTTTATGACAAACAAAAGTAAACGAGACCATCAGGGACAAGATCAACACTTTGTCATTTTTAAAAGCTTGTAAACTGTTTTTTTTTTTAATCATGGTGCCTGAAAAATCCAGGAATCACTTCTGTCATAGATATTTTTATAGATTTGTTTCTTCTCTTTTGTGAGTCCCTGTATTTAAAGTCTCCTTCTCAAACATCCTTTACATCACACTTGACTTTGAAAGTAACATGAACCAACGCTCCTCTGAGGAACTTTTGGTTTGTGTTGTATTTGGCGCCCCCTGTGGACAAAGTGGTATTTTTTTAAATCTCTGTTAATCTTGTCCTGTTAGTGAGTGTTTCTGTCTTAAGTCTCCTCCTGCTGCTTTAAACTCTTAAATATATCATTCACTGTAAATCTTTGTCAGAGTCCGTCTCTACAGTGTCCACGCTGAACATTAGAAATAATTATACATGTATTTATATAACTACGTAAAACTGTATGTATTGATGCTGACTGTAGGGCTGGGCGATACATTGAAAATGTACCAATACCAAAATCTACGTCAATAACCAGCGTCATCTTGCCCATATCAGTATATTTAGTGTCAAATTAATCAATCAAAGTTGTTTTTGGATGTGTGTAGGTAGGCTATGGTCTCATGTCCCTTTAAGACGATGTCCTACATCAGAGATGTGACTCCATCCCATCCAGTCCGTAACAAAGAGGGAAAGACAGGTGAGGAGATGGAGGACGGAGAGAAAGTTGTAGCGGCTGAAGTAGATGAAGTTAATGTGGGAGGGGGTGAGCAGCTTATGGAGTAGTTATCATCTATTTATCATTATCGAGGTGAACTGATCAATATATCGTGATATTGATTTGAGGCCATATCACCCAGCTCTAGATGACGGTCCAGTTTGCTTAAAGTAGGTCATCAAGTTTTAAGGTAAGTCTGCACAAAACTTGATGGTCTTCAGAACTTTGTGAAAAACATATAGAAATATTAAGAACTTGGGCAAGACTCAGATGGACCCTCACAGCCTTGTTATAATCGGATCAGTCTGAATCTGGTCCAACATGTTCCTCCAATTCCCATGATGCACAGTTTCAGTAGTTTTAGTGAAAAAGGGGCCTGTGGATCTACGGTTAACTACACAAACAAATACAAGGACGAGAAAAAGGAACCTAGAACAGACCCTTTTTAAGAGGGGGGGGTAACCTTATGAAAGTGTATGTCAATGCTGCTCAGCCACATGACCACAAGCCCATGAACATGATTATTAATGAACCGTCACACATTAAGTCCTCTACTGAAATAAACCTAATGAAACATGTATTTTTGATACTTCAGTTTAAATTCAAAGAAGACCAAAAACCACAGACCCGGTGGTCAGACAGTTTTTTTTTTGTTTTATACTACTTCCTGGAGCGGCTGCTCTGTTGCTCTTTCTGAGCGTCTGTCTGCTCAGCAGTGGGAAATGCGGAACTCTAAATCGAGAAAAAGGGGAAACGGCGACTTCTAACTGATACTGCTGCACACAGCACAATGCTCGGTGAGGATTTCAAGTTAACTCATTGTGAACTCATGATTCATGGTAATTCATTCTGTGAATGTGTGTGTGCTTATGTGTGTGTGTGTACGTGTGAACTATATTACAAGAGCACTGAGAAAATCCTCTGTTTTTACATGTGTGTGCTCAGCAGAGCGGGCCTCTTTATTTTTGTGAATCACGGGATGTTTCTCCACCTCTCTTGACCTCACAGGGATCTCCCAGAGTTTCATCACTATGTGGCAAACCATATTAACTTCTGTGCTGAAACACACACACACACACACACACACACACACACACACACACACACACACACACACACACACACACACACACACACACACACACACACACACATTTAGACATCATGGTGAGTCCTTTTAGACGTAACTCAAGGACTTCCCACAAGACATTCTGGTCAACCATGTGTCAAACCAGCTCTCTTTTTCTGTCTCACCCCCCCTCTCTAACTGTTCGTCTGTCACATATCTTGACCTGAAGCTAAAACGTAAATGTATCTTGAGTTTCATCTCAGCAGAAGGATGATCTTTTGAAGGATTCACTCATTCACTTCTCTGGGTCTGGGACACCAGCTGTAACGTGACTGAATTATCTGATTACACTCATTAATGAACGTCATATCGCTCTTTACAACTTTTATGACACTGAATTCACTTTCTATTGGACATTTGAGTGCTATCAGCCCATTCATGAAACTGCAGGTTATAATGGTTGTTGAATTGACACTGAGCGAGTCTGATAAACGCGTGAAACTCAGCAAGCAAACAGAAAAACAATCATTGTTTCACTGGCTGTGACTGCTGCTAATGTTGATCGTTTTTGCCTTTATTGATAAGACAGCTGAAAGGAGACAGGAAATGCGGGGAGCAGAGAGCAGGGGACGACATGCAGCAGAGGGTTCGAGACTGAGAGTCCAGACAGCGGCCGCTCTAGCCTCTGTACACGGGATGCTCTTAAACCGCTATAGGCCAGCAGCACCCCATCGACACAGATTTCCTGTCTGCGTTATCTTTACAGCTGCTAAAGCATGAGCATCAAACTAGAGGAAGAGTTTTCCTGTGAGTTTATTCTTAAAACACGTTAAATCTAAATCTCAGTAAGTAGAAAAGACTTAAAAGAGGAAACACGCTTCAACAGCCTCTTCACAGTCGTCATCCCCCCCGTACTCTTGGCGCTTGTTTTCCCGATGTTGACAGATATAAATCAAACTATTTTCCTATCAGTCTGGGTCTCTCTCCTGGTCGCTATGGAAATGCCTTATGGAAATGTAGCAGGAAAAGCCGAGTGTAAGTGTGTGTTACCTGGGACATCTGTGGGCGCAGGTTGATCTCTCTCAGGTTGACGGCCTGAGGAAGCAGGTTGTTGAGCAACTGGCAGAGCAGCACGCCATCTCTCAGAACCTGAGCCAGGTCACACACCTGAGACAGCACACACACACACACAAAATTAGACAGGGTGTAGGTGGTCTGTGTGCATGTGAAGGGGTCTGTGTGACAGCTGGTTTACCTGTGCGCCGTCCCATGTGACCCGGTGGTTGTCAGGAAGAACTCTGCAGTCGATCAGCCAAATCGCACACTGCCGCCACAACTCCATCTTTGTTTTCTGACACAAAAACAGACATAATGATGGATGGATGTCACTTCATGCAAAATCTGCACGTTTTCAGAGGCACTAAAGCAAATAAACGCTTATTATTATGGTCTGTAACACCCAGTGGGTCACATTTCTCTACGTACGTCTGATAGCGATCAGAGAGGAGTTAGTCTCACGAGGAGGCAGAAACAAAGTTCACACTAAACAGGATAAACAGTTATTTCATAGTTTTGGTGCACACATGTGGTAACATCTTCAAAAATGACGCCTTTTTATCTTTGTTTTACAGAAATACATCACAGAAAAAAAAACTTGCTTCATCATGACTCGAACCCTTTTTTTTTGTCAATGAGGACGTTAAAGAAAAAAATAAGAAGTTAAACAACAAATCAGGAGTGATTCAGCCGATCTACAGTGAACAGAAAAGTCTTAAAGTCTTTTTCTGTTCAGTTCAGATACTAAATCGTCCCTCAAACCGAGAAAAACGACAAAAAAAGCCGATTTTGTTCTCGAAAAACCGGGCCAATTTCTGGTCGATTTCTAAAGATGTCTCAGCGGACACCATCAGCTCTCACCTTCAGTTTGTCCTCGTAGTTTGTCGTCCTCTCTCTCGATGTTCACCCTCCCGTCTTCCTCTCATTGTTTCATTATTTCTCAGACAGACTTCGGCGCTCTTGCTCTGCCTTCTTCCGTGGTGGGTGTTCTGCAGAGTTGCACAGTGTCAGAGGCTTTTAACTTTGTCCCTCAACTTCCTTTTTCCTCTGCACGGCCTCACACAAATGCATTCACACCCATTTGCACAAACACACACACACATGCATGCATATACACACACAGCTGCTGCTGCTGCTGAGCTGTTCTACTTGACAAAACCAGAGTGTGATCTGGTTGTGAGATGGTGTGTGTTTTATGTGTATGCTTAGATTAGAGGACAGGGTCTCTGCAGGCTTCAACAAGTCTTACAACGTTTAAAATCCAACGTGAATTAAAGGCCTTAAAATGTCTAATATTCTCTTAAAACCTCATAAAATGTCTTAAATACAGATTTGAAAGGTCTTAAGAACGTATTGATGTTACTTTAAGACTTTTAAGACCATAATGAACACAATTTAAGATCCATTTTACATCCATACTGGCAAAAAAGGACAAAAGACATGAAGGGAAATCTGAACATTTTAAGTAACATCAATTCTTAAGACCTTTTACATTTGTATTTAAGACATTTTGTGAGATTCTTAGAGAAGTTTATACATTTTAAGATTTTTCAAGACCCAGCAGAAACCCTGAAGGAGGTTTTCATGTGTGGAGTTTGAACATTTATCTCAATTCTCGCCAAGAATTTCAATACGATAAAAAAAGATCATGTTCTGGGAAGGAGTTATCAAAGTTTGTGAAGGTTCGAGCAAAATCAGAGGCGTGCATGTGACGGTTCCTCACACAGGTTTTATCTGCCCTGGTCTCCAAACATCTAAAGATAATCTAAAAGATACAAAAGTCTCTTAAGGGAAACCGCCGCGTAGAAATGACAACGTTTTCAGGAGCTCAGAATTATTTTTGTCTGTCTGCTGAAAGCTGGGCAGCAAACTGAGAGACAGACAGACAGACAGACAGACAGACAGACAGACAGACAGACAGACAGACAGACAGACGCCATGATGCAATTTGAAAAAAAGAATCCTGGAGTAGCTCAATGAATAATGGAGCAGCTACTTGGACACCATCTTCTTCTTCTTCTTCTTCTTCCAGCAGAGCTTTAGCTGGACTGTGAGAAAATACCTGCATTCAAAACTGATTCACATCGAACATTTCAGCCTTTACACTGAATCTTCAGGAGTGGCAGCATGTATGTTGCTCCAAAACCAGTATGTACTGTTCAGTATTAATTAGGGGTGGGAGAAAAAAATCGATACAGCAAAGTATCGCGATATTTTGTCTGGTGATATATCGGATCGTCTCATTTACCAAGTATTGATTTTTCCAAACTAATTGCCAATACAAAGTCAAATCTATGATGATGGAAAAATAAAATCAACTGTTTGTCTGGTGAGGTTGGCAGAGATAACATCGTAGAGCAGGAGAAAGTTAGTGCGACAAATATAAGATTTAGAAGATGTGCTACATGAGAATAAATACAGTGTAAATAAGACAAACGTAAAGGAAAGACAAATGTTAAACTAGCTAAACAGTTGAAAAAAAAATAAAAATCACAATATATTGTATCTCATACTCATTGTGTATTGCAAAATGTTAAAAATCGCAATATATCATATTGTGGCCCTCTCTAAAGATGAGATCTGACGTAAAGAGGACATATGAATCTAATAAATTAAGGGTAACAGTGAATTTAACATACAGAGAAGTCATGAAGTTTACTGTTGAGATCTTTGATCAGCTGACTGTAGATGTTGGCTTCACTTTTGTTAATCCCCGAAGGTCAATTCATTTCACAGTAACCCGCCTTGTTATCAAACAATCAAGGAACAGACAAATGTCAGACATCCACAGCAGCATCTGGCCCAAACGTTCCCCTGTCAGCACCACAAATCAGCAATAAATGAATAGATAGATGGATAATAAATACATGTGCTATACGCGGAATGGTGAATTGACTAAAATGTAATAAGAAATAATGCAGTAGAGTAAAATAAGAACTAAAACAATCCTGAGACTCTAATTCCAACACAGACCACCAATCAGCTACTTCTCAGCATTCAGCAGCCTGATTACAAAGGGGATAAATGACTTGGAGTGCCTTTTTGTTTTCCTTGGGGGAGCATAGTAGCGCCACCCAGAGGGCATGAGAGAAAAGTCAGAGAAGAGAATGTGTCCATAATCCCACTGGCTTTCTGAACCACTTGTTTCCCCTAAAGAGAGCTCATGTCCATCAGCTGTACTCCAGTAATTTTGGCGCAGACTTTTATGATCTGGTTCAGGCTGTTTCTGTTCTTTACCGATAATCCATTAAAACCAGCAGATGAAAGAGAACGATAACAGACTTTCAATAAAGGAATGATAGAAACACTTTACTAACAACCTGAAGGGGCAGCACTGATACCCTAAAGGTGAATTCTTCAATAATAGGAAACCATAAAAGCTGCTGAAATGCCCCTTTACCTGCAGCGGCGTCATTCTTTATTTCAACACTAGATGTCAGCATTACACGTCACCATCCTCCTGCTGTGCTGTTGTATCCCCCTGACAGACAAGTTACCACAGACCCCTGTGAGTGCATGCCTGCCTCTGACTTGACATGCTGACAGCTGCTTTAACAGTCTCACATTTTCATATCCTCCTTCCTGTTTTTCTCAACACTATCTGTCTGTCATGACATGCCTCGACCTGCGCTCTCCACCTCCTCAGAGTTCATGCTAATTCCTGCACTCTGATTTGCTGTGGTCTGAGGGGTACTATGGGCCCACCGTGTGATCTGATTGGCTTTTGGTGTGACCCTGCAGGTTTGAGGGGGAGCGGGCTCACGGTTTAACCACAAGGAGAAAGTGAGAGGCAAGAATAATAACACAGGCTGAGAGTTAGAGGAGAGAAGCTGCAAAGACAGGAGGAGAAACAGAGAGGAGAGAAGCATAATGAGGTAGAAATCTCACAGAGACAGAGAAAAGCGTTTTTTCCCAGAGTGCCTCGGTGGATTCTGTGAGCAGGTAGGTGTTACATTCTGGAGCTGCTGCAAGGCAAACAACACAAGAGCCTTGTGTTTGTGTGGCTGGTTGACTGATTCCTCAAACTAATCCGCTGTTTTACTTTTTTGTACTCCTCTCAGAAACATTTGCAGAAAACAACATGTACAAGCTTGTGTGTGTGTGTTGGTATGTAATCATTATCTCCTTCTGCCTTTGCTGTTAAGACATGAATAATCGCTCCATCGCCTGGTGGCTGAGACAGATCGGCCTGCCCCAGTACACCAAGACACTAGAGAGTGAATATTACGGACTGGAGGTATTTGCACCTGTAAAACTGCTTCTGAATGTTCTTGTTAACGTCTGATTTTCCTTTTTTCTGCCTCAGACTGGCTGAAATCCTCAGTTTTTTTGTTTGTTTGTTGTGTTCTCGCTCTTACTTTCTGTTGTTCTCTCTCCAGGGTTTGTTAAATGTAACGGATGGAGAGCTGAAGGATGCAGGAGTAGAGGATGCAGCACACAGAGAAACCATCCTCAGCCAGCTTTCGAGACACCGACAGAGACTGGACCCACACTCTGGTGACACACAAACACACATGCACAAAAGAGTTACACAATCGGAATATTCAGATTATTAAGAATTCAAACAATCACTAAAACCCCGTTTAGAAGTAAATGTACAGAGCGCTGCAATAAATATGTAGAAATATGTAGATTTATTTTGATAATTTAGACTGCGTATATTTTTCTGATTTGATACAAATGACAGTAGAATTATATCATTTTTACATCTGACAAAGTAGGGCTGGGCGATATGGCCTCAAATCAATATCACGATATATTGATCAGTTCACCTCGATAACGATAAATGGACGATAACTACTCCACAAGCTGCTCACCCCCTCCCACATTAACTTCGTCTACTTCAGCCGCTCCAACTTTTGAACCGTCCTCCATCTCCTCACCTGTCTTTCTCTCTTTGTTACGGACTGGATGGGGTAGAGGACAGCGTCTTAAAGGGACATGAGACCATAGCCTACCTACACACATCCAAAACCAACTTTGATTTATTCATATTTTAGACACTGATTATACCGATATGGGCAAAATGACATTGGTTATTGTTGTAAATTGGTAAATTTTCAGTTTATCGCCCAACCCTATCACAAAGACAGTTGCTTGAATAAATACTATCAGTTGTAACCTGTTAGGCATTAATAAAGAACCAAAGCAAACATGGCCGTCAGTGACAACGTTAATAATTTAAATATTGCCAATTTTAATACTTGGAATAGGTCAGAGACGCAAGCTTCAGAAAATTCTTTGTTTTTACAGTTTTGACATTAAAACAAAAAAAGACCAATAAATAACAGACACTACCTACAGACAAGACAGGATAGGCAAGGACTGCTTTGACCACAGGGGGCGCCAAAATCCACACAAACTGAGAGTTCCTTGTGGGAACTTCAAATGTAATAGCATGAATAATATTATGGATATCGTCGCTTGAGTTCAGATATTTTTAACACAGGTTTAAAGAGATATGCAAGACTTGAATTTGCATCATTTGTGCGAATGATCTGCTTAATTTGCACGATTAGCTCTGTATAATTGGCGTTGTAGGAGTACGTCCAATCAGTGTTGTTTTTGGCAGGCATTTTAGATTTAGTTTTCGTCTTAGTCATTTTGACGAAATGCTTCTTCGTTTTAGTCCCATTTTAGTCATTTCGATCCTTGATAGTTTTCGTCTAGTTTTAGTCCGGCTAAAACTCAAAAGGTTTTAGTCTAGTTTTAGTCGACAAAAAGGTGCCTTTTGAGGTTCATGGTGTTCTTTCCCGACAGTTTGAAGCCGCAGCATGAGGAAGCTGTGGCTCCACAACTGTCGCCTGTCTCGTCTCCCCGTCCCCGTACAAGACATTGTGTTTTATTGTCACTTGGACTGTATCTGAAGTAGGACCAAAAATCATCCTTCTTTTTTCGGCCACCGGGCACCGCTGCTGTGCCTGCCGCCACGGTGTGTGTGTGTGTGCGCTCGCCTCGTCCACCTGCTGTGTATGTGTATGAGTGTGTGCGCGCAGCTGTGAGCGAGCGAGGCTTTTGGTGCGTTTGTGATGGGGGCGTGACTGTTGGGACAAAAAAAAGCATGTTTTGAAACTTTGTTCATCCACCTAATAACAATTTAGTCTCGTTCTCGTCTGACGAAAATGAATACAATTTTCGTCACATTTTAGTCTTTACAGAGCTTTGGTGACGTTCGTCTTAGTCTCATTTTCGTCAAGGAAAAAAGGGGTCTGACGTCGTCATTTAAGTTTTTGTCCTGCCTGACGAAAACAACACTGCGTCCAATCGCATCTTCACATTGACCCTACATGTAGTTTATGTAAATGATTTTATCCGCACTTGATGTGTCCAAACCATGAGGTCACAAACACAGATGGTCGCTTTGAGGCTTCACCATTTTCACTTTAAGTTCATCCTCATTTAGTTTACCTCTCGTATTTACTTTTTAATTCTTGGACTTTTATGCTGATGTGGAGTTGTGTCAGTAAATCTGTTTCCTTGTCATGAAGCTAACTTTAAGATGAACTCTTATTTTTTTTATCATCCATTTAAACTCGCAGAGATTTATCAGAAGTTAAAGAGTCACACTCATTCAAGCTCAACATTAAAAATACATCTTAGTTTTATGGTTTATCCAAAATCCACATCTAACTCTTTCTAAATAACATGTTATAATCTGATTTTTTTCAGCATCATGTTTGACAGACATACAGGAGAGCGGTATGGATCTTCGTTTCTTTAACACTCCGCAAATAATAAGTATGCAGTTTTTCCTAAAATGTCAAGATTCGCTTTACGACACCTTTTTGCTTTCCAGGTGTGCCAGTGAAGCGCAGAGTGAGCCGAAAGTATTCCCTGGGGTCATCGATGGATCTGGTGAGACCGCTGAGCATCACAAAACATGACGACACAAAAAGGACAATCAGCAGCTCCTAAATGCACATTTTTGGGTTCTTCTAACATTTCCCACAGGTGAAGCCAAAGAAGGATCTATTTCGTCAGAGCGTCCTGCCCCGCCTCCAGCGCGCTGATAAGAAACACCGCCTTTCTGCTTCCTGCTCCCAGCTCCGCCCCCTGAATGAGGACAACGCTATCAGTGAGACAGAGAGCTGTCAGGACAGCAAACACAGGTGAGCCGACCCTCATATACGTGTTTCATGTGTGAAAAAGCTAAACGCAGTCGTGCTGGAGAGATAGATCCACTTTCTCCAGGTTGGACACTGGTGTAGCTAATTATTAACTGGCGCCTCATAAAATGTCATTCATAATGTGTAAGTGGGTGTGGGTAAAGTCTGTGAACTCAACAATCAGCCGTCTCTGAACTTTAATGTTGGACACAAAGAATAATCTCAAGATCCAGCTTTACCGCCTGTTTTTGACAGACTGAACACACCCGGGGACTTTGCTATTTTAGTCACATTTGTCTCCCAGTGAGAGGTGAAGGGCTGAGTGACAAAGGCCAGAGTCTGTTTACAAGTAATCAATTCTCAAGTCAAGGCCTTTCTAAATAAGGCTGTTCAATTCAAGCCGAGGGCCACTTTGCACATAAAACATCAGACTTACACTCAGTGTCCCTAGTTTTATTAAACCATCCAGACAAAACTGGTTTAAGTGTTTTACCGGTTTTTACACCAGTGTCTTGGATTTCTGCTCCCACTATCAGCCAATGGGGGTCAGCTGAGGTTTGTTTGTGGTGTTTGAAGCCCTGAAATCTGCATTTTAAAGCCCCCGCACTGGACTGGTCGATCCTGTTACACAGCTTTGGTTTCATCAGTTTCTCAACACAATAAAAAGATGAAGCTGTTGGTTTAATTTGGTGCATATTGAACAATTACAATGCTTTGGATGTCAGGTAGAGGAAATAAGTTTAGCTTTTCTACTTCTACTAGTGATCATGGAAAATTTAGAGAGCCTGAAGTGTGTAAGTTATTTATTGGAAGTAAAGGTAGCACAATGCAAAACAACTTGGCTGCTAAAAAAACAGTAAATTAAGTAAATGAATGAAGTTTTTATTGATGTTTTGATGAATAAATCTTGGCATACTTATCCTGCACCAAAGGAACTTCTTGCCCTCGAGAGCCACCATGGTTCAATATACCAAGTCTGGTTCAGTGAAAGTATAAAAGGATGTTGTCAAGTTCAGACACATCTCTCTGCATCAGTCAGAGGTGTTGATTGTTAAAAGCCTCAAAGTTTATAACAAATATTCAGAGTTACATGTAGTGAATAGTTTCTGGTACTTTCCTCTGAGATATGGTCAGAACTTTGATAATATCCACCTGACCACAACAGTCAGCTTTCACAGCAGGAGATAAAAAATGATTTATACATTTCACAGTCCCTGTTTAGTCCAGTTTGAGATGATTTATTCAGGTTTCTTTGTGGATTGTGTGTAAATTATCGTCGTGTCTACATTGGGAACAGCTTGTGTTGGTCAATAACTGTTTTTAAACACTTTGCCAAATCCAGTTCGAGGACACAAAATCTGAACCACATGTGTTTCACACTGAATTTCCTCCCCATACATCTGCCTACCTTACCGAACAGACTTTAGCCAGGTGATGTGTCGGAGCGGCTTCTGTCGGTATCCGAGGAATGCCGGGGCAGATAGCGGTGTTTCAGCACCGGGGCCCGGGGCGGGGAGGAGACGGAGGGAGGGAGGGAGGAGGGCTCGGGGAAAACTTGTGGGAACTCGTCCTAAAACTGCGCAGAGAGGAGGACCAGGAGGAGAAGGGGGGCTGGGAGGGACCGCGGTGGAGAAGGACTGAAGTTTTGCAGTTCCACAGCTGTTGTTTGGCGGCGTTAGCTTGGACCACAAAACCGTCAAACATGTCGGCGGGGAGGCGCGAGCTGTGAGGAGCTGACAGGTAGGCTCTCTGACCGTTGGAACGGATTTGAATTTTGGGATCCTCGTAACTTAACGCGAGACTTCGGTGGTTTATCATTTGTTGATTTAATCTCTAATATACCGGACTTTTTGGATGTTTATCTGTCTGATATTTTCATGTCTGTAAAGTTGTTTAAAACTCTTTTAAACCGAAACAAAAACGTCGACAGTGCAGCTCATTACCTCTGTTACTGCTTCACTACCAACCCTGCCTCTTATCTACCTGTTGCACAATATTGAGGACTGGCAGTCAGTCGACTTTTGTCTGAAAATACTGACAAACAAAAGCAATTACAATGGATTACTTAACATTTAAAGCCTCCGTTTACACAGAGGATTACCAAAGGGCCGGTGAAGCTGTATGAAATAGTTTGTATTATGCTGTATATGAGGTTTTCAGCTGCATTTCTCAATAGTGGCCCTTCAGCACATTGCACAGGTGTTTCTGTTGTGCTCCATGGGCCAACGCCCCTCAAACAGGATGTTACACCTTTTTACCTCCAAACACTTTAAACTGTGATTTATCTGGAGGATGTGTGTGTGTTTAAATGTGAGTCATCATGTCCGTTTCTGCTGCACTGGATTTATTCAATGTGAACATGAGGTGGAGGAGCTATTGTCTTAGGTAGACATTTTCATTCTGACATAACTGTTATTTTTGTGAAGGCTGTAATATGTAGGGGAGACTGGGGCTTGTTGTCACATTGCAATTATCTTTGCCACCAGAGGGAGCAACTAAAAAGTGGAATACTAGTTTTATTTACATGGTCAGGGATTGTGTCTTGTCTGAGAAGAGAAGAGCCCACTGTGAGCTGAGATGAGCACCATTTAACAATTTTGCACAACCCAAAGTAAAAAAAATTAACTTTATATATTTTAAAATAAGCTTATGTGATGCTGAGGGCAGTCAGACAGGTGGCCCTACCTAATAAATCAATCTGGAGGACAATAAAGGACTTTAATGTCAACTACCTTAGCTCAGTACTGTAAAAACATTCACCCCAGCTGAAATACAGAGTCAGGCAGATCTACAAACTCCAGAGCATGTTGATAATATTTTATGTTAACGTTTGTTTAATGACTTTCTCTAAGTCACTGATAAATATTTTCCGTGCCTGACTTTAATGTTCACTTTAATGTAAAAAAATTAGAACAACAATAATTTTGTCCTTGTTTTATTAGCTGTAAAATCCACTGTGACATCTTACCCCATGTAGTGAGACAACCTACCCGATGGTGGGGCAACATGTCACATGATCACACTCTCTGTAACTCTGCTCTGACACAAGATATGAAAATGACATGAATACGAAATATAAACCTGATATTTTGGTCTTTCATCTGGTACATATTTTATTTATATGATGTATTGATTCCACGAAATATATGAGTTTGAAAAGTGTGACAACAAGCCCCGGTCTCCCCTATTTTCTTTACAAACTGAGTTAAAAGATGGAAAATATGCTTTTACAGCCATTTTGAAAGCTGTCATTTGTGTGTTGTTTCATTATAGGGATGCTTTTAGTATTTTTCCACTCCATACAGCTAATGTAAAGCACTTTGTTACGTAAAAGTGCTGTGCTCCCTAATGACACTAGGATGAGTAAGAGCTGTGTTGAACTAGGACACACACACAGTAGCAGTGAGGGGAATGGGGCTGAAACAGTTAGTTAAAAAAATCACACAGGTGATTGACAGACAGACCTGTTAATGTAGCAACCACATTTCTCAGATTATAGATGCTACTAACTTTTAATGAAAAACTAAACAGAATATTTTTTTTGTTAACTGACAAAAAAGCAATCTGAGAGTCAAGGAGAAGAGATGAGCCCATAAAAGTCTTTTCATTTTTCTTTTTACAACTTTTGAAGCTCAAAAGGCCCCCCCTGTGGACAAAGCCTTGTTGCTGATTTCATCTTGTCAAAGTGAAATTGATAAATCACTTTGAATATTTGCTGTGGAAATAGTACAGCTGTTTCCTCTACATATCTACCCTCTCACTGCAGTCACAGGTAGGGCTGGGCGATAAACTGAAAATTTACTGATACAAAATCATCAGAGAGATTCCTGTTTGAGACAATAAAGGTTTCATCGCCTAACACGTCATAAATGAGAGTATTTATTTAAGCAACTGTCTTTGTCATAGGGCTGTGCGATACACCGAAAATTTACCGATATCGAAATTTACAACAATAACTGATGTCATTTTGCTCTGTATAATCGGTGTCAAAAAAATAAATATACAAAAGTTGTTTTTGGATGTGTGTAGGTAGTCTGTGGTCCCATGTCCCTTTAAGACGCTGTCCTATGTCAGAGACGTGACTCCACCCCATCCAGTCCGTAACAAAGAGGGAAAGACAGGTGAGGAGATGGAGGACGGAGAGAAAGTTGGAGCGGCTGAAGTAGACGAAGTTAATGTGGGAGGGGGTGAGCAGCTTGTGGAGTAGTTATCGTCCATTTATCGTTATCAAGGTAAACTGATCAATATATCGTGATACTGATTTGAGGCCATATCGCCCAGCCCTAGTCACAGTCATCAAAAATTATGATAAAGAAATGTCAATCTCATTCAAAATTTCCCTTTTTTGCGTTTTGACACCATCAAAAACTCCTCCTAGCAGCTTTAAGTGGTTGTTGTGAAATAGTGGTTTTGGAGGGTCAAGAGGCTCGGATGTGATTCTTACGATGACAGTTAGGTCGAGTTGTTATGTTTGAGGTTAGAACTTTTTTAAAACCTGAAGAGCCTTTAAACTTTATTGTAAAAACTCAAAACCATATTTTGCAGCTCACTCTAAGAAAAAAACAGTTTTCATCATTTTTAACTATTTACCTGACAGCTTGAATCAGACATTTGGAGTCAATCAGACATTCACATCGCTGAATAAAGTTTAAAATCTGGCATTTTTGGAAGTTTTCTGAAACAAATCATGAATTTGGTTGATACTAAAAGGTCTTAAAGATGACGATTTTTGATTAAACTTGTTTAGATGTGTCTTAGCTTATCCCTGAAAACTGAAACATGACTGGTGAAATGATAATTTTTCTCAGTATTAGAAATGAAGATCTAAGTTGTCACCATGTTGTAAATATCAGTGTGCTTTGTTTGTTCTGCTTCAGTGGTATAACAGTGATCCTCAGGGTCAAAGCAGGGTAAACAAGTAAACCTCTCCACTTTGTTTGTGCACATCCCTCCAGCAGTCCCTGAACGCATGACTTGTTCCACATTGTTTACGCGCGTCCACACACAGAGGGAGGCAGGCGTGGATGGAGATCTGCTTGAGTGGGTGCAGTTGAGCCCTGTTGTGAATCCTCTGTGTGTGTGTGTGTGTGTGTGTGTGTGTGTGTGTGTAGTCTGCAGTGGCAGGAAGGTGGAAGCTTTGGGAGGAAGGAAAGAGTAAGGAGAGGCTGGCTATTAAAAGTTAGCGTTGTTGCGTTAATGACAGTTGCAGACCTTGGCAGTGGCCTTCCCTGGTTGTACTGATGGTGTTCAAAGGAAAAACAACATGGCACCATCATGTGTGGCTCCCTGGGGTTCCAGTTTAGTAGCTCTAAATCACCTTTTCTCTCTTGTTGTTGCAGCAAGAGGAGGAGTGTCAGTGCATACTTCAGCCAGCTGAAGGTAAGAGGTTAAGCAAACCACCTCTTTGTCTCTCACTCACTCGCTTGCTCGCTCTCTAAAGCGCCTCTTTTTCCAACATATTTTCCATCCTCTGCTGTTAAAAATCAAAAGGCAGGAAACCTGCACAGTAACTCTGATCTCTGCTGTGTGTGTTGTAGGTGTTTGGTGGTCGGAAAGACATGGACTCGTTGAAGAAGGAGCTGGAGGAGGAGCTGAAGCTCAGCACTGAGGACCCTCGGAGCCATGCATGGTACCACGGACCACTGAGCCGAGAGGTGCTCACTCGACCAAACTGTTCTTTCCGCATTTACGCCGGAAACATTAGTCCACACACAAATAACAGATGATCTGTTTAGAAAAAAAAAAATCCCTTTTTCTTTCTTTGAAAAAGTTAGATGCAAAGATCAATACTGATCCTGCAGGGAGAAATACATGGTTACATCGTCTAATATTGGAGCAAGAAGATGATAAATTCTCAGGTTGTTGTAAAAAGTAATGGAGAAAATATCATTTTAATGTAATTTGGCTCATTGAACCTTTATAGCATCAGACCACATTAGTTTCAGCTAAGTGTACCAGTCCATTCAAGGTCACATATGAGAGTCCTAACTCAAGCAAGAACAAGAAAGCACAGACCTCTCCAGAACTCTGACTTCCACCCACTCTCACACAAACCCTAAAGCCCACTTTGACCTCTCTCCTTGTCCTCAGGATACAGAGTCTCTGCTTAAGAGGGACGGAGACTTCCTAATCCGGGACTCAAGCTCTGCTCCCGGTGACTACGTTTTGAGCTGCTTTTGGAAAAATGGACCCTTACACTTTAAGATCATACGAGTGACCCTTCGTCCCAAAAAGGTGAGTTAATGTTAAAGGAGAAGAAGAAGAAGACGGGAGAGGTTGTTACGTGTGGAAGAATTTGTATTGAGGATAACTTAACAAACTTCACAAATGAAAGATTAGACTTATCATCTGGAATCTGGCTGGCAGATATCACTTCATATTTTCGTGTTTTTACACTCAGATCATTGGTTTAATAAAGAAAAACATCCAGTTGGTGAAATATCTCAGAGTCCTGCTCCTCTCTGTTTTAGAGCACTGAGAACTTCCTGGATTGTGAACCATTAGTATCAGGCCTGATGTCTTTGGACTGAGTTAGGGCTGGGCGACATGGGAAAAAGTTTATCACAATATATTTTTTTTCTATATCAGTCGATATCGATTTGTATCACGATATAAAAAAATTATTTTTCAATCTTAAATGTTCCCTGTTACTTAATTTAATTTAACTGTGCTTATTGGTAGCATGTCTTTTGCAATACAATCAGCAACTGCATCTGTGAGGTCTTTGTGTCTTTTCGACATTTTGTCCTAAGGCGTTGCTCTAGGGAAAGCGGACTGAATGGTCAGCTGTTTCGGCTGCACAGGCGCCATGAGCTCCTTGCTCTGCTTGGGTTCGTAACCTTTTGCTTTGAGTGTGGCGCTGCTTCAGGCGCTGAAAAAATTTGAGGTATTCCCCGACTTTGTGAGAACATGTACTCGACACAATGTTGTCATCTGTTGAGCCTTCATGGTCATTTCTGTCAGGGGTAGCACTCATTTTCTCTGCTGTCGGCTTCACCTGTTAAAGTGCTATGGTTGGGTGTAGCTGCTGTCTGCTACAACTTTGCAGTTGTTTGATACTTGGTTCTAATTCAGCACATGATTGGTTCAACGGAGCAACTCCCCTTTTCATTGGCTATTAGTATAGTCTACCAAAACATGGCAGAATGCCGACTATCGAAAAGCATATTGATCATGTTTGATATCGAAATCAAGGGAAATAAATTTTCTATATATATCATTATCGTTTTATCGCCCAGCCCTACACAGAGTTAAACCAAACTTTCAGAGCACCTTGTCAAACATTGGCGCCAAATCTGGCTTTATGAACGATCATATACTTAATTACAGTTTTAATTGACTTCATGTGAGCAGTGTAATTGGATTTTACATGATAGCTCCAATTAAAACTTTGATAACATCAGTCTTAGGAGTCATTTAATCGTCAAAGTGATATTTTCTGTCGTGTGTAACTGCAGAGAAACATTTTTTAATCCTCTTGATGCTTTGCTCTGACTCCAGGCTCACTATTGTTCTGCTTTGAATCCGAGCTGACTCATGTTTAAATCGACTCTTTTAGCTTTATTGGCCTCTTGGGGCTGAGCGTTGGTGACTGAAACAATAGATTTTTAGTTGTACTCTCCCTTTAAAGACTGCGGTTGATACAGTGTGTGTGTGTGTGTATGTGTGTGTGTGTGTGTGTGTGTGTGTGTTCCTCCATCTGTGTGGCAGGGTTACTCTCGGGAGCTGTTCCAGTTTGAGGAGGATCGCTTTGACAATGTTCCCGCTCTGATCCGGTTCTATGTGGGGGACCGCAGGCCCATCTCCCAGGCCTCAGGCGCTGTGATATTTCACCCAATCACACGGACTCTCCCTCTGCGTGTCATCAATGAGCGACACGCAGAGCGCAAAAGCAGCAAATCTGAAAAACGGCGCAGCTTCAGCTCTGCGCACGCAGACACCCTGCAGGTCATCAATCCCCTGCTCAGGTGGGTGGGACTTCGCTCCGGGCTTACACCTGTATAGATCTGAAACACATAGACTCTCATGAATATGCTGATGACCCTCATTTTGTGCGGCAGGAGTGGGAGTCAGCCTGCAAACTTGGAAAACGTTGGACGAAGGCCTTCACTGCAGTCTGCACAATCTGACAGCAACCTCAGAACGGGTACATCTTCATCGTCTTCATCATCTTCATTCACATTCAGCAGCATGTAGTCTTTATAAAGGTGTTTGTGACCCTTAATCCCTGATGCCTGGAGGATTCAGCTTTCTCACAGCTTTCAGAGATAATCCACTGTTAATCCAGCCACTGTACTGTCTCTCAGACATCCTGCTCGACGCTCACGTGGCGCTTTTCTTCTTTTCTTTCAACGTGGAAAGGAAATGTAATCATATGTTTTGGTTTTATCTTTGTGTCCTGTCACACGGTTAGTACATTCAGCAAACTAAGCTCTCTTCTTCTTCTGTTGAGATACAGTATACAGGACAAACAGCTTGGAAATGAATGATGAAGACAGTGTGCTGTAAGTAATGTGCAGCCACGGGGGATCTGTTGCCATGAATTATAAATCAGCTGTGAGGAAGACTCAGTCTGCTTGTAAAACACCAAAAAGAAAAAAAGAACGACAGAGTGCTGGAAATGCAGAGTCATTCGGTCCACTGATGGAGAGAAAAAAAGCTGCAAACCGGACACATCCAATGAATACATGGAGTTTAGCATCAGCAGCTCGTTCTGACCACATTTCAAAGATGGTTTGAGAAAAAAACCAGAATATTTAGACAACTGTGTTTTCTTTTGCAGTCTCTCTGGATTCAAGAGATGTTCAGGATGTTCAAATGTTCATGTAAATATCAGGCCCACACGGTACAAAAGGTCAAAGTTCAGTGTGAAATATATTGACTAGCATTAATGGATGCCCATCGCTGTTCCTCACAGTTTCTAAGGCAGTCCGTACGCCGGATTTTAGACCGTTCCTTCGGTTAAATTAAAGCTCCTATGAGGAGTTTTTTGACGTTTATGAAATTTTCTGAAATTCATATTAATGCCTTTTGTATGAGATCCAAAAGCAAACAAGACCACAAGGGTCAAGACTGAAAACTTGTAAATAGGGCTGGGCGAATAACCAAAAATTTACCTATACCAAAATTTAAGACAAATACTGATGTCATTTTGCTCATATCGATATATTCGGTGTCAAATACATAAATAACTAAAAGTTGGTTTTGGATGCATGTAGGTAGGCTTTGGTCTCATGTCCCTTTAAGATGCTGTCCTGTCAGAGACGTGACTACAGGTGAGCAGATGGAGGACGGTTCAAAAGTTGTCGCGGCTGAAGTAGACGAAGTTAATGTGGGAGGGGGTGAGCAGCTCGTGGAGTAGTTATCGTCCATTTATGGTTATCGAGGTGAACTGATCAATATATTGTGATATTGATTTGAGGCCATATCGCTTAGCCCTACTTGTATATTATAATTTCTAATTCCTGAAACCAGAGTGAGAGGGTAGGTGTCAGCTGAGCACTCTTCTTTCACGATATAATAATCACAATAAAAACATTTTTGAATCTCAAAACTCAGTTGGATAAGATTTTATGTCCAAACACACCTCTTTGTCCACAGGGGGCGCCAAAATCCACACAAAAAAAAAGTTCCTCATGGGAGCTTTAATCTGAAAAACTGTAATGAGTGTTTCTCTGTGTGTCTGTTTTGACTCGGATGCCTTTTGTGGTCATAGTCTAACATCAGCTGTCCCTTGTCTTTCTCCAGGAGTCCCACAGAACGCTCAGTCAGAGGACACCGGCCCCGCCCCCATCTCTCCAGTGTTTCGCACTGGCAGTGAACCCCTGCTGAGCCCCCGACCGAGACACACGCGACCTTTGCCTCCAGGTAGTGCGCACAGTCATAAGGGGATTTTTCTGTTTTTATGTGGATAATGTGTCACAGCCACAGCAGAGCCCATTAAAACATTAGAGGTCGAAGCCTGTTTGCTGAGCTGTGGTTCCTGCTTTGACACTGAAAGAGTGTGCACAACAGAGGGGTAACAACAACATGGGGTGTCCCCTCAGATAAAAAAAGCCCTGACAGTATTTTTCCGACTGGAGGTAAGAGTCCCTAAAGCCTTCAGTGCAGAATAAGCATTTCTACCTCATTCAGAGAAAGACTGACAGAAGCAGCGGGCGACAAAGACGAAAAGGCCAAAAGTAAACAAAACTTTGAACCACCTGACTTTATGTAGATGTAGTAGAGCAAAACCTCTGGTGTCTGTGTGCACACTACAGAGTCTGAAAACTGGTTTAGAGTGACTCATCACATCTCACAAAGATGTAGCCGAAGTTTAGAACGCTGAGGTTACCTCTCAACTTATCTGTGTTAGGGCTGCACGATACATCGATTTTAAATTGTAATTGGATTTTTCGATCATGATAATGTTAAATAAATTAAAATCTTCAAATCGATTTTCCTCTCTGTCATGTCTTGCGTGACACACACCGGTGTAAACAAACATGGCGTTTGCAGAAGAAGGCGATAATTTCGTGGTTAAATAGGACAAGAGCGAGTCAGTCGTGTTGAATTGGTACGACTTCACAGTTTCAGATGAAGAGTAAACCACTCCCCGCTGTAAAGTCTGTCTGAAGGCGGTATCAACCCGTCACCACGGAAACTAATTCAGGAAGAAACGCTTAAGTTTTTTGTCGTATCGGCGTTTCAGGTGACTGTAAACGGTACTTTTTGAAAACGGGTCAGAGAGTGAATAAATCTGTAAACGACGACCATTTCATCTCCGTGTGGATGTCTATCTGCATCTCTGGAAACGATCATGTGACACACAGAGGAACTCTTTTATGGCGCCAAAAACAACCTTTATACACATGCTCTGTACTCTTCTTCTGTCCTTTGTGCATTTCCTGTGCAGAGTTACAGCGTCACTTACTGGCTTGGCTACATCGTTTTTTAGTGGTTTCGTTTTGAGAGATGAGAGAAAACCTTTTTATTATTAAAGTGAAGTTTGGTGAAGTCATCATTGAATAAAATGTCGAAAATCGAGTTTTCAGAGAAAAAACAAAAAAGATTTTATTTTTTTGCCAAAATCGTGCAGCCCTAATCTGTGTGTATCACCAGCTCTGGAGAAGTTTTCTTAACATTTTCCCATCATGATTTTATTTCTAACTGAACGCAGGGGGATTTTTAACAACCAGCAGACCTTCTGTCTCTGTTTCACGAAGTTGTTCCACAGGAAGGTTTTGAAAAGAAGTGTTGGTCGGTTCTGGTCTGGTCGTGCTAACAAGTACAAAAAGGTCAGAGTTCTGGGTCAGTTTTTTAAAGCTGAATTCAAAAGAGGGTTCAGCAGTAAACGCAGATAATCGTGGATGAGAAATTCAAGAAGTTAAGAGACATGATCTTCACCCCCCAGCTCAGCGTTTCTCAGATCCCTGTTCAGGTCAGACGGGGTCAGTTTCAGTCCAAGGCCGGAGCAGCTACAGAGCTGAAGTGTTTCACAGTCTGTTATTAACACACACACTCATAACTCCATCCTCCGTCCCTGCAGGTGGTGGTGTAACTTTGCGAGGGTCAGATGGACAGCTGCATCCCAGAGCTCCTCCTAAACCTCTCAGGGTCTCTGCGGTCTTCCCCAACGCCATCCCCCCTCCACCCTCACACAGGGACGACAACCCCGCCTCTTTCTACGATGAGCTGGTCGTTCAGGTAAAGTTGTTTCTTTACTCCTGATGAAATTAAAGATAACTTTTATTGTTTTTTTTAACAGTCTGTTTTGTCCTCTTCCTGTCGTGTCCAGGTCCCAGAGTCCCGGCGTAAAGGTCATGTGGACAGACTGCGTGCAGAGGAGAAGTGGCAGAGCCGGGCCCGCCTCACCGAGACTTCCTTTGGTTTCCTGGAGGCTCAGATGACAGAAGCGTCGTCACAGCTGCCTGCGCTGCCTCAGAAGAAGAAGGCGGTGGAGGACTGGCATTTTGAAAAGCCGCATGTGCGTGTAGAAAGTTGTGTTGTTGTTTTTTAAAAATGCACTTTTAAATGCACTCTGATGAGTTTTAACATTTCCCCGCACCATCACAGGTCGAGTCCAAGTCCTGTTTCCAGCTGGATCAGTTTGAGTCTCAGCTCTTACCGGAGAACAATCGACCTCTGGAGCCCAGCGTCCTGCTGTCGCTGAAGGAAATCTTCAACCGCTCAAATGCAAACGCCACCGCTCTGCACATGCTCAGTGTTGACTGTCAGGTAACTCGTCACCTTAGAAAGTGCGTTTTATCTTCCTTCTTGTACTCCTGACATTGAAGCCTCTTTTCATCCCATAATTTTCTTTTAAGTCATGTGATCAGGGGTCAAAGTGCATCTGGTTTTTTTTTGTTGTTGTTCTTTTCACTTAATTGAAATTCTAACTACCTTCACTGAACGGGATCTAAACCCTCATTGTTGTTGTTGTCCTTCAGGTTGCGCGCATCGTCGGCGTGACTGATGAACAGAAGAGGATTATGGGAGTTGAATCAGGTCTTGAACTCGTCACTTTGCCACATGGACACCAACTACGACAGGATTTGTTAGAAAGGTAAACAGTTGTGAAGAAACACAAACGTAGAGTCTCGCGGTGTCGGCCTCGACTTTATGACCACGAACAGATGAAGCGATTTTCTCGGACTGTTCGTCACAGAAGCATCTTTCATCAGTGGGCAGAAAGCTGATATTTTGTCCTCGTAGTTGATGTGGTTGAAGTAGGAAAAAGTCAGAGGATGTTAGCGAATCAGACGGCCAAGTCAGAGCGTCTGTGGAGGGTTGGTTCTGGGTTTGATGATTACCTAACAAAAGAGGTTAAAGGCGAGGTCAGTCCAGCACCATGACGGACTCACTCCTAACCGTCTGTCACCAGGTGTTCAGTTTTTGGCTGAAGTCTAGACCCTTTCCCGGTATTGTTCTGTCTTTACAGAGTCGTTTACAGAGCTGGCTCAGGGTCAGACACTGACTGTTAATGTTCCAGTTGTTCTTCAGAGGTGAGATCCTCCTCAGTTTTAATATAGACGTGTTAGTTTATTAAATGAGCCTTAGTGGACAGGAGGGTCACTGACAAAACCTTGAGTTCTTCTCTAACTTTTAACGGACTTCTTGTCTTCTGCTGTCCATCAACATCAACAGAACCGTCCAATCAGACAAATCCATGAGAAAACAGGGGTGCTCACAAACAAGGATGTTTCCAGACTTTAAAACACTGACTTATCAGGGGGTGGCATGAAGTCCACGAGGCTCTTAGACCAATTAATGTCATTTATTTTTGCTGTAACGCAAACAGCCCAATGGATTAATCTGTCACTGCTTTTCTTCCACAAAATATTCAGATTTTTCTTCTTCTCACCCCTGACAAGTGTCTCATACTAAAAAAATTCAAAACTACCTAATAAAAACTAAAATTCACTTAAAAACCAGCATCCAAACTCAGTAAAACGAGACTGAAACTGAAACTAAAGAGCCAAACAAAATAAAAATAAACTTTTCAAACTCTGTTTTAAGGTAAGAAAATAGGAGACGGGGGTCTTGGGGGACTAAGGTTCATCACTTCACACTGAGAGTAAAACTGGCCTGTGAGATCTGATCCAGAAGAGCCAAAAACCAGCAGAATGAGTTTTTCCTCCTAATCCCCGGGTTCTTAATTCAGTCAAATCCAGCATCTGAGGGAGGCGCTACTTCAGAGGTCTGGTGGCGTCTCAATCTGAACGTATCAGCAGCCTGGTGGTCATAATGTCAGGGCGCGTGTTTTGACTGGTTTCTTGTCTGCTTTGTTGTTTTTATTTTAATTACTCATCATATATAAAGTTTGCATCCGAAGCTCCCACCCTCCGTTTAAAGGCAGACTTTCTAACTCGTTATCAAATTTCCAGCCCACACGCTCCTCTAATCCATTAATCTTTCATTTTGTAGGCATCATCTAATAGCTCTGGGAGTCGCAGTGGACATCCTCGGCTGCACGGGGACCGTGAGCCAGAGGGCGACTGTTTTACATAAACTAATCTCATTGGCTCAGGCCCTGAAGGAACACGCACACGACCTCTACTCCTTCTCAGCCGTGATGAAGGCGCTGGAGATGCCTCAGGTGGAGTTATCACGTCAAAGATAGGCTCACTCTGTGCAAACTCAGGAAAAGCAGAAGATGAATGAGGTCTTACAGCACGCTGAATATTCATGTGTCTGTAATTTTGCAGATAATGAGACTGGAGATGACGTGGCGGGCGCTGAGGAGGAACCACACAGAGACTGCGGTTTTATTTGAGAAGAAACTCAAACCCTTCATGAACCTGCTGAACGACGGAGACGGTGAGTGGAGGGTTTTAGGATGGAGCCTCCAAACATCCAATTACATTCATTTATTCATGTATTCAGGTTTCTGTTAGCTGGGGCTGAAACAACAGCGCTCCCTCCTGAAGTCCGCCCAAACACAAAACTGTGACAAGGTCACATCACACAGGAAAACGCACCGAAAACATCCAGAAACAGGACCTGCTATTTACAGGACATAGAGGCGAATATGAGCGAGCGATGTGACCTGAATAAACAAAAATGAAAAATCAAAACTTCACCATAAATCTGATAGAAAAGGCAGCGTAAACTGTTCATCAGGGAAATGACATGAATTTGTAGAAATGTCTTAAACTCAGCTGTCAACAGAAACTGGAAATGAAACATTGGAAAATAATCAGCTGTGAGTGAGCGAGATGTTCGAGTTAGAAGTAACAGAAGCTGTTAATGTGAACTGGAGCGGCTGTCAAAAATCTAACTATTCTAGGAGAACATAGAAGTCATAGAATTGGTTAGGGGTGGATGTATCTGCGAAAATCAGCGAGTTTAGGCCGATTACTGATTAGTCTCAAACGGGCTAAAATTGGCCGATTTAATCGGCTCGTCGATAAATCGGTCGGGCTCTAGTCATGACCCTGGTGGTCTTGTTTGCCTTTGGATATCATGCAAAAGGCATTAATAGGAATTTTAGTGAATTTCATAAACGTCGAAAAACGCCTCATAGGAGCTTTAATTTAATCGGTCTAAAATCTTGCTTACAGATCGCCATAGAAACGGTGAGTTACAGCCATGGGCATCCATTAATGCTAGTCAATATTTCACACTGAACTTTGACCTTTTGTACCATGTGGGCCTGATTTTTATAGTACAGTTAGAAAAATTTGAACATCCTGAAACATCTCTTGAATTATGTCGGTTATTGTCATAAATTTCAGTATCGGTCGATTTTCGGTTTATCGACCAGCCCTAGCTTTGGTCTTGTGTTAGAGTATTTGTAACCTGTTTCCTACATCAGTCAGTAATTATATTACGATTAATCCCCGTTTATCAACACCAGACTACAGTTAAAAAGTAAAGGAACAGTAAAGGACTTTGTGTGGTGGGTTTGCAGGAGTGGATGAAGTCCAGCGTTAGAGTTGGTCTGTCTGAGCGAGCGGTGTGTTGAGCTGCTGTAAACAGTTCCTCTGAGGAGTTAGAGGCTGAAGTTCATCCTGAAGATGGACAGTTTTGATAGAATCACTTTTAACGTCTGACTCAAACCTGCTGCAGACAAGAGAAGCAAAAACTGCTTTGTCCACAGGGGGCGCCAAAACTGACACACATTCAAGGTTAATCCTGAATCCACATGTGGACACTAAAAAACACCCTCTCATGAATGTGAGCTCTTCTTTCATATCTGGATGTTTTCACCTTGATATCAGACGGCTCTTTCCTTCCCTGTCTCTCTCCCCACAGTGGTCTTTTGTATTCCCACTCATGCTGTGCAGTGTATTGAACTGTTTATCTAACTTATAATGGGGTTTGGAGCTGGTGGGAGTCTTTGGCTCAGAGCGAGTGAAAGTTATGTTATAATTGGTGGATCGGGGATTTGATCCAAGGCACCTGAAGTTATCATGTTGATGTGTCTCTGGGAAAGACCATAGACAGTGCCTGATTTGTACATCATATATGACAGCTCAGGGATGACAAGACGGGCACATATATATATAAAATGTGCTTAAAACAACGTGCAACTGCCCACTTGACACTCCGTGGGACTTCATGAGTTCTCAACGTTTCAGTTACCAAGTCGTAAAAAAGCAAAATCGGAGGCCTGAAACAAGATGGCTAAATCTACGAAAGTTAATTTAGCACTTGCCTTGTCCAAATACGAGGCATAATACACTACGAGAGCTTTCACTGTTACTCTTTACTGTTGATGCACTGCGCCGCCATCTTAGATTATAACGTTGTCGTCAAGGTTGGTGAGGATCGTCCAACTGTCCGAGTCGGAAATCCGACTTCAGGGGGGCGTTCCAGATGAATTTCCAATTCAGGGCTCGGAAATCACAACGTCCGAGTACATCTGAAAACACCTTTTTTTTCGTAGGATGGTAAGGAAAGGTCCCGCCCCCTTTGCCTCTGATTGGCTGTGAAGCATCATCACACGCTCAAGCCGAACGGGGGCGGTCAGCTATGTACATCATACAGAACATTACAGAACATTATCGCTGTTCTGAATCTCCTAACCCTAATCCTAAACTTAACCCTAAACCTAATGATGGAAGATGGTGACAAGTTGTCCGCAGTGTACACAGTTTATGAGAAAGACGCTGAACTTCATATTGTACTGAGCTAACAGTTTATGAACATGTGATCTGTATCTGAGTGAAAGTTGGTGCTGATGGCATTTCAAAAGCAGGTAAAGCTTGAGAAGAGCCAGGAAGGCTCCTGTGTTCCCTCCTCTATATACAGTCAGTGATTTATTGAAGACTTAAAGAGGACTGTGATGTTCGGCCAGAGAGTGAAACTGGCACACGTCCTTTTTAAACGTGAGTGAAGATTAAAAAAAAACAGCACCTGTTTCAGCAGATGGACTCGAACACGCCACTACTTCAGTGCTTCACCTTTAGAAGTTTTTCATTTATGTAAACTGTGTGTTCTTGTGTTTTTCTGTAGACTCTGCGGTCCAGGGTCCTGTAGCTGTGCCGCACCTGGTTCCCTTGCTGATGGCGATGGAGGGTGACGACCCCGTGGAGAACAGCGAGAGAGGCTGTCAGCTCCTCTACAACGTCCTCCAATCAGCTCGCGGTGCTGCGCTGCATGCTCGAGATTATCAGCAGCACGCGCGCTCCCTGCTCACAGGTACGTCGGTGTAAACAGAGCAGCTCCAGCTTTTCATAAACACAGTGATCTGTCTTTAAGACCTCGATACAGCCTTGATACAACCCGTCCATTATGGACTACAGCGGGGTGCCGCAGCTCAAGGAAGAACATTTATGATCATTTCTTTATCATTTCCTTGAAGTAATAATCATCATATTAATCATTTTCACTGCAGACGCGGTAGTTCTTCTGCTTTAGCGTCTCAGTCTGATTGTATTTCCATGAAGAAATGATCATAAATGTTCTTCCTTGAGCTGCGGCACCCCGCTGTAGTCCGTAATGGACTGGCCTGAGGTCTCGCTTCAAGCAAGCGGCTGCTGGAAGAGAGTGGGTATGGCTCCTCAGACCGTTGTGTATTGCTATCCTGCAGTTGTTACTAAAGTTGGTATAACTAGAGAAGAAAGCGGTCGGCAACATTCATCTCTGGAGGGGGTGTCTGACTCGGTGTTACGGCGTGTTTGACCCTAAATTGATGTTACGCCGGAATATCCCTTTAAGTGCTGGTAAAGAGAGAAGAAAGTGTTAAAAAAACAGATTAAACATCAGAAATCTAATATAATAACATTATAAATAGAGCTGGAGCCTGCAGGGGGGTTGGAGCTGGAAGTTTGAGTGCAGCACAGGTGCAGAGCAGCGTCACAGAGCAGAGGCGAAGATCGGAGATCCTGCAGCTTTAATGGAGCAGAAATGTTTGTTGATAATTCTGAGAAAGTTGCACGCTGCTTGAACTCCATTTTTTTTCAAGACTTTTAATGCATCACCAGAGTCTGAGCCACACTTGTGTTTTTTTGTTGTGCAGAAGGTCAATCAAAGTCAAGATTTTAACCAATTCCTTTAAATTCATTTACACTCGACCCTTGAACAATGGCGTGTCAGTTTAAGGAGTTCTTGCAGAAGTTTCCAGTGCTGCGCTCCCAAACCGTGCGCTCGTGCTCGTTCAGTCTTATGATTTGTATCCGATCTGATTTCTCACACCGCTCTATCAGCAGGCTGGGAACCCATACCCGAGCTGCTGGAGGCTTTCCGGACAGAGTTCGCCCTGCGGCTGTTCTGGGGTCAGTCTGGAGCAACTGCAGACAGAGAGGAGCGCTACGAGAAGTTTGACAAGATTCTTTGTGTCCTGTCTGACAAACTGGAACCCGTGGAGATCACTCCACTCCAGCCTGACCTCTAAACCTGAAGCTCAGGAGGAATGAAAAGTGAAATCTGAACTTTCTTCACCAGAGGAGGAAAAAAAAAAAAAACAGCATCAACAGAACCTGAGGCGGGGAGCTGGATCCTGAGACCACAAAGACTTAAAGAGAGGTTACCTTTGAGGTGTGAAAGCATGTCCAGTGGAGACTGACGAAAGGAGGATTTTCTCCCGGGAGTTCTCCGCTCAGGTTCGTCCTTCACTGTGAAAAGTCTATTTTTCAGGAAAAGCTTTATTTTTTACTTGTGTGTTTACTTCCTCAGACGGTCGTTTCTGACGCTCTGACTCTGTCTTATACCACTTTTGTTTGATACTTGAGAGACATGATAGAAACTCCGTTTGTACATAAACTGCTGCTGTAAGGAACCACACTGGAAACGGCTTTTTTTTATCGTTTGTGTTTCTTATGCAATAAATGTTTTTTAAATTTGTTATTGTTGTGTGTGAAATCTCCCACAAAGAAACACACGAGTCGAGAAGTGTTTGTTCTTTCGACTTTATGACTCAAATGATACATGTAAATACAGAAAAATGGATCATACAATAAAAACCCTTAAAAGCTGAAAAACTCAGAGTGGTGGAGGAGAGAGAGAGAGATGGGTAAACATGTCACGGCTCATCAGGAGGGAGAGTCCCTTTAAAGGAGTTTAACAGTCGGCTGTTTAAAGAGTATCGAGAGAGAAAAGTTACTCCGTTTGAGCCGTTTTTTAATTCATTATCATATTAATGATCACAAATGTGACGCAGGAACTGAAACCTTCCGGTAAAAATTCAATGAAAAGCAGCATTTAGAAATTCAGATTATTCACAAAGGCAGACTTACAGTTTAACTTTGGGTAGAAAAAGGAACATATTCATACATAAATTATTTTGGGGTTAGTTTTATGTTGTAAAAATATCTGGAGAAGATCTTTAAAAATTCATCAAATTCATCAAAAACTTATTTCACATTTTATGTTTTTACAAGAGACTCAGATTTCCCCCCTCAGACATCCTGGTCTCATACTTTTCTTTTTAATCTAACTCAAGGATATTAAAAATGTTTTAGTGTATTTCAAACAGCCTGCAGCGATAACAGCGGTTAGAGTTTTAAAGTAGTTTGATCATTTTTTGACATTGTGCTTCTCGAGTCACAAAACCCTTGGAAATTTTCTGTGCAAACTTTGCTTTAGCAGTAAAATTAGTATTTTAACATCTGGATAGGTTCACACTTTTGAGTCTTCCTGCATAAATACACACAAACACAGACTATTTAGACTTAAGATGCACGTGTTTAGGAAGGACATTTATAGCGTTTTGAGGCGGATTTAAGGGTGGATCATTTTAAGAGGCGTTTTTCTAAAAAATGTCACGCTCTGAAAAATGAAATGGGGGTCTATACTTGCTTTCTGATTCCTCTTTAATATCTTTAAATTATTTTAGAACAAAAAATCCTCAAATTTCTCTCTGGTGTGTTCAAACATTATTTCAGCCTCAGTCTGAAACGCTTTGTTTTAGCTGCTGTCTCTTTAATCCGCTCTGTGAGATAAGACGAGGATGATTTTGTGAGGAAGGACTTAATCTGTCATAAATTAGAATAAAATACCAGAACTTGACTTAGTGTGTCATGAATAAAACTCCAAAAAGGTGACCTCGATCCTGAACAGGGTTTTTTCTTCAATAACAGTTTTACAGTCGAGACCACGACCCCCGTGACACCACTCCAAATCCACTGAAAACTGCTGCACATGTAGGAGACCCAAACTGTGAACCTATCGTTTAGCGTAACCGTCTATTGAAGGAACCTCATAGTGGTTTTTATCCAGTTTTAAGTCCTTAAACTTCACCTCTGTGTGACGATGAAGAAAACTCACATTATCCTGTCGGGAATAAAGGCTTTAACAGAAGGTCGGTGTTACAAAGAGAAAAAGGTCAGCAGGTTATTGCAAAGTGGCTTCGGGAAAGTCAAGTGAATGGATATATCGACGTAGACGTGTAGCGTCGCGCTACGTAGAAGATGAATAAGATACACGAGTCGTCACTTAACGCTGTGACGGAAAGTTCAGGTATACATTCAAAAGTTTGTTTTTAAAGGAGCTGAAATCTAATAAGATCAGAGAGGAGGAGGAGGAGGAGGAGGAGGAGGCGGCGGCCTCTGCAGAAACAGGAGTGTAGGATAATTACAATCAGGCCTGATAACGAGCTTTATAATCACTCACTTTCATCTCACAACACGTCACAGGCTGAGATAAAAGACGGAGAGAAAAGCTCCAATCATCACAGATGACTTTCTATTCACCTCTGGCTCTTAACTTTCCACCACAAACTCCTGTGTGTGTGTGTGTGTGTACGTGTGTGTGTGTGCACGTGTGTTACGGTGCAAGTTTGACATAGGATGAAGGTATATAGCCCTCTTCTCCATTAGCTCTAAGGACTCTCATCCATCCATCTCCTTTATCCTCCTCCATTATACTCAACAGCTCTCCCTCTGTGATGGAGATGGTGCCCTCGCTGTTGCCTGCGTACAAACACACATAAGAGTCACATAAAAGACCATAATGAGATATTTTTATGGAGGCGGTTGAGTGTGAACGCTGTAAATGTACCTTCAAAGGTATAAAGAGCCGAGCACTGGCCGATCGGGGCTTCTACGTCCTCAAACTCGTCTTCAAACTCGGTGTAAATGTTGTGAGTGGTTTCAGCCGCTACGACGCTGCGAACACACGACAGAGACACACAAATACACGTTAAAAACACGACATCCTTTCCTCGCTGTTTACGAACATTCAAAGATATTCGTCAAGAGTAGTTTGATATACAGATTTATCGAACGCCGGACGGAGAGAGTGCTCCACACAAAAAAGTAAATATACATGAGAGAGGTTAGAAAATTAATAAGTCATTCAAAGAAGTTAGGGGGATAAAATAAAGTAACTAAAGTAAAATCTGCCTCCACAACAACTTAAAGCTCCTGTCAGGAACTTCTGGTTTGCAGAAATCAGCGCCTGTTACTTCTTTACTGATCTTGTCCTGTTGAAAATCTTATTCTACTTTCTTAAAACAGTCAAAAGTTTCAGGATCACTGTTCACAAAGTCTGTTTCTGCAGTGTACGGTTAATCCTCTGACACCTACCCTGCACCAGCAGACATGAAAATAAACTTCAGTCTTTGTGCTGATGGTCTTGTTTTCTTCTGCAGCTCATAAAGATTTAACAATCTAGATTTCAGCATGTTTCATAAACCTATAAAAACTCCTTACTGGAGCTTTAAGTTCACAGGCTTACGTTTAAAAACAACAAGGTTATTCAAGGATACTTATTCTGATGGTAACCCTGGATATGCAAAACTCTTGTTTCTTCATAGCACTGAATGGATGTTAAAAGAAGAGTTGCACTAAGAGCAACAAAATCAATGCAGGGTGCAATTTGAGGCGCATGAAAAGGGTTGAGCAGGGTTCCTGTCGGCTGTAAAATCACCTTATATGGACCGAATAAACATCAAAGTGAGCATACCTGTGAAAATGTGGAACTACTCCTTTAAAGACAGAGCTCACCTGTGTTGTGTGTTGTTGTTGATGCTGTTGGTGGATTCCTCTCCTCCCACCGCTTCAGACAGCCATGTCTACAACCAGTCAGGGTTACAAGTCAAGACTTGAACAAACAGGAAAGTTCATCTGATCCAGCATGAACACAGTTTAGAGATGTGTGTTTTTGTGTGTGTGTGTGTGGACCTCATATTTGGTGAGCTCCCCCCTCAGGCGGCCGATGGTCTGGGCTGTTTCTGTGATCTGGGGCTCCAAACTGGAGGGGTCTCCCATCTGTGGGTTCTGCTCGTACACACCCTTCATCTTCTCTAGAGCTTCGCTGAGGTCAACATGAGGTGAGGAGAAGGTGTTATTGTTTTCACGAGGAGAGCTCTGATTGAGGAAGTTTGGACTCAGGTTCTTCATCACCAAAGTGGGAAAACTGTTTCTGCGGCAGACCTCGGACTATTGTCACACAGAAACAGGAAAAGGATCTTCCCCAAACTGTGGCCACCTAATTAGGAACCGGCTATTGTTTACTAATTGAAACTCAGAACCTGAATCCAAACCATTTAACCTCCCGAGGTCAGACAAGTACACAAGCAGCAGCATGTAGACAACACCGGACATGTAGTTAATCTATACCTCACAAATAATGTCACAGTTTTTCTTTCACAATTCAAGATTAAACTCGTGTTTTTTCATCTAAGTGTGTTTTTTTATTTTCTTGCTTCAACATCTATTTTCAGTCCGACACCTCTGCAGCAGCTGTACAAGTTTATTTTTAGCTCAATTTTATCCTACACTGGTGGGTTTTTCTTTAGTCAACACTAAAAGACAAAGGGTTACCCACTTTCTCCACAAGGGGCGCTAAAATCAACACAGACAGAAAGCTCCTCACAGGAGCTTTAAGCACATTACATTGAGTCTTGTTCATATATATTCTCCAACAAATGTTTATTTCACGTGTTGTAATTTTGCCTGATTTAAAACTTTGTTGTATTGAGATCAAAAATTTTGACTCTTTGTTTTTAAAAGTTTAGCACCACCTCTTTAAACCACACCCACACTTTAACTACAACTTTATCCAAATAATAGAGAACTTATTCACTGTGTGATAATAAACTATGATTTCTATGATACTCAAATTAAAAAAAAAGGTCATGAATGTACTGAGGAGGATTAGGGCCACTATTAAAAAAAAGGTCCAAGATAATTATTTTTAAAATTTATTATTCTGAAAAAAAAAGTCAGAATTCTGATTTTTTTCTCAGAATAATAATAAAATTTCGGACCTTTTTATTTTATTTTTTCCCAGTTGCCCTAACCCTCTCCTGTTTAATGAGTCTGGGCACCTTCAGAAAAATGAAATATACAATAAAGAGCGGTGATGATTGGATGAAACGCTGCTTTAGCGCAGCTGTAACAACAATCAAAGGCACACCTGGACTGCTTCATACAAAGAGAAATAAATAATAAAGTTTTTGAATAGAATAAAAGTAAAAAATTTACATTTTAAAGTTAAAAAAAGTTCATGTTTTGATTAAATACAACTGATTTAAGAAGTTAAAATGGTAAAAATTCTTTATAAACTTTTAAAACTGTATAAAAAAGTGAGATATGATTGATTAAAAAACCCAGAATTTAAAAGATGTCATTATTAGTTTTGTGTTATAAATCACACCTTTACTCACTGCTTTGTAAACACAGTTATGAACGCTTCAAACTGCTTACATGGATTTTTTTATGGGCCTTCATTAATGTGTTAATAGTGGCAGGTTGATATGAAGTGATCCGCTCCGTCATATTTTGTTATTTTCTTGTCACTTTAACCGACGGCGTCCTCGGGGGCGCTCGCCATGCTGACTGTGATATTCTCATGTTCTCACCTCTGATCCTGCGCCTTCTGCAGATCTTTGGAGATGTCGTCGATTTTCGCCTGAAGCCTCTTCTTCCTCTGCTCTGGAGGAAGGTGAGAGAAATCCTCTGCAGCAGGTGGCTACACACACAAACACACACACATACACACACAGAATACACACATAATGAGCATCCTCGCACGGCGTCGTGTGTACAACAACCTTATCAGTAAGCACCACCAGATGTCACTCCTCCCTCCCTCCTTCTGTCTGTCTCTGTCCCTCTGATAATACGACGTCTACTGAGAGCTTGTTAGTCAAAGAAACCAAACAATACCGAGCCAATTATTCTGTGTCAAGGTAACAATCCCTCCTTTTTGAGGGATGACAGTTATGAAAGGAAACAAACAAACAACAGAGAGAGAAAGAGAGGAGCATGACTAACGTCCCTCGACAATACTACTGAAATTTATCTGCGCTCTTATGAATTGGTGCTTAATAATGAACAAGAAATACCACTCTTTACCCTGCGATGCCACACTGATGTTAACTCAGGCAAATGTTTGAGGACCTTTTACAAAAAGTCAAATGATAATCTGTTCTTAAAGATTTCTCACAAGGTTAGCAAAGTCAGGGTTTTACTTTTATATTTGTGGTCTGAAAACACTGAAGACATGTTTCAAGGTTTGTAAAAATGTGAATCCAGCTCCACTGCTTTAGAATGTTAAGGAAGGGGACGAATTTTTATCTCAGAAATGATAAGAATCCAAGTTAAAGCTCCTGTGAGTAACTTTCAGTTTGTGTTAGATTTGGCGCCCCCTTTGGATGGAGCAGCCTTTGCTCATAGTCAGGACAAAAATAAAACATACAATGCTGACTCTCCATTGCAAAAACATGCCTGTTTCTGATTCCAGCCCCCATTTACAAATATCAGACATGAAAGAGTAGAGCATTAAAATAGTCAATCATAATCCATAAAAAAATAATAATCTTAATAATTATAATTAAATAATAACAATGATAATCATAAAAATAATACTTAAAATAATAATATAATATAAATAATAACAGTAACCATAAAAAAATAAAATAATGATAATTATAAATAATACTAAAAAATAATAATAATTATAAAATAATTATTATATCATTAATGATAATTATATTAAAATAATTATCAAAATAATGATAATAACAACAACAATACGAATAAAAATAACGATAATAATTGTAAAAATAATAAAAAATTATAATTATATTATTATGAATAATAATAATAAAATAATAACTATAAAACAATTCTAATTAAATTAACAATAATAATAAAATAATGATAAGATAATAAAAAATAATAAAGATGATGATGATGATGATGATAATGATAATAATAACATAATAACAAAATAATAATTATGATAGTCATGTTAGAGTTGTTGCATCACAAATTTCATTTGTTATTATAACTGTCAGAAATCCCTTATAGGTGCTTTAAATACATAAAAGAGATAACTAATTCCATGTTATATCATAAGTAACACAGGGACTGTTTGTCTGTTACAGTTCTCCATTAAGTCTTTGTTTGGATCACCTGAACTAGCAGCAGTACCTTTAATTTTTTAAAGGAAATGTTGCTGTTTATTCCTTTAAGTGTGTTTTTAGTCTTTTACACAAATCGACGTGCATGAATAGATGTGACTTGAGGTGATGGTCACTGAAACAAAACACCCGTCGTTGTTTTTTACCGAGGATTTAAAGTTATTTTACATAATCAGTGTGGCATCACAGCCTGAAGACTTCTATCACTGCTGCTACTGAGAGGGAACGTTGACGACAGTGTTTAATCAGAGAGGCAGATCCCTTTGCCATGAGACAAACGCATTTGATTTCATAAAGAGTAGCTGCAACCAGACCAATAACTGTGTTTGCACTGACAAATAGTAAAGGCATCCGCTTTCAACCAACGTCACCTGACTGCACCTACCTGTGGTGACAGAGGAGGTCATGGAAGTTCAAACACACCTGCATTTAAATAGCAAATCTGCAGTAAAATCAAGTCGCTCGCTCGCCGTGTGGCAGATTTGAGTGGATTACACTCCCACATGAGTCGTCATGGACTGAAATGCATCAGTCTGAATGAGGAAGTAATGATGACCTCCTTGTCTTATTATGTTTCCAGCTCATTAATATGGTCGCTTGGCTGCAGGTGCATATGTCCCCAAAGTCAATATTATGTTAATTTAGGACATTAAAGAGGCATTCAGCTGAATTAACGTTCTCAGCCGGGTCATAAACTCACTATAATGTCTTTCCTCTGATTGTCTCTTTGAAGCCTGAACCATCCAACCTGCAGGTGAGACAGTTTATGGATTTCTTATATTTAACCTGCATGGAGGAAACGTCCGTCTTCCTTTGTTCGATTGTTTTTCTGTCTGCTCTTATCGTTATTGATCAAGACTCGAACACCCTCTCTGATGATGTTATGATGAGTTTGAGGTGATCTCCATGTGATGTTACTCCACCCTTCACCCTTTTTAACCCACTTAGGTCAGTGCAGTTTGGTCCTGATTGAAGTTACTCCATAAATCATCGATAATCCCTCTCCAGAAGAAACCAACACCAGAGTACCTGATCGTAAATACCCCATGAGTCTACCGTCTACACAGTGTTAGTAAGTGTTACCATGTGTTTCTCAGCATGCGTTATCTAGACAGAGAGAAAATGGACACTCAGTCTGAGACAGGGACACAACAAACAAACACACAACACGGTGAGGACATTTCTACAACAACGAGTATTTACTGTACTTTCTGTCCGATGACACACTGAGGGTGTGGCGCTAAGAAACGGCGATCAATAAGGCAACAGGTGCTTCAGAAATCGGACAAATTCAGCGTTAAAGATCCAGGCAGTCAAACTGAGTTTAGACGACTGCAGAGAAGAACACGAACATTTCATTACAGTCAGAGTTTTAACTGTTTTCCTGTTTATTATTGTATGTCAGACCACGATCATACAGTGACGTTAGCTTGGAGGTGATAAAATACTAATACGAGTTAATGAACACATTTGACTGTTCAAAGTATTTCTGCCCACAACCTTTGCAGTTACACGCTTTAGCCACAAGGCTAAACTGGTGCGTCACTTAAAGGGATATTCTGGCGTAAATTTAAGCTATGGTCACTCCGTCGAGAGATGAATGTTGACGACCGCTTGCTTCTCTAGTTATACCAAATTTAGTAACGACTGCAGGATAGTAATACAGAGAGCCACGCCCTCAACCAAAACGCCACTCTATAGCCACGAATAATGCTCAGAACAGCACCTAACTTCATCAACAGGTCATATAGGGTCACAGACATAGTACTAGACACCAAACATCTTTTTAACTTTGACTCATTTCTTTAACAAAGAGACTAAACACAACTCACCTACTCTCTTCCAGCAGCCGCTTGTATGTGTCCATTACGGACTACAGCGGGGTGTCGCAGCTCAAGGAAGAACATTTATGATCATTTCTTTATCATTTCCTCAAAGTAATAATCATCATATTAATCATTTTGCAGACGCTGTAGTTCTTCTGTCTAAGTATCTCAGTCTGATTGTATTTCCATGAAGAAATACCGTATTTTTCGGACAATAAGTGGAACTTAAAATCCTTAAATTTTCCAAAAAATTGACAGTGCGCCTTATAATCCAGCAACTTTGGTAAGCAACGGAGCCGCTCTGCTCAGTGGATATTCGGAAATATTTGGCCCCGTAACAGGACCCCTGAGCAGTCTATAAGACTGCCTGTCTGTAATTTCTAAACTAGAAGTGCATTCTTGTAAAGAGCCTGGAGTATGTGCTAGCAACATAAAACAATTAATGCTTAATGCGCCTTATATGTGAACATAGACAGGTTAATTCACAGTGCGCCTTATCGCCCAAAAAATACAGTAATCATAAATTTTCTTCTGCACTCATTAATCGACTCGTCAGGACCCTTCCTATAAACAAGCGTCTGCTGGAAGAGAGTAGGTGAGTTGTGTTTAGTCTCTTTGCTAAAGAAATGAGTCAAAGTTAAAAAGATGTTTGGTGTCTAGTACTATGTCTGTGACCCTATATGTCCTGTTGATGAAGTTAGGTGCTGTTCTGAGCATTATTTGTGGCTATAGAGTGGTGTTTTGGTTGAGTGTGTGTCTCTCTGTATTTCTATCCTGCGGTCGTTACTAAAGTTGGTATAACTAGAGAAGCAAGCGGTCGATGGAGTGTCTAACTCAATGTTACGGCGTGTTTTCACCATAACTTAAATTTACTCTGGAGTATCCCTTTGACAGTGAACTAAAAATACATAATTCTGTAGTTACCTGTGTGCCTTTCTTGTCATATTTCAAATTGTTTTGCTGGGAAACAGTTGACTGCTGATTGTAGGATAAAAATAAAGAGACAGATTAGCATTGAACCACTATTGTCCCCACATGGGAAACAGGTTACTGTCAGGTTATGTGTGCCTTTCTTCTTCTTCTATCTATCGCTGGATTCACTTCCTTCCTTCTTCTGGTATTTAAATGGTAATCTCAGTGAAACATTGGGTAAATTCTGCAGCAATACTTTCTGGTTACAAATGAAGATGAAACCCCAGGAAAGCCTCTTTGTTTACTCACCTGAAAACACTGAACACAGGAAGTTACAACTACAGTGATGTTAGCAAACTAAAGCCAGCGTCAGTGAAACACGTATGAGGGGAGACTTGGATGGAGACTGATGTCGTCACTCACCCGGTGCTGTTTGTGCAACAGCTTTAAGGTGGAGATCCTGGGTTTTACAGAACGGTTAAACTCCCTCAGACACAGAGAGAGGGGGGAGTGCTGCAGCTTGGTGAGGGGGAGGGAGAGAGGGAGGGAGAGGGGATGGCTGCCCGGTGGGAAAGGGGATGGGGGAGAGAAAGACGGACGGGAAAACTGAGGAGGAGTGGAAAAAGACAGGGCAGGAAAAACAAGGAGGAAAGGAAGAAGAAAGAAAATTACGCTGCTAATGAGAGGAGCAGGAGAAGAAGGAGAAGAAGAAGAAGGAGGAGGTCAAACAGATGCAGAGATTTGTGTTGTTAAGAAGACAAAGAGTTAAAGAGCGAGCCGAGGGTGTTTTAAGGCAAGTCTGTGCAGCAGACTGGAATCAGAATAGGCCCCAAGGGCAACAGGGCGGTGGGGTGAGACATGTCAGGAATGTGTGCAGAGTTTTGTGTTTGTGTGTGTTTGCTCTCAGACACGGTGGGGACAGCGTGTGAGCTTCAGTTTGCACTAAAAAGTCAACAACAACAAAAACAAGAACATGAGAAAAACCAGGTCTGATGGTTTTTACAGCTTTGACTCATGAGAAGTTTCTCTGCAACAAGCTGTCAAACAGGCAGCGGTTCAGGTCCATCCAGCTGCTGCAGCTTTTTTTAGACGTGAGCTGAGTAATCGTGAATATTTCAGATTCAAACACGTCGACTATTAAAGGATGAGTCCGCGAATAAACCTCCTCTTAGACTACTAATCCCACTTAAAGACCAAACCAACAGTAAACTGATCCTCCATTAAGAGCCTGGATGGATTCAGAGCCGCAGATCTTCGTTATTTAACAAAAACAATTTTAACACAATGATGAGTCACAGTGCAGCTCCCGATGACTGGGCGCTGGTCCGGTTTCTAATCGCACTCCTGGCCTACATATCACTGAACCAGATGCTTTTTTACTTATTGAAACTTTTTATTTGTACTTTAGATGAGTCAGTTTTTGGACTTTTCATGAGATAAACTGACAATAAAAGGGAAAACTACAAGAACAAGTCCAATATAATAAAAGAAGATCAACTTCATGAAGAGTTTTGATGTTTTTTAGACGAATAAATGGACGCCAAACTTTAAGTTATAATGATATACAGTACAGGCCAAAAGTTTGGACACACCTTCTCATTCAATGCATTTTCTTTGTTTTCATTACTATTTAAATTGTAGATTCTCAAAACTATGAATGAACACATGTGGAATCATGTGCTTAAGAAAAAAGTGTGAAATAACTGAAAACATGTTTTATATTTTAGATTCCTCAAAGTAGCCACCCTTTGCTTTTTTGATAGCGCTGCAAACTTTAGCTGTTCTCTCAATGAGCTTCATGAGGTAGTCACCTGAAATGGTTTTTACTTCACAGGAGTGCCTGAAGTAACCCTGACAAGGTACTTCTGTCATCAAGACCAAAGGGTGGCTATTTTAAAGAAACTAGAATATAAAACATGTTTTCGGTTATTTCACACTTTTTTTATAAGTACAAAATTCTACATGTGTTCATTCATTGTTTTGATGCCTTCAGTGATAATCTACAATGTAAATAGTCATATAAAAAAATAAAGAAAAGACATTGAATGAGAAGGTGTGTCCAAACTTTTGGCCTGTACTGTATTATAGGGCTGAGCGATACGGCCTCAAATCAATATCATGATATGTTGATCGGTTTACCTCGATAATGATAAATGGACGATAACTACTCCACAAGTTTATTTATTTGACACTGTATGTACTGATATGAGCAAAATGACGTCAGTTTTTGTCATAAATTTAGGTGTCAGTAAATGTTCGGTTTATCGCCCAGCCCTAATATATAATGTGTCTGTGTATATTTTGACATGCACTTTAACGATCTCTATCAAAATGCACATTTAATAATAACCCCACCTTAAAACCACTAAACTTTGATTTTAATTAGTGAAAAAAATGGCCGTAAAATTCAAGTTTAGTTTATGTTTAAATGAGATCTGCGGTTCTACATTTTAGTTCAGCTACCTGGGATAAGAAATGTAGTATTTAATGGACTATAAATGAGTAATTAAAACCTAATTACAGTAACTAAAGTGTCATCTCATGACTAAACCCGAGTTTGTCTCAAGTTTTAGAGTAAAACTTTAAACTTTAACTTCAGAACTGATCTATGTGGGTGTTTATCCGTTTCCAGTCTTATCTTGTTTTATTTTCAATATGGAGGCACCGATCAGCTGCACAGAGGACAGGACAGGGAGGATACTCAGGCTGTCAGAGGTCTTCTTATACAAACTCAGAGAGGAGCTCATCAGAAGTTAGAAGAGCGAAAACTCACCTTGTGCTTCTTGCTGAAAGGCCAGAGCTTGGCGCGCACTTTAGGCGGATTAAGACTGGAGTCAGAGGTCGCTGGTTTGATTCCTTGGCTGTAGTCCTCAAACTCCACGTCTCCGGGTCGCTCAAAACCGGACTTGTGCTGCTCTATGAAGAGTATGGAGTCCTAACCAAAGACAGACACAGAGAGAGGAGAAGTCCTCAAAGTTCAAATGATAACTCAACCATAAATATCATCAATCTCGTAGAAATAAAACTCCAATTATTGACTAAAACAAAAACAGTTTTAAGAAAACGAACAGCTCTTTACAGCGATGGATGAACCTCAAACAGTGTTTGTTGGTTTTATTGTCCTTAAGGTTTAAAAATTAACCTTTTTTATCATGTATATAAACATGAGCTGCACAAACAAAGATGGTTTATTACTGACCAAAAATACTTCTATAAAATACGCATTATGACTTTGATATAATTTTTAGATTACAAAAGAGGAGTAGGACTGTTTTATTGTATCTTGCACAGATACAACATATCCTCGCTGTAGGTGTAACCATCGATAATCCTGCATCTGCATCATAATCTTCAGCGCAGTCTTTTCAGAGTCTGAATATTTATGATCACACTGTCTTTGTGGGACAAAAAAACAACGACTTCCTTATTAACTCTTCTACAGAGGACATGTTGTCGAGTGACGAGCGACAATGCTGTCGATTCATTTTCATTAATCTCAACAATACGACTTGATTCAGGAAATTTTGTCTTTATTTGCGTCCACTTTATTCTTGTAATTTCAACTTTAATCTTGAAATTTAACTAAATTTTCGACTTTTTTAACACAATTTTGAGTTTTTAATCATTAAATTTCAACTTTAATCTCTTTCCTGTAACTTTTGTTTTTCTATTTATGTGGCCCTAATCCTCTTTCGTATTATATGTTGGAAAAGGAAAGACACTTCCTGCATTTTTATGTTTTTATGGCGTATCACAATGTACAAACGTAGAGTATGAACCCTTCAGCGTCTTCTCGTACCTGTTTCTCGTTTATTTTGACCCCTGCCGCAGACACGCCCTCTAAACACTTGGAGATGATGGGCAGCACCTTCTTTTCGATGTCTGAAAACTGGCAGTAACCCTCCGCCAGCCGCCGAATCCTCCGCTCGTCCATGTCCTGTAGTTTCTGTTCAACATACGCATTTATAAAAAACTGATTCGCTGGATCTGATGGAGGGCGGGGGAGATAACGTCACATAAACAGGGTATGTGTGTGTGTGTGTGTGTTTGGTTCCTCACATTGTAGATCTGTGGGATCTCTGTGTAGTAGAAGTAGTTTTGCTCCTTGTTGTACTTCTGGAGATAAGCAGCGTAGTCGTTCCTGCACTCCTCCGCCGTGTGCGTGCGGGAGTGGGCGTGCTGCTTGGCCTTCAGAGCGAGAGACGGGTGCAAGGACGGAGGAGAAAAAAGGGAGGGGAGGATGAAGAGATGCAGGAAGAAGTGGGGGGGAAACGAAGAGATGCAAAACAAGATGCAAAGTGGGGATTAGTGCGGACAGATGCAGGGAGGAGGACGAGGGAGGGAAGTGAGTCAGACGGGGGTGAAAAATGGAGAGAGAGGCAAGGACGGGTCAGGGATATCTTTGACTGAGAGCGTCTGAAACATGTGGGTGAAAACAAGGATCAGGTGTGTGTGTGTGTGTGTGTACGTGTGTGTGTGTTTACCTTTTCAACATCCAGCCTGGTGGCGTTGAGGTCCGCCTCTGTTTTCTCGGCCTGTTGTGTGGCTTTGTCGGCCTCCGCCCACTCTTTCGCAAAACGCTTCTTCGTCTGCAGACACGTACAAACAGAAACAATTTATTTCACATGAATAATGCAAAGAGTTTGAGAGGGTATTAAAAATGCAAAAGTCGGGGAATTCAGCCGCACTACAGATGAACTTTACTGTTCGGTGCAACTGTCCAACAAATAACAACGTTAATGCTTTTTTTATCAGGGGACGATTAACAGGAGTCAGAGATTTTTAACGACATTCACTAAATACTCGGAATAAAGAAGGAAAATAGATTTTAGAAAACGATTTTAAAGGTCCTGGACTAAAGAAACACAGGAGTAAATCTGGTCATTCAAATAGCAGGACTGAATAAACGAACAGATAATAGAGGAGAGTGAAACCTCAGGAAACCTCTCTGTGAAAATAATCTATAAATATTTGAAGTTCCTAAAATATTTAAAACTTTTGGTTTGTGTCAGTTTTGGTGCCCCAGGGAGCAGAGAAGTCTTTTCTTGTCGTCTACATACTTAAAGCTCCAGTGAGGATTTTTTTTAGTCACATTAATGTTTTTTTATGAAATCTAAAAGCAAAGGAGACCATCAGGGGTTTTATTTATGATTTTTATATTTGACGTAGGTGTGAGCTGAAGAGCTGAAGGTAGAGGGGTCTGTTTTTACAGTTTCTACGTGAAATATTCACAATAAATGAGACGGTTCACTGTCAACAGTCAGCAGGATGAGTTACGACTATTATGATGTTATGATGAGCAAAGACTGTTTTGTCCACAGGGGGCGCCATAACTGACACTAGGGCTGCACGATTTTGGCCAAAAATAAAACCCTATTTTTTTTTCTAAAAACTCGATTTTTGATTTTTTTTATTCAGTAACAACTTCACCAAACTTCACTTTAATAAAAAGTTTTTCTATCATCTCTCAGAACAAAACCACTGAAAATGATGTAGTTCATATGCCAAGCCTGTAAGTGGCGCTGTAATGCTGAAGAAGAGTACAGAGCATGTGTATAAAGGTTGTTTTGGCACCATAAAAGAGTTCCTCTGTGTGTCACATGATCGTTTCCAGAGATGCAGATAGACATCCACACGGAGATGAAATGGTCGTCGTTTACAGATTTATTCACTCTCTGACCCGTTTTTAAAAAGTACCGTTTACAGTCACCTGAAACGCCGATACGACAAAAAACTTAAGCGTTTCCTCCTGAATTCGTTTCCGTGGTGACGGGTTGATACCGCCTTCAGACAGACTTTACAGCGGGGAGTGGTTTACTCTTCATCTGAAACTGTGAAGTCGTACCAATTCAACACGACTGACTCGCTCTTGTCCTATTTAACCACGAAATTATCGCCTTCTTTTGCAAACGCCATGTTTGTTTACACTGGTGTGTGTGGGAGGAGGATGAGCCTATGGTGGCCTGGAGGGGTGAGACATGATAGAGAGGAAAATCGATTTGAGGATTTACATTTTTTTAACGTCATCATAATCATATAATCCGATTAATCGTGCAGCCCTAGTTAACTCAAGTCAAAAGTTCCTTACAGGAGCTTTAAATAGTGACTTCAGAATTTATTTATGTGGGAAAATGTCACCGACCACGATCACTCCAGCTTCTGGCTTTAGAAACTATCATATTAAATCCTTAAAATCCTTGTTGATATTATGAAAAGACATTAACATGAATTTCAGCCGATTTCATAAATGAGTAAAACTCCTTATAGTTGCTTTAAAAAGACTGTGGATAAACGGCCTCTGTAAATCAAGGGTGCAGATATCACAGAGGATGATACTAACTTATAATACTCTCTATTTTACTCTCTACTCTGTGAAGAACCGTTTTGATTGGTGCTCACTGAGGTTATGTCTTCACTACTTCCTGTCTAAGGAGTTCTCTGTAGAGGACTTTGAGAAACACTGAAGAAAACGCCTCGCCGCTTTCAATGGATGGCGTCATCGCTATTGCATCACAACTACAACACGAGTGTTTGGGTCAGAGTGTCTTCACGTAGACTTCCAGGAACTCGATCTGTCCTGAACCAACAAAACTTAACCAAACCTTCATCGTGAAAAGACACAAAGTCAGAGTTACTCACACTTTCTAGGTGTTTAAAGCTGCTCTCGAGGTTCTGCTGGGCCTTCTTGGCGTCGGACAGGTGCTGAAGAAGAAAGAGGTTAAAGCTGATGACACGGTCTATCTGCAAACATCAGTCTCCTTCCCTCCTCTCTTACTGTTTTGCGCTCCTGTTTGATATCTTGAAGGTATTTGGTCAGTTCCACACAGATGGCCGTCATCATGTTTTCGGCGATGAGCTCTCGCTGGCCGGCGTAGTCGTTCAGCTCGTTCAGGATCTCCTGGAATGATGCGTGGTTGCTGAATCTGCAGCACAGACGGTTAGGAGACAAAATTTATGAACTCATATTATCCAGATACGGTCAGATTTCCGATCTCACTGTTTCATGTTATTCTTTAATTTAAACCTTAGGATAGAAAATTATAAAATAAATCTATTTTAGAAATGCTGAGTCACACACCACCACAGTTTGTTGGTGTTTTGTGGACGTTTTCATGAGTCAGCTGATGTTTTGTTTTTTTAACCTCACACATGTCGCTTTAACTTCAACCCTCGAGCACGACTTCATGTGGACACTATGTCGATGTTTAAGACCCTCTGACGTGACTCAAAAACTAAAGCTCGTTTTTAATCCTTTCACACATTAAATATATTGAGGTGTAACATCGCTTCATGCCAGCCTGTGTTTTTATGTCGAGTCGAGTGGTGGACAGATGGGGAAACTCTCACCCTCACTTTCTCTCTCTTCCTTCTCTCTCTCTCTGTTGGTGTTCTTTTCTTTCCTTCCTCTCTTTCTCATCCACACTCGTCCGTTTGTTCGTTTGTATGGATTACACAAAAACACTCTGTGTGCTGACACAACTGTAACCTGTTAACCTGATTGGTCAACGTTTTTGAAGAAGTCACTTCAGGGTCTTTATGTTACAATCAGAGAGGGTTAAGTTCTGTTTCCGGAATTTAACGTCTGGGTTTTTGTAAATCTGATCTGGATAAGCTTTACTGTCCAGTCTCTCTGGATTATACTTGTGAATCGGTTGAGACTTAAACTTGAAGACTGACCTGAACAGTTGCTCCTGAGTTTTACCTGCAACATGATACTGATACATAATACACTATTGATCAATTTTATATTTCATATTATCATAGTTATTATTATTATTATTATTATTATTATTATTATTATTATTATTATTATCGTTGTTCTAATTATTATCATTATTATTAGTTGTACTATTGTTATTATTGTGATTATTATTATTATTATATTATTATCATTATTGGTGTTATAATTATTGTTGTTATTATCATTATGTTTTTTATCAGTGTTATAATCATTGTTATTATATTATTAGTTTCATTATTATTTTTACTACTATTATTATCATTATTATTATCATTGTAATTATAATTATTAAAATCATTATTACCATTATTATTATTATTATCGTTATCACTATTATCATGATTTTTATTATGATAATCATTATTTTATTATTATCATTATTGTTGTTGTGTTGAGATGCTTCAGAAATGCCAATATAGCATATTAAAATTGAAATTGACTGATTGCACTCAGACTCTGAGATGAGAACGACCGTGTGGACTTGTTGTATATTTTTATTTAGGGCTGGGCGATAAACTGAAAATGTACTGATACTGAAATTTACGACAATAATGACGTCATTTTCCCGTGTCAATATGTTAGTAAATCAAAGTTGTTTTTGGATGTGTGTAGGTAGGCTATGGTCTCATGTCCCTTTAAGACGCTGTCCTACGTCAGAGACGTGACTCCACCCCATCCAGTCTGTAACAAAGAGGTAAAGACAGGTGAGGAGATGGAGGACGGAGAGAAAGTTGGAGCGGCTGAAGTAGACGAAGTTAATGTGGGAGGGGGTGAGCAGCTGGTGGAGTAGTTATTGTCCATTTACCGTTATCGAGGTGAACTGATCAATATATCGTGATATTGATTTGAGGCCGTATCGCCCAGCCCTATTTTGATGACCATCACAGTTTTGGTTGTTTCTCTAGTTTGAGGTCCTGATCCTTGTCCAGGTTCAGGTCTCACCTGTGTTCACCTGCTGCTTCGTTCTCATGTGGTTTATGAATAAAACAGTCAAAGTCGGAGGATTTCCACTCCGCTCTGACTCTTGGCTCCAGCTCGACCTTATGTTCTTGTTTCGTCCGTGCAAAATCGGAGACTTATTGTCCAAAATTTTATTATTCCCTCTGCATGTGTGCCGTGCAAAGACGGAGAACCACACAGGCCCGTAAAATCAGAAACTCTAGAGACGACAGTGAAGACATGATGGGAAAGTCTCTCACTTGCATTCTTGTTCTTCTTTGCTCCCTCGTTTGGCGTATTTCTTCGAGAGGCTCCTGTTAGGATGTGAAGAAGAAGGAGCAGATATTTCACACGTTCACTCATTCATTAACGCTTCATTAAGAGGCTGAGAGGAAACTGTGGCACACCTGAGTTGTTTGGCGTAGCTCTGCTCTATTTCTGTCCGCTCCTTCACAAACTTGATGTATCGCTCCACCAGGTCGAGGCCGGACTGCGTGTGCTTGTCGATGTGATCGTACTGGTCCTGGAAGACAGGAGAGGATTTTCTTACCGCACATGTTCATGCAAACAGAAAAAAATGACTGCAGGGACACAGTTCACGCCGGAGTCAAACAAACTCTGACACAGTGAAAGATTTCCACATTTCAAGAGTGAAAGCAAAACCGACTCAGGAAACAGATTCAGAGGAGAAGAAGAAGTGAAGCTGTCTGCAGTCTCAGGAGGATCAGAGGGGAAGTTTCGGACGATTAACCAGATCAGACGCCTCAGACTAAAGCTCCGAACTTCTCTGTGATTTCTATTTCTGGTGACGTTCACTCCTAAAAAGAAACGAGGTGATTTAATGAAACAACAAATTCATGAAGCTGTCTGAAGTTTTCTCGTTATGAACTCATGAGAGCGTTTCCTCAGTTTGTTTTGATTTATTGTCTTTTAATTCTGTTGTATAAAAAGTCTAAATGATGGATTATTTTCCAGTTAAGGTGAAGTGAAAACAGCGATAGATAAACTGTGATAAATACACATGAAGTCCAGATTTATTCTCTCTATAAACGTCTCTGAAGTCGATGTAAATAAACGGTTTAACTTCCTAGAAGAGCTCAGATCAAACAGAAGAGGAACTAAAGTTTGATCAAGAAGTTTTATCTTTAACTTCCTGTTCAGCCCTAAATCTACAGACTAATTAATCAGACGCTCTCTCCAGCTTCACTTTCACCAACACTGACCTTGTTTTTGGGCGGAGACTCACGCTGATTCACAATTAACTCAAACAGGAAACCTTCAAAGAACCGGTTCGTCTTCCCATGAGTTTTACAGATGAGTCATTATGTCACTGGAGGATACATGTCTCTGCGCCTCTAAAGCTGGTTATACAGCAACGATACTGCAGCTGAAACACAGAGAAACTACGGCTGATCGATTAATCGATTGATCGGATTATTGGATTTTGACGATGTTAAAAAATCAAAATACTCAAATTGATTTTCCTCTCTATCATGTCTCACACCTCCAGGCCACCGTAGGCTCCTCCCCTTTCCTGCAGGAGTGCCCCCCAGTTCCCACACACTAATGTAAACAAACATGGCGTTTACTAAAGAAGGCGATAATTTCGTGGTTAAATAGGACAAGAGCGAGTCAGTCGTGTTGAATTGGTACGACTTCACAGTTTCAGATGAAGAGTAAACCACTCCCCGCTGCAAAGTCTGTCTGAAGGCGGTATCAACCCGTCACCATGGAAACAAATTCAGGAGGAAACGCTAAAGTTTTTTGTCGTATCAGCGTTTCAGGTGACTGTAAACGGTACTTTTTGAAAACGGGTCAGAGAGTGAATGTTAGGATGAGTTTCTTTAGTCAGTCATGTCAGCCTTTAGAGTGGTGGAGCTGTGTCACTCAAATACCCCAGACACTTTGGTGTTAGATTGCTGGAGCCGGGGGCCTCCTACAACCATCCCTGAGCAAGGAACCCTGTACACATTATTTACATCATACGGGTCCCCAAAATACGTTTTGCCATGATATTTCCTTCTTGGGACCTTCCACATGTTCATCTAAGGCTTTTGAAACATGTTGTCCTTTGTTTTTACCATACATGGATTTCTCCTCGGGTCAACTAAATACCAACAGTATGTTTAGGATTGTGAACCGCTATATATACTTGAATGTTCTTGGACCACGGGGGGCTACACTTGTGTTGGTCACACTTGTGACACACTTGTGTCACACTCTTTGTCACACTTGTGTTGCACTTGTGTTACACTTGTGGCCTGCTGAAGCTGTAACCCAGATATGTAATCAGTAAAGCTTGTCAAAATGACCATTCGTGTGGACCTTCGATTCTTTCTAGTGTGAACCTGGGCTAGGCATCCTTACAGTGAATAAATCTGTAAACGACGACCATTTCATCTCCGTGTGGATGTCTATCTGCATCTCTGGAAACGATCATGTGACACACAGAGTAACTCTTTTATGGCGCCGAAACAACCTTCATACACATGCTCTGTACTCTTCTTAACAGCACCACTTACTGGCTTGGCATATGAACTACATTGTTTTCAGTGGTTTCGTTTTGAGAGACGATAGAAAAACTTTTTAATAAAGTGAAGTTTGGTGAAGTTGTCACTGAGGAAAGAATTGAAAATTGAAAATTGTGTTTTCAGAGAAAAAAAAATCTGGATTTTATTTTTGGCCAAAATTGTGCAGCCCTATAAGTTAACCTGTTGCACATGATCCTAATCAGACAGATGTTCCCGCGGGTGTTTTTGGGTGTTAAACCAAATTTTCAGTGTTTTGTTTCTCGCTTAATTTTCACACAATAATGTTTTTTTCTAGTTACAGCATTTGACAGGTTGTCTTTACTCTAATTTGAGTTACTTATAGAGTTTAAATGTTGCTGTATTATATCAGATTAGACAAAAAAAAAGGAAAATTTTTCTCATTTTTACCAACCAAACATTTTGATTGAACTTCCTTTGACGAGTAAAAAGTCTGATTACATTTTCATCCTTTCAGGAAGCTGAGTGATAAATCGGTCAGTTTGGCGCTTTTTCGGCTGAATTACACTTCATGTGCATCACATTTCATCAGGCTGGACACACACGCACACACACACACACACACACACACACACACACACACACACACACACACACACACACACACACACACACACACACTAAAGTGTTATAGAGATTAAAGCAGACTCTCCTTTCAGCATTCCTCACCTGCTTTTTACACACAGCCCTACAAAGCACACTCCCACACACATATACACACACACACACACACACACACACACACACACACACACACACACACACACACACACACACACACACACACAAACCTGTCGAACAGGTCACACACCAGTTTAGATCTCCATGACACACAGTAGAGGCCTCACTTAAATCGAACATAACCACAAAACACACAAGAATCAGGACACAGAGAGCAACAGGGAGGTTCTGCTGTTGTGTCTCTTATGAAACACAAAAAGGACTCCACCTTGCAGAAGTGTGTGTGTGTGTGTGTGTGTGTGTGTGTGTGTGTGTGAGCATGGAGGTCGTTTGGAGCCTGAGACATAGATATTGAGTCCTCAGAGGAGAGAGGAAGCTAAATGGAGAGCGTAGACTAACACAGATAGAAACGTCCTGGATACGAGCGGACCAGCAGGGAGGAACTGGATCAGAAAGCACCAGGGAGAAAAGAGTCAATTAGACGTTTTTCCTGGGAAATGTGCAAATCAGAACAAACTGCAGATGACGGGGAGATTAGCTCGCCGCTGGAGAATCTTTGGGAAATATTCCAGCATGTTTTTGACTTCTTCTTCTTCTTCTTTTACGCCCCATTACTTCTCCTGCATGTTTGTGGGAGAGGAGGAAACACTGATAGTGAGTCGGAGAGGGTTCAGGAATGAGATAATCATTAGCTCAGTGTGAACCTCCGCCCTGTGACTGACGGTCCCCAGGGCCTCTCTAAAGCCTGGAACCAGTCGGACTAGTCCCACCCCTCTCTGTGACGCAGCAGCGTTTCCTGAACCAGGCTGAACTGAGGTCAGATTTTGGCTCACCTCAGTCAGACTGAAAGCTAAAAAACATCAGGATTGCACAAACTCGACTAGAATCCAACTCTGAAGTTGTTTCAAACTCGATAACTTTCAGCTGTTTGGCTTCAGGAAAACTCACAGATGTGATCCTCCTCGTAGAAGATTTTAACTTCACATATGAATCTGTTTGATTTTGATTTAAGTTCATCAAAGTACAAAGAAATGCATCACATCATTTATAGTCTGAGCTCATTTACAGGATATTTCCCAGGATGGTCTTTAAATACTCAAAAACTACAAGAACCAGGGGTGGGACAAAAAATACATCCTTGTGTGAAACTTCTTTTACCAAAAAACTGAAAAACACAGAAATTCCCTGACAGTTTCTCTCTGTGAAAAACTACAACTACTGATTCTTCACAGTGGTGCTCATGACATGGATCAGGGGAACATGAACGGAAATTAACTGGCCAAAGAAGAAGAAGAAGAAGATGTACAAGTAGAAGTAGAAGATGAAGAAGAAGACGAGGTATAAGAAGAGAAAGAAAGAGAAGTATAAGAAGTATAAGAAGAAGAAAAGGCATTATAAGAAGAAGAAGAGGTATAAGAAGATAAAGTATAAGAAGAAGAGAAAGAAAAAGAAGTATAAGAAGGAAAGGAAGAAAGAGAAGTATAAGAAGTATGAGAAGGACAAGAAAAAGAAGTATAACAAAAAGAGAAAGAAAAAGAAGTATAAGAAGGAAAGGAAGAAAGAGAAGTATAAGAAGTATGAGAAGGACAAGAAAAAGAAGTATAACAAAAAGAGAAAGAAAAAGAAGTATAAGAAGAAACAAAACAAAAACAAAAAGAAATACGAGGACAAGAAGAAGAAGTATCAGAAGAAGAGGAAGTATAAGAAGAAGAAATATAAGAAGTATAAGAAGTTTTAGAAGAAGAAGATGCAGTATAAGAGGAGGAATGAAAAGTATAAGAAGAAAAAGAAGTGTAAGAAGAAGTTGACAGCTGCATCACTAAGGAGACAAGATCATGGGAATAGCGATGATGTCAGACAACAAGATGTGCGGGTCACTTTCTAAAGCTGAAAGAAAAATGGTGGATAAATGTGAATCCAGCCTTTTCTGCTGAGACGAGAGAGGAGGAGGAGGAGGAGGAGGATGGGGAAGAGGAGGAGGAGGTGTAGTTGGACTATCTTCACAGGTCACAGAGTCCTGTGTGATATTTACTGCCCAGTATGTTAAAAATGAGGGAGACCTACAGACAGAGCTGGTTCAGCAGAAGTTTCTGAACTGAGAGTTCCAGAGAAGTTAACCCAGACTGGAGACGTAGATATCGATACTGCGGTGACTTTAGATCGAGTTCATGTGATAAAGTTGAATCATAAACTGTAAACAGGTTAGTTCTCCAAAGTTGTGTAAATTTAGTGTATTACTGCCGTTTATATCCCTGTTTAACACAAACATTATCATTTATCCTGATCGCTTAATCAAACACAGATTGATTCACACGTTTATACATGAGTTTAAGATCACGGGCTGAAAAGCTTCTGATAGATGAAAATAAAACGGTATCGTCTGTAAACACAAAAAAAAAAAACACTCCATGAACTGACCAGGAAGTAAGTGTACCGGGAACAGAACCCTGTGGTACTCCTGTATTAATCCAAAGAACAGTTTCTTACTGTTCCTGACGACACATGTGGATCTTTGTCTGTGTGGTTTTCTGAACGTCATCCTAGTTCCTTTTATTATTGCCTTTTGGTTTTTATTTATTCTGTTTCCACTTGTTTTACTTTTCGTATCTTTAAATGTCTCAACAACATCTATGTTTCTATATCTCTTTATGTCACCCTATAACTCCATTCCTATTATTCCTGTTAGATCTCTCTTTATCACTTTAATCCTCTTCCTTCCTTCGTCCTTTTGGTCCTGGTTCAGTTCGAGTTGTTGGATTCTTCCATCACCTCGGTTCTCATAGGTTCTAGTTTTCTAGGGTGATAGGTTAAATTGTTGTTTAATCATCAAGTTATCATTATTATTAATTAAAATACAGTAATGAGTAGAAGGAACAGCGACTTGGTTTCACATGAGAACCTAACCCCGCTCTCTTGGGTCTGAGTCCTGTGATGTTTTGTCAGGTTTAACAACCACAACTTCTGGGTTAGTTTAGACAAAGGTCACAGTCTGGGCTTCAAGAGGACTTTGGTTTTCTGATTTAAAGGTGTTTTACTTTAACATACTGAGTACCACCTCCATCTAACGAAGCGACACAAGGTTGTGTTCATTTATGAAAAAACATCCAATCAAGATCCAAAAGCTTTAAAGGTAACACAACGAGAAAAGGCTGACGAGGCGAAGCATGAAACCATGATTGAAACCGTACTCACACAAAAGAGGAACTGAAAATACACTGAGTGATTTACAATGTTATTATGATATCCTGTTATTTCAAATCAACTGGATTATTCAGTTTTATCGGTTTTCAAATTAATCGACCCTTAATTTTCTAAAATGAAACAGTCACGTGGCGATGTCTCCAAACGGACCGTTCTGTCGTTCAACCAAGAAAGTTTGTTTACCTCTCCAAAGCTGTGACTTTAGTTTTACCTTTAAAAATCATAAACACACTCGTATATAACCACCGCTCTAACAGCTGAATGATGAAGGAGACGTTTCATGGAGATTTTAAGGTAAATATTTTGATTTTACAGACCGCAGAGTAAATGTATTTATGAAATATTGACCCCAGAGTTGGTTAATGACAGTGACAGCTGAAGATAAAAATCCAGATTTAGAGGTCGGTCTACGAATACTCTTATCTCTGCTGCATTTTAGTTTTTCACCACATTGTAGTTTAATTTAACAGCTTTAACTCTTTAACAACAAACACAGAGTTAAAGAGCCACACAGCCGAGTTTAGTCTGTGTTTAAATCTCAGAGGTGCTCAGACTACGACCACAATCACAGCAGGACTCAGGAAAAGAAGTCATGTTTGCTCTTCAGTTTGAGTTAAACACACACTGAACGTACTAAACTCTCAGATTTACACCTCAGATTTTTCTGATTTAGGACTAAAACAGTTTGTTTTCAGCTGTAAGTCCTCCGTCGCTGTGAGGAGTTTCAGGATCTGTCGGTTCAGAGTCATGAAGATGTCTCGTCTAAACGTGCTTTTGTTGTGGAAGCAAATATATCAGTTTGAAAACGATTTCCTCTTTGATCGAGACGACTTTTGTCAGGATACAGAGGGATAAGGTTATGTAATGATTTGTTGGATTATTAATATTAACATTTGCAAGAAGAAGAAGAAGAAGAAGAAGAAGCCCTGGTCGAAGAGCTTCTCCGTCACTTAACAAACAAAACATCTTTCTAAAAAGAAAACTATCCAAACCAGCAGACCTCTAGACTCGTGTTATTTCCAGAAATCCTGTAAATTTCCAGAACATTTCAGGAAATCTGACTCTAAAATTACCCGACTGACAGCATGTCGTATAGGAGGCTGATCCTGACGTCACATAGAGGCAGCAGCAGTAAATACAGGCTGTAAATATGAAATTATTATGAAATAAACTCATAAATGTAAAAGTTTGGAAATTTTCAGGAACTGTGCAAGTAAAGAGTTACAGACACTTGAGAGTTTACGCTGAATACTGACTCAGGGAAATACTCAGAATAAAGAAGTAAGAAGACTCAGAGGGAAATTTCCCTCCTGATTTTGAAAGTCATGAATCCATATAAGAGCAAAAAACTTAAAGTGCTGTTAAACTCACCTATTTTGACCCACATAAAGGTCAAGTGTATGATAGATTATAAAAAGGATTGTTTTTACAGGATGAAATTAAAATATAAGTCAGTACAGCTCATTTAAATGACTTCTGTTCAGTTTTTAAGTCCTTTTTTTTAAACTGGTCATTTGTTGCCAAGCAAAAATGCCTCAAATTCTCCTGTTTTGGCTCCTCAGACGTGAGGATTTCCTGCCTTTCTCTTCCACATGAGGTGGTAAACAGGATATCTTTGGGAGTTGGGTCTCTAACTGGACAAAACAAGTAGGGGAGAGCGGGGTAAGATGAGCCACTTTTCATATTTCCGATCACAACATCAAGTCAATCCTAGTTTCGTCTCTAACTCGTGTATCTGCAGATATTTCAGGATGTTGTTCATCCTGCAAACCAACAGAATGAGTCTGAATAAAGTTGTCTCCTATGGTCAACTTACCCCGTGTATGGTCTAAGTTGACCGTTTTGTTTTGACATCATGTTGGAGCTCATAGATACAACAATTAATGTATAAACTAATTTAAAATGATCTTTTTTAGTCTGAACACAATTTTAATCAAACTTACGACAGACTAAATTTACTTTACAGAGTGAAAAATGTTTTTTTTCTTGTAAATAAATGTCTAACCTCTTCACCCATGTGCTTCTAACCTTCACAGACTCCATGAATTGACGCCCATCTCCTCAATATTTATATATTTTCAAGCAACAGGGGGTGGATCAACTTACCCCACTCTCCCCTGACCCTAAAGGCATTGTCTGGTCTGGGTTTGTTTTCATTTTGAGCATTTTTTTACAGTTTATAGCGAATGATTTACTGAGGAAGCTGAATGAAGTGAAACTACTCATTCCTTAAACGTGAGTCTCCACATGAAGACGCTTGAGGCTGATTTAGTGACGGTAAGGATGGTCTCAAATCACACCTCAACACTTCCTGGGTAGAGTCAGGAAACTTCAGGTGAAATCCTGCTGAATATGAAGAGTTGTTGGAGCACACCTTTAGAGATAAGGTGGCCACAGAGGGTCATAAAGCTCTCATGTCTCCCCTCTGCTCATGAGAAGGTATGCAGCAGGAGTTGCGAAATCCTCCCCTGGCTGCAGCTTTTACAGACACACTCCTGCTGTTGTCTGAAGATTACTTAACCCAGGCCTGCCGTGGAGAAACACCAACACACACACTCTACACACACACACTGTCTGTGCTGCACACGGCAACAATGGCAGGACGAACTACTCTGACAGGATGTGGGGGTATTTCTTTGAGTCTGTGTCAGCTGTCAAACTCACCCAAAGATCTGTGCCCCAGTCCATGTCTGCAGGAGGAAGAAGAAGTTGAGCCGGAGAAAGCCTCCTCCTCCTCTCACAGCAAAGAAAAAGGCTCGGCTACCTGGAGTTAGGAGGGTAAAAAAAGGTAGAAAAGTCCTGTCCTTCTCCTTCTAAAGCTTTCCCCAAAAAACTTGAGAGAGTCTCGAAAGCGGAGATGGCGGAGGAAATGTTTGGAGGAAGTCTACGCCTTCTCTCTGGCACGGAGGCGGCTGTCCTGTTTCTTCAGCCTACGAGAGAGAGGAGAGAAAAAAAACCGTTCAGGCGCTTTTTCCTGAAACAAGTTTGGGTCCCACAGAGAGAGAGAAAGAGAGAGAGAGAGAGAGAGAGAGAGAGAGAGAGAGAGAGAGAGAGAGAGAGAGAAGGGGGAGGGAGCATCGAGGAGCTGCAGGGAAAACTCTCTCTGTTTGTTTTTTATCTCTCTGAAGCAGCTGGAGGTTTTTTTTTTCCATCTTAAACACACAGTTTGAAATAAAGATAAATCCTTCAGTCTGACATTAAAACACCACTTCACTTTAGTTAGCCTCAGACTACACTTAGAGACATTTTTAACAAGTCAAACATGAACTTTATATCAGATTAATCCTCCAGAAACGGACGACTATTACTGTAAAACTATTGGCCGATTCAGAGTATGTCTTTTCTTTATACTTTAAACCAGAGTATATTTTTAATTTTTCTTTATTTTTTTTTAATTCTTTTTTTTACATGATATGATCTTGTTCTCTTGCATGTATTATTATTATTTTTATTTTTATTTTATTTTATTTTTTTATTTGTTTACTTTTGGAACTTAAGGGGCTCTGTAGTCGTAGGCAATGCATTTTTTTTTTAAATTACCAACGCTTCTTTCTAAATGAACAAGATTAAAGAAAATATGTACGGAAGCCTAAAGTGGCTTATTTTTTAAAAGATATGCGAAACTCGAACACAACATTACTCTCGGCCTCAATCAGTCAAAAACTAGCGTACAACGAAAACTACAAAAAGTACTATTACTATCCTAAAAAAGCACATCTATGGAAGCCTTGAAGGGCCAATATGCAGTATTTTGCTCTGTGGCTTAATGTCATTTGTTCTTTATGGTTAATTCTTTGCGTGGGAGCTAAAACACAAGTTCGTCTTATCATTTTTTTTTTTTACATAAAATGATGATTTTTTTAAAGCAGACATGAACAAACAATGAAAGAAAAACAATATTATAAATGTTCGCATCATATTTATCAAAAGTTTAAAAGAGTTTTTTTGTTCAGTTTATCTCACTGGATTTACTTACATCCTCCTCACCGATCAAGCAAACTACAGATCTTTACTTTCTTTATGCAGATATGACAGATTTTTTCAAAGATTTCTTTTATTTACTTTGTTTTCATTGAAAATATACATTTTTTTATTCATTGAGAATGTGTAAGACAGTATGTGACTCATTTTATAAACCTTTGTAAATTTCCTCCTTAATCGTCTTGCTTCATTCATTTTTTTGTGATCTTTCAGACCAGTCGGCTCTCATTTCACAGGCAGATATAAAATAAGTCATGCATGGTGTTTGTGTCACCACTAAAACAGGCATGACTAATAGACTCAGGAATAATGAGGTCAGGCTCATGTCCTCCTTTCATGCAGCAGCACCTCCTCCTCCTCCTCCTTACAGCAGAGATTACATCAGCCTACCTGTTGAGACCACACCTCTCCTCTCCCTGTGAAGGCGACACGAGGGCGACCCCGTGTGTTTTTCTGCACACCTGGGAAACGTTCTTACGTAAGAGCAAAGTCCTTTAGAAGTCAGAGCGTCGTCAGAGTTTGATTCTTCGACCTGCTTTTAGTCTTGATGAGAAAACAGCAGGAGGAAAGTTGAAGGTTTTGTTTTTCCAGAGAGTTTAAAAGTGTGGCTGTTCTGAAGTCCTGCAGATAAACTGTATCTTCATTTACTTTAGGGCTCCAACATTAGACATAAGAAATGATGAGAAAACCTGAAAGTCATAATTATAAAGTTTATTTTTGGAAATCAAGACTCTGATATGAACTCAAACACCGTAACTCTAAACATGCAATAAAAAATGTTATTAGCTTTAATTAATGACTGAAATTATTAAACTAATTACGATTAAAAAATGACTTTGTCAGTGATTTTGATCTCTGTGACTAACATAAGTTTTTTTGTATTTTTTGTTTTTTGTATTTTTTTGTATAATTCCTCCGATTTTTGAGAAGTTCTAGAACAACTTTGATTAAAGAAATCAGAGTTACCGTCCAGAAGGAGGCCGATTCAGGCTGGAAAACGAGCAAAAACTTTGAAGTTGGCAAACAAAATTTTTTAAAAACTTTTTAAAAACATATTTTGTCTCTTGATTGTCCACTTTGGCGCCCCCTGTGGAGAAAGGGACAGAATGCGTGGAGACCTGTTACTAAGAGAGCAGCTGAACCAGAGCTGACTCTCTGAAACAGAGAAAAATGAGATGGAGACCTGGTCCTGAAATAAATAAAAACATGAAGCTGCGAATCTGGACGTTTCTTTCTCAGAGGCAGACAGAAGAACAGCAAACAATCATAAAACAGGGACACTAAAGTTCAGAATGATCCTCCTCTCCTGCAGCTCTTTAGATTTCTGCTGGTGTTTCTTTGTGATCTGATCACTTGTTTGAACATTTGATAGTTGTTTGAATAGAAGAGCTATTTCAAGAGCAGGTTTACTTTCCTCTCCACAAAAGACGGAGAGTCGGTCTCTGTCTGTCTGACTTTAACAGCGCAGTTATTGATGGCTCATCCGGAGCACAGAGAGGAAATCAAACCCTCGGCCCTTTGAATGATGAACCAGGAGAGGGCCAAGGATGGTCAATCTTTCTTCCGCTCTCATACATCCCTCCGTCTCTTCTTCTCTCTATCTGTCTCTCCTTTTATCTTAATCTCTGTGTCAGGCCTCTGAATGGGGAGAGAGAGGGGGAGAGAGAGGGGGGAGCTTTTCTGCCAGGTTTGGTTCCTGTCGACATCTAATCCATGTTAATAAATGGCTCTTGAGGTCATCATGATGTAGCCTGAGGCAAAGGAGGAGAGATAGAGAGGCAGGCAGAAAATAGGTTTCCCTCTGAGTGTGTGTGAACGACCGATTTAGAAAGAGTGTGTGCTGATGGGCTGATCGGACACAGACTTATCACATAATTATGGTATTGAACATCTGATTTTAAAACTAACTAACTAACTGACTGACTGACTGACTGACTGACTGACTGAATAAATAAATAAATAAAAAATATAATATAATAAAAAAAATAATGTAAATAGAAAAATAAATAAATAAAATGGAATAAATTTAAAATAAATTTGTATAAAATACAAATAAAATAAAAAAATAAAAACATAAATAAAAAATGACAATTAATAAATAAATAAAATTGAATGACTATTATATTATAAATAAAAATGAAATAAAATAAAATACAAAAAACAAGTTAAAAAATAAGTAATAAATAAATAAAATAAATAAATAAAATGAAATAAATATAATATATATAAAATAAAAATAAAATAAAAAATATAAATAAAAAAATAATAAACAATATAAAATATTTAAAAAAATATATAAAAATTTAGGAGAAGCTACATGAAGACATTAAACATGTTAGAAACACGCTAGATGAAACTTGTTACAGTTCATTTGAATCATGATAAAGCCCACCGAGAGCAACAGCTAATATTTCAGGTCAGATGTCACACAAAATGTTATTAGATTTGCATAAACTGATTTTTTAAAGGCAGCATCAGTTCTTATTTGCAGTCATGCATTAAAGCTCCTCAAAGAAACTTTCTGTCTGTGTTGTGTTTGGCGCCCCCTTGTGGATAAAGTGGTAACCTTTCTATCATTACTGATCATTACTTGTTAAAAAAAGCATTGAAAAGCTAAAATAATCCCTTTCTCTTTTTCCTTCATCGCATCCAGAACGTCTACGAAAAGGCCGTATCTGCCGATTGTAGCTGATCGTAACCATTCAAGTTAATGTGTCAATTTTCACTGTCTTCTTTCCGCTCCACTGCGGATCGCAAGAGTTCTTAACAGAGGCTGTTTGATTATGGTACCGACCCCCTAACAGCAGATAACAGCCATAAAAAAATGACACTTTAAGGCTCGTTTATGCCATACGTATGAAAATGTACGTGTCCGTTTCAGATGATGGTTCTGTCACTGCTCACAAATTTTTATGTGTCCTTTACGTTGGCATCGATGTTAACCATTACATCCAGCTGTTTCCTGCAGAGCAGGTCATTTTTGCAGCTGATTTATTACCGTAAAGTATCTCTCTCTTAAACACAAGTCTTCTGCAAGATTTTAGAAAAACAAGCCCAGTTCAGGGCCGTAAATGTCATGAATCTGGGCTGAACTCAGACTCAGACACAAGCAGGAAAGGTGAAAACTCCGGTTTTCTGCTCTCAAACTGTCAGAGATGGTAAAAGTGTGGCTCGCTGACGAGAGGGCTGAGCTGTGGGGAAACTCAGGGGAGGGCTCGACTGTGGGAATCCTACGAGTACGAGGCCGTTAGGCGAGGAGGCTTGCAGACAGGAGAGCAGGTATTGCAGCGGTTGGAAATGTTGCACAGAGACAAACTGTGAATGGAACGAGCTCTGGCAGGGCAGGGTGAACCTGATGATGGGTGACAGAGAGAGAGAGAGAGAGAGGCCGACCAAAAACAGGGGGAACAGAGTTTCTGTTGCATCACAGTATATCTGTGTTTTTATTTGGGCTTATGTTCTTATGTTAGATAGTCAAAGAGCTTAAATCTACTTTTAAAAGCCAAGTTACAAAGCGCTCCATCAAAGCAGCAAAATAAAACAGACCACTTCTCAGATCTGACATTAAAGCAAAGACGGAGAAACGGCACATATTTCAAAGACATCTAGTCATTAGAAGATCTAAAAAAAGGACATTAAAGCAAAATGAGGACAAACTCTCTGATAAAAGACTGTTTTTTTTTTTTTTGGCAGGGATTGAACAGAGATCACTGACTCAGCTGGTCTGATAACCTATGGCAGATTGTTCCCTTGACTATAACATCAGACGGCGATATGACTTCTGCAAATGTCGGCCAACTGATACAGTCAGCAGTTCGCCGCGGAGGCCGTCTGATCGGGACTTCCTTTCGTGTGTTGCTGTTGTTAACTTTCCAACTCTCAACTAGAAAAGAGAATTTGTGATGAGACACAGCAGCTGAAACGGGATGAGCTGAAATCTTTCAGTTTCAAGACTTTGATTAAAGATCAATCGTTGATGGATAGATGCTGATGGGTTTCAGGGTTGCATCATGGCGGCTTCATCTACGTCTGCGTAGAAACAGCTGCTGCATCCTATTTTTGTATCATATCATGTGGTGTGGTATCCTATCATATATGTATCATATCATATCATATCATAATGTATCATGTCCTATTGTACCATTATCTGATTTCATCTTATAATATTTCATATGATATTATATCAAAGCATATCATGTCACTTGTTGTATATCATGTCCTATTATATCGGCATATCATTTTGTATCTTATATTGTATCGTGTCATATCATATCATTTCATGTCGTATCATACCATTTCGTATCATATCATATTGTATCATCATCTCAAATCTTTTCTCAATATATCATATTCTATTATATCAAAACATATCATATTATCTTATATCGTGTCATATCATATCATCGTATCATAACGTATCACATATCATATATCATATCATATCATATTGTATCATATCATATCACATCCTATCATATGGTATCATATGATATCACATCATATCATATCAAAGCATATCATGTCATATGATATCGTATCATATCATATCATATCATATCATATAATATCATACCATACCATATCATATTATATCATTTCGTATCATATCATATTGTATCATCATCTCAAATCTTTTCTCAATATATCATATTCTATTATATCAAAACATATCATCATATTATCTTATATCGTGTCATATCATATCATCATATCATAACGTATCATATATCATATCATATCATATCATATCGTATCATATATCATATCATATCATATCACATCCTATCGTATGGTATCATATGATATCACATCATATCATATCAAAGCATATCATGTCATATGATATCGTATCATATCATATCATACCATACCAAACCATACCATATCATATCATATTATATCAATTCATGTCATATCATATCATATCATGTCATATCATATATCGTATCATATGATATGATATGATATGATATGATATATGATATCATATCATATCGTATTGTATCATATCATATATCATTTCGTATCATATTGTATCCTATCGTATCCTATTATATTGTATCATATCATATCATATCATATCACATGGTATTGCACCATACTTTTTTGCACAAAACAACACTCAAAAATCTGGAAGGACTGGGTTTGTTTCCCAGTATTAAGGTCAGAGTCTCTGATACAGATCATGTCTTCACTGTTTTAAAATCTCCTTCCTCTGAGAAAAAGACTGTGAGGTGAAAAATTCTGCTTCTGCTTCATGAAATAGTGAATGTTTAGTTTTTTTCCCTAACACCCAAACCCGCAGAGCTGAGAACACGCTAACAGATATCATCAATGAAATAATGGGTCAAACCCTCAGCGCTGCACTGTGCCTCTGCACCACTGGATGGCACTGCACCTCCTCTCTCACCTCCCCTCTGTCCTTGCTTCACCACTCCCTCCCTCCCTCCTTCAAATGTACTCCCTTTTTCCCTCTCGCCCTTTCCCTGCGTCTCCTCATCTCGTGTAGGAGGAAGATTAGAATCGCCACAGAGCACAGCGAGGATTACCAGATCGATATCGGAGACAATCTCTTTCTCCCATCTCTTTTTACATGGTCTCTCCCTCCATTTCCTCCTCCTCCTCCGTCTCTGCCACTCACTCTGTCCCTCTCTGTGCCTAATTTGTGTTTTCACCCTCTGCCCTTCAAGTCACTCTTTGCTTCTGGGTGTATGAGGAGGGAAAAGAGAGACAGGGAGAAGGGGTTTTAGAGCGGGTTAGATAAGCAGACAGACGTGCATGAATGATGAAAAGAAAAAGACAGATAGAGCTGCGAGAAGGAGACAAAGATAGTATTGATTCACCCTGACCTGCTTTCACAAACTGTCACAATATGCAAGTCTGTTAATTCATTACACAACAAAGCCATACAGAATAACCCACATCTTCTTCTACTTCTACAGAAACACACTTTCAGAGGAGAAAGGAGAGGAGAAACACCGAGAGGTATTTTTCTCTTCTCTCAGACGGACTAACTGAGACCTGAGGAGAACAGGAGAGAAGGGAAGGAGAGAGGAAAGGAGAGAAGGAGAGAGGAGAGGAGAAACACACTGAGAGGTATTATTCTGGTCCCTTAGACGGACTAACTGAGACCTGAGGAGAAGAGGAGAGAAGAGGAAGGAGAGAAGGAGAGGAGAAACACATCGAGAGGTATTTTTCTCTTCTCTCAAATGGACCAACTGAGACCTGAGGAGAGGAGAGGAGAGAAGGAGAGAGGAAAGGAGAGAAGGAGAGAGGAGAGGAGAAAAACACTGAGAGGTAATTTTCTGTTCTCTTAGATGGACTAACTGAGACCTGAGGAGAGGAAAGGAGAGGAGAGAGGGGAGAAGACAAGAGGGAAGGAAAGAGGAGGAGAGGGAAGGAAAGAAAAGAGGGTAGAAGAAAGGAAAGGAGAAGAGGACAGAGGAGATGAGGGAAGGAGAGAAGAGGGAGGAGAGAGGAGGAAGGGAAAGGAGAGAGGAGGAAAACACCGACAGGTATTATTCTGTTCTCTCAGACCGACTAACTAAGACCTGAGGGGAGGAATAGAGAGGGCAGAGAAGGGAAGGAGACAAGAGTGGAGGAAAGAGGAGGAGAGGGAAGGAGAGAGAAGAGGAGGGAAGGAGAGAGGAGAGGAGAAAAACACCGGGAGGTATTTTTCTGTTCCCTCAGATGGACGAACTGAGACCTGAGGAGAGGAAAGGAGATGAGAGAGGAGAGGAGGAAAGGAGTGAAGAGGGGAGGAAAGAGGAGGAATGGAGGGAAGGATAGAGGAGGAGAGGAAAGGAGGGAGGAAAGAAGGGAAGGAGAGAGGATAAGAGGAAAGGAGAGAGGAGGGGAGGAAAGGCTAGAAAAAAGTGGAGAATAAGGCAGAGGCGGGAGAATGAATTAAACAAAGAGAAGAAACAGAGGAGATGAGAAAGGAGGAGAGGAAAAGGATATGAGAGAGGGAGCGACAGAGAGAGCAGATAAGGAAAGGAGATAAAGGATATAAAAGAAAAGAGAGAGGAATCAAGAGAACAGAGCTGAGAAGAGGATATAAGGAAGGAAGCAAAAAGGACACAGAGAAGAAGGGGAGGAAAGAAAGAAGGGAAAGAAAACAACAAATAAAAGAGAAAAAAATGAAATCAAAGAAGACAGTTAAAAAGAGGAGAGAAAGGAGCTGAAAGAAGGAGACAAGAAAACAGGAAACAGAAAGGAGAGAGAAGAAAATAGAAGAAAGAAAAGGAGTTAGGAAACAGAAGAAAGAGTTAAAAAAAAGACGAGAGAAAAGTGAGAAAGAGAAGCAGAGAAAAAGAGAGAGGAAAAGAAAAAAGACAGAGAGAGCTGATGAAAGAGGAGGAGAGGAAACAAAAAGAAAAGAAGAGCAGAGAAGAAAAAAGATCAAAGAAATGAACAAAAAAGAAAAGAAAAGAGGAGAAGCCAGAGGGGAGGAAAGAAAACAGAGAAAGGAGGGATGGGACGGAGGGTGAAAAAAAGAAGAGAGTGATAAAAGAGGAAAAAAGGAGGTCAAAGAAAAAGAAAAAAGGTGAAAGAAGGGAGAGGAAAGGAAAGAAGGAAAGGAGACAAGGAAATGGGAAAAATAAATAGGAACACACACACACACACACACACACACACACACACACACACACACACACACACACACACACACACACACACACACACACACACACACACATGGATCCATACCAGTTTAAAATAAAGAGTGGGTCTGAGGATTCTTGTTTGTCTGGTTTACACAGAGGGGACGGTAAATGAAATCCTACAGAAGGAAGATTAGTCAATAAACCCAGGTAAACACTTACAGATAAGTGTGTGTGTGTGTGTGTGTGTGTGTGTGTGCGTGTGTAACAGAGAGAGGGGAACTCATCTTTTATGTATGAGTGTTTGTTTAGCTGCACTTGCAGCTGTGTGGAGGTTACTTCCCATCTCAGTCACATACAGCTGACTGATTAACCGTCTCTCCACAGTTAGACACCAAAACCACATCCACAGACTCTGCATTTAAACCATCCGGACGCAGGTACGTTACGGAAGCCCTAAATGGACATACGTCTTAATTACATGTTCAGAATTTTAATGCTTATTTAGCAGAGGCGGACCCTTCAATAGGCAGACCAGGCCATCTCCTGCATGAGGGAGGGCGAATGCGTTGCACACCATAACCATGGCCAGGGGGCTACAGGAAAAATCCTGCCTGGGGGAACCTAATTGCTTCAGGTTGCCATTGTTATTTACTTGCACTTTCACTGCTATGGAACGCCAATTCCGACCGGATCCGTTATGAGGCGAATTTCGTGGTGGATTTTGGACAGCAAGAATCGCGAGAACTCACAAGAACCTGCAGATTCACATGCAATTGCACGATAACAAGTGACTGTGTCCTTCCAGAGGAGGAAATCTACTTCTAGACTTCTAGAATCAGCATCTCCTCATCCATGGTGTCATCGGGGTGAAATGACGTCTAAAAACCTTTCACTTGTTCGTCTCCGCCCGTTTGCATGGTTTGAAATACGATCCTCCTGAAACACGGAGTGTTTTATTTTGAAAAGAAGCCGGATGTTTTATTTTGTGTCTGTTCCCGACTTCCTTTCCAGCACGGGTTAATCTGTGCTGAATTTATCCGCCATGCTCCAGCGTCCAGCGATCTGCAGAGGAACAGAAAGAAGCAGATGGAAATTGACACTTTAACTTGAATGATCAAGATCAGCTGTGATCGGAGGATACGACCTTATCTCAGCCGTTCCGGATGTGGAAATTGGAGGTTAGGTTTGCAGAAGACCAGCGCTGATCCATATCCATCCATCATTTATTCGTATCGTTGAATCTCCTTATCAATCGACCCATCTCCTCCTGCTTCTCTCTATCTACCAATCAGGTTTCACTCCAGTTTCTGTCCACCAATCACCTTCCAATCTTAAACCCGTTCCCCTTCCTGTTAAGTCGTTTCAGTATGGATCACCTCAGCTCCTCCACTCCTTATCAGGGTTTAGGTCTTCAGATGTCCACCCTTTATCACTGTCTTCAGGGGGTCTCCTATCCTGCTGACGGGCTAATCGTCCCTTTGAAGATACGAAGACGTCACCACAGGGTCTAATAGCCAAAGATACTGAACATTTAACATCCTTTTTAAAAACCCTCTGAAATAAATTACTCTCCACATGAACTGAAGTCTCTCCGGATGGATTGAACTGATAACAAGCAGCAGGAAAAGTGAAAATAGAGACGCAATTATTGACTTCTGAAAACGCACAACCGCAAACATGTCAAGTCCAGACGAGTGAGGGGGATAAAACAGAGTGTGTTCAGTCCTGAAAACCGACTCTAAACACGAGCTTTTAATGGAAACTCTGAGTAAAAAGAGACACCAGCACTCTCCCTCGCTGTCAGACGGACTTGATTTTGCTTTTACTGGATTTATTCAATCTGGAAAGAAAAAGAAAACATCTCATTTTTCCCTTCACTCTTTCGCCTCTCTTCTGGCTCTGTGGCCTCTATCGGCTTTTTAACCTCTCATGGCCTCCAGTGTTTGTTTATATGGGTTATGTTACAATATAAGTTTGCATATGATGGGCGGTGGGAGCCGGGGTCAAAGGTAAAGCCCCAAAGTGATCGGTTTAATTGGAGTCCCCTCGTCTTACTCTGACATCGTCCTTTTTTCTGCTTTGTAAAAATTATATTCCGTTTCCATGGTTTCCAGGGGTGAACATTGCAGGACTAGAAACTGCGTTATGACTAGCGGAGACATTGCGCTGAAGACTAGTGTTTGGTTGAGGTATTGCAGGTCAACATGGACACCGCAAGACAGGAGTATGAAGAGCTCACGATGGCAAAGGTACAAAAAACACCAACATCACAGGGATTAACAGAGGACAGAAGCAAACGCATCGACATCGACGTACAACGAACCAACAAGGACAGACGAGACACAGGTGAAACTTATAGGTGATTAACAAAGGAGGGAAAACTGGAGGAAGTAAAACCAGACTAGAAACACAAGGAATCAACTCCTACAAAATAAAACAGGAAGTAAACACTGAAACTGATCTAAAGAATAAAGCACAGAGAACAGGAGAGGAACAGGGTCAAACTGAAAACTCACAAAACTGGACGACAGGGGAACAGGAACACTAGAGAAAATCACAAAGAAAATACACTCAAAAAAAATAAAAATAAAAAACAGGAGAAAACTAAATTAACAGAACATATCGTGACTGAATAAAATCATTACCCCACATTATTACCCCTGACCTCCAAACACAGTCAGACCACAGTCCTCCTAATTTACTGCTGCTGACCTTTAACCCCCGCTGTATAAATTCTTAATGTGATGTTTAATGTGTACTTTAATGATTTCCTACAGTAACAGTATTTTTATTATTATTATTATTTTATTGTTGTAGTTCAGTCTTATTGTGTTGATTTTAATTGGCTTTTTTATTTAGAAGTAAGTGGATGTGACATCTTGATTGACAGCTCTGTCTGGGCTCCTGCTGTGTTCTTTTCTGGATTATCAGAGGACAAACGAACGGAGAGGAAACAAACTCAAGCTTCTTTAACCCTGTGTGTGTGTGTGTGTGTGTGTGTGTGTGTGTGTGTGTGTGTGTGTGTGTGTGTGTCTGTCTGCGTCACACAAACACAAGAAGCTTTAACACTGCCGTCTGACCCACCTGAGATGGGACCTTTGACCTTTTCTGGGTGGGGTTAACTCACTTACTTCATACTGAAAAAAACACTAATGTTTGGATTCATGTCCACTCTGGGCTCCCGTACTTTTTGCATGACTAGACAAACATTTGTTTGTTTGCACATCGACAAGACCGGACAGGATGAGTATCTGTGTGTGCAAATGTTTGTGTAGGTGTGTGTCTTTATCTGTGAATCTGTGACTGTGACAGTGTGTGTGTGTGTGTGTGTGTGTGTGTGTTGCCACCTCCTGGTACAGAGTTCTTCCTGGGACAGAGTGGCTCGCAATCATCTGTTCCCGACCAAACACCTTCTTCCTGTGTCCAACTGAGATACAAGCTGGCCACACACACACACACACACACACACACACACACACACACACACACACACACACACACACACACACACACAATTGCATAATCGGAAAAGTCTGCCAAAACTCATGGCTGTTCGAGAAAATCCAAATATGGGGAAAGATTAATGTGAGTCCCACACACACACACACACGCACGCACGCACGCACGCACGCACGCACACGCACACACACACACACACACAATCAAACCTGACTTTGCAGATGTGTGTGTGCGTGAAGCTCATTGATATGCGTGAGCGCAGGCGTGTTATTGGTTCCTACGGGCTCGTTTGGGGCTAATTAGAGAGAGTAATGAGATAAGAGGAGAGGGAGAGGGAGGCGATGCTCTGATGGATGCGAGGAGGGGGACGGCATCTCAATGAAGAGACTCGGAGGGAGGGAGAGATCAAATTAGAGGATGAAAGGGAACAAGAGCGAAGGTAGCGAGGACGAAGCGACGCACAGCATCGATAATGTGAGGAAGGGGTAAACGCTCACGACCGAGGAGATGGTCTGGACTGGACTGCAGACATGTCGGTGCTCACTCCGACTTCAGTCATGTGCATAATCACCATCAAATATTCATTTTTACGACTGTCCAAAGTTCTTCACTCTGGGAACCGCTGAGGAGGCTCCTGTGAGTCTGACTGTGTTTGCTTCTGCAGATCAACATCATAAAACCTCAGCAGATCCACTTTTATGGGAACACGGGGACGTTCGGTGGCGACTTCACTTCACAAAAGCTCGTGCTGATCCAGTTACTGTTTTTATTTTTGCACATACAGAACAGTTTAGGTGGAGAACGCCAATAAGTGAGCGTGTGACCTCCTGGTAGGTGGATTTTTACCCTCTGGACAGCATGAGGCGTGTGTTTCCCAGCCTTCTGTTTTTATCTACAGTCTGTAGGCAAGTGACATAACTTGTGTTGTTTGAAGTGTTGTGGTTTGCATTTATAGC